CTCTCTTGCCACACCGGCCTATTGTTCCCTTTAAATAGCCAGATTGGATTTCTCAGCCCCACACAATGGGGACTTGTTTGGCTGGGTTTTTCAGGCATTTTTCAGCTTCAGGTTAGTAGGGCCCACGACCGACGACGACCGGCCTTGTGGATGTTTTTCCATTATTTTCAGCAAAATGGAGCTGTCTATTTAACTCTATGCGTATATGTGTATCTTTCTATTTCTCTCCAACGTTACACCTCCGATGGAAACGTACCTTATATGAATAAATGCGAATAAGGTCGTACATGTCCTCGTATACAAAAATCCGGTGGTGCGGGGTGTGTGTTTACAATTCATTTGCTACACGGCCGGATGGGGACGGTCTCGCTTCGGATGTTTTCCACGCATTCAGACGTGAAAGGTTCCGAGAGTTTGTATATATTCCTCCCGAACAATGGGTCAATGCAGATCATAAATAGTTATAATGACACAATTTACCATTGTGGCCTCTCATATGAGAGAGGTGCATATGCACGTACGTACATATCAATACGTGGCATGCGGAAAGGGACCACGGATCAAATATCCAAAATCCATTCCGCTGCCTAATGGACCTATTTTTACTCGAATAACTTTCATTCTTCCTCCCTTCCTAAATAGCTCGCTAACTTGTTGACCCGCCCGTTTCCTGCACCATTTCAATCCACAAATATTTCAAAATGGGAAAATATCACTTTTTTCCTCTCACCCGAAATTCCACATTCTTCGTCAGAATATTTATTGCTCACCACACCGGATACAATCCATAATAATTATTCCAAGATGCGATGAATCACATTTCTAGTCTGAATTTCAATCATTATTTGAACAATCTCAATCGGACAAAGCAATTTCCTTCTGGATTTCAATCAGAGCGTACATTTTACTTATTAGTACACAACTCAATCGCATAACAATAAGAAATCAAACTCACATTTTGATCATGTTGCGGTGGCACAAAGAAATAATGCAATTTCCTCCTGCTGCCAGAATTAATCAGTTCAAGATCATGCACAGGAAATAAATAAATCACACAAATCAAACCCTCGACACACCTTCGTACATATTCCGTCCTCTCATTTACACTCTTAAGAAACCGACAAAAAAGAAATAGGAAATTTATTTAATTCACTATTTACCCATATAATAACGGATGCACGCTATGAAATTGTGCACACACCACGGCGCCCCGTACACAAGGCTTAATTGCAATATTTGATTAAATATAAAAGCGTAATAATCAATTTGATTGACAGTTTTATATAGTGCCGTTGACCCGAATAGTTTATGCAGCCCATTAACTGGAGTATCTAATGTCCAACGTATTGCATATGTACATCCATCCATCCATACGTCTTAGCTCGACATGCATAGCTTTCTATTCGTGGGATAAGAGTTGGCGAAAAACTTGGACAAATCGGAGAATCTTTTCTTACCTGTCTTATTAGTCTGATAGTACTGGACTGGAATCGAGATACAATTGCTGATGATAGCGAGCGTCACGCCACACACAAAAGTTTGCACGTTGCTTTCTCCTTGCGCATTCTTCTCTTATTTCGTATTTATGAGCTACAAAGTTGCGTTATGAAACGGGGGAAAAATTATCTGGGTCGTCTTTCATCACAAACAGGCATGTTATCAATACTTATAAAACAATTATTCAAATTACCACGAAGCAAAGTTCACTCACACAAAACCTCGCTTCACTCGACCAAAATTATTGCAGCACTGGGAACTTTTCCAATAAAAACTTACTGCTTCACACACAACTTTCACCACTTGTACTGCTAATTGAATAATAATTTGTTCTTGCTTTCCTCAGGGAGCAAACCCCCATTTTCACACTGGAACCTATGCAACAACCGGTGGTGGTGGTTTATTTATTAACTTCATGCAAATCACCAAGATGTAGTTTCTACATGGCTCTCTCGCTATGTGGATTTTTCTCGTCTTGGTTGTTTGTTGTGGAGAATATAGATTTTCTTCCACGCTAACTACTCCTCCGTTCACCACCACGAACTGAATGAGCCAAGTGCTAAGGATTGTGTGGTGGATTCTCTCTCTCGTAACAAAACCAAATAGTGCCTGGACTGCTGAAACCCCGATGGGAAGAATGAGAGAGCACGCATAAAAGTGGGGGCCGACGCCACCACTCGTCACGACCTCCTCCTCAAAAACGTCCCTCTTAGCACGAGGAAAACGCCAATTTCCGGTCAAGTAGGCATGATTCCGAAAGTGGCAACATCATGAAATTCTGGTCAAGTGCCATGAATACGACGACGCTTCTGCCCCACTTTTGCATACAAGTTACTATCATCTCATCATCTTTAGTGGCAAATGAGTAACGGGCTCTCATGCATACGATTTGAGATTTGATGTTGGATTTTGTGGACGTGGTTGATGGAGACCCTGCGAGGAAAGCGTCGTCGTCGTCGGAGCTAAGCACAACGGGAGGGATGGGGAAGCCAGGTTTCCGAAGTGAGCCGATCCAACCCTATAAGGGTGTCAATGTTCAGGTAGTATTAGTGCCCTGTGTGTACTCTGGTACGTACAATGTGTGTCTACTCTACGGCCGTGGTGGTGGTGGCGAGGAAAGCAGGGAAACTAACTTTCTCCCTCTTTCTCAGCTTTCCTCGGCGGTGGTGGTGACGTTGGTTTGGTTAGAGAAGAGGGAGAGCAATTACGAACTCTGTCTGATACGATCATCATCGTCACCCAGAAGCACTCCAACAACTCTCACACATTCGTCCGTCTGGAGAGAGAGAGAGAGGAAAGTGGAATAATGGAGAGGAGGAATCTGTGCTTGGATTTGATCAATCTCTAGATCGGGAGAGAGACCCTTCAGGCTCTGAGTCAACAACTTGGACGGATTATTCAGACTTGACTTCCTCCTTCTCCTCCACCCCATCCACTCCTTCACTCCAGAGGAACGAGTCGCTGGAATGGAAAGAAAACTAGTGTGACGTCTAATATGCGATGAGATGAGGAGATGCTCTCTCTCACATCCAATCTAACCCCCAACCAACCAAGCTTCTTTCACCAATTTAACAATAAAAACACAATAACTTCACATTTTCTCACTCTTCCTCCTCCAACCGCTCTGATATATTCATTTGTTTTTTTTTGTATCTCTGCCCATGTCGCATGTATGTATTTCCTCCTTGCCAAGTAAAAGTTTTGGGAATCAGCGGAATTTTAAAGCCGAAAATGAAGTCTGCCATTATGGACGGGTGCCAATGTAATCTAAGTTGTGCCCTCCAACCAAGTCTTGTTGCTTTCACTGCCGCGGTGGTGGTGCATGGGATCGACTGGAGAGGAGAAGAAAGAGTCATAAAAATGAGTGGCGGTGGCAGAGAGACAGCTCATCACGTTGGAACATCTCAAAGCTGATGACATACGACACTCTGGAGGAAGAGGACTAGGAGGCTGTGCATGCATCCGAACATCTACCCACTCCCATACATATGTATGTGTAGGAAGGACTGCTGTGGGGCTGTCACGGAGCTCGACTGGTACAGTTGTTGGGATTGACAGAGAGAAAGTCAACTCAGCACTTTGTGTTGCCTTCCTCTCTCTCTCACTCTCCTGTTGATCCAATCTCAATAAACAAATATACAGCGAGTGAGCCCCAGCTTATTTCCTACTGGGAAGAAAGAAGAAAGCATGGCTAAGAAAAAAATCGAGTTTCGTTGCCATACTGGACACAAACTCACGCATGTATGGATTCTTTGCTTGCTTTGTTTGGCGTATTTTTCTCGAACGGGTTACTGTTCTCTGCTCCACTTCCTTCTTTTGTACTTCTCTCTCGTGGAGGAGTAGTTGCAATTTCTCGGCGTTCTTTCTTCTTCTTGGCCAGCCAGACATAAGAGACGTCTCATTACAGTTGTTGTTGTTGTTTAGTTTAGGGTGCAGAGCCGGCTGCCAACGCCAACACCACTCCTTTTCGACTGGCATCCCTTGATTGCTTTCTCCGCTTCCACCTGGTCGACTGAAACATATAATCTCGCTTTCTCTCTCTATTTCTCCTCCACTCTGCGGAACGGGCGTCTTCTTCTCGCTCTCTCGTCCAGTCTTTTTAAACGGATGTCGGTCTTCCAATTTCTGTTTGTATCCAATCCAAACGTTTGCATAGACGAAGAGCTCCTGGCTGCCTGGCAGGCAGAGAGAGCGAGAAGATTAAAGTTTTTGTGAGAGGAAGCCGACATAAAAGGCAGGAGGAGAACAAAAACTGTGAGCGAGGGTTGCCACAACTTTCTCCACTTTCTTTCCAATAATGAAACGAATGAAAATGAAAAAATTGAAGGGAATGGAAAAGCGCGACCAAATTATTATTGGTTGGAACTTCAAAGGAATCAATATCCACTCCTTTAAAATATGCATCTCATTCTCATCATCAGTTCCCTTTCATTTCAGTCCAATTTCATTCGGAGAACATCATGGATAATTAGCTCAAAAACCCATTTGCATGCACAATTGAATGGAACTACTTTCAATACCATTCACTTTTTGGGGGACATTTATTTTCATCCGCAGTTAAAGTGTGCAGTGTATATTTGGCATGTGCATGCATAGGAAATCAGAAATTGCTACATTATTATGTACGCTTACATGCATGCACATTGCAAGTAGTTTCTTGTATGCATTGGCTGAGTCGAGCTGAACAAATATCCCTGAATCATAATTGCTCATTGGTAAAGTGTGCCCATTTATTATGGAAATTGCAACTCCTAATTATCTACATAATTACAAACACTTTTTAATTATTTTTGCCATGAGTTATTATTAACCTGGTGGTGGTATTTTTCTTCAATTTTATAATAGTTTTCTAATTAAGGTTGATAATAAAATACTTCAATTTTCAATCAAATTCGCCTGAATTGGCTAAAATAAGCATATTCGTACTTTCACCGGAAGCTCCTGAATCACGAGGAGCAAGAGAAAGCAAATTACGGCAACGTGAGACGGCGCTCGATTTAAATGCATGCATCACAAATTTGCCTGAATCCTCCCAAAAGCATAAAATTTCATAGACGGACGGAGGATTTTTGTTCATACAGCGAGGAAGCGCGGCCCGGCGCCCATCCGTCAATTTCCACTCTTCTACATTCTTCTGAACCAAAGAAAAAGACACTTTTGACGTAATTCAGGTCGCAATTCAGTGTCTTAATTTCAGTGTCTCAACTCAACTCTCAAACCTCAAATTAAGTATTACAAGATCTACTATACCAATAATCACACCGCGTTGTCTGCTGCCCACTCAACTTCAACTGACTCACGTATTGTATTAATTAATTACATTCACATTTTCAACTCATGAAAAATCACGCTCTTCCTTCCGAAATTATTTACCAGAATTAAAGTTACAATTATTACGAATTACTGCATATTTCATACTGTACAAAGGCAGCTGGAACTGTCTCTAACAATAGTACTTATAGTATCTGAAGAAACTCAGGTAAACTAAACTCGTCTAAGACACCGACTACCGAGTCCTCGTTTTTGAACAAGAATTGAGTCAGTCAATACAGTATTATTATATTCTACACTATAATCTCATCTGATCGATACGAGTAGTTAATATGGAGGCCGAAGACGCGTCTGTTGCTGCAGTTATTACGGATGTCAAGAGGATTCTGTGGGGCGATCAAATTAACGAGGAGTTGTTTCTCCGGTGGTCTCAAGGTAAGCATAATTGGGATTTCGTTCAGAGATGACGAACCAGTTTTGTAAATTGCAATTTGTAAAATGACAAAATATTCGCAGGTTTCATATTCAGTCCTGATGAGTCGACTGCCTTAGTACAGAGAGAAGGAGGGCCATGTGCTGTGATAGCTCCGGTTCAAGTAAGTTTAACATGCTCCATTCTTATTTATGTATTATACGTACCTATTAAGAAATTAATTAAAGCTTAATTAATTTTTCAGGCCTTTATTGTCCGGGCACTAATGAAAGACCTTGAATTTTTTTCTACAAATTCCTGGCGCCATGTAAGACTTTTACAAAAATGATCTATTCGATTCTATAAATATTTTGTAAAGAAAATTGAATGTAATGTGCTTGACGCAGATGCCTTCAGAGCGTGTGGACTCTTACCTTTGTCAAGCATTGACAGAAATTCTTCGCCAAGTTGCCAATTCTGACTCAGCGCCGGTAGAAACCCCTCCTTCAACTTCTGCCAAATTGAAGTTAATTCAAGATCAACAGCAGCAGTCCGATCCTGCTGCATCACTAACTCCACAATCTCCTCCTGTGCCACCTCCAAGCACCTACTGCATCGTTTTCTTGAACGAACCCTTGTCACGAAGAATTTCCTGCGAGTCTGAAGTAGCCGACGTTCCACAAGATAACAGACCACACCGAACGGAGGAAGAGATTTTTCATCGAAATTTACGCCTCTTAAAGCTGGATAATATTAATCAAGTTGAGAGCGTGTTGAAGGAAAAATTAGAATCTTTCAAAGGGCATTATGGAGTTCTCCAATTTCTCTACTCTGCCATTTTAACCAAGGTTAGAAGAATCTTTCTTATTAATATTGTTCTCGTAGTTCATTACTTTATGTGAGTTATGAATTTATTGCCAATTTATTTAATTCAGGGAGTTTCCAGACTCAGTCACGACATGTCTGAGGCATCCGAGCTTATCGATCCCGTTCATGGTCATGGTGGTCAGAGCCTCATTAACCTATTTTTGTCAGGTCAAGGAGTCAATTATGTTTTTGACAATGACAAATATCTTGGGGGATTAGGTAAGTGTACATATTCTACTCTTTTATTGTAAAGACTAGAAAATTTTTATTCATGTGATGAATCAACATGTTATTATTGATCTATAACTTTACAGAGCTGAAAGGGATTGCAAGGCAGTGTGAAGTTGGTAAGTAGACAGCCTTGTCAATAAATCTACATAATTCCGCTTCAAACTATTCTACTTGTCCACAATATAAACTTTTATTTCTAAAATAGGTTTCTTAACGGTGCTGGAAAGACTGCGGTATTGTGAAGTTGGGAGTTTCCTCAAAAACCCCAAGTATGACTTAATTTAATTATACATCACTCCATGTTACGAGTTCATATTTAATACTTAATGATAACATTAACAGGTATCCGATTTGGTTGTTGGGGAGCGAAACCCATTTGACTGGTAACTCAAATTCAATTGAATCATTGATCTCTTTGTATCTATTTTCATGTGGACGAAACTCTTTTAAATTCTTGTTTTAGTGCTATTTTCTTGGGATATGAATCTTGTTAAACCTGAAAGTTCAGCGGGACAAGCTCTCCGTGTATTTAAAACTTATGATCCTGACGGCAACAATTTTATTCAAACTGTTGTGTTGGACGATGTGATGCGCACTGCAGGGTTGTTTGCGGACACCGAATAGTAAGAACACTAAACTAGTTTGTCCTTCCTGCTCGTTTTTAATTGAATATTAATTTCAAATCAACATAATTAATTGTTTGATGATTTGCAGTGTGGAGATAATGACAAAAAAGTTAGATCCAGAAAATTTGGGTATCGTTCTAATGAATGACTTTATGGATGAATTTTTTCAAAATGAAAACTACGGAGGTCCTGACACATTTACCGTTTTTCATTACAACGGTCTCCCCCGCGGATCTTCCAGCACAAACAAAGTCGTGTATGTCGACTAGTTTTAATTTGCATATAATTATGATGATGACAAGTAGGAAAATAAAAATAAATAAATTGTGCAGGTACAATGAGGGGAACGCCATTATCCTGGAGACGGACTTGAGATGCCTTTCAGATGAAAATATGCTCCTAACCTGTCTGCAAACCAAATGGCCAAACATTGATGTTCAATGGTTGAGTGGATCAACGCCTTCAATCAATTGACAGTACCCTCATCCTAACTCTTTATCGTATTGAATAATAATTATCAAATTCAACGAGCTCACAAGACATTGTTACTACTAACATAATTTCCTATTTGCTATAAACCTCTTATACACAGACACACCGCGATAACTTTCCCAACATCATCAAAGCCTTATTAATTTCTCGCCATGTAGGTTGATAAAAACCAATAAATGATGCCAATAAAACAGATGTAATAATAATACGTGTATCCACACAGATGGACACGATCGATATAGAAAAATGCTCCTAGTTATCTAGTTAAATATGTATAGTTATAATCTAATTGATTTTTGTTATTCAATGATTTTTTTCATATAAAACTACTCGTAGTCAGTGTTTGTGTTTGTAACTGGTCTTTTTGATACTAAAATGATAACAATAATTATCTATGTAATTACACCAATTACTGTTACTTGCAAATTTTATATTATTCAATGAATTTAGCCATATTATACTTTTAGGATAAATATAATAACATGCTATTTGTGCCGATACTACGTCTTTATGTATACCTGAGATGATGAAAAGAGGATTTATGATTAAAAATTTATCACGTTTATTCACGCATGAAGTGTACAGTTTAATTAATTCATATTGTTTTAACGACGAACGACATAGTTTCGGATGGGTTTTGCAGCCATGCCATACGTAACCTTGATAATTTGACCTCCTGCATCGTCACTTACGAAAAGGTGACCATTCGCATTAAAAACGGCGTTCACCGGGCGGAAGCAGTTCCGTATGTAACAAGTGGCCACCGGGGTTTCGTACACGACGTTGATCTCGTCCCCCGTGGGCCGACCTTCAGAGTCGAACGGGAACATGCCAACCCTGTAGCCGACGGGAATCACACTGTTCCACGAACCTTCATATGTTATGATAGGGAACACTTACATAAGTTACATACTTGTGTAAATAGAGATCTTGAGGAGAACGACATAGGCAATTTGCATACCGTGGAAAGCCACGACGGCGGCACCAGTAGAATTACACGGGAAAGCTCCTTCTCCGACGTCACAACTCTGACCTCGGAAAAAGTCGACTCCCAAGGGTGCATTATGCGCCGGCATTGGGATCAGTGGAGGATGGTTCTAATTAGAAAATGGTCACAATAATTGAAAGAGTCATGAGGAAAGCGTATTTTGTTGATTACATTGAGTGGATTTCGACACCACGTGTCCGTGTGGGTACCATCGCCCATGAACGTTGGCCAGGCGTACTGCGTCCCAGCCGGCTGTCCCGTGAGATTGTGGGTGCTGAAGCAGTACGGGTAACCATAATGCGTCCCCACAGTTTGATCAAACCTGTTCATCTCCTCCGCTGGGTTACCGTTGTGCACGTCGCCACCAATGTCAGGTCGGTTCAGCGCGTCCGCCCCATTCTCAACCCCGTGAAGAACTCCGTTCAAATCCCACGCTAGGCCGACCTCATTTCGAAGCCCGTCCGCAAACACCTATTAAATTCAACCAGATCACATTACGTGGAGCATGTAAATCCGCCAAATCATCTTATGTAGATTGCTACCTCTCCAGTGTTGAACGCAATGGGCAATGTTCCGTTGAGTGAAAACCTTCGAATTCTTGCCCTGTCCGAGTTCCCATCCACGTTGACGCTTGAACCCACGCTGACATAAAGTCGCCCTTGCTCATCGAACACGATCGTTCTCGTATTGTGTCCACCCGACGGCATTCCGTTGACGACCGTTTCTTGTCCCACTGTGACCTGTGTCCTGTTCCCGGGCGTGTATGGCCATCGGTAGACGGTGTTGGCGCTGGAGGCGTAGAGAAAGCCGTCGTGGAAACTGAGACCGTGGTTGAGGGCTAACCCCACGGACGAGATGATGAGTTCCTGGATCACGTTGATTGTCCCGTCGCCATTCGACTCCTCGTAAAGCGCAAACACTTCTCGACTCGGACTCAAGGCCAAGAGGTCGCCCACCGGATCGACGAACAGGCCTCGAACCCCACCGACCATTGCGTACTGTTGGGCGTAGAATGGGGGGTCAGCTTGCCATGCGGAGTGCACGACCCCCACAACGCTTCCCAAAATGAATATTGAGACGAGGAACTTCATGTCTCGTATGTAATTCCAACCTCGCTGCTCAAATGAGAATGTGGGGTCGCGAGATGGGATGGGACACTTTACATAAGGCAGATCAACTTGGCGAATGCAGTAGACTTGCATGAGCACATACACGTACGTACATGGTTTATGTAATCAATTACAAATACAACATTTTAATCTTGACTCATGATGGACATCAACTTATCAACGCAATATTCCCAGCCCAAAAAGTGACGAAGCATATTTGCATTTATCTTGTCTCCTCATCTAATTTGCAATTACCCAAATTGACTTATTTAAAGTACGCACTATTTAATACCCATGTATCAATAAATCAATTGGGTTAAATATAAGGCAAACTTTGTCCATGTGCTACAACACTCGACACTGCGTTGGGGAAATTGGTGCAATTGTTTTTGCAGGTCGAATACACGCTAATACATATTTACCAAGTTCAAGTACCTACTTACATTGTGGCGAAAAATGTGGCATAATAACGCCTACGATTCACGTGTAAAACAAACTGATCGCAAATATGAATTATTTAAATAAAAATATCTAAGTATGTACTAGGCATTGCTTGCACGTGCAATATTTTTAGAGGAGGTGGCTCCCATTTGCATGCATGCTTTTACATAAAAACAGTGTCATGAAAAGCGTTACGTAACAATTCATACACAGGGACGAAGCGAGACACGGTGGATGGATTTTTATAATAATGGGTCAATCAATCATTAGTCATAATCCTGATTGTGTTTATCTCCTGCGCTGCTGATTTTTTAGCCAAATGCAAGCTCGACAGAAGTAAACGTAGACCATATTTTTATTAAAATAATGTTCTCATACAGTAAAAGTGACAATGAAAGCGGCGGTGACGAGTCCTAAAAATTCATACGAAGTGACTCCGCCGACGCCACTGTCTGGGGTCGTTACGGTCGTTTCGGATGGAGTTGTTACCTCTGGGGTTGTGACCTCGGGAGTTGTTGGACTCGTGACCTGGGGACTTGTTCCGGTTTCCCCTGACGTTGGAGTGGTCTCTGGAGCTTGAGTCGTAGTTGATCCAGTGACTGGGACGCAGTAGCTGAGCGAAGGTGGTCTGGGAGTGAGCGCCTCCATGCTGGCGATTAAATCTGCGCCATTGCTTCCGAAGCAGGGAGGATGCAATGGAAGGAGTTTTAAGCAATCATCTGAAAATAATGTTCCCAAATTTTGAACCACGCCAATGGAATGTTAATATTAAGAAAATCTACGCCTTACAAACTCCGCTAATTAAGTCCAACGGTGTGCAGTCCTACAAACAAGACAATTGTTAAATACTCACTCAACTTACCAGAGTAAGCATAAAGTCTAATTATTTATTACATTGATGGCATGATCGATTAAGCATCTCGTGGATTCGACAATTCCTTCCCTAGCCGTTCCCCAAATAGTGTCAAATAAACTCTTAATTATTCGAGCCACGTTGTCCAAGGGAACAGGTTGGCCATTGATCAAAAAATTTTCAAAGTCCAGAATGACACTGTCGAAACCCATGTCAAAGTGGAGGTGGTCAAGTGACATGTACTCCCCACTCGTGAGCGGGATCTGTGCTCGCGCCTCCAGTGTAATAAAAAATGCCGCCAGTCCGAGGGATGACTTCCCAGTCCCTGCGAAGGTCATTTCCTGCTCACCAGTCCCTTCAGCGTATTTCATCAACAAATCCACCAAGTAGTTCATGCTGTCCAGCGAGATCGAGGGTAATCCCAATGTCATGTCAATCGTTGCGGTTTTTGACACCGTGTCGTATCCCACGACCAAGTCGTCACTCATCCCGGAAAGTCCGACTATTTGTGGTGTACTGAAATCACAAAAAGCTTTTATCAGGTATTGATTGAGACGATGCAAAATGTGTCGTGGCGTCTCACCATGTCGCTATCAAACCCTCGAGGGCGAAACCTTCTCCGGATAAGTTGAGTGGGAGTTCGAGTGTGGGGATGTTGATGGGGTCTGGGAGTGGGGGCAGCGGGATCGGCAGGGTGAAGGCGATTCTGCCCTCCTGCTCATCACTCCGCAGATTTTCAAGTCTGAAATTTCCTGTCTTCAGGCGGTGGAGAACCAACCATGAAACCGCTCTGGCCGTGAGTGCACTTCCCACTGAAAGGTGCAGCGAAAAGAAAAAATCTTATAGTAATGAAGATGGTGACCGCGTTTCCTATTTAATTATTTTTTTGGCGAGCAAAGAAAATAAATTATGATTTAGGTCGCATTACATTGTACGATTTCCTCCGGAACGTGAACCTGGTCAGCTTCGACTGCTGTGCGCCCACTCACGCAACAAATGAAGCCCACCAAAATGACCACTTTCAACGAATAGTTGCTCATCGTAAAGAAATCGCAGTTTCTCTGGACAATCTTGCACTAAACTATTCGGAAAAGAAAAAAATCCGGACTGGGGGAGATCTGCGTATCTGCTGCGACCCAGAGAGACAAAAAATGTATTCGATTGAACATTGTCCACGAATATATTCACATATGTATCCTTCATTTAATTCTCGCAGTGGTGATCTTGATTGACATGATAAGGTAAGTGGTCTGATTATTGATTCGTCCCATTCGAATGATGCATATTAATAAGGTGACAAAATTCCCCATCTATGTACAATCGAACAGCCAGATTAACTTGCCCAACGAGTAACCATATGCCATCCCATTATGGTACGAATTTGTTATAGCGTGACCTTTGTCCAATGTAAATACGACTCGATTAATGTCAGATACACGAGTATTAATCATTAATAAATATTTATTATCGAAATTGCACAAACGTGTCAACATATTTAATCCTCCGTCACAGAATTAGAATTTAAGCAATCCGTTTTATTTGTCACAGGTGCATATTGATTTTTGTGAACAATTTGACAGACGCTGAGAGAAAGGAAAGATTATGAACAGTCATAAAACAAGAATTATCTCATGATCAGTAAATGATCAATCAAATTCAATAAAATTTTGAAATGAGTAAAAACTAATCCCATTTGTCAGAAAAAAATATTCATTTTACAAACGTATGAAGTAACTCTGGTTGTGTAACGTCAACAAATCACCAAACTGTGCATTTAGCTGACTCTGGTGGATTCATGCCATCGTCGGAGACTGGACACGCATAAGCCTCCGCAAAGTCAAAATTGTTTCTAACTGGCCCGATGACGCGGTAACGGGCAGGGCTGTGAGGGTCCGTCAAGATTTGGTTGATGAGACCCTCGTCGGTTATCGATTCACACCAGATCTAGACGAAAAAGAAGACATTTTTTACTTGCATAATCATTCGCAATGAGTGTATCGCCCATTGCATACATTTGCATATCCTAGGAAAAAGAGCTGGTTAGGGGTGAGAAATTCGAGTCCTGGAAGCCTTCCCTCCTCTCGTCCCAAGTCGTCGACGTAGTGTCGATACGCTTTGTACGCCTCTCGCAATCCTAACCAGAATTAATATTTTGTAAGCAATTAATGAAATTAATGTTGGTGTGGAAGCAAAAGTTTGACTCGACTGACCGGAAGTGTCAGCAATATTCTCGCCCTGTGTCAACTCTCCGTTCACGTACATGTCGACGGATGGGAGGTAAAAGGCGGAATACTGGTCCACGACGCACTGCGTCTTCAAGTCGTACTTCTCCTTCGTGATGTCATCCCACCAGTTCTCCGCGTTGCCGTCTTTATCAAATTGGGAGCCCTGGTTGTCAAACCCGTGCGTGATCTCATGTCCAATCACGACTCCAATCCCTCCATAATTTTGCGAGGCTGGTCGCGTCTTCCCAAAAAATGGGGGCTGCAAAATGCCGGCCGGGAAAGCTGCACGAGGGAGGAAACTGAATTAATAATCCGAATCGGCCGAGTGATAATTCACTTACTGATCGAGTTGTGTTGCGGTGAGTAGAAGGCGTTCACTGTCGTCGGCGAGAATCATTTTTAAAAAGGACTATTACTTATTATTAATTATTAAAAACTTTACCGACTCCAGGGTATGTTAACCACCTGTTTATGCATATGGAACAAGTATGTACTTATCATTCTAATCATAAATATAGGTGGGGCCTTTATATTATAAGTTATATACTTACTCGTCTTGTGTCGTCGGTACTCTGAGATTTGCCAACGTTTTGTCTCCTGAATAGGCAGCAAGGGTCAGGACTGTCTGAAAATGTGGTCCAGTCGGAGAAATTGCCAACTGCAAATTTTCCAGCCCTCCAAATTACAATGCTTAACCATTTGCATTGACGTATGTAGGCAAACAAGAAAAGGAATAAAAACCTACGCCTGCATAGTACAGCTCGATCGCCGTCCTGTTCGAGATCCATTCAGGAAACGCCATAAAACTGGAAATAAAATTTTGAAAATATAACTGTAAATATAATTATAATGAATTATAAATATATATATAATGACAATAATCCATAATATTTAGCACACCAATAATAAATGTACAGACCTAGTCCTAGTAGATATGTAGATCTATGTACATACTCGTAGGTGCTCATCGTCATTAAAACATAGTAAACTAGGCACTGTAACAACTACTTAGCTTAGCTTAGACACCTTACAATTGAAAATAGGAGGAGAGGAGTAACAGAAAGATAGCAACGTGTCGCCATAAAAGTGCTCAAAGAATAAAGTTTTCTAAGTAACTGCTTAAACTAGTAACCCGATTCTAGTTTGTTTTTCTTCATGTCTTGTGTTCACCATTTTGCATTAATTTTATACATTGCACAGCACTAAAGGTCAAGCTTAAGATGTAGCAAGTATAGCTCGTCGACTTTTTGTATTTAAAAACAACATGATCATTTTAATGTCCAGACATAAAAAACATAAGAACCTTCGAATGGCGTCTGCTTTTGCAATCGCCTCGACTTTCGTGACCGGCTCAATCCAGTCCGCCTCGTTCACCATTTCCTTGAAGGACACGCGAAGATTTTCCACCAACTCGTCCACCTTTTCATACGAAATTAAATTCAGACGGATTTCGAGAAGTAATAATTTGTGTGCTTTCGACGTACCAAACCTTTGGCTTCGATGTCAAACGCAGCCTCGATGTACTTCACTCCGATGGCCATCCCCAGGTTATTGTTGGAAGCCCCGGCGCAGGCTGCTTCTCTGGATTGCTGCTCTTGCGCCCCGGTCAAAGCTTGGGTGAATTTGAAGGTGATATTTCTCATGGCCTGCGTCGTCTCTCCAATCACGCTCGACGCTACCCTCCAACCCACATAGTCGGCAAGAACCTTGGAGTCGGCGTCGCGAAAAATGGGCAGCGCGGCCAGAAGATACGGCTCTCCAGCAACGTTCAGTTGCTCCGTTGGCGTGATGGTGACCCCGCTCGTCAGAAAAACTTGGTTCAATAATTTGAGCCAGTCCACCTTTTTAGATATTTATTAATTTTAGTGTAACTGAAAATTTATATACTCCAGGTCCACAATAAATTAAGAGTTGAACCATGTATTACCGAGAATCCTGGAAGCGCTCCGTCCGTCAAAGCTTGGAATTCGTTGAGGAGATACGGGTGATAAATCGCTTCCGTGTCGTAACGATCCTCGTCGGATACGGTCACGTTGGCCAGCAGGATTTCCAGGTCGATAATTGCTTGGGAAGCAGCCTCGAGCGTGGCCACCGGCTCAGTTGACCCCAGTTCCTGAGCAACTTCAACCATGTATGTTTTGTAGGCTGTGATCAATGCGGGATAACTGGGGGCATTGATTAGCACACCGCGTGGAAGGCCAAAAGATGGTTGGTCAAGCTGAGAGAAATTTACATAAATGAGGCGATAGGACAGCTGCATACAAATAATTTGAGTGTGAATATTGGGTCCCTACAAAGACCACGTTTCGACTCGTATTCTTCAAGTCTCGCTCAATGTAAATGGAGATGACGGCGTCATCCAAAAGCCGTCTTCTCAGTTCGCCAATGGATCGGAGCCAGTCAAAAGTGGCGTTATTCCAAGATGAGGGATCCAACATGGGCCAACCCCCGAATTCGGTGAGGAGCGTTGTCACAGGGGCAAGTCCCACAGATTCAAGTGCCTCTACACATTCATTATGTGCATGAGCTTATTTATCTGTACTCCAACTCTGTATTATTCACGAACGACAAAAGATTTGTTTTCATACCAAGATCTTTACACCCGCCGTAGAAATATTTCACTTGATTGACGGGCACGGGATCATTTATATTTATGGGGGCGTTCAAAATTGCTGTAAAAAGCGACAAGTTATTAATCATAACGACAACCTTCATTGGCTAAATTAATGTTTCTCTTTTCGGGAACAAACTTTGCGTGATTCGGTTCACTTCATCGCGAAGTGTGTAGAATCTGTTCCACCGAGATGCACTGGGAGGGACCGGGTTAGACGCCACCCATCGACCGCTGGGTGAAAATTCCATGAAAATACATATAAATGAAATAAATGAAAATAAACAAATAAATGAAACGAATATATTTTATACCATGAAAATTCGAAGAAGTCAACACACGGATCGATTGTCAGGTTTACGGCGTGCAGCAAATCAAAAGCTAAGATTATTATTGTGAGAATTGTTACAATGTAGCAACGTTATAAATATTAACTCAAACTCCAAAATACAATTGTACCCGCATCCAAGCACCCATCGTCCAAACAGATTTCAGGCTCCTGCAACGCTCCTTCCTTCCTCGCCCTCTGCACCCATGGCGAAACTTGGGCAGAGTCCGACAAGGCCCGAATCTCTTTCAGTTTGGCGTCCATAATTCCACCCTCGCAAGTGCTGGCGAAAAGCGTCAACACGACAAGTCCTAAAATCTGGACCTTGAAGAAGCTGAATCGATTTTGGGTGGAAATTGGTCTCCCAACTCCCGTGGGGGGTTGCTCCTCCACTTCATTGTTGTTCCTATACATTTATTTCCATGAATTGAATATTTGCATAACAATGTTAATAAGCCTTGGGTAATTAATTCTTGAATCTAAATACTCGTCAATGATGGGATCAGGTTGAAACGCGACGCCCTGCTTCATTCTGGTTGGTTTCGCTCCTGACAAATATGGCCAAAATTGGAGGAACCTCTTGGATCGTGGTGTCAATTTTCTGGAATGAACTGACTCGTGATTCTGATCGGGACGGTTGAATAGCTTGATATCATCGCCATTATCATTTTCATTTTGGGTCACAATTCCCACTTTTAATCGATTTGATTTAAAACTAATAAATGGATCTTTCCGATTATGATGAACACGGGCCATCGATAAGATTTGTCACAATTTTGCAGTCTTATCAGCCGAATCCAATTATTGTTGCTCCAGTTTAAAGTGTATTTTTCTAAATTAGTTCGATTACCCTCGATATTGGAATGCTTATCATTTGCAAAAAGAATAAGTTGAGAGATAAGCTTTACACAAACGAGGGTCCCACTTGGCATTAATCTGCTGCTTCTCTTATTTGTATTATTAATACATACACACATTTCGGATGCATTTGAATTCTTTTAGTTTTACATTTGTGGGTTTTGCATAATCTTATCAGTATCGGACCCAGTTTACAATAATATTTAGTTATACAATGCAAAACTGCATACTGTCAGATCCAGCAGAGGAGAAATATCCATGCGAAATTGGTTTGGTAGTCGGATTTGAAAATCTTAGGATTTGGGACTGCTTGTTCGTTTTCATGCTGTCGTAATAATAACGTGTCTCTGAAAATGGGCAAATATCTCATGGTTTCGTAAAGCTTTGTGGGATCGACGAATCCCCAGAATTCTATTCATTTCCATTTTTATTCGCACAATTATGTACACATATTTATCCCACGGAATTTGAAGAAATCTTTTTCATCATGATTTTAGAATTGTGTAACGATACAAAGGAAGAAAGAGAGCCAGGACGATGAAATGAGGATCATCTCCCATCCATCCACTGCATTATGCTATCCATGCACCTGAATGCACGTACACGGGTGTGATTGGGGAGTCGGCTAAAAATCGTAGAATGCCCGTAACAGATTGGAGCAAAGAAAGAACTGACAATAAAAAATGATTGGCAGCCGTCGCGAGAATAACTTTTTTTGCCGTACTTTGTTTTGTCATTGTCTTCACGAAATCTCACGTTTGTAATAAATCAGACTGTTTGATTTACTTTATTTGTGCTCCGTTTGCCTAACTATGTGTGAAAATTGTCTGCGTTTCTAGCTTCTTCAGGGATCACGGACATCAACGCCACCACCACCACCACCAACAAAGATGTCATTCCATTCCGTCATTCAGGGGAGACAATGAATGTCACATGATAATGTTGGGCAAGTCCTGTTGCTCGTTATTCATTGTGTGATCTATATAGTGATACACTTTTGGCATTTTATTTATATAGATCAACCACCATCTCCAACAATTGGCAACTACATATACAAGCATTTAGTTCTAATGGAATCGTGGCATGGCCAAAGGCGCAATGCGCCTGATCTGCTCCTAATGTTCTCTTCCCAAGAAAAGCATCAACAATAAAAGCCTGAATTTAAATCATTTTGAATTTGCATGCATCCCTCTCGGCAACGCGGTCCCATCTTCTGCCCATCCGCTGTTCCTGGGTGTTCAATTATCAAAAGTTGTCCTCTTCACATCGGAAAGTGTTTGTCCCATCTGCACTCCCCTGACTTTTCCTGATCTTAAAATCTCAATTATTGACTCGAAACATCAATTTCCTACGTGGCTGCGTCATCGAATAATCGTGAAATTATGCGGCTTTAGATTTTAGACTGCAGATTACCCATCAGCAAATTAAATATTGTTTCATTTTCCGACTCTCTTCGGGGTGGTTGACTATCTCATTCTCATTCAGTCATCCGTCGGCTGGTCGGTCGGTGTGGATGAGTCGAGGCATGTCTTGAATAACAATTGGACCATTGAAACTGCCCACAACAACATCCATCCATCGCATGCGGAGGACATTGTGTAGGGAAGCCTCGCATCTCTCTGAGAAAATCCTCAGTCGAGATGATGGAAGATTATCGATAGATATTCATTCCAAGCTATTTGGGGTGGTGCTTGTATTGCTGGCCAACATCGATCAGGATGATGAGCAATCATATTTAGGTATCCGCATACGCAAGACAACAATAGTCGTGCATGGTTTGGCATGCAAATGATAATCAATTGCACAACACCCGAATGCATTCCATTTAAAAACATTGCCCTTGTTGTAAGAATTCCTCGTTGTCGAAAATGGGGATTTCGCATGAAAAAGCTGCAACTATTTTGACAGGGAATGACATACTTCACTCGCTCACTCACTCATTCATTCATTCACACATACAATATGTATTATTGAGAGGAGGGAATACTGGGAAAGGACCCTTTTTGCACTGCTCCGGCATTAATGGAGACCGTTTGTGTGACCACTGCTTTCCTGATGAATGTAGAATTCAGGTTGCGGATTAGTAGAGACAGCCGACTAATTGAGCTCAGATGAGTTTAGAGCCTCGAGTAATTTGATATTGGTTTGGTTGGGATTTGGCACAACGAGAAATTCTTGCATGGGAGATGAATTGCCGCAGCAGAAGCAAACCAACAACCACTTGTTGAGCCAAGAAGACCTCCTCATCATCATCATCATGAAGAAAAAGAGTTTGTCGACTCTCGGTTTTTGGTTTGCATACGGCGAATACTAAGAGTTTGCGAGAGGAGGAGTAAGTATCAGCGCCACAATAATAATAGCAGCATTCACTCCTCTACACACTACCAGATCCGTATAATGCGAGAAGTGGTAGTTCATTCTTAATTTCCAACCACAGCCAAAATCAGAGTGCAAACTACAATAAACTACAACACAATGTACAACTCTCGGCGACCAGCAACTGCCCAGGGCACTCCTGCTGCAGACGTTCAATGAATCCAATCCAATTGCTTCGCACAATGTACGTTTAAACCAAGATCACCACCACCACCACGCTCAGGATGATTACGATGATGATGATGTGAATGGTCCGCAAGTAGAAAAAAAATCCATCCATTCTCTCTCCGCGTCTCATGTTCTTCTTCGTCTTTGTAGCTCGGAAGACTACGGGGTGCGGTTACATGATTAAAAAATTGTTTGAGGGGACCAGGATCTAGTAGGACCACTCGAGTGTCTAGGAATCGGTGCAATATTGCACCTTCTTAAAAAATTATGGGATCTGTCATCATCATGATGCCACAAATATTGTTATTATGACTGATCAGTCAGTGCAAATAAGTATGCATCTTGGTGTCGTCTGACACAGGTGCTGCATGAATGGGGTTGGAACACCTCGCATTGTTGGCATAATTGTGCTGTGGTATTGGAGCTGGCCTAATGTGCAATTGTGCAGCGAGCAGTTGCGGAGGAGAATATTGAATAGGCCAAGTAGGAGAGAGGAAGATGAAGAAAAAGTGGTTGAGGGATGTCTTCCAATCTCGACTCTTCGAAGTCGTCGGGGGAAGAAGAATCTGAATCTCACTCTCTCTCTCAACTCGCATGCTGTTTGCATGTACACTACTTTCAGTCTGTCGATACCTGTTTCAAAAAGGGCCATGCAAACACGCACATCTTTCTCGTCCCAAGAGGTGAAAGGCGTCCACGGCTTCGGGCGTGCGTCAATCACAGGATGCATGCACCTCACCCAATGCACCTGTCTTTAAAAGAAAACGAGCGATTAAGTGAGTGAGATGAGAGTAAGTCGAGGGTGGTGGAGGTATCAGCAGCATAGTTATAGTTTCTTCGTTAGTTACCACCTCTGCATCCCAAAGTATTCAATTCTTCTTCTTACTACCTGCGGAATCCATGCAAAACAGGCTCACACACCTGCACTCATCCTCCAACAAACGCCTGGGACACCAAAACTTGACTTTTGCACCGCCGTCCACGCATTTGGTGGAGCGTTGGACGCCTCTTGTACGGGCGCCTCGTTTTCCTCGGCGTCAACGGTGGGGGCCCCACAGACGAAGGCGAAGCTATTAAAGAGAGCTATCCTATCTCCTGCTTCTTGCTTCTTCAGCCTCTCTCTCTCTGATGGCGATGAGAAGGACTTGACGTGGAGGGCGACGACGACGGTGGTGCATTCCACACTACAACTCTTGCCAGCATAGCAAGACTACGAAGAGGCAACATTATTATTATTATTATTTTACTGGTCTCTGCCTCTGCTGTCCTGTCTTCTTCTTCTTCTTGAGAGGCAGAACTTGTAACATCTCTCTACTTAATTACTTGGTGTCCGAGGAGCTCCATGCAAAATTCCGGTTGTACAAGTGCGAGCGAAGGAGAATAGAAGGAGGAGAGGAGCCATTTTGGTCAGTGGCCAGGAGAGTGGATTCTTGCAGATCCGTGGAGTGGATGATGGACGGACGGATGGACGACGACCGCACCCGGGCACTGCTCACCAGCTTCTTCTTCTTCTTCACATCATGACGACGCGTAGTGGTTAAGGGACGTCGGACGACACTCTTTCGACACCAGAAGATCCTCACCACCTCCTCCTCTGAGAGACGACAAAGGAGGCCGCTCAGCCCGTGGCGTGGAGAAAGCGAGTGGAAAGTAGTGGAAAGTAGTGGAGTGAGTGAGTGAGTGAAAGTGAGTGAGTGACGACGGAGACAAAGAGAGCACAACTTCAACGGAGCAGGAGGAGCATTGAGCGGAGAGAAAGAGAAATCCGGAGAGCATAGAGCGTATCCCGGAACTTTAAATCCTCCTTCTTCTCCTTCTCTTATCACCACCAACAAACAAACTTGACTTACTTTCTCCATCATCATATTAAAACCTGCAGCATAATTAATTAATAAGTAAATTAGTGTGCAACATCCCCCCATCACGGCCATCAGTACAATTCCGATCGTATTACTCAAACTGTGAAACTACACGGTGTACTCACTCTGTGACTGTTAGTGGCCTTTTGTAGAAGCTTATAACTTCAATACAATAACTAAAACGGCGACGATCGAGATCGATGGGACGATTCAGCGATTGGTCATCAATAGTCATCATGATGATAACATGATGTCAGCAGAATTATGATGACATGTGTAAAGTTTGATTGACCGTTTGTGGCTTGTTCTTGTTTTGTTCGCTGTGAACGATCGACAATCTTGTTTTGACAAAATACAAGGGTACCTCTCAATATTTAGCTTTGTAAGTCCTCATGCACGAGCGGGGAGGGAGGATAATGGCGGATAAACGGCGATATTACCACGATAAGGAGGGCGCCAACTCCACAGCGTCAGACACAAGTCGTCACTCGGCGCAGAGGGATGACGAGCCACCAAACTCGAGACTTTTTCTTCTTTGTGGCAGAAACGTGACGGAAGAGGAGTTGAGAGAATCTTTCGAACAGTTTGGAGAAATTAAGGAACTATGGATAGTTAAAGAGAAGGATTCAGGCCAGTCACGAGGTAATCTGCATATATTTATTCTGCATATAGGTTGTATATATATAATTATGCATTTATGCATAATTTTGGGTCAGGTTAGGCACTCAAAGACATTTTTTGTTGTCGTCAAAAACAATCACGTCGTCGTCGTCACACATGAAAGCATGTCGATGATGATGAGATGACTTTTTCCCATCCGTGAAAAATGGGAGGTTTCTCTTTCAATCATCCGTAAAGGATAAAGTTGAATGTCGTGATGATGAAGATGAAGGAGAAACGGTGAACGGGGGGGTGAATTATTCTCCTTGTTCGTATTCTAGACTTCTGAAATTAGAAAGGCATCCGTATTATTCTTCTTTCTATTGCATTCCTGGGTCTCGTTTTGTTTGTTGCACAATATTTTGAATAGGAAACGGAAGGAACTTTACAAACTTGTACTTTCAGTCTGCGTGATGCATGCGGTGAGCGTGAGTTTGCTAGCATGCAATGATCATACAAGTTGTGGAAGTTCTCACTCTCTTGTTCCCACGACCATAATCATAATGCATAATACATACAATTGTATAAATGTTACTTTATTATGCAACACAAGAATAATAATAGTATCCCAATGTATGACAAAATCTAAATAAACAAGCAATAACAATCATACGATTTGGAAATTCTGTATTTTCAGGCATCGCGTACATAAAATACTCCAAAACGTCTGAAGCAGCCGTGGCGATGGAAGAAATGAACGGAAAATTTATTGGAAACAATGCCAAAGCTTTGAAAGTAATGATCGCCAGTGGGAGGGAGCAGGGGAGTAAACGAGAAACGAATGAGACGGTATTTATATACTCCACTAATTCCACTTTAAAGCAACACAAACTTTTAAATCATAATTAAATTAATCTAATATTAATTTTTTTAAGGAACGACTCCTTCGACTATTCATTATTGTGTCCAGACAGAGCTCAGAGACCGAAATCCGGGACCATTTCTCCCAGTTCGGCGACATTGAACACTGCAACATTGTCAAGGACAGGAACACGAAAGAGAGCAAAGGCTTTGGTTATGTTAAGTACTTCAGGTTAGAATTTTCCGCTCAAGAACCTATGGACTTAAGTTAGATGTGGTGATGTCAAGTTTAGTTTTGTAATTTCCAATTTTGTTGTAATTTTTTCAGGATATCTCATGCCGCAAAGGGTAAGTACTTTCAATTCGTCTACTTCGTGCCCTCATAAAAATAAAATGTCACCAAATTCAGAAGTTTCTTTCATACTTTTCTAGCGTACGAAGGTTGTGATCGAACATATAAGCCAAAGTTTGCAGATCCTCGGCCCAGGTACGTGTTTATATCATCATTTATATATAAAAATACTTTAAACATATAAAGTATATATGAATCATATTTTAAAAATATTTTAAAAATTAAAATACTTTGAACGTGTTAGAACGGGAGATGTGACACAATCTAACATGCTTTTAATTTTTAATTTCCAGCAAGCAGGAAGACCGGTATAGTAGTGCTCATGGATCTACCACAGGCACGTGTAAGTGTTTCACATACAAAAATAATGTTCGCTTTCATCAATTGATTTATTTCCATGATTTTAGATTATGTTGTTGAGCGAGTTAGTAAGAATTATTATTTATGGCGAATTTGGCGAGGGCGATGTGATGCGGGTGAACCATGTTTCATTCAGCATGATGGTTGCATATATATTTTTTCAAACAAACAGTTATTTTTTATACGATTTTTATTTTGGCGAGTTCTTGCCTTCGACCAAGAAATGATGAGCAGGGGAGATAAGGGGCGAGAGGGGGCTCGAAAAATATGGCGGAGGCGTGCATTAAGCTTACTTCATCTTCACGTTGGCATTAAATTGAGCTCTTCCTTCCTTCCTTCCTTCTCCTTCATGTATTATCGTAGCAGTATTATTATTACAGTAGCAGTCTCTCTCGTGGTAGTTTTTATTATTGTCTCCTTTGACTGACCACTGCTACCTCAACCGTGAATTCATTAATTCTACCGTGTCTGCCAACAATATTCTATTAATTTCACAGTGAATTATATCCGCTGTGGTTTGGAGTTATTCAAAAAACCACTGTTGTAGCCAAACACGTATGTTTTTTGTTACCAGAATAATGTGTGTGTAATGTTGACTAATTTCTGCAAATTGAATTGTAAATCTGCAGACTGTCCAGATAAAGTTAATATAAATACACGATTACTTATAAAAGAAGAGTTTAGCTTAATAATGCATGTGAACATTTAATTTGTGAATGGCGAGTTGCCAGAAAAATTGTTGCTTCCTAATCAGTAAAAGGTTTCATATCATCAGACAGAGTAGCAACATGCCAAAATTATTTAAATTATTGCAGACGATATGGCCGAATACCCCATGGAACACCATTTCCAACAGCCCATGATGAACCACGTTCATCACAACCAGCATCAACACCCCCACACAATCACTCACATGGAATCCCCGTCTAGACTCACAATCATTGCACACCGTAGCTTAAATCAGGACCAACTCTGGAGACTGTGCGACTTTTTCCCCGGTTTGGACTACTGCAATGTGCGTCATGACCAAAAACAGTGTTACGCAACCGTGGTGTATAACTCTGCCCAAGCGGCTGCTCATGCCAAAGAAAAACTCCACGGGTTTGAATATCCCCCTGGACATCGACTTATTGTTCGGTTTGACGCCTCAGATTCTTCCAGTCGGTCAGGTATTAACTAACCCATCAATGGTTTTTTGTCTTTGGAGACAAATATGTGTCTACATTTACTAAATATGTACATATGTACCTAATATAGGTTCTGGGCTACTGGGCACACCACAATCGGGTGCTGTTAGATATATAACTGGGAGCGGTATGAACGGATCTGGAGGACATTCGGGTGCACCATCCGCTTTGGGACCCCCTTTGGTCGCGAGAGGAGGAGCCAATATGACTCCAGATCTGGCTGTTTTGGCAGAAACTATAGCTCAAGGTGCATTGTCAATCGTATTTATAAAGATATTTATACTTAAACAAACATACGCAATGTTTAATTATTCTCTGCAGCCACGTCCATGTTTAATCAAGCTGCAGGCTTGACTGGTGCTCCAATTTCTCACTCCCACAGTCAATCAGGAGAGTCCTATGATCCATCCTACTGTTCAGTAAAGCTGCCATCGCCACAGCCCTTGGCCCCCATTGATTCCCCCGTCCTCGAACGGTAATCTTCTATATAAATATAATTAATCAGACAGGATCTGTATATTTACAAGACATAATAATAGGAATAACAATAATAGTCAAATGACTATTGTCAGAGTACATGTCCAGAGTGCGGGAATCTCTATTATTATGTTGCTAATTATTCTGTTTATTGTTTTTTCAGATTATTCGTAGTTTGTCAACCAAGGCCACCTCCTCTGTACGCCCTTAAAGACGTCTTTGGGAGGTTTGGCAATCTTATCGATATTTTCATGCTGTCGGGTAAAAACCACGGGTACGCCAAATACGCCACGAAGGGATCTGCAGATGAGGCTAGAATGGTTAGTAAGAGAATGAAATCTAGTATTTTGATCCTTTTATTATGTACTTATATAGTTACAACAAGATTTTATATTGTGGTTTTGCGTAGGTATTGCATGGGCAAGAAGTGCTTGGAATGAGACTCAAAGTTCTTCCAGCCGAACCCCAAGAACCGAAAGGAAGTTTGTCGACGAGTCCGAGTGGAGGACCAGTAGATCCAAAATGTAAGCGCCCCAAAATGGAATTGTTAGAAGATCCTCCTGGAGTCCATTAATTTTTCAAGTTATAATTCAGGTAAAGAAATTCTATTGACAAATGGTTTAATTGTCATTATTGTGTGTGTTCAGGATATTAGAAGTTGTAGTGCCGAAAAAAATGAGAGATTATACGTGGAACTCATCCGTCCAACTCATGATCTGACTTCACACAAGCTACCGGTGCAGTAGGAGTAGGAAACACATTCCGGCCTCATTTTTACATTAATAATCTAATCTATATTCAACCCGATGGACCAAGATAGTCTATTTAAGAGATAATCTATCAAAGAAAGAAAACAATAGTATGACGACAAGAAATATAAAGCCTTGGGGGCAGGATTCCTCCGAAAGGAAGCCAGAGTCAAAATAATGTGCCTTTGTTCACGTATTATTATATCCAGCAGCAGCAGAAATGACGAAATATGGCAGATTTGCCTGTCCAGTATTTCAGTTTAATGTGTTCCGTCAATAACAATACAAATTATCACATTAGCAGAGTAATAATGGTAGTAGTAGGTACATAAAAAATAATAACTTTATGAAAATTAGTGGCTTAATTATCTATGAAACAATGAGATTTTTAAGCAATGAAGGTTCGTCGTTCGTCCGCGTATACCGAAAACTAGAGTATTTTCCTAGTTTAATACTACCTCACACACATACAAAAGAAAATGGCAACAGCTACTTTTAGACCGCGGTACCTTGTTTTTTTAGAGTCGTCATTGCTATAATAATAAGGAGAGCAAGTAATAACCAGGTGCATCTGAGATTCGTTAGTCCTTCGAGTCAAAAGAGGAAGATGATAAATGGTAATGAGTCGATATTTTCGTTTGCTTATATACTACCAAATTGGTGCTGTTAACATACGAAGCTCTCGAGCAAACATGCCAAAAGCCAGTAATAGTGTTTTCATATTTTAATAATCATATTTTATTATATTTTATTATATTGTTTTATATATTTTGTGGTGACGAATCGTCACTGACGATGATGATGAAAGAGTGTGTGGTGGTGCACATATATTTACACCCACTTACTACTATTTCCAAACGGTGTCAATGCAATTTGGTAAATCAACCTCTATTTGTTTTTCTTTTAGATTGAATTGAATTTGGAGACATTGTCACTGTTGACACTTGAACGATTGATTGGCTAGTCTCCTACTCTCCCCTTCCAAACAAATCCTTCCTTCGCTGTCTCCCTATTCCTCCTCCCCCTCCCCCCCAAAAAAATAATAGGCCCCTTCACTGTGCATTTCCTTGTACCTCTCCTCCTCTCCTGAACAACTCGAACCTCAGTTTCCTCAAACTATGAACAACGAGAACAAAAGACGGGACTGGGGACTGCGATCGGACCTGGACCCAATATACTGCTACGCTACTCACTCACTTCCTGTTTGATACAAGATTACTAACTGTAAACGAGATTTGACGAGGACGACGTACAATTGAATTCACGAGACTTATCTCGTCTTCGTCCCTTATAAATCCTGAGCTGTGCTGTGGTGTAAAATCCCAGGTACAATTAATGAAAGCAGCAATGCATGTGCTGAGATGATACGAGTTATTATTTCAATAATATATACCTTCAATCCTACAGAATTTTTGCACTTTGCACAGACTAATAACTCTTATATTGAAATATATGATACTAGGGTACACAGTTGGTCATAAAGATATTAACGCTAAATATTACACAAGGAATCTGAATATATGTTGAGTATGAAGGGTATATAAATACAGGAAAAGAGAAGAGCTTTGAAATTGCCTGGTTGGAAGTGTTTCAAAAAAATTCATTTTCCATAAATACAAGAAACCTTCCACGTTCCAATTTACATATGATTACAATTCTTATGCCACCTTCGTTTCTTGCATCAATATCAGTTTATAAGCTCCACCAACTTGGCCATACAGTGGATAAGTGTGATTGATGATAGTAACAGAAATTTTCAGTTCAGTTGGAGCACGAATAGAGTTGACCTACTTTCTAATTCCTTCATGCATACATGCACACTCGGAATTAAATTAATCCAGAAGCACAAGGAAAGTTAGACCAAAAGAAAGTCGTCTAACCTTATTTTTTATCAATAAGGCGAGTTTTTTAGGTAACTGCTTACGGTTGCTATTATTAATTACAATTATCGTATCGTCTTTCTTACATTTTTTAAAAAGCAAGTTTATAACAAAATAGTCAAATTTTAAAAGTCCTTTCGAACATTACGTACATAAATAAATATGCGTAATGAATCTGCACTTTTTTAAGTACTTTTACACGGAAAATATAGACATGTAAGTTTCTGCCTATGCAGGCTAAAAAATAAGCTAATTATACATCTATTAAATATTGCTAGAAAAGGGGTATTTTATTTTGGAATGCATGCATCCATACTTTTATTCGTTAAAATACGACATTCAGTTTGATAATGACTCGGTTTTATTGATTGTGTCCAAGTTTTTTGTCTCTAATGACTCTGCTGGAGCTGACAATTTATGGACAGACACATGTAGATCACTTGAAGATTAAAATGTTTGACACAATACAATTTACAATCAACGTGTACATTTTGTAAAAAAAACATACAGATAATATATAAGTTTACGATGACTAGAGTTACATCGAAAAAATTTGGGATAATATGTAATACTGGGACTATAATTTATCAAAGTTTAGATCTACATATAGAGTATTCAGTGCTCTGTTTTTTATCCAGTGTTTAATTTTATGTTACAGTTATTTTATTGTTCCATTTTTCCAACACGTTGATTGACAGCACTTGAATAATAACACGGAAACAGAAACGATATAAAATATGCATGTTGTGCGTTTTTTAAGTACTCAACACAAGAACAAATACTGAATGAACCCATAATAGTAACAGTGAATGCCAGAGAAAGTCGAGGGAGAATGGTTGACAAAATGTGAACGGAATTTTACGATAGAGAATTTATTTGATTTACCTGAATAACTTAATTGAAACAAACATGAAAAATCGGACCCCTTTTTTAATCGATTGCTTGCTTTGTATGAAAATGAACATCACACAATAATTGGACAGACGTTATGATTATGAACAAATAAAAGTCTTTAAAAACCTTGTAGATTTCTATTTTCCCCGTATCGTACCACTAAATAAATGTTGCTCAATTATTAATTAATATCAAATAATACTTAAATCTGTAATATTCGATTTATGAGAATGTTTGAATTCAAGCAGTTTTTGGACTGTAATTACTCAAGTTTAATTACAATTGCATCCAAAAATATTAAATGAGTTGCCATTTTCCGTACTTGCAGAGAGAGAGTTAGTAAAAAAAAAAGTTGTACATATTTTACTCTTGGTTGGTTCTGCGATAAATTTCGAGTGAGATTCATGTGTTGGCAAAATCTAAGGATTCCAACAATGTTGAAGAGTACAATCTTACGTTTCTTGTTGTTCAATATTACAATGATTATGCATCCAATCGTATCTGTATCGTGGATTCGATTCGTCACACTTTGCCGTTTTACGCCGTATTATCACAGAAACCGGACAGTGCAATAGTTCTTCAAATAAGCTACTACTACTTTCTTATTGTTGTATGCATTTTGCCGCTGTATAAGTTGTTATCATCATGCTGTTGCTATTATTATTGTTATATAATTGCTATACTCCTATCTTTAGTAGAAATAGTGGTAGAAAAATAATGTTGTTATTCTTACAATGTACTTGGACCGGTTGAAAATATTTTTCACACAAGTTTAATAATGTTTTATGATGTGAATACTGGAAAATATATTTGATGTACTAAATAAAACCTTTAAATAATGCAAGAAACCATTGTAGGTTATAGAGTATCATCACGAAAAATATATGTGTGTAATTTAAGGAGAAATAAATGCCAGTGATACAGATCATTTTACTCTGTTGTTCTTTCTTTCTTTCTTATATTATTATTATGAAATTAGTCAGTCTTAAATACCAACATATTATTATTTCTGTTTCGGGCGACGACTTATGTCTTCCGAAATATACTTTTGAACAACGACTTGTGTTGATCAACTTATAAACTTGGCTTTATTACTTTAGAGTACATACATCGGGCATCAGTAATCATGCATAAGTACTAACTTGACATACGTACATGAAATAATGACCCTACTGACTCTCTGATTCAGACTCTAAAAAAATGACACCAATTACTCAAAAATTCTCAGACATTGTAAAATTTACAGACATACATATTTAGACATGAAATAATGATAACACGTTGTCGGGGTAATTCACTCAACCCACGACAATTTCACTGCCATGTAAGCTTTGTAATTTCATCAGGCTTTGTCCTGCTACGTTTTAAAACACCCGAAAACTGTAATTCTGCCACCGATTGGCGAAACCGTAACCTGCAAATTAAGATTTGAACGTTATTATTTAGTGGATAAAATATTTACTTTACGCAGCACTAGCAAAATTGTTGGTGCATAAACCCTAACAATATTATAATAATGTAATTAATTATTATAATAATTATTATAATTATAATAATATCCTCATTATTATGATAATAAGGGTATTCAATACATCAATCAACTCGAAAAACTTACAAACAAACGTTTGGATCAAGTTTCTTTTGTCTAATGGACTTTCTTCCTCTTGCCGACACCTCATCTGTTTCTAGAATTGACAGGAAGGCCTATGCCCATGTGAAATATATCATGAATTACAAACAGCACACAGACTCAATACACATGTAATTAAAGGTCAAAAACATGTACACTCACTTGGTAAAGAATGTTGAGATCAACTTTCTTGTTCGTTTGTTCCCTCAGCAGTTTAAAAACGATGGACGTGTCAGGCAACGATGGTATATTAGAATCAGTACTGACATCCTCGCAACACTTGCACTGCAATACATACATTCATTCAATTTAGCAAAACCTTGATATTGTTCGATTAGGCTTATTATTCATTACTTACATTCAGAATTTCGGAGGGTAACATCAAGGAATTAGTCACATATGAGAACGGATCCGGAGAGAAAAGCGATTTTAGAGTCAGAACGTCGTCAAAAATATATGCCTTAAAAACAGAATGGCAAACTAATTATAGCCACACTCGCTGCCTCAACGAGAGAGCACTGACAAAGTAGATTTAATTCAACACCTACCTTATGATACACTCCCTTTAATAAAGAAGGAAAGGGTTTGAGATACGTTTTCACTAGGTTTTCAATGAAACTGATAAAGGCATCACGCAGAGCATTGACTGGCTGCGAACAGGACTTGATCTTAATACGCTCCATTAATTGCTACATGATACCACATAAAAGTTATTACAGTACATAAAAGGACCATTTTCATACTATGTCAGTATACTTCCAACCACTTGCCTGCTTCAAATCATTTCGACCAATTCCTTTCTTGATCTTGAATTTGGTCTCTACAGGAGGGTTCGGATTTTCAGCTAATTGAATCTCTTGTTCATCCAGCCTTTCGAGATCGTCATTTAATTTCTCTACCGTATCGATAATTTCGCGTACTTTGGTATGGAGGAAGTACGCTTCACCCATGCTATGTATAAGTCCTTGGTACGGATCTAGGGGTTCGCACAATAATTACTGCAGCTTGATACCATACCATTTTACTTTATTATTATTTTAATCACAAAAACCACATACTTACCATGCTTACTTTCTTCTAACCCTAAATCCCAGGACAATTTACAAATTACTTTTTTCAAACCAGATTTGGGCAAATTTCTTATGTCAGTCAGGAATCGCTTGTACGGGGATTCAATCTCTTCTTCTGCAGTCTCAAAAAATAAACCAGTGGAGCAGGAAATGTACAAATCTTTGAACTTCAAACAGCAAACAAAAAACAATTCTAGAACGGATAATGATCTTTAGTAATACAACATATTTCTTTTAATGCTTACCAAGTCCTCCGGAGCCACTGCACGCAAAGAGGATTTTATGAAACAAATAATGCGGATCACAAAGTTCCAATGAGCAATATGCACCCAGCACTCATTTATTGTTTTCTAAAGATACACGTAACGAAGATGAAACATTTTGGAAAATGAACCATTATCTTAATTAGATATATTTACCGTCATTTTCTTTCCATTTGGAATACCACTTAGCTGAGAAACTTTTGCCAATGTATCGTCCTCCACAGCACTCGATTCAGGGTATGGAACTCTACACAAAACAGATTCTGGCTTGCGATAATGTTCCAAGAGACAAATCTGAAATTACGTTATGGGGAAGCGATGATTTTCCATTATAATTTAATATTATAAACCAACCATTACAAAGCTTATTTAAAAATAGTATTTAAAAAGTTTAGGTATTTACTCGATATGCCTGAAAAAGTCTCTGTATTGATGCATGTTGAGATTGATAATGGCGACACAAAAATTTGACCACTTCGCCATCAAGAGTGAAAGGACCCAAATCAGGATCCAGGATCTAAACAACAACAACGGGCAATTCGGATCATAAAGCATTATTAAAAATCATGGTATCTTACTTACATTATATAAAACTTGGTTCAGCCTTTGAGTTGTTGAAACAGTTTCGAAGGATGAATAAACGAACGCTGTATTACAATTTGAAGGAATAAACCTATCAAAATTCCCAATACAATGACTGACCCCAACAATGAACAGATAAGGTAGATCTACAGAGCTGAAATTTTCAAAATAATCTTCCAGTAAGCTAGTTTTTGCAAGAACAAAGATATAGGATAAAAGTAAGCAGCAGTACCTGAGAAGTTGCAATAGTTGAGGAAATACATTTTTCTTAAAATACTCTGCTTTCTCCACAAGAATGGCCACCATTTTTATGGAATCCGAATTGGTATGAATTTCATCCCGCAGAGCACGCGGTGTTGTAGAAGACGGAGAATTCAGTTCATTGCAAATAGTTTGAAACGCAATTTTAACATTGGGACATTTAAATGAGCTGATTCTGGCGCAGAGGGGAGTGTATTTTCTAACTTCCTCTTCAATTCTGCTAAAAGTTTTTTGATCTTCATCCATAGATAGACCTGCAGCAAAATTTGCAATAATAAACCTTCAGAGTATGCTTACTTAAATACACTCGTTGAGTTAAAAAGTAATGTCAATTTTGTCATAATAACAAGTAAATAACTCACCCGAAGGCACAAATGCTACCGGTGTAGTCCTTTCTTGCTTGATTAGTAATATCTCTTGTGCTCTGATCATAAACCGTTCAGTTTGGCTGACCGTTTTGTCGTTCCATTTTTTCTCCGCAGCCTTAAATTCAAATTGCCAACAACAGTGAGTTGATCCCTTACATCATAATGTGTTGGAAAATACATATATCCTCTATTTTATTTCATTCTAAAAATCTTACCTCCAACGTAAGTTTGACCGCATTCAAATGATGGTCATGAAGATTCTTTCTCTCCATTTCTGCTTTGCTCACATTATTGTCAACTTTCTCCACTGGGCTCGAAACAACTGCCATCGTCGTGGATTTGCCTCTCTTTCTTGTCACCCGATCCGCCGAAATTCTCTACAATCAATACAGTGTGGTACAAATTAAAGTCAAAAATTACTTTGTAAGCTATCGCGTATCGCGTCCCACAACGTGAATCATAACAGTCGAGCGAAGCTAGACGGCAACTTACCTGATGTTCCTCCATGTCGACGATTTTTAATATTTCTTATTTATTAAAAAACGATCTGTCTTTTGTTAGTATCTATTTATCCGATCACCGACTGGACTTACTCTTTGTCTCCTCTTGGCCTCTCTCCGACTTTTTTACCGGGTATCACTTTGTAACTATTTCAACGTACCCCAAGTACTTGTTGCTGTACACCTTGGCTTATTCAACGTGAAATCTATTTATGTGAATTATCTGCCCGTCTGTCCGTTGAGTCAATAATTTCCTGATTTTTTTCATGGAATAAATATGTTTAAGGCCAAAAGAAGGCTCACATTGCTGGCATATTCAATTGACTCTTGCTCAAGGGAGAGAAAATCATTTGAAATTTCAACGTAATTCACTTGGCTATGGCTTGCTTCTATCTATAAATCAGTAAATGAATAGTCTCGAGAGGGATTTGAACACATTTCTTATTGCTTAGTTTGAGAATCACTAATGTGCTGGGACCGTAGAATAGTGGGTGTATCATCGGGATAATAATACCCTAACCTAAATATATGCAATTCAAAATTTAGGAGTGTAATCGCATCACGATTTCGCCTCTTCGTTACATCCTGTTTCTCCCCGTTTATTTAGAGAAAAGCTGCTGGAGTAAACCCAACCCCAGTTTGGTTGGAGACCGACAGAGGATGTCGAAAAGTTGAGAGCCTAACGTCGAGGGATTCACCACCCAGCTTATCGACACACACAGCCTCCAAATTATGTATGCACATGGCTAAAAGTCTTATAATCTAAAAGTGACAATCTTCGACACTTGGAAAATACCTAGAAATACTTTCACCGCACTTATACCCATCTTATTAATGCTTGTAGTGTTTTTATTGGGACCAAAACAAATTCATGCAAGTTACGACATTTGTAGATTGCAACGAGGAATAACAAATTGACAAGTACTGGTTTACATTGAGTCGTGCTAGGCGCTAAGTAATTGATGCTGGGCGAGTTTTGTGGTTGGGGGGACGGAGCGAGGTGCGGATTTTGGGGCCGAGGGGCGCTGACGAGTTCTCGGACAGTGTGTTGATGTCGATCTGCTGAGAGCTCTCTTTTCTTTACTTACATCGCTCGTCCTGGGGCCTGGATGTGAGGTGAGAGTGAAAGCAGTCGTCGTCGTGTGGATGAGTGTCGAGTGTGTCAAGGGCCCCCCCACCGAAGCAGCACTATGGCCTGCTTGCAGTGGCTGAGGAAAATTACTCCACACGAAGAGAGGTAACCAAACAATCTGACTTCTTAATAAAAACACTTGACTCAATAATTTAACCCCAGTTTGTGTTCTTTAACTTTACAGCGACTGGAATAGTTTGTCTGTTTGATTGAATAAAAGTGTGTGCTAGGTTAGGTTAAATGTGCCCTTGGCGAAACGAAGAAACTAATAATTAGTATCACCTTCTGCGGATGAATGGGAAATGAATGAAGGCGACGAGAAAAATTATCAATCAACCACCTCTTCTTTTTTTAAAACAACATTTCAATCATATATCAATCATATAATATTATATGCAAGGAACGAACACTGGCCTATCCGTTTAAAATAACTGCTGATTGCTTCAAGAGTATAGGATAATTAATTGTGTCAAAAAAGCCAAGCGATGTCCTTAATTTGAGAGAAGAAATACAAGATTGAAGAAAACGAGAGAGGAGAACGGTCAGTTATCGTTGCCAGTTGTCGCTGTCATTGTGCTGTTTGTAACCACTGCTGGTCGGTCATTTAATTAATTTCAAATCAATTGCTACAAGGGGTGCTGTTTATGTGATTTGTTGGCGACAACGGCGATAGAAGAAGCGGCATAGAAGAATGTCTTGTATGAAAGACTTGAATGATAAAGCCTTGATTAAAATGGAGGGTGGGTATTATCTGTGACTTTTTCTTGTTCGATATATAGTGGTTTATTCACCAAGTGTAATTGAACAGAAATAAGGGTGAAGGGTGTACTTATCTGTGAGACTTTGTGATTTCTACAATCAAAAATCCTTGAAATGACGACCTACATTCAAGTAAGATTATATGACTTTTTTTTAATATTCCCAGTAAAACGTTTTGATACAATTTAATTCACCAACCAACGACAAAAATTCATTCAAATCTTTTTTCTTTGACAAGGTTGCAGAGGACGAGGGTGAAGAGCCCATAGAAGTTCCGACCGAAGAAGTAATTAACATTGCTTTAGCGTTGACAGAGTAGTTTACCGATTTATTTATTGTTATTTTGCTCCTTAAATAGGACGGATCACTTCTTCTCTCCACATTATCCGCCCAATTCCCAAGTACCTCCGGGCTCAAATTTCGCAATCCAGAATCTGGAGGAATTCGCGGCGTTCGTTTAGTAGATGGTCGTTTTCATCCTCCGGAGAACGGGTGGGGAAATCTTGTCTTATACTGCGTCTTTCCGAAAGGTACTATATTTAATACGTAATCATACGGATAGCCTGTGCTGCTACTCTTTGACCTCTGCACTCTGGTCTGGGTAGCGGTTAGGTTCACTCAACCAGATTATGAATGGTGTATAAATTTCTGTTCTTCTTTTTAGAAAATAAACGGAAATCAGACGACTACTTGGAAAACTCCACTGCCAAAGCGAAGCGCTTCGAGAATACTTCAAGTAAAAGCAAATGTTCGGATTTAATAGTGCTCGGTCTGCCATGGAAAACGACCGAACAGCAGTTACGAGAATATTTCGAGCCCTTTGGGGAAGTTCTGGTAAGTTTTGATAGTTATAGTTATAGTTTAACATATAGTTGTAGTTTAAGTTATAGTTATAGTTTAACATCTATGGTCAAAGTTTAGGTTTCCTTTGGACAATATCATTTTATTTCGAATCGCTATTGTCGTCGTCAGCCACCCCTCGTCTTTACAGGGGATAGAGAGATATTAATTGAAACGGTATTTTTTATAGATGGCACAAGTTAAGAAAGATCCCAAGTCTGGCCAGGTAAATAAATGCAATGCCAATTTAATTATAATTTATAATGTCGTTTAATTTAATGTATTTTTTAGTCCAAGGGTTTCGGCTTCATCCGGTTTGGGAACTATGAGTCTCAGTTGCGGGTGTTGTCTCAAAGGTTAGTTTTACTTTTGTAAATTCAGTCGAGCCACTAGCAACTCAACTGACGGATCATAATTCGATTGATTAACAATTTAAGGCACTTGATTGAGGGGCGGTGGTGTGATGTTAAAATTCCCAATTCCAAGGTAAGTTCAGCATTAGAGACTTAGAGATTTTTTGTATTTTTACTTGTACTGTACTGTGACTACAGTACAATACAAAAATTAGTACAAAATTCAAAAGACCTAGAGAATTTCCATTATATTGTACTCTGAAAAATTGTATTGTGAAACTCCGCGAAATAGATGCGTCAAAAATTGAGACAAATCAACTCATGATATACGAAATGAACCCCCTCCCACAAAGTGTGTATAAAATGTTCAAAACTACAAATTCGACATTTTTGACCTTTGACCTCGTTTGCAACAGTCACCAGGCTGATGTAAGCCGAAATGATAGTGATTTATGAACTCCCCACCTCAAACTAAACACGACTGCAACGGTCCAAATAAAAATTCAACATTTTTGACCTTTGACGTGGTCACGGGGTCTTCGTATGTTAAAACTGTATCGATTTCTGAAATTCTCGCCCAAGCCGAAGTCTAAAACATTCGACAATTAAATTTTGACCTTTGACCTCGTCCTCTCGGTCATGGGTTGGTCGGAGGTCAAAAGTATTGACGACAATGAATTCTCGGTGAAATTTCCTTTAAAATGACACCGCATATGAAAATTAAGGTAGAACTTTGCGTTTACTTCATGCCAAGGTGACCTTGACCTTGACCTCAGGGAGCCCATTTTCGAAATCGACCTAGGGTCAAAAATTAGTAGCGAAATAGCGAAAACGGCGTTAGATTATATTGAGGCGTTCAAGAGATATCCTACTTGCCAACGCTTGATTTTCCACAGTAGTACAAACTGAGCCCGTGTTTCAATTTGTCTACTGTAGACTGTAGAATTAGTACAAAAAGCTGATGACGTCATCATCTAGAGTCCACAGTACAGTCTACAGTCAGAGTACAAGGAATCTCTAAGTCTCTATTGTATCCATATGTCGTATATTTAATTATACTACCGATTATATTGAATTGATTTTTACTCATTTAAGGAGTCGCAACAGGCGCATGTTCCTGCAAAGGTGTTTGTAGGTAAACAAATTGTTAATTTATTATGATTATTCGTCCGAGTATATGTTCGATCGAATGCTACATAATATGTAAATAAATATATAAATAAGCTGGTATGTTCATGTCTTATTATTTTTACACGTTTGTAGGAAGATGCACAGAAGACATTTCTGCCGAGGACTTGCGAGAGTACTTTACAAAATTTGGCGAAGTGACAGGTAATCTGCGTATGGTATTTATTGGTGTGTTGTGTAATTACATGTTTTATTAAAACCTCCTTTTGATTTATGCAGATGTTTTTATTCCGAAGCCTTTCCGAGCGTTTGCATTTGTGACCTTTCTTGAAGCGGATGTTGCTCAGGTACTGAATGGCCTTCCTAATATATTTTACCCTAATTATCTTCAAACGCCTTAAATTCCTCGCCATCATTTAACAATTTCAGAGTTTGTGTGGGGAGGACCACATTGTTAAAGGGGTGTCCGTCCATGGTATGTAAAGTAGCCTATATTATTTAAGCGAATTTGGTCGGTGGACTATTCTAATGTCTAAATACTTTTTATGTATTACAGTTTCCAATGGTAAGAATCGAGTGGTCATAAAACATGAGTTGATAAGTATTAGCTAAGAGTAAGTTAATCAAAATTGAAGTCTACATATGCTTTTTTGCTTCTGTTCCCAAACAGCTGCCCCAAAATCTGACCCTTCTAGAAACCAAGGAGGTCAACATTACCCTAATCCATACAGAGGTTCGCTCCATGAATACCTTGGATATGTACATAACATATACATACTATTTAAGTGCTGATTAATACATTTGTATATAGGAATGCCACCCAGAGACGGGGGTAAAATGGGTGGTGGCTACGGGCATTACGGAGGAGGAGGTGGCGGTGGATGGAGCGGTGGGCGTGGTGGGATGGAAATGCCAAACCTTCAAACATTAGGACTGGGTGGAGGAGCTGGAGGGACTGGACAGGGTCAAGGGATGAACAATCCCATGGGGCTAGGTGCTCTTAACCTCGGTATGCATGGTCAGCTCCTCATTTTTTTTATTTTTTTTTTATTTTTCTATATTATTTTTCCTCTGGCCATTTGTAGCATTAGCTAGTTTAATTTGATAATTTGTTAACTTAGGAATGCCTGTAAATCCTGCAATTGTGGCAGCTGCTCTCAATCAGGCTGGATGGGGTCTTGTTGGGAACATTCAAGGAGGACAGCAAGGCAATGAAGGACCTCAGGTTTGACACATGGGGGACAAATTGTCTTTCAAATATGATTTGATCACTCACAACTTAATCGTATTGATTGCAGAGCTTTAATCATCCCTCTGCCGGTTTTGGACATGGCAATGCTGGACCAGCGCCTGGGGGTGGGACACAACAAGCAGGTCCAGACTCTGGATTTATGGCTTGGGCCGGAACAGACGGACCAGCTCCACAAGGTCATCAAGGTCCACCAAATCCCGGTCCACCTACACAACCACCTGCAGGATGGTCCAGAGACAAACAACCCTTCATGAAATATAACATGTAAAGAAGAACGAGTCCCACTCTTCCTCTTCTTCACACAAACAAAATCGTCTCCTTTGAATCAACACTGGACACTTCACACTTTCATATGTCGATAGATTTCTCCTTTCTTGGGGAGCGATCCATTTTAATAGGGTTATATTATGACGACAATGACGTACGTGAAAAGAGTAGATGTTACATACATACATATATATATATATATATTTAGTAGGTATACAAGTACAGACTCTTCGTTCTCATAATAATAATAGGACTACTGGGAGGGAGGGAGAGAGTAATTTATTGGTTCGAGTTTCCACAATCTCAGCAGATCATGTTAATCATGTATATTATTCATTTGAAGCCACGAGAAGGTTTCAATTCAATTACTACACGAGAGTGAGGATGTAATTACATAAATACATACAACGTATTCTATTGATGGTGCTATTTAATTATTCAATAGACTGGTGTTAGTAGCAGAGGCTCATTTTTAATGTTCACTGTCAGCAAACAATTATCTGTGCTAGAGATATTATGTATTATACTGATAAAAAATACCCGGCTGGTATCCTGCAAGAAAAGCTGAGTTGAAGAGTATTTCACTTTCCGAGCAGCTTAATAATGATTGTACAGCAGCACAGCATACGTAAATCATGACCATTTTCTTGCTGTCTTTGGTGGTCCAGTTTAACATAGAGATAAATATACGAGAAGTATTTAGTTAGACAGGGACGGTTCAGTGGTGGATCGGGATGGTCGAGGTAGGCTAAAATGTGAGGCTAAAACTTGAGGAGATGCAATGATGAGGATGATAATAATTTAATAAGAGGCGAATTTCTCTGATTTTGTCGTTAATGGTTGATGACGACGAGCACTTGACAATGTCCGAACCTGTCCAATATTTGAAGCAGGACTGAAAAATGTTGGACACCCTTGGTTCATTTATTTGAAACGTTTCTAGTTTTCCATTGATTGTCGACCATGCACCACCACCAGAGGAAAATACCATCTATAAACTTGTCAAAATTTCCACTAATCATAGGTGGTCAGTTTTTATTTGTCATATTGAATACATTATCTAAGCCTTACGCCCACAATACAATACGTTACTTATAAATAGAAACTTTCGTCGTTTTCCAAATTCCAAGCTCTAGTTCAACCAGCCGAAAACGAGACAGTGAATCAAAACCTTATCGCCGGTAGTTAGTTTGTAGCAGATTTAATATATATGTAGTCTGGAGATGGGTATAATTCTTATTAGTTGGTCGAGTAGGTGCATACATATTAAATATAAGAGTTGCGGGGACTTGACCAATCTTGGATTTGTAGAGGAAGGAAAAGTCAGACGAATTTTTCTAGGTGACCTTGATGCATTATTTCGTCATAATAATACGTGCAATGATTTTCACCAAGAAGAGAAGTATGTAGAGGCGAGAAATGGAACGTACTGCCACTGCGTTGGACAACATTTGCAGACAAAATCTAGATACATACATAGCTACATAATACATATATAATAATATTGCTTAATGGTGAGGGTTTTAACACTGTACTAGACTAGTATGAAACTCATCCAAACATAGTTTATTACGTAATGTCATATGTACATGTAGGTGGTGGAGATGGATAGCTACATGTGTAGTACATAGTTGAGAAAGAAACAATTATTGTAATTAGACAATGATGGCTAATTAATTATTGAGACGATGCGGAAAGAGAGAAGAGACGGAGAGAACCAAACCAAAACAACAATAGTGGATATTTAAGTAAGGTTATAAAAAAAGAGTAAAAATTACAAATATGCTTTAAGAGACGATATGGCAAACACAACTGCCATTCTTCAAGGTACAAACTGGAATGAGTGAATTGAACCGCACCAACAACCGTCGTTCGCGTGGTATGTGTGGTTTATAGCGTGTGGTGTGTGTAAGTCGTTGGCGAAAGAGTATGGTGGACTTTTCAATTTATTCGCCGTTAAAAAAATCCGTCAATGTCCGATTCCTGAACAGAATGGCTTGCGTCTATACTATAAATATATCTAATCTATATCTGAATTAATGTAACTACACAATATTGTGAATCTGTCTGTAACAAATTCTATGTCGGTTATTCTACTTTCGGATTCGCCACTTGCCACTTTGAGAAAGTGTCACTTTTATCCTCAATCAATCAATCCAAATCTAAAGTATCTAACGTGTGCGTATGTATGTCTATTCAAAGCGCAGTATGATTTCTATCTCTTTTCATGTCCACGCGTCTGCGAAGGAAAGAAAGCAACTCTTTGAGTGTTCAGTAACAATACGTAAATATTATGTTTTACGATTATCATGTCAAGATTGGTTTTGTTCTTGTTATTATTAGATGAGTACGATATCTATAATTTTTTGTTTTGGTGTTATTAGTTAAGAGAGAAGATCGACTCTTCAATCCTTACAAAAATTCTATTATCATCAATCCATCAATTTTTTGTTAGCATTTTAAGAAGACTTTTACCTGTTAATGAAATTTTATCGTTACACTATTTACTACGATTTATGACGTTACGCGGGTTCATTTAATTTTTTGGTTTTAAAAAGATTTAAATTTTTAAAAGAATGTTAATTTACTATTCATAACGACATATAAAAGAGGAATACTTTAAGCAATTGAAAATATTATTCTTACTGTTTTAATTATGAGACATGATGGTGAATCCATTATACAAATCTGACAACAAACTATCTACGCTGCTGAGTTACTGCTGAATGTTCCATAAATTAGCATTTTGACGTACACATATAATTTCCTTATAATACTGAGTATGGACGGTTATCAATTCTTCTATGGATGTCGTTTTGTGTGGGATATATCTGGTTATCGCAAAGAGAGAATGAATTCCTTACAAGAGTTTTGCACAGCGGCGGCAGCGAGCGAAAGAAAAGTCGTTGAAATTGTCAAACAATTTTATTGAGTGTAATTGATGATAATTATGGGTGGGCGGATGGATGGATGGATGGATGGCTCGAACGTTCGGTGAGTGAGCTCGATTTAAGAAAAAAACGAGAAGAGGATAACTACACAGATATCCAAACTATATTAAAAATTAATTAAATATCATATTATATATTATATATCCAAAAATGATGACTATTAAACAAAACTTGATGACGACTTATCTTGCTCCTCTTTATTACTTTAATATATATTTACTATGTATGTGACATTATCATGCGACACTAGAAAATAAAGAATAGTAGCATAGTCACATATATATTATTATTGTGATGTTTTAAACTTTGTATATCATGGTCCCAAGGCTATCTGTGTGTCTGGGGGGGGGCTGCTCTGTGGCTGCTGGATATTGGAGTCGTTGTCATTATTGGACGGGTCCGGTCAGCGCCTTCACAGCAAATCTGGGAAGAATGAAGGCTGATTTGTGTATCTCTCCAGTGTAATAACGCAGGTTGAAATTCTCCAATTCTGCCTCGCCAAAAGTTCGCAGGGGCTGCTCGAACTTTGTCTCCTAGAATTGGATGAGTTTAAAAACAGCTATTTTTTGTTGTAAAACAAAAGACATGTCGATAATAAGTACCTCATTTTTACTACAGAGGAGAAAGCCAATCTGTCCCCCGGGGTAGGTGGGGATGCAGGTGTAGGCGTAGGAAACCACGGGGAAGATCCCTTTGCAAAAGTCCATCATGGACCTAATGATGGGGGCGTGATACCACATGTTCTCCCCCTGCGAACAAATTATCCCTCCCGGTCGCAACGCTTTATCACAGAGTCGGTAGTACTTCTCTCCAAACAAACTTTCCGCTGGACCTAATCAGAAGAATTAATATCAACGGTGATAATTCGCTCCAATTCTTTTGGGTGGACGCTACACTTCATGTTTTGTGCATACCGATCGGATCTGAAGAATCTGTGATTATGACATCGAATTCATCTTCGTGCTCGCCCATGAACTTGAACCCGTCTCCAATGTTCAGGGTCAATTTGGGGCTTTCGAACCCTTTCGCCATGAAAGGCAAATATTTCTTGGACACTTCCACCACCGTTTCGTCAATCTCGCATTGCACAATTTTTTCCACGGTAGGAAACTTGCTCACTTCTCGGGCCACTCCTCCGTCGCCACCTCCAATGATGAGGACTGATTTCGGATTAGGATGACAAGTGAGGGGCAGAAAGGACATCATTTCTTGGTAAGAAAATTCATCTTTCTCCGTGCATTGGATCGCCCCATCAAGTGCCAACGCTTTACCGTATGTTTTACTGCGTGGGACAAAAAGATTCGAGTAAAGTCAGTTGATACAAATAAGTACATATGTATTTTAGCATAAATTTCTCACGTGTCGAGAACAGCAACGTCTTGGAACTTTGATTGACCTTGGTACAATACCGAGGTGACCTCCATTGAGAAAGCCTGTCCCTCCCACATGGGACTCAGCTCAGTGAACCATCCTTCCTTGAAAGCGTCCATTCTCACAGAGCTGTAGAAACAAAACAAAAATATATCTAATCTACTTATGTGTATGCAATTCCAGTTGCATGCAATTTGCAGAAAATGTGACTTACTGTGACAAACCGAAGAATGTAAATGATGTGTTACTGATGATGTGGCAAGAAATAGGGACTTGATTTCACACCCAAATACGCGAACTGGACATAAATGCTTTTTCAAACGTGTCAAGAAAAGCTTGCTGACTTGAGAGAAATCCGCAACTGGAGAAAGTCAGACAAGACGTCTGGTCTCAAATTAGCTCGTATAATTATACCACAAAAAGTAGATTTGACCTGAATGTGCAGAACACAGAGTGGTTTATGTAATTTAATACGAAGGTAGGTCCGTAAAATCTGATTTTATTTAATCACTGCATTGTGCTAACCTCTCATTAGCACGACTTGGAAAAAACTTGGAAAAAACCTGCAACATGACACTGTATTTAATTATACATAAAGTGAACGAGTTATGTACTGTGCGGGTGGAGCTTAAACCTACGGCCTCCTGAAGTACCTTGTGCTGAGACTAGGGTTTCTCGTGAGTTTAGCTCCATTCGCACAGCACATAACTAACTCACTTCAAGTATAGACTACTTAATAACATTAATTCCTCTTATCGTGTGTCGAGTGCAGCAAGACATCCATGCATGTTGTACTAACTGACTGAGAAACTCGAGACCAACCATTCTTCAATATTCTTCAATATGCATGCACAAAAAAGCACATAAATTCATTGATTGACATCCTATCCAGCAGGAAAGTGGTGAGTGAGATACAGACTGAGACACATTAATTCTCGTCTCGCCCACAATGCACGCCTTCCTTCTTTCTTGGGCAACCTACAATGACTCACAATGCTTTTATGGATTTTCACCATCGACGAGTGAATTATGAGGTCAATAGGCCCCATCGATTCCTTATCAAATATCCTCCGACGCGATAAACTTTGCCCGTACTTCTATTTATCCTTCTCCAAACCACTGCACTCTTGTAATTTACAACTCCTTTTTACCTAATCTAAACCCTCCATATATACTAATCTATATAGCTAGCCGGTAGATTTGCATATTTATAAATAAAATAAAGACCCACTCCGTTTGTACGACAGGATGGGCAAAAGTCCATCAGAATAAAATTTGGTACCTTACGTATTACTAGTAGTTCCTGATGCCCTCGTAATAATTTGTGTTCTTCTTCCTCTCGTTCCTAAGTCTTCTTGTCGAACCAATTCACTTCGGTGGCTAGCAAAATTATGGTGTTGTTCATTCTTGGTGGAGGAATGACGGCGTGGAGAAGAGGGACGATATTCGTCGTAGTATGATTCATTAGTTTATACTTACTCGTTTTCTGTGTAGTATTATTATTACCGAATAAACAAAGGGTAGTTAATTATTATTGTTTGATTTCTCTTTCAGAAAAATATGTAGGCACTTTTTATTTATTTGTCGTATGGATTTTATTAGTTACATAAATGCCAGTGCACGTGTACCCAGGAAATACTTACTGCTCCCAACCAAACCACGGCTGATGTCGTCGTATGGTACGAATTCGTTTCCCGAGTTTGTCGGTACTCGGAATTCACAAATGCACCGGAAATTCGCAATATCAGATTTGCATTGTTTATTCGCTACATATACAGCTCAGTTAAATGTATGGAATAGTATGAAACTGGATGACGTGGTGTAAAAGGAAAATAAATATGTACACATTTATTTTACGTTTACATAATTGTGATCACTTTTAACAGCAATGCAAACGTATCATTGATAACTTATAGATGTATAGCGGCTTTAAACTTTAAAGATTTATCCTGTTCTCTTTCGCCCATTTCTTAATGACGCCCAGGATTTTTTCCGCATTCGGCTTGGACGAGTTTCTCAACAGGGCGATGATGTCATGCAGGGATTCTCTGCAAGGAGCAGGTGCAAAATAAATACAACAAAATTTATTAAAAATTTTCCTTGTTACTTTGAATTGTTTATTCATTTACTTTGGTTCATGTCCTGCAATGATGAGTTGAAAGACTCCAATAATGGCTCCCCTCTTCCCTTCCCAATGTTCCGTCGAGGGCTCGTACCTCTCCAGCAAATCAAATGCTTTCGCTGCGTAGTAAAACTGTCCCAATCTGTAGCACTCGTTGGCGATCAACTGCAAAAATAACAACATGGAGCAACTTTACTTTCTCAGCAAATTAAGCAAGTCATATGCCATGGCTCCGTTTTTATAATAGTTTACTTGTAAAAGACGAAAAGATTCCGGCGAGGTTTCCATCCTTTCGTGCAACTCCCAAGCAAGTCGTGGCTTCTTGTTCATTATGTCTGCGTTCGAGGTTGAACATGATTCGATTTATGACATATTATTTTGCAAAAACATGAAGAACTCACACGCTCGAGCCAGCCACTGCATGTAGGTGAAGTCGTTGCGAATCTTTTCACTCTGAATCATGGTCAGCAATTCCTCAACTTCTTGGTACTGATTCAGCATCCCCTTCGCCTATATAGATTCATTCATACCAATTAGGATTAGTTAGTCAAAGACCAAATAGTACTCGTATGTAAAAAATATGCTGTGTTTTTTTTGTTCATCTATTCACTTGAGCATAGTTGAAGTTAAAGGTGTCGTCGTTGTAGTAGTGTTGGCGGACAGAGTTCATGTAGAGGGAGGCGTGGTCAAAGTTCCTACGGGAAATTTTGTCCAACTTTTTAAAAGACGAACTATTTTGCACAACGTATCATAGATATTCACCTGGAGAGGAAGTGTGCGGAAGCCATGCAGAGGCGACCGAACACGGAATCATGCTCATTCTCACTCGACCCCACTTGGTTGAACGTACTCTGAGCAGTTTGCAAGTATTCTCTCTGCAAAATATTTATCATAATTATACATGAGCACAAGTGATAATTTCCTCATTTTTAAGCGTACGTTTCCAGTCTCATAGCTGAGCAAGAGGTTGACGATGGCGTAGAGGATTTTTTCCGGAGTTCCCTTTATTTTGGTTCCTTTGATCAGCGTGGATGCATTGGTCACGTCGTCCTGTGACAAAACATGGATTTCTTAGATTGATCTGCTCAGAAAGTGATGAGGTGACCAACAGTTTAACGAGAAAAAAATATACCTGTTGCAAGTAGTAAATGATGAGATTGAAGCGAGCTTCTGGGATGACGTCCACCAATTTGGGCAGGATCTGCAGGGCACCTTGCCCACCTCGAAACACGACGAGATTGTGACGAATTAAGTCATAGGCACTGGAGAACATCCCGTTCTTGGTTTGGTCTTCTTGGTTCTTTAAACATAGCAAAACACGCAATCGTTTATTTTTCAGTAAACTCTGAACTATAGAAGATTTTTATTTACTCCAAAGTGTGAACTATGAAGTATACCATTAAGTTGAGGAGAGGTTTCAAGTCCTTTTCAGCCGCTGCCCCCGTGTAGAGACGAAACGTGTTGCATGCTCGCAAATTGAGGGCGATCGCAGAGCCCGGAAACGCTTGCAAGTAGACGGCCAAGACTTCCTGAGACACGTCAAAGTACTCGAGTCGGTGGTAACACAAAGCGACGTACACGTTCAGGGCGATGTACTCTCTGACAGCATCAAAACGTTAGTTGCAAGTTACCTACCACTTGTATGGGCATGTGTTTGTGGTGATAAATACATGTGCAAATTATGAGCATGGGTGCGAGAACCTCGGGATTTGGAGAAGCGCTTGAACAAAATGGACTTCCTCTGCGGAAGACGTGGACACGATTAGATCCACCAAATGCGATGTCACCCCAGTTGCATCGTTGTCAAGTTTGGCAAAGCTATGAGGGTGTCGTATCATGAGAAGGGAATATAAATTAAAGTGGAAAAGCGTGCAAAAAAGCGTCAAAATCTACAACATAATCCATAACAAAAAGACAACCTGTTATCGAGAAGTATTCTTTTGTAAATGTCGATCGAGCTGGAACGGAGGAAAATATTTCATGAAAACATTCGCTCTCTAGAAAATGGCATACAATTTTGTGAGCTTTTTGGCGTCTCACTTTTGGTAGTCTTGTCGCAAGTAGTGCATGGATGCGAGAGAGAGTTGGTTTTCCAACAATTCCTCCAACTTGGCGTGATTCGCAATGACGGCGTCCTCGTTGCCCAGCTTGTGGGCGAGATGGAAGGACAGCCTATTTTTGAGGGGGGAGGGCGTCCCCTTCACCGCCGCCTCGTTCGCTTCCACGTACATCCCCATGGAAAAGAGGCAGCAGGCAATGTTGAGCCACAGCGTGGGGTCGTCCAGCCCCTTCTTCGGCTCCTTCAACAAACTTTGGTACTCTTCCAAGGCTCGCTTGTAGTCGCCCAGGTGGAAGCAACAATAGGCGACGAGGGAGGCCAGCCCCTTCGCGTCCGACGCTTGGCTGGAGGATCGTTGAAACTGGTGGGAGAAAAAGAGGATAGATCCGCAGGTTGGAATTATCATGACATGATCCTCAAGGGAACGTACCTCAAGTAGCGTCAGAGCTCCCAAAAAATCCTTCTTGTCCAAGAACTCTCCCAACTTGGGAAGTTTCCCTTCATTGCTGCTTCCTCCAGAAGTTTCACTCGTGGACGCCACTGCGGGTCGAGACCGAGACAACAACTGTCCGATTGCAATCAAATATTTAGTTTCGCATATTAAGTACATTAGTTATGCTGCTGCTTACCATGATGCTACTGTGATGATCGGTAACTGAAGGAACAATAGAGAATATAAATGAACCTACATATATTATTTTATGTGATTGTAATGTCGGTATGTACATGTGTGCACATAGTGTAGACTCTCATAAGCTGGCATCAATCATGTGCTCCGGGTTTGTGTTTGGCTTCTGTGACCAAGGAGATGTTTCTCTCTGCTGATGCCCGGGTGAACAATGACAATTCGCAGAGCGCTGGAAATGATGACGGATAAACGACAATTTCGTAAACCAATAGCTTCATGCATTTTCGGATGGAGAGTGAAAACTCAAACTCAGAAAAATGACATGACTTAGGATTAATGCAGAGGTTGCATGTCCCTATCCTGCATATTTCCTGACTCATTTACATTTTACGAATATGCATTTATTATCTGCATACTAAATAGTAAATATGCATTAGTAGTATTTATTATCCACTTCTTCGGCCACATCTAAATAGTTATCGAAAGTGCAGCTCTGAATATTTTTATGATTGCTCCTGCTGTAACATGAAGCTGATCGAAATATGGAAATCGTGTGATGTCTCGAAAATTTCAGAGCAATTGATCTTTGTGGCATCTTATTTATAGGCATATTAATATACATATGTACATACTGTCTCTGCTTCTGGCTCACTTCGGTCCCAACTTTTCAAGTCTTTAGTCTTTCCACTCTGCCGACCAATTATTTGCCAGCTCGCATTTTATAACTACACATTCTTGACCTTGCTGTTTGTTATTTTTAAAGAGAATTATGGTCAGAAAAGTTCCTCGGAAGAACCCTCGACCAGTGAGAAACATGGAATATGGTGACAATGGCCAGCCATCTGCCAACCACTCAGGCACTCTGCCCCCCTCAGAAAGGGAACAGCAAGCCCTGCAGCGGACCAAGAAGACCAATTTGCGTTTCTCAAGTAAGCAGACGGCGAGGAAGTCCACGAGTGGACTAGCGTTTAGCAAGTCGACGGGTTACGTGCCTGCGAAGAAACTAGCAACTATATCCAACAGGGGAAACAAAGTGAAGCGCCGCTACAAGTAATACTCGCGAAAGGAAGATGATTTGTAGTACGAAAAATTTATGTGAATTATTTTAATTTCAGGCCTGGAACTGTTGCCCTCCGAGAAATCCGTCAGTATCAAAAGTCGACCGAACTGTTAATCCGAAAGCTACCTTTTCAACGCCTCGTGAGGGAAATTACACTTGCCACCAACCCCCACAAAGATCCCCTGAGGTATCAGTCAGCTGCCATCGAAGCTCTGCAGGTACACAAATAAATGCACGTGAAACATGAAATTGTTTTCTATACACAAATGTTGGAAATCTAAATATTGTTTGACTCTATTAAATTTTTACAGGTTGCGAGTGAGGCTTACTTATCCGAGCTCTTTAGCGATGTCAACATCTGTGCGATCCACGCCAGACGAGTCACAATAATGCCCAAAGACATGCAGCTCGCCTTGCGGCTGAGAGGTGATCGTGACCATAATTTGACCTCAGGATCAAGTCGAGGCTATCTTTAAATTGCAAATGAAACTTTTTAACGTATGAACACATATATAATATGACGCATGGAACGGTCCAGTTTTTACACTATTTATTTATCTCAAACATTTGCCTAAAATCCTTTTAATTTAAGCTTTTTTTAAAAAACTTGAAAAAAATTCATTACACTTAACGTTGGAATGTTCATTCCTAATTCTAATTACGAATTGGAAGTAATGCATGCGAGTTTCATGCAATTGATCTCATCTCAGAAGAAAACTAGATAAAAAAATAAACGCATTTAATTTCTAACTTCGCAAACGCAAATCACTGTTAAATACTTTCACCTACTTTATTTAACTTCATCCGCAAATATTTGCATAATTATAATTATATAGTTCATAATTTTTGCATTCATAATTTTTGCATTCATTCAGTTGCACAATATCGGAACAGAAATCCTCTCGCCCCACGCTTGCCGCTGCCCTACCAAACTCAAAGTTAAGCACCAAACCATTTCGCGAGTTTGATTATTCAACTACCTAAAACTCCGCCGTTATTATAATAAAATCATAAAATAGCTGATATTTTGACACCACCCTTCGCCTCCTCATTTTCTGTGTCTAGTTTCGACACATTGTTCAATTTGAGAGCACAGGAGAGAGTGAGTAATCAAATCAAACTATGACATCACTCACATTGATACGATTTTGAATTTGAATAGCATGTGGATTTTGTTTTGTGTGGATGTAATTGTATTTGTATTAATTTATATTTGTATTATAGAAGATGGCAGCCAGTGGAATATCCAGTTGGGCGGATGCAGCGGAAGAGCAGGAACAAATTTTGACGACTCAGGTATGTACTTGAGTAATTTAGTTAGTAATTTAGTACAGGAATAGATTTCCAAAATCTCATTAATTTCGATAACAATTTTTTCAGGTCAACAGTTTAAAAATCCAGCAGAGCACGACTAGAGGGTCTGGAGCCGGCGACAGCAATGGACAAGTGGCAAGCCCAGCAGCAACGACGAAGGAAGACGACGACAAAGTCACACCGGCTGAGCAGTCAATTATTCAAAAGATTTTACGTACTCGTCTTGTCGAAACATCACAGCAAAAGTTGGAAGTTATTCGAAAAGATCCAAGTTCTCCACTCTATTCGGCAAAAACATTTGAAGAGCTCAACTTGTAAGAAATCATGATTTGTACAGGGATTTAAACCTTGATTTAATGAGTTGGGTTCTAAATTTACTCGGGTAGGCGACCAGAATTGTTGAAAGGGGTTTACGCCATGGGATTCAATAGTCCGTCGAAAATCCAAGAAGCGGCTCTTCCTCTCCTTTTGTCGAAACAGTGAGTACTCATACATACGTCGACATGACTGGGTTGGCAATTTCCGGTTCACTACTGTGAGACGCTAAGAAATATATGAATATATGTTATAAAAGAATCATTTTTATTTTAAAAATAGGCCGATGAATTTGATTGCACAATCTCAATCTGGAACTGGGAAGACGGCTGCATTTGTTCTTGCCATGTTGAGCCGGGTAGATCCTAATGAACATTACCCACAAGTTCTCTGTCTCTCTCCAACTTATGAGTTGGCAATTCAAACTGGTGAAGTACTCAAGACAATGGGAAAGTTTTGCCCAGAAATTTCAGTAATATTTGCTGTTAAGCAAGAACAGGGTAAGCTATTTCATGCATATATAAAATTTGAATGGATTTTACGATTTTACCCAGTCCAAATTGTATCAATTACATGTATAATTAAACAAACAGTTCCACATGGTGAAAAGATTCGGGATCACATTATTATTGGAACTCCTGGAAAAGTGACTGATTGGGCATTTCGATCTCGAGTTTTTGACCTGGCCAAAATCAAAGCATTTGTTTTGGACGAGGCTGACGTCATGATTGCGACCCAAGGCTACGGTGACCAAAGCATTAAGGTCCACAGGTATTGTGCAATGCCACCATGTCGTTAATTGGGGTTAACTATATAGAAATTCAACCAACTCTAACTAATATTTATAACAGGAAGCTGCCTAAATCTTGTCAGATGATGTTGTTTTCTGCCACATACGATGATGAAGTGATGCGTTTCGCTGAAAATTTGATACCTGATGCCACTGTGATGAAACTTCGCAAAGAGGAAGAAAGTCTGGACAACATTAAGCAGTTTTACATTGACTGCAAGAATCAAGATGACAAGTATCGAGCTATTGCAAACATTTATGGAGCGATTACAATCGGTGGAGCGATCATATTTTGTCAGGTATTACTGTGATCATTCATATATACACATACATAAATACTCTATGATAATGTTCCTTTTTTCTAATACGATGATAGACTCGGCGAACAGCTGCATGGCTTTCACAGAAACTTACACAAGATGGTCACTCTGTGGCACTTCTTTCTGGAGACTTGGATGTTACGCAGCGTATTGCCGTGCTCACAAGATTTCGAGAGTCTCGAGAAAAAATTCTCATAACCACAAATGTCCTGGCTCGAGGTAATAATTCGCGCAACAAAATAATTTGCATTTGACTAACAGTGCTCTTTATTTTTTAGGTATCGATGTCGAACAAGTGTCACTAGTTGTGAATTATGACATTCCCACCGACGTCAATTTCCAACCAGATTGTGAAACTTACTTGCATCGAATTGGGCGTACTGGACGCTTTGGAAAAATGGGCCTAGCTATTAACTTGGTGGACAGTGGAAAGAGCCGACAAATTTTGAACTATATTCAAGCACATTTCAAGGTAAACATTAAAAAACTTGACGCTGAAAATATTGAAGAGCTGGAACAACTGGAATCATCCTAATTAAAATAATACTTCTTAGTTATTATTGTTTATTATTCAAACATATTTAATTAATTATTTGTTCTAATTATTACTTTCTTCCCTACTAATTTGTCTATCGTAATTGCACATAAAATTTAATTCAGAAATTTATGGGTATTTAAGTGTGTTATTCAAATTTGTCAAAAAATTTACGTGTTTGTATTTGATCCTTAAATGAATTGTCAAAATGACAGTATCTTAGCTTTATATCGTATCAACCAAATAAGTAATTTTATATTCCCATCATCGTAATAAAATATTTCTACTCTTATTATTGTAACAATTGACCACAACATAATGAAAATTGCCAATAATATAAATTATTCGTATACATAGTTTGTCATTTTTCATTGCATTGTATTTGACTCGATCTGAATTCGTCGTGCTAATTAATCGTAACAAAAGCAAAAGTGGTCCGTGTCCTTCATATCGCTCGACTCACATTTGACACGACAAAAAGTTACAAGACTGAATGTTGCATCATATTTTATAATTGAAGTTATTACAATGTTTACAATATCATTGTTTTAGCATTTATTTCAACTTATGCGCTTAAGCATGCCCACCACCATTGACAATAAAGGGGTTACCCTATAGTTTACACTAAAATGAGTCTCAAAAGAAAATTGAGACACATTCTCGTCCTTTGTCTCCAAATCTTAGCTCTGCAAACCTTGCCCAGTGCAGACTCCAAGACCTCCAACTCAAGTGGTCACCAAGTTTTACTCCACTCGGACGTTAATCCACTAAATTCCAGTGCACCGAAGCCTCTCACGAAGGAATTGTCCATTATCCAAGAAGCGACAAGTGTTTTCCTATCAAGGACGGATTTAATATCGCAGGGCTACCCAGTATTCACGCAACGGGTGAAAAGGAACTCTTCCGGAAAATATTTTACAATTTACACGTCAGAAAAGGATCCCAAACTCAGTTTCGAGTCAAAGTCAAACGACGACGGTCAGACTGTCGTGGTTCTCACGGACGTCATCATTGACGACCTGGATGAAGACGTGGTTCGTAATTGTTCCCTCATTTTGATTCAATGTGTCAAGTGTAAGGACAAGTACACAGCCCATTTGGCGTACATACGGTGAGACAAGTTTATTTGAATGCATTATTTGAATTATGCAAACTAGACTGTTGCTCTTATTCTTTCATACGTAGAACTTCAAAGTTTGTGGAGGGCGTTGTGGTGGAATGGGATACGTTGAATTCGCTGGAAGTCTCGACGACGACTGAGCTCGACTTTTTGGCCGCTTTCACCCCCTCCGACTACCAGCTGCAGATTTCCTTTCGTCCAGTGCCAAAATATGCGAATGCAACGCTGTCCCGAGTGGGGAAAGCAACCACAACCACCACGCCCAGAGGGGGAGCTCATGCCGCAGCAAAAAAGGGGCGAGCCATGTCAGCGGCCTCTGGCAGTTCAGCTGGTGACTTCAAACCCGCCTATCCTAAACCAACTACGACTAAACCCGCCTATCCTAAACCAACTACGACTAAACCCACCTATCCTAAACCAACTACGACTAAACCCACCTATCCTAAACCAACTACGACTAAACCCACCTATCCTAAACCAACTACGACTAAACCCACCTATCCTAAACCAACTACGACTAAACCCACCTATCCTAAACCAACTACGACTAAACCCACCTATCCTAAACCAACTACGACTAAACCCACCTATCCTAAACCAACTACGACTAAACCCACCTATCCTAAACCAACTACGACTAAACCCACCTATCCTAAACCAACTACGACTAAACCCACCTATCCTAAACCAACTACGACTAAACCCACCTATCCTAAACCAACAACTAAGCCTACCACAATTAAGCCGAATTCGACGACAGGAAACCCAGGCGTGTTCAACCCTAACTGCAAAAAATATTCGGACGGTGTATATCGTCCAGTTCCTGACACACAGTGTCTCAAGTACTTCAAATGCATAAAGAAGAAAGGGAAATTGACACCTAAGGTTCTGCTCTGCCCCGAAGGGAGTCACTTTCATGATGGGAGAAAGTTGTGCGTCTCCGTGGACATCAAGATTGATTTGAGCACTTGTGATGATCCTACCAGAACGACCACCGAGGAGACAGATCTGTATTCCACGACAACAGAAAATCCAGTCACGATGATGACTACGTCAGAAAATGAGCCAACAACGACGGAGTTTGGCCCAACGACATCTGGAAAGCCAGACGTGTTCAACCCAGACTGCAGGAAATATTCAGACGGTGTATATCGTCCAATTCCTCGTACACAGTGTCAAGAATACTTCAAATGCATAAAAAAATCAGGGCAGTTTAAGGTCGTGACTGGCAAATGCGACGAAGGGAAAGGTTTCCACAACCGCAAGAAGAAATGCGTACCAATTGATGAGATACAAGATTATGATACTTGCGACAGTGTAAAACCCATAACGTTTCCAAGCACCATCGCACCACCGATGACTACACCAGCACCAACATTTGAATCAACAACGTCAGTCCAAACTTCATCGTCACCTCCATTTTACCCGGACTGCAAACAATTTTCGGATGGTAAATATCGCCCTGTTCCTGGTACAGACTGTCGAAAGTATTTTAAATGCGTAAAAAAATCAGGAAAATTTCAAGTCAAGTTCTTTGAATGTGACAAAAAAACGCATTTTCATGCTGGAAAGAAGAAGTGTGTACCGATTAATGAAACACTGGATTACGACACATGTGAACCTCCATTGACCACTACTCCAATTATCGATTACACTCCAACCCATGGTACAACAAATTATTACCCCAATACTAGTGAAACAACAGACTCTACGCCCACTGATCCTACGACAAATTATTACGTCACAGATCCTGCGCCAACTGAGTCGACGACAGATCCTGCGATAACTGAGTCGACGACAGATTATTACGTCACAGATCCTGCGATAACTGAGCCCACGACAGATTATTACGTCACAGATCCTGCGATAACTGAGCCCACGACAGATTATTACGTCACAGATCCTGCGATAACTGAGTCGACGACAGATCCTGCGATAACTGAGTCGACGACAGATCCTGCGATAACTGAGTCGACGACAGATCCTGCGATAACTGAGTCGACGACAGATCCTGCGATAACTGAGTCGACGACAGATTATTACGTCACAGACCCTGCGCCAACTCAGTCGACGACAGATCCTGCGATAACTGAGTCGACGACAGATTATTACGTCACAGATCCTGCGATAACTGAGTCGACGACAGATTATTACGTCACAGATCCTGCGATAACTGAGTCGACGACAGATTATTACGTCACAGATCCTGCGATAACTGAGTCGACGACAGATTATTACGTCACAGATCCTGCGATAACTGAGTCGACGACAGATTATTACATCACAGATCCTGCGATAACTGAGTCGACGACAGATTATTACGTCACAGACCCTGCGATAACTGAGCCGACGACAGATTATTACGTCACAGATCCTGCGATAACTGAGTCGACGACAGATTATTACGTCACAGATCCTGCGATAACTGAGTCGACGACAGATTATTACGTCACAGATCCTGCGATAACTGAGTCGACGACAGATTATTACATCACAGATCCTGCGATAACTGAGTCGACGACAGATCCTGCGATAACTGAGTCGACGACAGATTATTACGTCACAGATCCTGCGATAACTGAGTCGACGACAGATCCTGCGATAACTGAGTCGACGACAGATCCTGCGATAACTGAGTCGACGACAGATCCTGCGATAACTGAGTCGACGACAGATTATTACGTCACAGACCCTGCGCCAACTCAGTCGACGACAGATCCTGCGATAACTGAGTCGACGACAGATTATTACGTCACAGATCCTGCGATAACTGAGTCGACGACAGATTATTACGTCACAGATCCTGCGATAACTGAGCCGACGACAGATTATTACGTCACAGACCCTGCGATAACTGAGCCGACGACAGATTATTACGTCACAGATCCTGCGATAACTGAGTCGACGACAGATTATTACATCACAGATCCTGCGATAACTGAGTCGACGACAGATTATTACGTCACAGACCCTGCGATAACTGAGCCGACGACAGATTATTACGTCACAGATCCTGCGATAACTGAGTCGACGACAGATTATTACGTCACAGATCCTGCGATAACTGAGTCGACGACAGATTATTACGTCACAGATCCTGCGATAACTGAGTCGACGACAGATTATTACATCACAGATCCTGCGATAACTGAGTCGACGACAGATCCTGCGATAACTGAGTCGACGACAGATTATTACGTCACAGATCCTGCGATAACTGAGTCGACGACAGATCCTGCGATAACTGAGTCGACGACAGATCCTGCGATAACTGAGTCGACGACAGATCCTGCGATAACTGAGTCGACGACAGATCCTGCGATAACTGAGTCGACGACAGATTATTACGTCACAGACCCTGCGCCAACTCAGTCGACGACAGATCCTGCGATAACTGAGTCGACGACAGATTATTACGTCACAGATCCTGCGATAACTGAGTCGACGACAGATTATTACGTCACAGATCCTGCGATAACTGAGCCGACGACAGATTATTACGTCACAGACCCTGCGATAACTGAGCCGACGACAGATTATTACGTCACAGATCCTGCGATAACTGAGTCGACGACAGATTATTACGTCACAGATCCTGCGATAACTGAGTCGACGACAGATTATTACGTCACAGATCCTGCGATAACTGAGTCGACGACAGATTATTACGTCACAGATCCTGCGATAACTGAGTCGACGACAGATTATTACGTCACAGATCCTGCGATAACTGAGTCGACGACAGATTATTACGTCACAGATCCTGCGATAACTGAGTCGACGACAGATTATTACGTCACAGATCCTGCGATAACTGAGTCGACGACAGATTATTACATCACAGATCCTGCGATAACTGAGTCGACGACAGATCCTGCGATAACTGAGTCGACGACAGATTATTACGTCACAGACCCTGCGATAACTGAGCCGACGACAGATTATTACGTCACAGATCCTGTGATAACTGAGTCGACGACATATGATTACGTCAAAGATCCTGCGATAACTGAGTCGACGACAGATCCTGCGATAACTGAGTCGACGACAGATCCTGCGATAACTGAGTCGACGACAGATTATTACGTCACAGACCCTGCGATAACTGAGCCGACGACAGATTATTACGTCACAGATCCTGTGATAACTGAGTCGACGACATATGATTACGTCAAAGATCCTGCGATAACTGAGTCGACGACAGATCCTGCGATAACTGAGTCGACGACAGATTATTACGTCACAGACCCTGCGCCAACTCAGTCGACGACAGATCCTGCGATAACTGAGTCGACGACAGATTATTACGTCACAGATCCTGCGATAACTGAGTCGACGACAGATTATTACGTCACAGATCCTGCGATAACTGAGCCGACGACAGATTATTACGTCACAGACCCTGCGATAACTGAGCCGACGACAGATTATTACGTCACAGATCCTGCGATAACTGAGTCGACGACAGATTATTACGTCACAGATCCTGCGATAACTGAGTCGACGACAGATTATTACGTCACAGATCCTGCGATAACTGAGTCGACGACAGATTATTACGTCACAGATCCTGCGATAACTGAGTCGACGACAGATTATTACGTCACAGATCCTGCGATAACTGAGTCGACGACAGATTATTACGTCACAGATCCTGCGATAACTGAGTCGACGACAGATTATTACGTCACAGATCCTGCGATAACTGAGTCGACGACAGATTATTACGTCACAGATCCTGCGATAACTGAGCCGACGACAGATTATTACGTCACAGACCCTGCGATAACTGAGCCGACGACAGATTATTACATTACAGATCCTATGTCGACAGATACCACCACGGATTATTATCCGACGTATTCTACTTCAGCCGATTTCACTACGTACTCTACATCGGATCGTACGACTAGCAATGTTACACCCATCTACACGACAGAAAAAGCATGGACTGATGGTGAGTTAGAATTTCGAAATATTAGTTATGCCACAATGCAATTGAGGAAGATGAGTTGGAATTAATTTTTTCCATTGACCATCATCGATCGCAAGACCCTCCCTAACATAAATATTCAAGTTTGCATGCAAATATTTTAGTCTAAATTTGATTCCATTCAGACCCATATCCCGAATCGTACGAACACTACGTGGAACCCAGGGCCCTTGATGATTACTTAGACTTTGATCATATTTTGGACAGTTATGACTACCCGTCCAATTTATTGTCTCCCCGTTTCGCTCGTAAGGCGACCATTGAGACCCCGCTGGCCGCAGCTGTGACTAAACCCCCCAAAACCAAAAAGGACAGCAAGGTAGCAGCGTCATTGGAAGAGAGTGTGACCGCACGAGGAATTCGGTCACACTTTCCCTTCCTCAACAGGAGCGACCAGTTCCCGTACGTCGGGATGCTCAACTGTCCGTGGCAGGGGCAGGATCTCACCTTATTCACCTCAACCGGAGTAACCAACGCTGTCAATTTCTTCATCCACACGCTGCGAGCCCAATGTCACCCCACAATCTACTCCTCCACTCTGCGACTATTTCAAAGAGAAATCGTCACCGTTGATGTGGACAGCATTACTCATTTCAGGCTCAATTTAAAGTCAAAGCTAATGTGAGACATGTGTATAAGTTAAGCAACCAAAGAATTTCATATCATTCATAGCAGTAAGTAACGGATTGCATAATTCTTATTCCTTAGAAATCAGGCAGTACTGACTCCACAGGAGAAGAAGGACTTTCTTTCCGCCATATTTCTAGTGGCGTACTCGCAAGCCTTCACCAAAAGCTGGCTCCTCCTTAATCACACCTCCCCCACCACGACGCACAGTCTCAGCCCCAGCATTACCACGCTCACCTCGATGGTCGTCAAAATCGTAGGTCTTCTTCGAGTCAAGCAATTTGAGAAGCACAGGCTAAAAATAATGCTCGCGCTGACATCCATGCTTCGAGATTCTGTTCGGCACCTAAATCTGCAAAGCGAATGGTTGAAACGACAGTGTGGAACGAGGACAAAGTGTCGTCGCTTAAACAAAGTCAATCGAAAAAGTACTCGACACTTGGATAGAATTTTGGAACAACTTTACCACATTTCTTCCTCCTGATTAACCAAATATGGACACCAATCTTTATTCAATATTTTTTTTAAATGTATGTACCTCCACAAAATATGCAATATGAACTACTTAGAACACGTTTTTCACACTGTTTCATACCTTTTTTAAACCTTAATTAAATGTTAGAATACACTGAATATGTATGCATAATAATACACGATAATATACACAATACGACGAATACATAATACTGATAAGTTTTCATATTAATTTCATATTTATCTATATATGTACAATGTACTTACGATTAGTTTTAATTTGACGAGCTACCACAGTCAGTTTATTTTTTTGAGTCAGGTAGAAAATTTTAGCTTTCATTGGAACAGAAAAAAATTTCATGGTTCAATTGGCACAACTTTAACCACAATCTTTTGTAACATGGCATGCGATATATGTTTATAACGCTCATTTACATACATATGCAAATATGTCACTTAATTAGTATAAATACTACTATTTCTCTCATTCTCGACGGAAAGCACTGAACAATAAAGTCATTCTCACCTTGTAGTTTTTACGGATTGTACTTTGCAAACGTATTCTAGAACGAAATGACTAAAATCTACGAGTGTAACAATTCAGAGTAACTTTTGATTAATAAAATAAAACACGATTCATATCATCGAAACACGAAAAAGTTTTAAAAATGTTTACATGATCCAGTTGAGATTCATCTGATGTGTTACGTGTTTACGTACAAAATTGTAAATGAGGTGGTTCTTTTCTTGTTCTGAGTAAATATTAGAAGCACCAATCTAATTATGTAATTGTGGACTGTGGACGTATACCAAAGGTCGTAGTCGTCAGTTAATATGTGATTTGATGATGTGTTGTAAAGGTCATGGGAACATGATGACTTTTAAAGATAGAGACCGGACGATTCTCGGTGATGCTTGTGCGAGTATGCATAATGGGCAGGTCGGTTGACTGGTTGCTTCGTAAGGTTTGCCACGGTTGCTCTAAATTTCAGTCAAAATTTCAATTGGGAAAGTTGTGCAAATGGATTTATTTATTTGTGTGTAACGAGAGAGACTTGTTTCTAACCCCATTGCAAACTCGAACACACGGCAGATCGTGTGGAGGATGAACCAGAGCCAGAGGGAGGGCGTCGTCCCATCGTCAGGTGCCAAGAGGCCCAGCGGACTTATGAGACGGACCAATTCCCCAATGCAGACCAGGAAGCCGAGCACGGCCGTGTAGGACGTGAATTTAACCACCCTGTGAACCTGGAAGACATGAGGAAAGCAAATAAAGCAAATAAATAATCTCGCAACCTGAGGACATTGCCACTTTTATTTATTCTCAAACACGAAATCCCCGCACACCTGGTTGGTTCGTGACAATTTTCTGGAGAGACGATAATCCAGCGCGGTCTGGTTGACGTACGCGATGTGGGAAAGGATCGTCTGAAGCGTGTAATCCGAGTCCGCACCCACCGCCGTTGACGTACTCGACATGAGAAGCGTTTCCTTCACCCCGTTGTTCCTGTCAACAAATGGATTACCTACTTATACACACTGCCAACTCAATTTGCTCGACGGAGGGAACGCTCGTGCCCTTATCTAATATTCATAAGAGCTCGTGATGGTGGGTGCCTGCCTGGTTTGTTTGTTGGTGGCTCTTCAGCTCTCGAGTGGGTTCTCCTCTCTAATTCAATTCCGCAATCTCTCACTCACTCACTTGTCCACGTACGACACACTTTCTCAACTTGTGACCCTTTCAGCAGATTGCGACGAGAGTGGAGAAGAGAAAGTCTGATTTAAAACCACTTATTCAGCAGAGGAGAAACCACGACGGCTTTTTCTTCCCATCCACTCTCCCGGAAGACACGTTTTCTATCCATAAATCTAAAATTGTGTATGCATACCTGTCAGGATTGTTCGTCTCATTTGGACCAAGACCAGCGTCAAAGGACTGTCGCGATGCACGTCGTTTCTCCTGAGCGACAGAGATTCGTTCCGTGGTCTCGCCGTACCAAGTGAGAGATTTTTTCCTGGGGTCACTCGGGTCACTCGCCAAGTCCCCAGACTCCCTCCTCCAACTGAGGCGTCGTGGCCCCCCTGCGGCGGAGGAAGAAGGTGGGATTCCTCCACGCAGGCCAGGTCCAGAGCTCTTCCTTCGGGGCAGGATGGGACTCGGGGGACGAACGTGAGACGTCGACGAAGGGCCTGCTCCTCCCGTGCCACCTGCAGCTCCTGGACCTGAAAATGAGGATCGAGGACTCTGGACTGGAGTGGTCCCACTTCGACCCCCGTTCCCCTCGGGCAATTCAGCTGAAAAGTGACCATTGTTAGTCATCACTTAAGAGATTATTATGTCATTTATTTACGAATGTCGTTGAGTCTGGATGAGTCCGAGGCGGAGACTGTGCGGTCATGTTCGTCCGTTATTTTGATCCTGGGCGTGGAGTCCTTGTCCTTGGTGGTGGAGGAGGAGGACCCGACACCTGAGGAGGAGGAGGAGCCTTGCAGCAGCGTGGGTGCCAGGGCGGCTGTGAGAGATGAGGCCAGATTCTGACCTCCACCACCAGCAGCACCACCCATCATCCCCATCATCAAGTTGGCAACCCCTATGGAGCAGAAACACGATAGAAATTCTGCTCCTCAAACAGTGGCACACACTTATCAAGCGATAATTATTACGTCGTTATGCCTCACAAAAGCTACTTGTCAAAATAACTGACTTGATCACACGTCATGATCCGACCAATCAATTGAGAGCGTGTTTCCTCCCCGTGGAAATCGGTGACGGAGTGCTCATAGCGTTGGTTACGTGTGTCATAGCTACTGGCTCAGTGGAGAAAGTTGGAGAAATGCTCATTAGTGTCTCACCCACCACCAGCCAGGCAGCCAGGCAGCTCGCACATGAGGAGACAGGAAGGCTCGGTCGGAAAGAGCAGAAATCTCATTACTCGACTCATCACATCGACACATCGCAACCAACTTTCTCTCCAAAAAGTCAAACCTGCTCGTTCTTTCCAAAATATCGTACTCAAATTCCCTCCCTCCGTCAGCCTGCTCTTTCATTATGAATATCTCTTGGCCCAGCTCAAACCCTAATTATCATGTCCCACTATGAATTCACGCATAACTATTATCTGCTCTCAGTCGAAATAATGGGATGAAAAAAATAATGAGAACAAAAACGACGACCTGACAAATACCCCGGTTTAGCTGAACAGCGATTTAAGAGTACTGTGTACGACTAACGAACCTTTGTCATTGGTGGTGCTGGAACCTCCGCCCGAGGACGATCCGCCGCTCAAGAGTTGCATCACCTGGTTTCCTGCCACAATGAAGGATCCGCAGAGGACGAATCCCCAGGTCGCGAACAAAAGCTGAGTCACCAATTTGCCCACCTGAACACAAACACGGTTATGAAATCCAGGAGGTGAAAAGTAGCGAGAATTTCGCCATGAATTTTTGCTCCAGACGTTGTAGTACTGCTAAAGGTTGAGCCTTAATTACCATGAGATCCGTGTTGAGACTCGTGTAGATGGCTGAGATAATGGCGGAGATGAAATGGAGGGTGATAATGAGGGAAAGACAGGTTTTCTTCCTCCGAAATGCCTCCGGCCCCACCACGCCAGCCTGAAGGGAAGAATAATATGCGCCGTGCATGTAAACACTTTTAGCATAACTTGGGCTCTAAAATAGCCGTACTTTGCCCCAACCACCCACCTCAATCTATTCATAAGTAGCTATGTGAAATGGAAACATCCACCTACAAAAGGTCAACTACATTTGCAAATACAGACATTCAGGGACAAATTAGCAAGCCAGACAAGCCATGCAATCCTAATTAACTGCTGCATACACACATATGTAAATACGTGACATCCATGTCTACATAAGCATGCCTGCTGGAAGCGGGGGGATCGTGCCGTGTCCACATTTGTCATCTGAGGTCAACTCTTTGTCGTGCGACCAACAGAAGCGTCCTTTTGGCACCTGCAAGCCAGGCAGCAGGTGAGGAAGAAGCCACAAGCCTAGCGAGAGAGAGAGAAAGTGTGGGTGCAAGTGTGAGTGAAATACCATGACGGGCGTGCTGTTCCACTCGGAAACAACGAAGAGCGGTTCAGTGGGTGAGGTTCGACACAGTTTGTGATGCGGAACGTACTACACACACAACACAATAAATAATGACGATAATGGTTACACAAAAGTACATCAATTAAGGTCAGAGCAGCACAACGACACAATGTCAGTACACGTAATACTTGGGCTTATGCTCCTCACGGGGAGCATGATACATAGACGTGGTTTTATGATGTGCAAAATTAGGTGAACTGAAACCCCACGTACTTGAGTGAGTTGGAGGAACGCGATTTGGATGAGGCTGAAAGAAGAGACGAGGGCTGGGAACCCCAAGTCCCAAAGCAGGGCTCCCATAATGGCTGGCAGCCTCTGTTCAAACAATTAGGATAAGTTCGATAAAGTGACGATGCCCACACAGGCGGTGGGTTCCCATCGCAGTATGGTTTTTACTCACATGTTCCAAACCGTACGGGTCCACGAAGAGCACGATTGCTCTGGAGGCACCCAGGATACACAGGAAACTGTTGATTGTCGTCATGTAAGGTCGAGTCGAGAGTTGAGATCTGCACATCATTAAAATGTATCTCATGCAGCCAGTCCAAAATGCATGGGAAACTGGCACCCGCAACCAACGTACTGCGATTATTTACTTAAATGTACCTGAGGTTGAGAATTGAGAAGAATGAGTAGAACGCCAGGAAGAAGAAGAGACAGCCGAAGGTGTACGTGTGGACCCAGAAGGCCCATCGCAACGTGGTCGTCGTCTCTTCAAAAGTGGGGTCGAACTTGAGGTCCGAACCTCCGCGGGATGAGGGGGACGACGCGTTAGTTTGATCCATGGATGGTCCGACGAGATAGAAATCAGAGGACGACTCCAGTTCGACGCTACTTTCCTCCATCTGCAAGAAGACGATAATTTATTGTTATGTAGAGAAATATAATTATGCGAAATGCGAGAGAACGTAGAATTCTAAGAAGATAAGTGCATACAGAGAAATGCAGAAAATTAATATTAGTAATTACACAGAGATGTTTTAGTCTGCCCATGTTCTTGGGCCCTTGAGACTTGAGTCTACCCAAAACATGCACGGCTCCCACTTGAGTAGGGACTGGTATATGTAAGTCAGGAGGAGGTAGAATTATGTACATATTCACAAAGTGGAGGCAAAAGTCAGCGTCGTGAAATGAATCCACATAAGAAGAAGCTGAGGAAATGTGATACGACGAAATTGAATGGACACTAATTCTCGAGGGAGCCGTAATCCCACCTTTTCAACTAATTCTCTCTTCTAAATCACTTTATTTTGCTCCTCCTTGTAGCCGGACTATTCAGGTTTTGTTTGCTTTATCTCGACCCCCACCAGTTGTTGCTCCTTTGTTCCCATATTTATTTATATGCTCAACCACAAAAAAGTCCCTCATTTACTTTTCCGCAACATTTCTTCTCGGGTTGCACGCAGTCCCTCGGCGACTCTGGCAGTATCACCGTCTTGCCACCTTATCCAAGTATTTACATGCATTTTTTTGCAGGAAAGTTGGAGAACGGGGCGCTCCGTCATGGTGAAAGTTCTCCCAAATTTATACTCGAGAAACAAACTCAGCCATCTCCTTCTTCATTTTGATGTCATCTTTGTGGTCGAGGGAACGCATAAAATTTCCGAATTCAATGATTGTCGTGTTGTGTGTGATGTTCTCCTTTCAGAATTTATGATAAAAAGAGACCCCACGTGATCATACTCCGTGATGGGGCTCCCTTTGAATTCGCGTCCTACATATGCATAATCTGTACGTCTGTAGCAGTTCACGGAATTGGTTCCTTTTGCCAAATGGAAATTGGGTTTGGTATTCAAGCCCAGCCAGCCAAGTGGGACTTGTGAGGAGGAGGAAGAGCTGTATCTCCTGGCCACCATTGGTCTCGTCCTTTCTCCGCTTTCACCACATCCATGCACACACAACCCCACGACGTAATCAGGACTTAAGCAAACTCGCTCTCTCTCTTCTCTAATGCTAAGCCTCGACTTATTTTTCAGTTAATTTCGACAGGATGAACGATACAGCAAAGTCTTTTCTTTCCTTGGCTTCCCCCCGAGCCGAGTCTGCTCGCTGCTTTCTCCTCACAAAACGTGGCGCATTATGGGAATAATGGCTTCAAACATCAGCTTCTATTTCAATCGTGTTCATAATTACCATGTGAAGCCTTCATTCACCGTAAAGTTTCACATTTCGTGAATTGAAAGACACCATTTATAGAAGGTAGATAGATACGCATGATGAGAAAATAATTGGCATTTGCACAACCACGTCGACTAGACGACGAAGGCAGCAAAGTTGTAACTTTATCACGGATCAGATCACCAGACGAAGAAAATGGATGTCAAAGCAAATGGATGCGTCTCCGACAAGACCTCTCTCGAAGGAGACGACAGGTTGTCATCCTGCTCGTCGTCTCCAGCACCAAGTCAAATCTGTGTCCATTATGGCTGTCCCCGCACCGTCACGTCGCATCATTCAGACGACATGCTGTACAAATCAGAATAATGGAGCTAGCAAAATGAAATGTCCTCGAGCGACGTATACCAAATTTTCCACACACGCTGTACTACGTACACGGCTCTCTTCTCCATAGCTTTCTTTTCCACTGCATATGTACACATATGTAGCTTCCGTTCAGTGGTAATTGTCAGGAGGAGATGATGAGTTATATGCCCTCGTCCTTGAGAGGTGAGTGAGTGAGTTGTTTTTCGAGCGGATGGATCGATCTTCTTGATATTCTTTGTAAAATAAAGCAGTCGTAAAATAGCCAATCTGTCCACCAACACACTGTCTTTGAGACTCAATGCATTTAGTACACTCCAAGTTTGAGTGAGCAAGAAAGAAGTGCTAAAATAAGAAGACTCGCATGCAGCTCATCAATAATTCAGAGCTTGCATTCTTCCCACTCACTCAATAACGGGAGGTGGTCGTTTAAAGCCAACTTCATCCATTTATTTAATGGGCATTAAAAAGTATGGGTTCCTCCACGAGAGGAAAGTCTATGAACTCTCCCCATTGTTCTCTCACCATTCTCTATTTATGTACTTGATGGATTTCCCTCTTATCGCCCTTCGGAATAACTGCACATAAATATAACTCGATTGAAATGTCAACTGGAATAGCATTCACTTCAAACGCAGGTCTGTCCATCCTCGTGCACATGCTTCCACCTAAACACACACACACAATGGATACGAAGGACCAACTTTATCCGTCTTTTACGGAGGAGAAAGCAAATTGAATTCGGTTTTGCAACAAACAAATATGAATCTGTGGCCTTGGTGCTGGCTCGCTCGTTGAGATGGATGCAATGCAATCAGAGCTGGGTCAATTAGTGAGAAGAAAGCAGGCAGGCTGATGGAGTGCTCTTGTCCTCGCTCGTAAAATTATCGTGAGGGACGACCAGACCAACTTCAAAGTAATAAGTCAGCATAACTAAATGGAGGATGAAATTACGAGTTACGTTGTTATTCGACTTGCCTCCAGCTCACTCCGACCGGAACATGATGACAACACGATGATGATGATGACTGTTCATGCATAAGTACTGCTAATTCTGAGAAAATGATTCATTTCATTTCCTATTGTGAAGAAGATTTGGATGGATTATTCGAGCAGCAAGGTCGGTTTCAGCCGGTGGGCATGCTACATATGTGCATACGCATTCAGATGTGAGAGCAGGAGTCACTGGGTCTTAGCAAGTCACCTCATGCTGTTGCTGCTTAATATGCACCTGTTGCCACGACGGGACTGCTTTCACCGCCACGACCAGCAGCAGCGTTCGTTGGGTGGCTTGGCTGCTTCTTGTCGCCTGCCTGCCTGCTCTCTCTCTAGCATTTCCTCTGTTTTTTTGTCATGGTGGAGTCAGGGCGAGGATCACGGCCAATAAATCCCGTTTATGACCCCCTTTGAGCCAACATTTGAGCCATTTTATCTCTCAAAAGCCAACATTGTGTTGTGTCATCCTCGTACATTCTCTCTCCAGGAATAATCAAGCTCGGCGTGTATTGATCCACTAAATAAACAGGAGATGTCGTGAACCCTCCCACGCCACCAACTACATACTCAAACCACGCTGTGCAAAACTCTGCTTAATTTTGATCCTGGCTCAAAAATTCCAAACATTTTATCCCACTTTTACATATGTAGATACATATTTCGATGAAAATGCAGATTGCAACGTAGCAAGAACAAGTCAAGAGCTTGACTTTCATTCTCCTCATCAAGCAAAACATGGAACAAAGAGGACGTTTTTGTCTCTCTTTGATCTCTCTCATTCTTAAATTGCTACTTGCTTCGCACTGTTTATTTTCTCTTCTCCTCCTTCCTCCGACTCTTGGTGGAATCACAAACGAGCCCAAATTGGACTCGTTTGGAATATGTAAATTCAAAGAGCAACAACATATAAAGACGCGCTTATCAAAATGCTGGAACTTCAAAAGATTTCTTTCATTACTTTAATTTTATGTGGAATTTTCATGTTTTGGTCGACTTGATTATGTTTCCTTTGCCAAAAGCAGTGAGATCAAAGGCATTTTCGAGGGAATGAAATAAATGAAGTTTTCTCAAATTTTGTCAACATTTCGTTCCACTTAACTCGCTTCAGGGCTGAATTTGAAATCATAATTGGGAAACCAAACCAGTGGAATTAAATTTTCTCCCTTTATCGAATTAAATGGTTCATCTCGCATGGAAATTGGGAGAGTATTCCAGCCGGTGAGAAATGAGATCGTCTGCGACTCTGCTCTCCCCAACCACGAAGAAGTGATACCATTCTTCTTCTTCTCGGCAGTAATAAGTGGAGCAGGGATGGAAAGTCGCTCGCTCTGAGCCGTTTCTCCACTAATCTGATATCTGGGACGTAATGGAAGCAATGTTGAAAAGTTGTGGAAGGAATTAGGCCGTACCTGAGTAGTCGCAAGGGTTGACGTTGATTGGGGCTTTGGATGGACTTCTCCTTTCTCTCCTATCTCCGCATCTCCCTCCGAGTCCCAGATTCCTAGATCTTGGCCAAAATCTCTTTACTTTCACCTCCACCAACTAAATCTCAATAACGTGCTCTCTCCAATGAGTAAAAATCAATTTCTTTGTCCACTGATCCACACCGACAACCAACTTTGATTCACTCCACTCCTTCTCTCTGCTGCATTACTGAGGACGAGACCCCAGTCCATCCAAACCAGCGGGGAACACACCGTTCTCCTCAACTACGTATTTAGCTATACGGACTGGCAGGAAACCAGCCAAACCGTCTCGCTTCCTCAAGTCCTACTTTTCCTCACAAAGTGAGCAAAAGGGTAAATATTTGTCTGGAATAAATCGGAGGAGGCTACACAGCTCCTCAGTCAGCTTCGTTATCCTGATGCAGAAGAGGACACGGATTTGTCATGTTTCAGTGGAGGAGATGTATGGAAGGAGGGAGACTTTGTGCAGGTGGGTTGGTTCGTATGTGACTTTGGAGGCGGTGGTGGTGGGTACGTGAGAACAACAAGTAGTGCGAGTAACAAGTAGTCTCATTAGAGAGCGTGGGATTTTTGCAGAGATGTGACCGTGAGCTGCTGCAGAGCCAACTGAGCTTTCCCCGCTTTCTCCCTCACTTCTAGAGGCAGAGGAAGCCAGGCAGGCAGGCAGAGAGAAAGCTGGAGATAGAGGAGGATGGGCATGTGCACCACGACAGACGGCTCTCTCTCTTCCTCTCTCTGGAACAAGTGCACACTGAGCTGGGGAAAGTGTTGGATGGAGAAAATAAAGTTTCATATCGCCATCAACATTATCACCAGGCGAGGCCAAGTTCATGTGGTTCCTCGCACTCGTGTGTAAATTATCCCCATAAATCGTGTGTGTATGCAGATCCACGGAGATGGTAAAACCACACAAGGGTCTGAAACTGCGTGCATATGGGTTGGTTCGTCTCCCCTCATGCTATCAACCATCTCCATCGAATTTATGGTCCGGAGGCAACAATGAGGGCAATATGTTTGGGTGTGATGAGGAAAAGTTAAAAAAAGTATGACTAGTTTCTGTCGTCGTTTTTAGACCAATCCGAAGCTCATGTTGCCATCATGTCTCTCTGTACGCACAATTACCCTCACATTCGGCTTATCTTATCGCGCTAAGATTTTACACACATCGAGGTCCAGAACAAATGCGGGTAGCCAATGGGGTTACGAAATCAGTGAGGGGGTAAAACCAACCAAATCGTAAACGATGCAAGCTGTGATACGTGTGACTCTTACAATTTGAATCCAATCTACTTGTAAGCAGGCGTTGAAAGCCATCTGCAATAGGAGGCAATGAAGCTGCATGGCTACTTGATGGTCGTACTTATAAATAATAAATGCCGAAATTCTGGCTCAGGCAAAATGAAGGCTGGAGATTTTGTGTGGTGAGGAGAGTGGCAAGAGCTTAGACGAAGATGATGCACATGTGGACGAACAACTTTCTCCGGCCAAACTTGAAATGACTTTTCACCTCGAGAAGAGTGAAACGAGTCGTCAGCAGCAGGAGCAGCTCGATGCCATCCACCGAGCCTCGTAAAATGAGGACTTTATACTTTTGAGACGGTGAAGGAGTGAGAGAGCATCATACACAATTTGTCAGTTTATTTCGACTGACATCCAATTTCTCTCTTTGGAAGAGACTCGGCTCCTCTTTCTCGCTCCCTGCCACAAGGACACGACACCAAAGGAAACAAATTCGCTTTACGACAAACGTAATAAAACAGCAGTTGTTTCCTTTCCCTTTGTAATGAATCCATTTTGTAACAAAATATGGCGGCGGTCGGGCTTTAATTTACCTCCGCAGCCGAGATGAAATATCCAACCCCAACTTGACCTTTACCTTTCCGCTTATAAAAAGTAATCCTGTGAGGTTTCACACACTCATATTTCGTCCTCCTTCTCCCTCCTTGGCTTCCTCTCTCAACGTGCGAGGACGGGAATCAAACGCTGTGTGCTGAATAAGGGAACTCTTGTTGGCGTTGCAGGGTCAATATAAGGCGCATTTGGCCCACTTTTTTGGACATTTGGCCTTTCCAAGTTCACCAACTTGCCCAACTTTCACCCACTTTCTCCACGATTCACTCTATTCGTGGACGTGAGAGTCCTCCAACAAATGGAGACATGCTGGCTGGCTGACTTTCTAAAGTGGAATCATAAAGTGTTCTCGTGCAAGACGGTCGTCGTCGTCCGTCATCGCTCCTCGTCCTGTCAGCCCATTGTTGTAAAGTTGGTTTTATATTGTCTGAACGTGAACAAATGAAATTATGGAGGCTCTTAATTTATGTGAATGCGAGGTAGCAGTACAGCGTATGGCATATGTAGCCAAGCGTGTTTACGCTGAATGGGGCGGCGTATGCTGGGATGAAATAGGAGTAAAAGTTCATTTTCTTTCACTCTCTGATCCATTAGACCTCTGGATGAAGGGAAACTCTAAAAGGCGGCCATTGTTGCTAGCGAATCTCTCTCTCGGGCCTGGCTGAAAAAGTAAATTTGTGCGAAATGGGAAAGCAAAGAGCCCGAAATGAGATTGGTGATGACTTTCTGAACAAATGTTATTGCTCACTTTTGTACGGATGCCAAGTGCTAATTCTTGTGCCAAAAATCAAATCATACCACTCGAAGGACAACCCGTGCTCGTACATTCGTACATTTGTACACGCTATATATTTATTATCGGCCACCTAGACATACACCGTCATCCTCGTCCGGGAACAATGTCAGCCTTTCTTCTATAGCCGTGAATTCGGTGAAATTTAATAAAGCTTCTTTCCAATTCAATTCTGCTCTTCAAAGGATATAAATGTGTGAGGAAAATTCGAGCAAATCCAGTTTCACCATCATCCGTTCGTAGCGTTGTATAAGGACGACGGCAAGAATTGTGCAAGTTGGTTTCCTTTCGTTGACATTTACACCATGTGCTAAAAGTAGGAAATCTAAAATTCGCAACATTAGTTTACTTTCAACTTTGCCATTTTATCGAGCAGTCGATACTCCTCTTCTGGCTGTCTAGATAACTGCGTGCCTCGTGGAGTCTCCCCTCCTTCCGTCTCTGCTAATTAATTAAATTGAGAGTTGCGAATGAGCGATGGGGAGAAAGTCGTCCAGGCTGAGTGAGAACTCACCAGCACAATTAAGTCCAGGTTCTGCGAGCAGCTTATTACGGAAAACAAGGCGCAAAAATGAGGTCTCATCCCTCGCGAATTATTCGCACCAACATGGCGCTCCGAGTTCTGCTGGGGATGAGGAAACAACCTCGGTTGCACAAGTTTCAGCAGAGAACAGAACAACGAAGAAGAAGGGTGACAGGCTGCGAGGAAGAGGGAGAAATAATGAAACCATGCTGCATTTCGCCATCGGTATGTCTGTCCACAGCAAAACAAAACTGGCACAATTTGTTTTGCTGTCCTTTCATTTCATTAATTTATCCCAAAACTATCAGATTGAGACCACTGGAAGTTTTCCCCTTTGTTGCAGGATTGGTTCTCGGTCTTGCTTACTTTCTCTTCATTTCGAAACATTTCCAAACCCTGACCAACTTTTCCATGCTGACCAACCTGGAGAAGGAGCTGTCCCTTCCCACTGACACGGTGAGTCCTGCTTCCGCTCAGCTCGTGGCGGCGTGAATAACAGAGAAAGGGAAATGTGTCAAACCCTGCTTAACCTTTAGCCCCACAAGTAGCACGTACTTTCTCCAAGGAGAAGAGAATAATGATGTATGCAAATCCACTGCCAGCATACATTTGCATCCACACAGTGCAAATGAATAAATACGAGTAAATAATGCATCACGTTCTCCTATGTCGTAGGCATTCCGATATTCCTTCTTTAAACGGATCGGAGGAGGAGGAGAGGACACCAAGGCGACCCTCTTGGCTGGGCTGAGGTCCGTCATCTACGACACGCGCAGCAATTCCCCACAGGTCACCAACAGTGTCCGCCAGCACGGCCTCGTCGCAGACGTAGGTTCTCCCCTCTTGGGTCTGCTTCTTCTTGGCTAATTTTCAGGACGTGCCACTTGTTACTCATTAACGCTCTATTACCACGTGTGCTGCTGCCATTGGTCGTAGAATGGATGAGACCGTCACATTTCGGCTTTGGCAACATCGTCGAAATAATTGAATTTAGGGAATAATAATCCGAGTCGTGATTTTAGCGAGAGAATAATAGCACACGGTGAAACTAATGGAGGAGGAGGCACAGAAGCCTTGAAACTTGTCCGTGTTTTTAGGAGCTGGATCAATAAATTTGGGCAATGCAATGTCACGACGATGTTGAGAGGAAAGTCTCTCTTTCTCCATCCTCCACACTTTCACCACCACCACCGCGTATTCACCACCTTCGTCGCTTCTTGTGACGCTTGTGGGATGATGATCGTGGGAAACCTTGCATGTTGCTTTCATCCTCGCATTTATGGTGAAAGCAAACAGCTAAATAAATAAAATAAAGCTTATTCCTGGAAATAAGTAAACATGTAATCAAATCATGCCGCTGGAAATTTTATGGAATCATGAGTCGTCAACAATTACTACTTGTGGCAGACAAATATTTTGCTGATGAAAAACATTTATGGACCAATGCGTAATAGCATTTGTTGTTTTGAAAGTAGGCTCTTCTTGCGACAACTTTCCACGTCGTAAGGAAGATGTGGAGCCCCCGCTGTTGGGATGGCGCCTCATCGTCGGTGAAGTGGTCGGAGCAAATCTGTTCCGGATTTGGAGACCCTCTCACCTTCTACCTGACCGCCCATTGGGCTCTCGACTCCCTCAGCGTGACCCTCGTCGTGGTGGCTGCTGGGAAAATGAGGTGCAACTAAGAACTGTGTAATTCCTGATAAGACACAAATGGTCACATGGTATGATTGATTTATGCAGTGGGTCAAGGGTTGGAGGACTCCTATCCGGACTCACCTTTGTCTTGAGTCACCCCCAATTCGGCGACTGGACCAGGATGTTCCCCAATGGAGACAGGATCGGCTTGTTTCTTGCTTCCGTCCACGTTTTCATGATCTCTCAACTTGTGATAAGACCCCTTCACGCCTCCTGGACAACGGTCGGTACTCGCGAATTTTGCCAATGCTTCCAAGCATGTTGCATCATATTTTGTACGTATTACTTAATAACAAGTTTTGAAGAAAAAGTTTGGTTTCTAAACAGGTTGTCAAGTTGGGTGTGGTGACGGGATTGATGGCAATTTTCTGGCCGATGGAAGTGCAGTGGGTTCTCATCTCAGAACTCGGAGTAGTTTTGGCACTCCATTTCTCAAACGTCGTTTCTCCATACGTCGTCTCGGTCGTGGTGGGTGCGCACGTTGTAAGTCTCGCTTCGGGTGCAGGAGCATTTTATTTTTACGGCTTTTCTGTACGCCACACAAAGTCATTTCAACATTATAACTCGTTATGAAAACTTTATTGGAAAAGTTGTCCGTTGCGTCACCATTTCTGAAACTATTCGTTCCATCAAAAAATTATTTCCTCGCTTTATTTATTTACACTCCTTGCCGTAGTCTTTTGTGCAATTTTTTGCAAGGATTAAATCACCCCGTGTTAACCACAGGTCGGTTGGGAATACGCATCTCTTGTGGTTCTGGACCCGACCCTGAGATGTTGGACCTTTTACGTCTACCTGCTCTTGGGCACTCTGGGCGTCACGTTTGGTCTCAGACTCGTCGTGGATAAGCTTTTTGGGGCCAAGTTGGACAAGTGGCTGTTCCTCCGAGGTATCATCCTCACTGTTGGTCTCTACGTCCTCCTCGTGGAAACCAGGCATGGCGTGTGGACAGTGTTGGGCAATGTTAAGGAAGATGTATGTATGATGAGATGTAATGATAGTTAGTGGAAGGTCATAACATGTTATGCAAATTAGATTCGCATGTCGCGTCATCTTCGACAATATCCAATAAACCTGTCAGAAGGTGTCGACACAGCCAGAACTTTCCCTCCTGGCGCGTTTGCCACCACAATTAGTTCGGACGAGAGCGGTGCTGAAGAGAGCAACTCGCTAGAAATAATGGATTCATGGGAGGAGGACCGAAATGTGTCTCAGATTTCCCTCCACGACCGAGGTCAGCATTCCCCTCACTCCCATCTCACCGAAGGAGGACACAACCCCACGACTGAAATGGGACACTCGCAGGGTGATGATGAACTTTTGTCTATCGGAAGATCCGAACAGGGTGGCTGGAGGCCCACCAAAGCAGAAGTGGTCACTGCCACCGCGCTCAAACAAGCAGTGGACGCAGGTACCGCACTGCCAGATTCTAGAAGACGTCTATTTCTATGAAAAAGTGTGCCCGTTGAGCACATACTTTTCACTCATTTTCAGACTCCGTGGAAGTGGGAAGCAGTGGAGTGAGGAATGTGAGTGACACCGGACAGGCTGATCTTCATATGAACGAGCTGACAGATTACCTCACCCATTGCCTCGTTTCGGCAATGACGACGTCCCCCGTGGGCAGACTGCACCAAGTTTTGCTCGACCACATCGCCCCCTTAAGCCTCGCCCTCGGAGCCATCACCTCCTTTCACCGGTACAGATAAGTGCATATTCCTCCATCCACTTTCTCCCCGATTTCCGTCCAGCATTCGACGAGATTCATAAATAAATAACGAGAATGTCCGTTGGCTGAGAAATGGGCTAAAAGCGTACAAATTGCAGTTGTGAGATAATTCAATTTGTGGCAAAATTTCCATTTTAATCGACGTTGATAAATTATCCTTGTGCCATCGCTCCTTCACTCAGAATAATCCGCTCTCTTTCTATGTCCCACTTACGGACTGACTGCGACCATCCGTCCATTCCCTTGATGAATGTGCTTTTTGAGCAGAAAGTTGGAAATCAGAGAGACAAGTTGTTTCGAATAATTCAGCCCCATTAACAATTTGGATTCAATCCTTGTGGCAGAAAACTTTTAATTATTAACTCCTCGTGGACCTGTTTCTCTTCGTAATGCACTCATCGTTTTCAGGGAGATTGGAAAGCTGGTTGCGATCAAAGGATGCAACGGGAGCAGCAGCCGAGAAGCCAGGCTGTGCAGGAGTGCCCACTTTGACGTGGTCATTTCCATCGCATGCCTTGCCCTGTCAGTCCTCGTCCACGACAAATTCGCAGTTCTGTTCTTCGTCCAACTTTCCCTCATCGCGTCATACCTCCTTTTCCGACTGGACATTCCACGCCAAGGGGGACATGGTCGTGGCGGCGACCGCGACGAAAACAGGGTATGCATGAACTGTACATGTAGCTCTCTTCCCCACTTCTAATTGAGTTCTCTGTGTCCCTTAGGAGGTCGGCTGTGATTACTGGAAGTGGGGAAATAACGTCACTCTGCGTCGTCTGATGCATTCTGCCCGCAGCAGGACCACCATCGTCACAGCCGTCGTGTTTGCAATGGTGATAGCTGCAGCCAAGCGGAAAATGGACTTTATCTACGAATCTCCACACCAGTTTCTCAACCAAGGTGGGCATAGTTATGGTTAGGTCTTAAAGAAAGCACAGATTGGTAGATCCCGTTGTATCGGCTGGACAAAAGTAAGATTTGTGCTTTGATGATGAGGTGATGCTGCTGGTGGGAAAGAGGAGCTGGTTTCGGCCATCAAATGGATCCGTGACCAGACGCCGCTCAATAATGTCACCTTTTTGGGCCCGTCGCCCCTCTTAACGACCGTGTACGGCAGTGGGGACAGGCCTGTCGTCAATCTGGAGGATGTCAATAATCTCTCCCACGGGAAACCCCCACCGTCCGCGGCAGTGCTCTCGTTACTCTTCAACTCAAAACTTTCACTCGGTCAGTTATGCCAGATTTTGAATGATGACAGAACCACGACCGCATCCACCTATCTTTTCTTGAGCCGAGATTTCTGTTTAAATCCGGCTTATCCTCACTCTCGCTCTCTTGTGAGGATGCCGCCTCTCCATTCTTCCCCTTCCTCTGATGGGATGAGCGGAGACGACATCAAAGGCGAACCGACGATCACTTTGCGGCAGAAGGAGAAAGCGGATGAAATACTCGGAATGAAAATGCGCTCCAAACTTCATCGGCAGAAAGAGTTGAGAAACGGAGTGGTCTCGGATATATCCACGTCAGATTTTGAGCCGATTGACAAGTATGGCCAAAAATACGCACAGCAGAATAATGAGCTGTTACATGATGCATACATGATCAATCATGCATACATATTATAATTTGCAGCCCATCGTGCAATCTAATTAGATTTTGGGACGACAAAATCAGCAATAGTTGGAATGAAGGACGTCACAAGACGACTGAATCGAGCCCTGCAGGACAAGGACGCGTCCCTTGCATGCGACTTTTCTCCAGCGACACGGAACTTGAAATCAAACCATTTCGACGAGTATTCCATAACAGATTGTACTCCGTGCTTACTTGTGCTCGAGAATGAATTTGTAAAATAAAACGGCCTTTATTTTGTCAAACGAACATCCATCCATTTCGATAAACTTTTAGACAACGGGTAACAAAAACATTTCGGGTGCATGGGTATGATTAATATGATCTTAATTACAACTAATTTACCTACAATTATACTTATGTACTTATACATAATTAAAATTAACAATATTTAATTTAAAGGACACGGATCACTGTTGACTTTGGTTGAATTGGAGAGAAATGAGAGAAAAAAATGTGAGATCGACTCCTTTTTATGACGACAAAAGTCGTGTGAACTCTGCAAAAACCATGTCACAAAAGTATTGTATTTTGCATGGAAATTTTAGTGGTAATATTTGTTGTTGAGATTGGCAAATTACCTTCATAGTCGATTTTTCCATCCTTATTGAGATCAGCCATGGCGATCATGTTGTCAATATCTTCGTCAGTCAGTTCTTCTCCCATCAACTCCATCGCCGTCTTCAACTCGTCCTGTTGAGACAGAAAGAAAGACTTGAAATACATTCGTTTCTGGATTCTAAAATTTTTGATTGATTAAAGAATTTTTTTTACTCTTGTAATGAAACCGTTGTTGTCCTTGTCAAAAACGTGAAAAGCTGCCATCAAATCATCCTCCGTCGTCCCGGCGGGTCCATCGTCGGTCAAATGTGTTGAGACGAATTCAAGAAATTCTAATTCAGTGAGTTCTCCGGATCCTGCATGAATCAAGCAACAAATTGCATATCAATTTCCGCTTTATTTACACACCTGACCAAGTTCAAGATCTTGTCAATCCATCAAAAAAGTGACGCTATTTTTAGTACCCGTGTGACTACAGCGGTGGAACAAGTCCAACACGAGCTCGTCGGGAACCTCGATGGCAAAAGTTTTCAGCATGGCTTGGAGTTCAGAGACGGAGAGCTGTCCGTCCTTATTCCGGTCCAACATATTGAAAGCCACGCGTAACTCTGTTGAGAGGAAAAATACGTTATGAAATCAGCATAATAATATCAACATCATAATTTTTAACACTTTTAAGATTTATGACGGGACACATGAGGACACGCTGATTCACATTTATCACATCAAACCCGGCAGCTAGTAGGTTTTCAATGTCAACGTGTACAAGATTATGTAATTAATGCGACATGCGACAGGTTTCCTAAGCCATGGCGGACACTTACATACGTACATTCGTTCGTAAATCTTTTCCCATCCTGCGCACACGGCTTCTCCATTCATTCGTGGACTAATTGCGTTCAAAAATAAACAGAAAAAAGTATGAGAACATGGGGAAAATCCTATTTGCGAATATGACGAGATAATCGAATATTAACTGCCACGGCTCATTTGGAAATATTAATACACCACGCGGACAAGATATCGTGGTTTGGTTACATATGGCGAACTTTGCCAATTTCTCTGCCGCATGAGTGCGGCTAATAACATCGCATTGAGCACTCAAAGTTTCAAAAAGTATGTATCGCCGTGGGTAATTGGGAGTGCGGGGAGGGGACATAAATCCATGTGGCGTCCTTTCCAAGTCCATATTCATTATGCATTAGAAGAAATATTTACTAGGCACTCGCTTTCTTTAACGGATTGATGGCGTTGACTGACTGATCCTCTCTGCTACATTGCATATATCCGCGTACACAAATAAGCACGGGTTGTTCATGGTGCATTTGGCACAGGATAAAAATAGCGCATCGGTAAAGTAAAGTCAGTCAACGAAGGAGTAGTAAAAATAATAAATATCAGCAGCGGCGCAAATCAGCGTGGGGCCAAGTTGAGGACGTTTCGCACACGGAAGAAGAGGAAAGAGCAATGGATACATTTATATTATGATGGCATTTCTATTAATTGTTTTATATGCTGTCTCGAGGGATAAGGTCATCACGATGAAACGTGGAGGTGGCAGGAACACATGTCCTGCAACGATATCCGCCATGCTTGTCACCCGCATTAACGAGAGGATGATAAGCACACTCTGCAAAATTTCCATCCAACTGTCCTTTTCCAATCAAATGTGTCAAGTTTGGTCAGAATTAGAATTACCATATTTCGTACGACAGAGCAGGTGACGTTTGTTTGGTGGAATGTGAATAAATTTTATTAATTATTGTTCTAGTGAAACATGATATTCTGCAGCTAGTGGATAATTGGGAGGATGATTGGGATCCAGTTGCGGAAACTGGCAATGCTTTGTGCATATTTGAAAGATACATATGTACATGACCCAAATAAATAAATAGTGAGCACACATGTGCACCAGCAACCTCCACTTTTCTTGGACTGCACTTGATCAATTGAAAATTTGAGGAATTGTTCCTCAAAGTTATGGGATTCATCGTGCGGAAATTGTTTATTGGGAGAAGCGCCAGAGTCAATAGATTTAGATTCAAATCGCCAATTTAATGTGATAGTGAAACTGAGAGGCATAAAATAAAGTTTGTTTACAGAAGAAAAGAGAAAATCTAAGTCATTCGGGTGGGTGAAGAAGCTATCTGCAAGCTAACACACGCTTAATTTTATTGAGCCAGACGCCAGTAATAAAAGTGCAGTGATCGCTACCACTGGTTTCATTCAACTGCGCTGTTTTGGCTAAGAGGATTCTTTGGGATTTTGGGTGTGTAACCTGTCGGATTCTGAGAGGGCGATGTTGATTGTGAGATTCCTCTTAGTCACAAGACGGCTATTTTTGGTAGCTCGAATAATCATGACCAACAAAATGGCATTCGTCATTGTTAACTTGTTCTATGAATGTACTCGCATATTTTCACGTCTCAAACTAAATATCCAACTCCACAGTAAAATTGTCTCATTATTGGCAACTTAGGATGCAGTCTTATTTTCACTCACCACCCGACTCAAATCTAACCAAGCACCTGTATGAATTATGCAAATGTTTATGAAATGCAAATGAGTTATGAGGTTAAAAACAGGTAAAATCTATTTTTGTTTTGATATATTTGCTTGATGAAGGAATTCTGTAGGAAGGAATACCGAAAACTTGAACAAATAAATACAAGTTTCAAGTAACATGTCCTCAAACGCCGATTTAAATGATCATCAACAAGTAAAATCTAATTAAAATCTAGGAAAAAGTAATTTCTTATTTGATTACCTTCAACCCCGTCGGAATTGAGACTGGCGTAGGACTCTTTGGACAAGGAACGGGAGATGAGGTTGGCTGCCGTGGTCTTGGTGGGGGCTTTTGTGACCGTCTTGGTGGCGACGGATGCCTTGGTTGGTGCGGGTGCTTTGGTGAGTGGCTTGGATTTCGATTTTGCAGACATTTTGCTAAGAACTACTATTCCACACGTAATATTTCCCGTGGTTTGTCCTGTTAGGACAACTTGTCTTATTTGAAGATTTTTTCGTAGAATTTTTTAAATGTTGGTGGTAACGTTGCACTCGTGTCTCCCGTTATCTTCTTGTGTCGACAGGAAATGTAAGACTGGAGAAGTTGTGAAAGTAGCTTCCGTTGACGTCGTCGAGTGAGCGACTACTGCTCGAGGATGTTGATCATGACGAATAAATAACTACTTTATTAGAAAAGAGTACGAGAGTGAGTGAAGGTGTTCCCTATTTACTCTTCCTCTCCGAATTCGCTAATTTACTCCGGAGAAGTTGAGAAGGAGGGCAAATAATCAACTTGTCACATATCAGATTGGCAAAACCAGACTAATCGGATATATGGTATTAGTCTGGGGAATTTTTTATTATGGCGATGGAACAAGTTCAAAAAATGGGCATCCAACTGGTCATCTCAGATGACATGATTCTGTCAAATGCACTAAAAACTGGAAACTTTAATACTTTCCCAATGTACTTTACGCTACGGGAACATTTCCCAATTTCCAATTCGCCGAAATGGCAGAAAGTGCAAACAAATCTTGGTGAGCTGAGTTGGCTTTTGGCTTCCGGCCCATTCTTGCAACACATAATAATAACAACACAACACGAGTCGTGGACCAATTCCTTATCAAACAAGAGATGTTCCCAATATCGTGCAAAAGAACATGTATTCCAACCAACGTGCGTTTATCTGTTTCCATTGTATTCTTAATTGGATCATTCGTGAAACCTAAAATATGTCAACTTCAAAAACAACAAAAAATGCCAAAGCGTTTCGTAAACATTTTCATGCTACATTTCGTTGATGATCATTTTATAACTTGTTGATTCAAATCTGGTTGTTCATACTGCTGCAACAAAGACGTGTTATATTTACTATCATCACAAGATTACAAACCTGTCTCATGCATGATGATGAGACTCTCATCACCACGAAGATCTGAATCTGAGTCCGAAAGCATGCGCCTACATCCAGGCGATACACGATACGTATCGTGCATAACACAATATACCGTAGATCGAACACTTAGGTATTCTCTGCATGTATTTCTCTGTGGAATGGAATGGGATGGAATGACAAGGCGAAATTGGGCATTTTTGCCTTCACAAGCAGCAGCTGAATTATTATAAAGGCCCGGCCACACGGAAAAAAAATTATGACTTTCATGAGTAAAGTTGTACGTACAACAATTTGACTCACAACAAAAAGAATTGATCGAGCCACACGGAAATGTTTGCGCAAAATCTGTCGCGAGTAAAATTATTGCATGAAACGGGAAACGCCGTGTGAACGGTGAAGCGAGTAAATTTTTACTCGCAAGTAAACTTTTTTTTACTTTGAACATGTTCAAAGTAAAATAAAATTCTTACATGAAAAATCTCAAAATCCTTATCCTTTTAACGCATTTAAATGTAACATCGAGTTGTCTCAAAACTGAAAGTTGGTTTATTTCATAAATTCGCCCCAAAGATTAATTTGGTCTTGATTAAATTAAGCAAGGTAATAAAACACTTATTTTTAAATATAAATGCTATGATTTTGTTATTAATGTAGCGCTACATTATTTAAATAGCTTCAAATGGACAATAAAACGATTGTTGCTCTCATCCTATTGAGACGTCGACTTATTAGGCAAAGGTCCAAGAGAAAATGTTGGATTCATCCACTAAATTTGTTGCGGCCAACACTGGGCGAGCATTTAAAGCTTGAAATGATGTACACTAGTTATCCCGATAAATTCTTTGAGTACACGCCGATGACTCCCATCCAATTCGATAAGGTACTTGGCATGGTGACATTGGATATAACATTGCAAGATACAAATTATCGTCTTTCAATACCTCCTCGTCACCGGCTATTTATTGGCCTCAGGTAATACTAATTAAAAAGTTTGCGCAGAGTTGCATCATATACTTATTGATTTAATTTATTAGGTATTTAGTAAGTGGGGATTCAATCAAAACTATTGCAACCAGCTTTAGCCTTGGAAGGTCAACTGTGCAGAATATTATAAAGTCCGTTAATCAAGCTTTATGGAAAAATTTGCAACCGGTTTATCTGAAAGTATGCTTATATACATTTAATTGTAGCGCTACAATTATATATATTGATTAGTAATTTTTATAATAGGTGCCAGATAAAGAAAAGTGGATGGACATTGTGAAGGGATTTGATGAAAAGTGGAATTTTCCTAATTGTTTAAAATAAAAATGCGTTGAAAGGACATTAAATGTTCAAAGTAAAGTTTTTTGTTGCATGAAGGTTTTGTGAGTAAAATTTTACTCACCGAAGCTTGGTGTGAACACTAGGCACACATACTTTCATGCGTAAAAAAAACATTTGAACATTTTCCGATGCAAATTGTTTCGCACCACTTTTCTTTGGTGTGAACAGTGTTTGCAACAAATTTTACGCATGAAAACATGAATTTTTCTCCGTGTGGCCGGGCCTTAAGTCGTACAAAAAGTATACATGTACATAACCAGTTGATTTGAGTAAGTTGTTCAAAGTTGTGAAAAGAATCGATAAAGCGCTTGGATATTTCTGAATAATGCATTAGTTGGGATTGGTCAATTAGTTGTTCATTCGGCCTTTGGCTTGGGTAAATACCCAGGCAATAAGTAGTGAAAAGTGCAATTTTCTAATATTTAAATTGCAACGAAAATGTCTAAAGTTCCAATTAGCAAAGTGACCCAGTCCTGGCATTACATTCGAGACAAATGTGCTCACAAGTTTTGGGATCCCGAGTCGCCTCCCGACTTGACCGTAGAAGAAGACATCACCGGCCAGGTTGTCATTGTGACCGGGTCGAACACCGGGATTGGGCGAGAAACTGCCCTCCAACTTGCCAAACGCAAAGCCAAGGTGATTCTGGCATGCAGAAATCTGGAAAAAGCTGCAGAGGCGAGGGACTACATTTGGAGCAAGTTTCCAAAAGCGACCCTGGTGAGAATTACATAAGCTGGTAAAAAATTGTCATACATTTGCATATTTTTCCCCTCGACGATCAGGACATAATGCATCTTGACATTGGAGACCTAAGCTCCATTCGCAAATTCGTGTCTGAATTTGAGACCAAGTATGCAAAGCTGGACATTCTGGTGAACAATGCGGGCGTGATGTTTACGGACGGGAAGCTGCACAAGACGGAGGACGGATTTGAGGTCCACATGGGGACGAACCATCTGGGACCTTTCTTGCTCACCAGGCTCCTCGTCCCCTCCCTCAAAAAAGCTGGTCCGGGCAAGTAAGCACTATTAGTTTCATGCATATTTAATTTTGCTCACTACTTACTCGCGTAACATTTACATGTAATGGGACTTGTCTCGTAGAGTTGTGTGCGTGTCATCGTCTCAACTCACATTGTGCCGCTTGGACCTGGACGATCTCATGATGGAGAAAAGGGTGCGGACAGGGAGTGACGGGACGGAGCCTTACAACGTGTCCAAACTCGCCGACGCCTTGTGCATTAGGCGGTTGGCGTCATCCTTGAAACAAAATGATAATATTCACGTATTCCAGCTCTGTCCAGGTAGACAATTTTTCGATCAGTATTTATTTAGTATCCGCAAATTTTCCAAATTACTTTTGCCACTCTTGCCCTGCAGGATTTGTCACAACGGACGTGTTTCGCAGTGACGTTGGCCTGTTCGGATTTGTACGGAAAATCATGTTGCGAGTGTCGGGCGTGACACCAGCGTATGGATGTGAAACGGTCGTGTTTTGCTGCGTAAATAAGTCGTTGACGGCCACAGAGCATAATATGTTTTACGGGGCTGGAGAAATGTACCGTTTCTGCGCTCGCTATGAAGAGGGGACGAGTTTTCTTGATCCCGAGGACCCAAAAGCAATCCAGTTGTATAAAATGAGTGAGGAATTTGTTGGACTTGCTGAGTAATTGTCATACTCGACCAAATGTTGTAGTAACTCGAGCTGCCGAATATATATATTTATTTATAATATATTTTTGTACCCCAGTTTATTTAACCTGTTGCAAGTATAGCAGCTAAGGGTTAGTGACGCACAATAAATAAGTAAAAAAAAATGACCATGCCCATCACAATTTATTATCACAACCAATATCATACAACGGAATCAACATATTCCGCCTCTCTCTTCATCCCAGTTCCGGGATGAATTCGAGGCACTTTATGGCGTTCCACTGGACTAGCAATCATCGCAGTTACAACTCTTGACTTTTCTGGACAGAAGTTTAGATTTGATGCACAACTATGCAATATCTCAATTTCCCCTCTAATATGATCATCTACTAAAAATTATCTAAGCGTTGTCAGAGGGACAAAGCAATGCTCAAGAATTCTATTGCTCAAGAACACCCACATCAGAAACAGCGCCTACAGATTTTTATTTATTTCAATTTGCTAACGATTTTGCACTTGCCCATCACATATTTGTCCCATCTGCCGTGCAGTCTTGTACATAAAAAGCCAGCACCGCAAGAATGAGCGCCGATCCGAGCAACCCACCCCCTGTCCAACCCAAGGCTGCTTATCCCCCTCTCGAAGCAGTTTTCAGGTCAGTGGATGAGTTGGTGAGAGTCAGCCTGAACAACGCTGGGGACGACATTATCCAAAATATCGTCCTGCCGGAAATGCAAGCACCAGCGATAGAAGCGTGAGAATTTTTTTAGTATAGAGCCCTGCTTTATGTACATATTAACGTATTTAGAAAACACGTGGATAAGTGGTCGAACTTTGCTTTTCTGCACGCAGTTCCGTGGTGCCTGACGTGTGGCTGCCTGACATCGAGGCCATGCTGGATGCCAACATAGGAATTATCATTGACGAAGTGTGGAAAGAACTTCCGCAAATGGTGAGCGATGCGATTGACTCCGCAATTGGCGACTCGGGTCGAACCGTCCTTCCACAACTGGCCAGAAACGAGTACACCTGCGCCTTGCCTTGTAATTAGATCTCACCTCTGTTCTCCCACTACATTATTCTGTAATGCGTGCTAAATAATACTTTGTTTTGAAGGCAACTGTGAACCGGGCTGTCCAGGCGTGTCCCCTGATTGTCAAGACGAAGAAGAACAAGCCGACGAGTTTTACTGAGCTAAAGATACACATGTGAAATATGCTAATTTCGTACAATTAACATCTCTGCGCAATGGGACATTCTAAATTATTACAGTATTAAAATTTTCACTCATTACAAAAATTTTTGAAAAAGGTTTCTCCGAGTCTTCTTTCCATGTCTAAACTTATTTAGTAGATAAGCATTTGATTTGTAAAACTCGGCAGTGCATATTCCTTACTCGAATCCGCTTAAGATTAGTAGACAAGCACATGCAGTTTTGTCAAATGCTAATTTTCACTGCATTTCTACAGCATTACTGTCTAGTTAACTGCCAGAACGTTTAATCCGTCGGTAGACGGTCATCACTTAAGCAAGCAAGTGTGCACTTTCGCAACTGATCCTTTGGAAAGTAGTAATAAATTACATTCAGTTCTGGTTTAACTGGCATTTGAAAAATACTTATTAACAAGAGTTTAATTTCTTCTTGCGTCATCATGTCTTCTTAAATACACAAAATATATGTGTACTAAATATATAAATAAAATACGTAATTAACTAAATAATTTGTATATCAAAAGCGAAAACTACGAATAAAGATAAAAGAGTTTTGTTGCGATTAAAAAGACCAGTCACCGCAATACTGCAAATAACGAGTCAATAAGTGGTGATGGAGAACTCGCTGGGGTCGCAGGGGACTGTGGAGTTGAAGAGAGAATAGTCAATGATCCGCTCCCCCGAGGACGACTTGGACGAAGCCACGCACTCGAAGCGATGGCCCCACAAAATCTGAAAATTTCGATAAATAAGAACTGCATCCCAAAATGGTCAAAAAATTGGGTCCTCACCTCGGAGGGGAGATATGACGAGCGAGCCTGCGTCGTCAGCCCAGTCGACTCCACAATTCCTTCCAGCACGACAATAATTTCAAAGGAGGTGTTGCACTCGTTGAGATCCGCCGGGGTCAAGTTGTACAGCGGACTCTCGGGCGTAATTCTGTGGACGATCGTTGTTGGCCAAAAGAGCAGGATTTTGTCGTCCATCTCTCCGTCACCACCGACCTGAAACCAAATGAACATTAAACATACGTTTTCTAAATCTAAATTGTGCTATCGAGTTACTCGAAGTTCTTCCTGGTGGTAGGAGATGATTTCGCCCTCTTTGGTCGTCCGCTTCTGCACCATTTGCGCTCGAACGTGCGCCTCCAGCAAATGGCTTGTCCTCATGTCTGCAATGCGGAACATGAAATGGAGAACGCCATCCCGCGGAGAGATAACAGCTTGAGTGGAGAACATTAAGGTTTGGGAACGTTTCTTGGCTCGGGACATTTTGGTGAAGATGAGTCCCACGAGGAGCCCTTCGATGATAACGCCAAATATGGACTGAGAGAATTATGAATCAATATTAGATCGCGATTTATTTAGATAATTTCAACATGAGGTCGCATCGGTCAAATGGCAATTTGCCCTTTGATGGCTTGGCCATCATCCTACCGAACGACCTTCAGTATGCAGATTACCTGCGTGCAGAAGAGGATGACGGCCTGAGGACAGTCTTCGGTCAGGTGGTAGAACCCATAGCCTGTCGTGTGCTGCGTCTCCACGCTGAAGAGAAAAGCGGACGTAAAGTTTTGAATTCCAGACACGCAGGGCCTCCAGTCCGGATTGTTCACGTTGACGGTGTCGTTGTGCAGGTACACGATGGCAAACCACGCCACGGCAAACACTGAAAATATGGAATGATTTTTATTAACTGGTATGCAAATGAAGATGAAATCATGCATGATACTCACGCAGCCAGGAACCAACGTAAGCTAGCACGAAGACTGACATTGTCCACCGCCACTTGGTCTCCAGCCTGGAGACAAATAGAAAATATGAGCCAAAAAAACTCAGCAATACGAAATTAATGGTGAAATTGATTTTGTATGTACATTGTTGTGAAGAGATCTGAGAAGAATTTTCTCCGCTGCCTGGCCACGTGGGAGTAGGTGAAGTTGCAGACGCCGTCCTTCGTCACCGTCCTCTCGTACCTGCGATGTGGAGTGGAAGAAACTATAGAATGGTGATAAGCATTTTCCATTGATAAGGTCACTCACTCTTGCTGCTGCGCCATACTTAGGGATCCATAACTGCTGGGCGACGGACTACGGCTGATAACCGAGAGTCGAGTTGACGAGTTAATATTGCTCCCATTTGGAATCGGCAGCTTTTCTGATCCCATTGTTACTCGCTGACTATTAGCGGCACCCTCTCGGCAATAATTCTACCCGGTTTCAAGTAGAAAAAAAACTATGTAGCAGAAAACTGCTTCTTGCAGATCACTAAATATTTGGCGAGCAAAATAAACTATATGCACGAGTAAAACACACTTTGCAATTTGCAGACTACAGACTTGGAGCCTGTGAAATATGAGCCCTTGTTGCAAGTTAAGCCGTGACTCATAGTCTTGGAATGGAAATAGTACCGAAGGAGTCGAAATAAGAAAGTGTGGTTGTGAATGTGTGCACTGATTTCCAGGTCCATCGACTGTCCACACATAACAGTTTTATTGTTGATCATGCACGTCTTTTTGAATACATAAATGTCTGCATGAAGAGGCAAAAGTACGGGATGTATGAGCTTGAGGTACTGCACAAATGTAATATGTGCTGGTGTACATACATAAATAAATACGAATATGTTGTAGGTATCAAGTTACTGCTGCTTGTAAAAGTGTGGTGATAAGTACGTACGTAAGTGAGGCAATTTTCATGAACTGGTCTTACATGAACGAGAGGAGGACAAGTTCATACTGGATTTAACGTCTGTTTTTGGTAGATTGGAATTCTTCTCCTTGAACCAAAAATATTAATTATCGTAATCACTCACCACCAGACGACAACCAGCCAGATTATGTATCAGCTCTGTCTTAAGAGTCTTAATTTCAGATTACGCTTTAATCTGTGTAAAAAGATGGACGTGCCTGAACCTTTTTCTTATGTAAGCGCCTTGGATAAGTTCGTATTGTTTCACTTAAAAGCGTCACCAGCAGTAAATTCTCAAGAGAATTAATTCAGCTTGAGCACTGATGTCATTGCTGGGACTCACGTCAATTTCTGCAATAAATAGATGGAAATTTACTACAGAGGTATGCATGAATATTTGACAACGCGTATGTGTGTGCATATCAGTGACGTTGTTGTAATTTCTCACATCGTCAAGAAAACGAGTCGATGGGATTAATTTGGATGAAAACCAGTATAGAGTCGGCTTTAAATATCAAAAGATAAAGTGATGTATTTTACTACTTTTATAAATTAATTAACCACAAATAACATTAGTTAACATTGCTTAAATACATTAGTATACGATCGTTTAGTTTAAGGTATCAGTCGTTTGATTTGAAGGGATTTCAAGTTAAGCGTAACCTCCAGCAGGGGAGGCTAGGCCAGATGCGTAACCACCACCCCCACTTCCGGGATAACCGCCAACAGGGGAAGCTGGAACAGATGGATAACCACCACCACTTCCGGAGTAACCCCCAGTCTCGCCTCCTACTCCTGCATATCCACCACCTTGGCTGCCACCAAGCCCAACTATGCCCGGACCACCGGGTGCACCTCCATTTGGTCCGCCCCCCTTGTAAGTCACAAAGTAGACTTCTGGCTTGGCGGGTGGGTGAGGTCGTGGGTGCGTGATTTTGACCGCCTGTTCCGCACTGAGCTCCTCCGGCTTCCGAATCAGGACGTACACCAACGTTTTTTGTTCTGGGGCTGCTGGGAGGATGACTTGGGTCTGTTGAGGCGGGGGCGGAGTTGGGGCACGGACAAAAATTATGTTGTAGTGCTTATCGCGAGGTCCGCCCCCGTGCACAATTCGGGGACCACTTGGTCCTCGTGGACCTGGTTCTGCTGGAGGAACGTGGACGGAGACAAATCTGAAAATTTTAGCTGCACCAGGTCCACCCACTCCTCCTCCTCCTGCAAATCCTGCACATTCGCATAATAATTAACCCAACGCGCATAGGTCATCATGGGACAAGTAATTATTTATTTGTAACGATCACGTGTTAACCAACCTCCTGGTCCAGAATTATATCCTCCTCCAGGATGTCCAGCTCCATAGTGCCCGGCTTGATGCCCACCCCCTGACACACCCACAACCACTCCGGCCACCAGAATCTTTTTAAAATCACACCAATTTCATAATTATTATGGCAGTAATGACTTTAAATGTGCATTTACATAAATGTCTTGTCTCTGGTTTTCTTACCACAACTGCCGCACCAATTGTTATTGTCCTCATCTTGCCGTCGCTCTCCTGAATGTCAGGGCCTCAAGGTGGCCGTGTGCTTTATATGCGGCGTCCCCTTTCTTCTTCTTCCGGTGATGGAATACTAAACAACAACCAGAATACTAAAGTAAATTGGACGACATCTTCGTAGTCCACGCATGGCGAGTGAGACAATCAAGTGAGAGAGAGTTTTGATGCGTTTATGGCATTCGAATCGCTGTAGATCAAGTTACGTCAACATTGAATAACAATCGCATGCTCGCCGTCAATAACGGGTTTTCTCATTTTCGAATGTCATCTCATTTCGTGAGTCAAGTTTTCGCATGCATCGATCCATTGTGCGACTACTTTATCAACACACATTCATGCAAATATGAACTATGCTATTGATGTGCATATGCAACCAATGGAACGCATAAAAATTTGCATATGTATAATTCGCCGATTTGCGTGCAGTTTCTGAACAAAACTTGCAAAAACAATAACCATTTCATGCTTCCTAAGTAAAAATGACAATTGCTCTGTATCTTCAAACTTCCTCTTATCAACCGTGAGATTATTGTCATCCTAGTTTGCCTCTAATTTGCACATATTTATCATGTTTAGAATTCTTTGACTATGAGATGAGTTCATATCGATCGGTTTACGAACAAGCATGCTACACAGAAGGTTGCAAGTACTTGCAAGTCCATACATGGTCATCTTTTTGCTGGAATTATGGAATTCTGAGAATTATGAGTGAATGAAGGGTGAAAATGAATTCAGAGTCGACAAGAGCAATACTTTTGTTATTTTATATATACGCATATATTTTAATTATTTATTTATCTGCAAAGATAATTAACAACGAAATACTGAAAACAACTGAATAAAAAAATACTGAGATTGGTTTCGAACATGAGACGCAAAAAATAAGGTTTAGGTCCGAAACAACCATTTCAAGTTGACTAGTGCACCACAACAGCTAACCTACACACACGTGACAACGTTCCCATTTAAATTAAGGCAGATTTAATTGTATCCCCCCGCACTGGATCCTGGAACTCCGTAGGCAGCCGCGGCCGCTGCTCCTGCACCACCACCGACACCACCCCCAAATCCTCCCTCCCCACCAGCACCTCCTCCGCCACCACCCCCACCGTTATTCTTGTATCTGATGAAGAACACTTCCGGTTTGGCAGGTCGAGTGGGCGCAGGTTGTCGGATCTTGACGTCGGAGGAGACGTCTGGGCGTTTGACGAGGACGTAGACGAGTGTCTTCTGCTCATCCTGCTCTGGAAGGATGACCTCCGTCTGCTGGTTCGAGGAGTGAGAGGGGGCCTTGACAAAGATAATGTTGACGTGCTTGTCTCCCCCGCCGGGCACACGGATCACACGATTCTGGTTATCTTGTGGTTCCTCGGGTGCCACATGAATGGAGACGTAGCGACGGATTTGACCCCCACCAACTCCTCCACCCACACCACCACCACCACCACCGATCCCACCCCCTCCAGAATATCCACCGGATGGTGCTACGTAGCCTGCCGATCCTCCTCCTGAATAACCACCTCCACCACCCCCAGCATAACCCCCACCACCACCCCCAGAATAAACCCCAGCGCCACCACCAGAGTATCCCCCACCGCCGGCTGGGGCGCCATATCCCCGAACTGGAGGCTCTGCTGAAGCCACTGCCAACAGGCAGGACACCACCTGTGAACAATCCAAAATTTAAAATAAATTCCTTCACGAATACAAATTAAATGTAATCCATGCAAAAATTCACATGCAAGAAAGTTGAACTTACAACGAATAATTTCATAACGTTTTCTGCCGTTGCTAGAACTTGAGAGCAGAACCAATGAGGACGGACGCTGCTGAGAAAGTATGAGGCGAGAGGATGAGCAAGCCTTCTTTTATATGGGCCTTCATTTCTTCGCTCATTGGCATAATGACCTCACGGGTCATCCCAACTCACTCCCACCGCCATCGTGTCCTCGGGTCGCACAAACAAACCTTTAGTTGTGGAGGGGGATGAAGATGTGCCCACTTATTCCTTGGCAGGCGCGTCACCTTTCTTGACATGCCGAGATTGTAACTATGTATGATGTAACGAATTAGCAATATATGTATTTATCGTAGGAAGGAAGGAAGCGCACACTTCCTGCTACTCATGACGAAAATTACTCTCTCCACGACTCGTTTTTTAACCTCTGCCAAAATTTGACAATTCCACTCCATCCCAACAAGTAAAAGTCAGTGAACATGACATAATACTTACTGCTCTGCATAATTCCCAATGCGGCAACGTTATTATTATCGTGCCAATAAAGTTTTCCCCTCTTCGCGACGCCAACCTCATCGAGCGTGAGCAAATCCACGCCGCACTGTGGACTTGTGACGAGGAACCGGTTCCCATCTTGATTAAGATGCACTTTGGACGATATGGATTTTGGGGATGCTTTACATTTAAATCGACATGTGCATAAATAATATGCATTTGGTCAAGTAATCGTAAAATTGCATCCTCGCTTACACGTTTAATTGGGAGAAATTTTGGATGGGATGATCAACAAGAAATGAATAACTTCCTCGTTTCCTGTGACCCGCAGCACGACCCTCGCTCAAAATAAAAGCATTTGCTAATATTGCAAATAATATCAAACAACTCTGTAGAGCGATGTCACTATTCGCTCAGTGTCATTTTCCCATTTTTACACGCCACAACAGGATTGAGTCTTCTTCACAGTTATGCAACTTGATTCCAATCACGTAGAAAGTTGGCAGGACAGTTTTGATTGAAATTCGAGATGTTGTTTAACATGAAATAACACTCATTTTCGATTGGATGGAGTTGTGACAGTGAAATTAAATGCATGCTTTGTAGGCTTTATTTTTGCCATTAAAATTAAATTTTCACAAATTATTTACTTTATACTAATTTTAATTCTTTGCATTGCAAGAGAATATCTAATCTTAAGAAGGAGAATGACGACATTTACTTCAATTGGTTTTGACCCTGATTAACTTTGCATACTTAAATTATTTACATAGCTAATTTGGAAAATATGCAAATACTTTGATGTACATATGCACATGCAGCTTGATTGAAGAATCAAACCCGTGTGGAGTAAACAGAATAATAAATGCATGGTGCATGTTATAGTTTACACAGCGTCCTGTCAAATTATAATTATTGTTGTCCAGGCCTAGAGATTAATTGACCATGGTCAGTTGGTCAGTCACTATCGTTTGGCACCAGTTAGCTCAAACAATGGATAAATGCCCGTTTTTCCTCCAAGAATGTGGACAACCTTCGCAATTATAAGTTGTAATTTCCATTCTTCTGGACTGGCCACATGCATGCACTAGTTTTTTTATTTAAATTTTGGCAAGCTTGTACAGTATCATTATTATGAAAAACCGGTTTGGCGAATTTCTCACTTTGTTTACCTTGTTTCTTTTGACTGCCTTTTGTCATGTTTTTTGTTTTACTGCGAACTTCGTTACTTTAATATAAATACACATTTTGGTGAATCAATACATTTTACATGTACAGATCTAAATATGTCCGATTAAGCGATTCAGATAATTTCTCCTAAAATTACGATTATTAATCTGAAATCTTCATAATTTTCACGAGTAGGATTTGAAATGGTCGAACCGAGTGAGGAAGAGCGGATCCTGATAAGCCAGGTATGCCATATTTATTTATTTACACGTGGTCAATTGGTTAGGCTAACGCCACACATTTTTCAGCTTCGTGAGCACGTGTACGACATTCTAAAAACTGAGGAACAACGATCTGATCATTTTGTCATGAGATGGCTTCGAGGTAAACCTGACACGAAATGTTTATAAATGGCCACGAAAATGTTAGAATCAATTTTCAATCGGATTTGTTTCTCGCAAATCAGCTCGAAACGGGGATTTGGACCAAGCCGAAGACATGATTCGAAAGTCGTTCGAGTGGAGAACTGAGAACAACGTCGACTCTGCGTTGAAAAAGCCCTTGGATCCCTTCATCAAGGCGACGTTTCCATACTCTTTGCGCGGAAAAGACCTTCAAGGTCGCCCCGTGTTTGAAGTCTGTTTAGGAGACTGGGACATTCGCAAAGCCATTGACGAGGGGAAGGAGGAGGTAAATACTTTTAAGACTTGTGACCCAAATTTGTATTCTTTTTGTATTAATATTCGCATTTAATCATTAGGAGTTCCTCCACCTCGTCCACTACGTTCTGGAAGAAATTGTGGAGGAGATTCGTGCGAGTAATGACAGCGAAGAAGGATCCTCGACCAGCAAAAAAATGAAGGACGGAGAAGGGGGGTCTCCGTCGTCGCCATTTCCCAACACGCAGTTTACCTACCTCGTGAACTGGGAGGGTTACACTTATTCTCAACTTCTCCACTGGAGAGGTGACCCCCACTGACTCTGAATACACTGCTGTGTGCATATCTTTTATCTCTGAATGCTTATATTTATTTCTAAATAGCTGTCCAACACCTTCTCAAGTTTGCCTCCCAGTACGAAGCTCACTATCCGGAGATCATGTACAAGGCCGTCTTTATCAATTGTCCAGCCATTTTTCCACTCTTTCTCTCCCTCCTCAAAACCATTCTGGCTCAAAAGACGCTCTCCAAGATTGAGATGTTTGGTTCGAATCGGGACGAGTGGGAGCCAGCCTTGGACGCTCTGGTCGAGGAAAAGGAACGCAGTGAAAGCTTTGGTGGCTCCTTGTACCACTTGTGATTCGAATGTATCTACATAATTACGTAATTTGCATTTATTTCTGCTCAATTTTGAGACCAAATTTTAAAATATTTTGATGAAAAGAAATAATAAATCTGCGGACGAGTTCTACACCGATTAATAATAAATAAATATACGAGACAATATTAATCAGGGTTCACAGACGGAGGGGTTGGGAGGTCGAATGCAGGGGTCAACTCCTTTGGGTATGAGGCTTGGACAGTAACAGTAAAATTGCCACTGTTCTGCCCTGTACACAAACTGAGCAATTCCATTCAGAATGTTAAAATCCATAAAGTCCACGCCCGGCACAATGTCCTCGAATATGTCAAGAACTCCGGGATTATTGCACACGATTTGAGATGGCGTACAATCCTGGCATAAATTAATAGTTAATTAAAAATAAAATAGATGTTTCCCCTTGTAAAATATCACCAGCACTAATTTTACCTGTCGACAAAAACAGTCGCCCAATATGTATGCTCCCAGATTTTGTAGGAACCACAATGTGTTGCCTGCCTCGCCCACGATATCCGTCACAAGATCATTGGTTCTGTTGAAGAGACAAATCTTGAATCCGTCATTTTGAGACAGCTCCTCAATCCCTAGCACGTCCCCAACGAGTGAAACAAGAGCCGGCTGAGGTTGACAGGTCTCTGAAAGTTTTTAGAATTTTTAGATCCGTCAGTGTTACAAAATCTTCACGAGGTCTCAGGATCAGTACAAATCTATGTTTATCATCCATCACTCACGAGGAGGTTTTTTCGTGAAACAGCTTGGCACCGCTGTAGCAAAGATGATGCACAAGAAGTATCGGTAGGTGGACATTTTTGGGCGTAGTGGGATCAATAAAGGCCTTTTTAAGGATTAGTTCTGCAGTCAGAGAATATTTAATGCTTGAGTTAACAAGCGAAGGGTCTGGAATTGCAAGTCTCCTCTACTATTTAGTAGGACTTGGAAAATCCCACTCGATATTTAAGAAAAAAATCTATTTTCCAATTAAAACGAAGATATGCACTTAACATGTTATCAGCGCAGAGAATGTCAGCAAATGAGTTTATATAGCAGTTCTCATATCTTGTTCGTGACATATTAATAAACAAAATAATTCCAAGTGGGCATGATTTTATGACGTTTTCCTGACTTGGAACTTGTCTCAAGTTGAGGGGATCAGCATATTATTTATATTTTAGGCAGGTTTGGAAAGCAATCTGATTCGATATAAGTCAAAATCTCAATAATAAGCATAATAAATTATGAAAATAAACCATGATCGTAAAATTCCTGTTTCTTACATTATGAAAAGTTCACAAGGATATTCATGAGGCAGGTGCTTAAAATATGTACAAGAAACATGTACATACATACATACATACATACATACACAAATGGTTCGATTTGATCAATAAGTAATACAACAATGTATTCGCTCGATATCCAATAAATGTCAACCTGTAATTTGTCGAGCAATTACGGCCACGTTCCATTATCGAGACACGCACGCAATAAATGCGAATATTTTTCCTATGCCAAAGTCCGAGATAATCATTTTTTAGCCAGAAAAATAAAACAGTCTAAGCGGTCCTAAATAAAGTTGGGTCAAAGCGTGAAGTGCAATGTCCCTTCAAGGTCTCCTCATCCCCACGTGGGTTGGCTGCCTCGGTGGCTTCTTCTTTGTCCAGCGACCTTGGGGTCATCTCACCTTCAAGTCCTGGCTCCGAAGTCCCATTCTCTTCTGGACCATCTTTCTCGTCATCCCCCAAGTGTGCGTCGTGCACGACTTGGCTGTATCCGATGTGGCCTCGTTCGCCCCCTCCGGAAGTACCAACAACCCCATCTTTCGCTACATCCACTCGGGCGTCCTTGCCTGCACCTGTCTCACCGTCTTGGCCTTCCGCTACCACTTCATCCGCTATGCCAAACCACTCGCCAAGCTCCTCAACAGACTCAGGTACGAACCACTGCATACAAGGGACTTTATGTCCATTGGTCGTAATTATCTCCTGCTTTGTTCCCCAGTCGGATAGAAATAGTGAGAAAGGAGGAGGCTTCGCAATATTGGCGCAAGACCTGGATACTCGCTCATATCACCACGACGCTGTCCCTCATCGTCATCACAGTTTCCACCGTTCTTTTCAACCTTGGTGTTGTGAAGACCATAGTCGACAGTGGTCGTGGTTGGCTGAGTTGGATGGGAAATTTCGTCTACGTTCTTCATGCAGTGGTCTATTTCGGTGCTATGTCGACCCGCTATGTGGCGCTTGCCATTATAATTGCAGTCACTCTCAATCTTGGGATGATATACCGTGATATCTGCGACATTGTGGAGAAACGTCTGCTGGACATCAGCAGCAGAGATGAAAATGGCTCCAAAATCCTCTTGGCGCAGGGCTGCGACATGTTGAAAAGATTCGAGCAGTTCAAGTGGTGTGCAGAGGAGGCGGAGGAGATTCTTGGACCCTTTGTCCTCGTGACGATGTTGGCGTCAGGGTGGATGCTCGTAACCGGAGTGCACAACACCCTGGCTGGGTCATACACCGGAGGACTCAGCTTCCTCGTCATGGGAGAACAGTTGATCTATATTTCACTGATTTTCCTGGGTCAATACATAGCAAATATGGTGAATATCTAGAGTAAAATGAAGAAATTAAACCTTGGAATTTATCATCACATTACTGTGCAGATGAAATTGCGACGAAAACGGCTCCAGCGAATTTTGACTTTGAAGCCGTACATCCGTTCGACAAGTGGAGGAAAGCTGGCGCATCTACTGATCGCTTTCAATTGGCGTCTGACAGCAAGCAACGTGTTTGATGTAAACAGACAATTACTTTCAGGGGTGAGTTAAATAGCGTGAATTATTTACATCTACTTAATTAACATGGAGTATGCATGATTTTGTGATTTAAATGTTTATGCAGATCGTTTCCAATTGGATGAATTATGTTGTTGTTATTTTCCAATTTCAAATGGCGATGCAACCAAAATCATGCGTACCTGCATAATAATATTTATTAATTAATTGTGTTGTTTATTTATGTACAAAAAATGAGCTTTCATTTCTCCAACACTTTGAGAATAGGACGGCATTATATCATACGAAGACCTTGATTTTCAGTTATTCCAGTATTTCCAGTTGTAACTTATTAAGGAGAATTACTTTGACTTTGCACCAATTTTTGGATGAGAGAGAGCAATTCAGGTCTCATTTCTGCAGCCTCTTGTGGGGTCGCAGAAGGACAGGATGAAGGCAGGAGTGAAGCTCCATTATTCGAAGTCACATGTTGCAAGATAAGTTCCGCATTTCGTAGCACGTGACAGCCGCAGTCATGACTGTTGGCCTGTACTTTGCAGGACAAGTTATTGACGAAGACTGCATTATTTGTGTGCTGAGATAGCTTGTTGACTATGATCTTGGCATCTTTATCATTCCACTGATTCATGGAATCAAAGTGGACGAAACGACTGTCAACCTGGTTAAGGGAGAATCAATGAAGAAATAATTCACAAAGTAAAATTGAGACAAAATGTTGTCCCAAGTCATATTTGATGATAACCTTGGAGTATATTAAGAGTGACCAGTGCGTTCCACCCGAATGAGCTGATGGACTGTTGGAGTCATTTACGGCAAATGCGGTGTACTCGTGAGCGTCTATTCCTTCCAAAACCTGCGAAAAACAAGAGTGATGACCAAGTTATTATTACATACAAGATGTTAATTGGGAGGTATTATGATATCCTATACATACTGCTTTCAGAACCTCGGGGACATCTTCACTGGAAATCAATTTGACCAACTGGGTAACTTCAGGTCCCACAAAATAGCACACATTTCTTGCCGACTCTGGATTATCTCCAGCTAAATTAGTGTCCTCATTATGTCCTTTAGAGCTGCTGGATTTGGAGTAGTTGGATAAGTATTCAAAATAGAAACCTGAAATGTTCGCCAAATTAGATAGCTTCGTCACATTCAAGGCTGGCGGACTGATGGAGGTGTCTATTGTAGATGTCGTCACATGACTGCTAGGGAACCGTCCGAAGCCGTGAATTTCGGACCCGTACCGGGCCCAAAAAACTGAAACCTGAGAATTTAATGTTTTTCTCGCTTGCATAATGTGTGTCGAGGTCTGTCACCATAAAATATAGTTGGTTACCGTTTGGATTTCTATAAATTTTGACGGGAAAAATTTCAATAATTTTTGTTTTTGATTTTTCCCGTCAAAATTTATAGAAATCCAAACGGTAACCAACTATATTTTATGGTGACAGAGCTCGACACACATTATGCAAGCGAGAAAAACATTGAATTCTCAGGTTTCAGTTTTTTGGGCCCGGTACGGGTCCGAAATTCACGGCTTCGGACGGTTCCCTAGCAGTCATGTGACGAAATCTACAATAGACACCTCCATCAGTCCGCCTGCCTTGGTCACATTGTTATAAATATATCATTCTGGATCAGTCAAATATCTATGTATTTGCGTTACCTATCAATGTATCGTTTAACCAGCTATATCCTTTCAAAATGTCGAGATCAGCCTCCCGGACGACATAGTCACCAAAACTGAGCACCTTATCCGTGTGGGCCATTCTCCCCCCAATTAACCGAAGGCTCCCGAAACGAAAACGGTCCACGAACCAACGGATCACTTGCCAACAAGGGGAGATATTTTCCAGTTCAAAACGGAAGTGATGTTAAACAATTAATTGAATCAGTTTTTTTCTGACCGTCAGTACCGTCGCCGTATTATTTCATTAGCAGGAAGTACGATGACAACTAGTAGTTAATAAAACCGTGAACTGGACTGGACGAGAAGCGGTGTTCATGATGGGGAGGCAGCAGTCTCCAGACAAAGTCATTCCTTCCGGGTGACGCGATCGCGCCAGGTGTTTCAACGAGCATTTCATCCATGGGGAACAAGAACATGATGTATGGACAAAGAAATTAAATAGTTGACTCGAGCTAACTCGGTTCTACTTTTAAGCAAAACTGTTTATTATGATGATCTTGATAAATAACCTTAATACAAATCGAGAAAACTACACCCATTTTTCTTCGTCTTTTTCGAAACCAGTGGCAGAATCTGTCATCTTGTATTTTAAGTCTACTACTACCATGATTAAACACTAGTGCCACTGCTAACACACAATAATACACATTATACAAATGTTGCATCTTTAGTTGTTTTATGATTATAAAGGATTTTGCTAAAATTATAAATTATAAAATTAATAATATGTGTAATGACCACACTGATTGAACTGATTACTTGCAGAACAACCAACGAGTTAACGAATGACAATTTTTCAGTTTTTGTGCATCAATTGTTGATCATACGATTGACAGTTATAATTATAATATAATGTGTCCTTGTTACCAAAAAATCAGTTGAATGTAATAAAGTAATAATAAAGTGAGGGGACTCGTGACGGTACGAGACGAATCCAAAAATGACACGGAAGTATTTAAGGCGACTACTCATCCAAGGGTTGAACATCTTCTTTTATTAGAATTTCAAAAACTTCTTCTTGTAACTGGTTCTTATCCGCTCCAAGCTCGTCCGTATCATTGTCTGCAAGAGGCGAGATGAATTAACTAACATACCCATACATTCACTTATTAAAATAAAAGTAAAGAACGTACTATTTCGGAGGAACATTCTCTTTGGCTTCTGAGACTTGTACTCTTCTTGTTTCTTTAGTCGATATTCATTCCAGGCATCCAACAAATCTTGTCGTTTCTTGATCACCCCCTGTAATTCAATAGTAAATAAGTTAGTAGTAGTTGAAACAGAGTAAGCATGGAGAACATTTGACTTTTATCTCCTCATACCTGTTCAGCCTTGCTTCTCCTCTTTCTGTCCTTCTCTTCAAAGGCAGGACTGTAGGTTTTGAGGTTCTTCTTGATGTTCTTAACCTGAGCATGAGTAAGCAAGCATGGAGGTCTTGGACGCCAAAACAGATTCCCAAACCGCTCAACACGCTCTTTTCTAATTATGCGTCCTTGAAAATTTAGCAAGGAGAAACCGGTGTCGGACTATAGGTGAACCAACAGAAACTTTGTATTTCGTACTTAATATCCGTAAAACTGAGTAAAGACTATTTTCATACTCACCACTTTCCCAGTCCATGCAGAAACCGCGGACATGACGTATCTCCCAGTCGGGTCCCACTCAATATCTGTCGTCATTTCAGGCATGATGGCATTCATGATGGAGAAATCGGAAGTATCGATGAATTCCAGAGGACCCTCCGCCGTCTTTAATTGCGCCAAAATCACAAACTGCCCTTGAGGAGCCCAGAACATGGAGTTGAACCGTTTCTTTTCAAACCTCTCTGTAAATAATAAAAACCAATGGAGGAAATCAGTCACAATTAGAAAATATTAGCAACAACATAAACATTACTCACTCATCAGGGTTGGAGCATCACCCTTCTTGACTCCCCAAAAAGAAGTTGACCTGTAACGAAAAGTATGACTACTCCTCAACGTTCTGTCACTTTTGAATTATTGACAAGTATTATGTATCTTACATGCTGTTTGGTTCTCCGTGAATGATGGCAAACTTTGAACCCACAGGCTCCCACGCAAAGGCGACTATGGGCTCTTTAATTTCTACGCTGTCCACCGGAACTTGTTTCTCTCTCAAGTGGAACACCTCAAAGTTGTAATACATGCCCTGTGTACATATTGAAACAAATTACAACTCAAGCCCTTTAATTATTAAGAATTTGTCAAAAAATAGCAAGTTACTTACGCCATATTTTGTATCTAACAACTTATCCTTCTTCATAATGACCTTGGCATACCGGTCAACTTTCACGCACAGATAATCTCCGGATTTTTGCCAGTGCATTCTACAGTCGGCAACATTGAACAGATTTTTTGCTCGAATTTCCGACCGACTGGGAATTTCAATAAGCACGACACGCGCAGGGACATCTTTGTTTTCTGCCACCCAATAAGCAATAATGTTATCCGTTGGGGACCAAGTAAAGTCCCTGATTCCGACAACCTTCAGACTCTTGTTGTCTTGCAGTCTAAAACTCTGCAATTTATAAACGGACGTGCGTAATTTATTATCACAAGATATTCACAACTTTTTATACCACAGTGGTTAACTTACAGGAGTTTCGTAAACGGAGAGTGTGTCAGGTCCCATTCTGGCGAAAAACTTGTCATCATGTGACCTGAAAAATAATAAGCCAAGATATTAACAAGTGTACCAATCCCATTGCAGAATTTGTTTAGTTTCACACAATTCAATCAATGTTTAACTTACCACCGAATGACTGGCCACGGAGTCTTGTAAACTTCACTAAATGTACGTTTCTTTGCACCTGTACGAATCTCCCAGATAATGAGTACTTCCGGGTTGTCGTACTGCCTTTCTGCCTTAGGAGAAAAGGTAACAAGATATCTGGAGCAAAATTGATGTACATTAATAACCTATTCTATTGATATCCTATAATTAATTTGGTATATTTCATTACCTTTCGTTTGGACTGAAATCAATGAATTCAGCATTGATATGAGCAAAGCGATTGACTTTCTCAAACTTGTCGCCGCCCCAGACGGCCACACCTTTCCCATGGAAGGTTGCAAGATAAGTGCCTAATGGGGACCATTTTGCGATCGTTTCCGTTCCGCCAGCACGCGTAAGTAATTCGATTGGCTCGGGCATTGCATTGAGCCATACTTGAACATCATTCGAAGGCTGGTGCGGTCCTGTCAGATTTGAAAAATATTATTTTCCCACAACTATGCTAATTATTATTTACAGCTTTTGTAATACCTTTCGGAATGCCAATTTTAACGACCAAATATTGGTCGAATGCGTCAGGCTCGAGAAGATAGTACCATAAATTTCCAGCGTCCTTGTAAGGCTGAGGTTCTGGGGTTTTCCAGTCTTCAGAAATATTCTCATACCTGAAAACAATTAGAAAATAATAAATAGGTATTCCAGTTATGAATTATAAAAATTCTTAATAATGGTTCTTACTTTTCAAAGTCAGTGAACAAATTGACGAGAAGGGTGTGGTTCTTGTCAAACTTGTAGCCATCCATCGTCTTGACAGCCTCCGCAGCGCTGAGGGGATCCGAATACTCGATGAACATGTACCTGTTGATAATAATAATTGGCGAGTATTAGGCAACTACATACATCATCTACAATCTTAAGAAACAGCTTTACTATTTACTCTAGTAAGTATTGTTCGTGTAGCATTTTGTATCAGAAAAGATTAAGCCTTTGCACAATCATGGACATCTTGGCAAAAATTTTGTCATCATTATTACAAAATGTATTATATTTATTCTTCTAAACAAGATTAAGTTATTTCAAATAAATAACTTACGAAGTAGTTTGTCCCTCTGCCAAGGTAGACGCATAAGATTCGGTGTTGATGTTGCCAAACTTGCCAAAGATTTTGCGGATAACTCCCTTTAATTTGTCCAACCGATCCTCCCCGACGACGGGAAGTCCATCAACGACCACGACATTCTCGATGCCGTCTGTCTCCTTTGGTCTCGCGCGGAGAACGTCGCCAACCAATTCTGCACATACGGCACAATGCTTTAGTAAAATTCCCGAAATAAAATTCACCAAAAAACGAAAAACAAAAGAAATGAGAAAGTGAAGTAATACGATAAATCTAAAATCTCTCACCTTCATCGGTAATGTCATCTACAAAATCTTCTGGATCAGAAAATTCGGGTTCGCCGTCGCCATTCCCATTGCGGTCGTGGTCGACACTATCCTTCTTCTTCGCCATAACCACACCTCCAGATAAGCACTGATCAGCAGATTCAAAATTAAGCAACAACTTAAATTTCAGATTTTTAAAAATTCGGATCGAGCAGCAAACCAAATCGCGAGAGCAGATTGAGAGTGAAAGCCGGCCGTGCATGGGTCGTTTGAGCGAGGGCGCGACTTTTGGTGCAAAATTTAGCCCCCTCTTCGTCAGCCGGCTCCGCCAAAGTCATATCGGACGACAAAAAGAACACATTTTTACCGCTTGTTGAAAGTCTTGAAAGTTGAAAAGCAATTCCGTGCATGAAATTTTGAATGCAATTTTGAAAAGAAAGTTGCACATTATAGTTCTTGTTTTATAAATAAAATGAATAGTTCTTTCATGCAAAAGTCACAGATGCATAATGCATCCTTCAACGTTTCATTTAACAATAGGTAAAAAGAGCTTTATAATTTCTTCATTCTTTGATTGTTGATAGTTTGTTGTTTTGAAATATTTAATTAATTTGCATTTTCAGCATCTCAGGGAGTTTAAACTACAGTAGACGAGGGGATAGAGGAGGACGTGGCGATGGAACAATATTAATGAGCACGGGTCTTACCCAATCGCTCGAACCCTATGGAACCCCTCTCCCAGCCATGGTCAAAGTTGCCATCAGTTCATGCGGTGGAGGATCGGCATCTGGTAGTCAGTCTACAGGGCAGTATTCTTGCAGCTTGGATCCTAATGGGTGGGCGTGGTTGGTGACTGGGAGGAAATTGTACGTCTGGCGACACACTCCGGAAAGTGGGAGGAAGAGTGCAATCAGTTGCAGAGAGCTGGTACTCCCACCATCCGAATTGGTGCACCATGCCAAACTTGTAGCCGTTCTGGGAACTTCTATGTCCACTGCGCCAGCCTGTCTCGCCATCAGTCCGGAAGGACACATCACCTATTGGCCAAACATATCCAACGAATCCAACACTGTTACAGTGAATGCAGATATTCCAGTGAGCATACGTTTATTATTGGTGGATCATCTTGGTTTCCAAACACCAGTTTTATGCTTTTGAAATTTCCTAGGGACAAGAATGTGATTCACTCACATCGATTTGGCCCTTAGGATGCGTCGTGACTACAACAACGTCAACAATTTTGCTTGTGAAGACGTCCAGTGGGAGGGGAAATAAGCCCGGGTTAACGTGTAATCCGCTCGCAGCACAAAAGGGTTGGTTGGGTGGGTGGCAAAAGAAAGTGACCACAATGTTATTTAATTCCGTGCCTCACGCTCCTTCCGGGTGGGATAATGTACGTGCTAACAGAACTCATAGTTTATATGAATTTGTTAAAGTAAAGCCTATCAATCGTGCGGCTCTATAATTACAGAAGCGAGCTCGTGTCTTGGTCCCCATGTCGAAAGAGGATGATCCAATGTTTCCGGGACAGAATAAGGAGGGAAAGATGTACATTTTTCAAGGCTCGTTAGTACAAACATATCAGTTTCAAGGGGATTCGCAAATCTGCTCCAGTGAAACCAATATTGAGGAATATTTACGACGACAGTTTATTCAGAATGTTTGGGTAAGAAGGACTTAATTACTAGAATATATTGACATTAATTGGTTCGACCGTGACACCTGACCTGAGACCTTGACTTTAGTAAATTAATTACTTACTTTCCAACTTGTTAGTCAGCCGATGTAGAAAGCAGAGACTATCGGGCGATTCAAACATGGATTTTGGACATTGCTTGTCTCCCCCACTCGAAGCAACTGGCGATTTTCGTAGCTGCCAAAAGTCAGTATGAAACCACGGATAATCTCGTTCATGGAATTGGTATGAAGCAATACATTAATTAAGCATGACCATAATTGATTATCTTTTTGTAAAGTTTTATAACTTGTTCCTGCTGTCGTATTACAGTTACATTTGATTTGAAGCGCTATCGTCAAAAAGAATCTTGGTCATTCATCCCAGTCGTGTGTGACGTTGGTGGCAACGTTGTTGAAGATGAGCGATTATACGCTTGGAAACTTTTTACAACACAGTCTCATTACTATGTGATATCACAGGATTGTATTCTAACGGCCGTAGCTGGTATGCATTTATAAACCACTAAATGATGCTCCTCAAGAAACTCTATGAATTCATGTCTTCCTTTGCAACCAATGTAGAGAGAGAGGGATCTACAGATTCGATAGAATCTAATGTCCTTGGTGGGCCAGTTATTGGTTCTGGCAATGTTGCTTGGAGCACTGTCGTCATTCTCGTACCAAAATGGGGGCTATTAACCATCAAACCAATCCAAATTCAGGATGGGTAGGATTTTTATTTATACACAGTAGTTTGGCGATTTTTAATCAGTTTATTTATCATCTGGTAGGCTTGGTTTGGATGAGACCTTTTCCGAAGTTCGTGTCCCGGATCATTTAGCTTTATCAATGACCCAGGCGCATCTTACGGAAGTGGACGAAAATGAGGACACACTGATCCGATACAAGTCTGCATTTTTACTTTTCTTGCAAAAAAAGATGGACGAGTGTTGTGCCATTCTCAACTCCTTGTTTCCTTCGAACGTTCCCTCACTCACGCCTCATGACCCGATTGACTCGGCTACTCTGGCAATTGCTGAGAGACTAATTGACGAAGCCCCTTCTGCGGACCCTCGATGGGGCACCTCCTTCAGAACTGGTACTTGCTAATTCGTTTCATTCACCCCGAGACAGCCATCCCAATGAGAATCGAGTCATATTATGTTGTAATGCAATGATGATTATTTTCCGCAGAAGAGAACGACACGATAATGAAGTCCAAAATTCTGATTAAAAACTTTCTTGTTGATAAACGCGAGAGTTTAGAGTTGTTTATTGGATTTCTTAATAGCATGGGAATTTGGTCAAGGGTAAAAAGTCAATTAATCAAATTAACAATTAGTTCTTTTGTGCAAATCCAATATTTTGATTTTTTTTAATGGACCGTATTAACCTATTATTTTTAGCTGGAAGGAATTGCTGTGAAAGAAGACATCATTGCAACAAATTCACTTCTCTACAATGCATATGAAAAGGTGTACTTTGCTCTCACCCTTCAAAACATGCAAAATGAGTGAGTATTGCTGACTCTTTTTTTGTTTTGTGTCGTACTAATGACTATAATTTTGTGTTGTAGGCCACATTTCCGAAAAGTTTTGGATACAGCGATTCGTTCTATTGTGATGGTTAGGAAGGAGAAGGACTGTCAGGCTCGGTCTTCCCATCTCAGTCCCAATGATCTCTTTTACAAGCAGGTACTTGGAGTAAATTAATGCGTACTAATTAGAGGAATCCTAACACTAATTTGTCGTTAATTCTAGGTGAGCCGAGTCCATCAAATAATTCCTGCCCTCGTCAGCATTCAAGAAGAAGAGTTTCAGACTCTCGCTGTGCTGGACACTCCTCCACGCGTCCTTCTGACGAACGAAACCATCCTGCGATGTCTGCTGGAGGTCAATGCAGTATCGTGCGGGGCTGGCGAGAAATTGGCTCAAATTTATGACTTTCTTATCAAACCACTCATGCTCTCGGACACGAATGAGTATCAAGTGCTTCCGTGGATCATTGAAACTAACATTCTCCGTTCTTTGATTAAACAACACGTAAATTTGAATACAATTAGACACTATTACTACACACATACTTATTCACATTTTAACTAATTATCTTAGGAGATGACGGTAACCAGTGGAATTTCTAGCACGGAAATTGATGCGGGATTAAAAATGGAACTGATCAAACAGCTTCAACAATTAACGGACATCATTCTCGACTCATTCAAGAATAATTTGCTCAGTATTCAAAATTCGGAACGGTATCCGTTAAAGTTACAAAAGTTTGAAGATCTTCGTTCACAACTTTTGCGTGCACATTTGCAAGTGGGAGATTACGATGGGGGAGCTGTGTTGGGTGAAAAATATCTCGATTTTGAAATACTGGTCACCGTCTGTTACGACAGGAAGGATCTGGCAGTAAGTATTGAGCATTGGCATTTTTGTTATGCACTATGTCGAATTAATTCTTTTACAATTGTTTCTTTAATAGATTCTCACGGAATACTTTAACAAGTATGATAGCATGAGTTTCCCCGAGTTCACGTGGGAGTGGTACGTGAGACAGGGAAAGGCAGCCGAGCTGGTGGATACCTTTAGTACCTCAGAGTTTAAGGATAGACTGGCAAGATTCCTGAAAAAATATCCTCACATTGCCTGGCACCATGCCACCGTAAATGATCAGTTTGGGGTGGCAGCAAACGTGCTGAAAGGACTCGCCATGAAGGAAGAAGCACTCGCGGATGATAAAAGATTTCTCTTGTGCATGTCCAAACTCGCCGCGCTGGCGAATCCAGAAAGTTCATTGGAGAACAAGAATTACTTTGTTGATAATGTGGACCGGGATCTGCGTCTTATTGAATTTCAAACTCGTCTTCCAGATGTAAGTAAAATTGCGTGAGTTGTTTTAATGATTATTATGAACATTTTAAAATGTGTACATCAAATATGTGGTTTTGATTTTTAGGAAATTCTGAACGTGTACGGCATGGAACGAGAAACCATGCGAGTTTTGGGTCCTTCGGAAATGATTGACATGTACACCACGCCAGAAGTTCATTTCGAGCCCGACAATTACACTAACGCCCTGGGGCTTGCAGAGTTTATGATTAATAAAGAGCTGCAGGTTGAAAAGAGGTAAACAGCTAAAATAGTTCCCTACTTATTTGTTAGACTAAAAAATTTTAAATAAATTATCAATGTATACGTATGATGGCAGGCTGCTGATCACGTTTCGTACCATTCAGCGAGACCCATGGGCTACATGGACAAGTCAAGATCACCCAGTCGACACAGTAGAAAACACTGCGCTCTATCATTTTCTAGTGGCTGCCATCAATAAAGGTATGCCCGTCTTTTTATCAACAAAAGGGAAGTCCCCTTTGTTTGAAGATGATGTGTCTCACTCAATTTGTGAAATTATTGTGATGTGTAGGTTGGACCCTGGATGAAGTGTACCCCTTGACTCGTTTATTTACATTTTCCGAAATGCGAAACCTGGTAGAAAACCCTAACGTAAAATTTCTTCTGAGAGTTTGTCATGAGCACTTTGTTACGAAATTAGCCGAAATTCATCAGGATTTGCCGGATCCCGAAAACATGGAATAGATTATTATAATTTGAGATATTTTTTGCCTTCTTGATTGGGCTGGTACCGACTTCAGATTTAAAATTACTCCATCGTTATTTTCTAACAACGTTCACAATACAAAAAACTAGGTTTTAAGACTAAAATTATATTTGTAATAATTTTGTATCATACCCATCTAGAAAATAAAAATTGGGCAGAGTTGCGGCTAATTGATAGCCAAAAATTGGCTTTGAGCAGAACACATGTACCTTGACGACCTGACTCATTCCTCACTCTTGATAATTCTTTGAATAGAAACAATAGTTAATTTTTGCATAAATGTATGATTCGGTGGATGCCCAAAATTATACGTAAATATGAATCGTTTAAAGAGAATTTTTGGGGTGAGAAAGTCGCCCAATGAGCAAAATTCTTCCCTCTCCACCATTAACACTTTGCGAGAAATGGAAGAAATGCTCAGCAAGAAGCAGATATTTCTTGAAGAACAGGTACATAGTTGCATACATAATTCGTCATAATAATAGTCCACTCTACCAGACTCTAATTAACAATATGGGGTAACACAAATAATTATGTCTATGGAGGCCCAAGCCCAGTTGTCCCTTGCGAGAAAACATGGTCTCAAAAATAAGCGAGCCGCTTTATTGGCCCTGAAGCGAAAGAAGCGTTTCGAAACCTTGTTGCAACAAGTGGATGGGACATTGTCCACTCTGGAAATGCAACGGGAAGCGTTAGAACAGGCCAAGAATAATATTTCTGTCCTGCAAGCTATGAAATCTGCAGCACAAACCCTCAAGTCTGCACAGCTACACATGGACGTTGATCAGGTTCGTATTCTTATCCCATGAAACACGAAATAAATAAATCCTGTTTTTTTCTAGAATTGGTAAATATGACATTCATGGCAGGTTCATGACGTAATGGATGACATTGCAGAGCAACAGGAAGTGGCGCAACAAATCAGCCAAGCCATTTCGTCCCCCATTCCGGCCGTTTTTGGAGGAACTGAGGTGGACGAGGCTGAGTTGGAAAAGGAGTTGGAGGCGTTGGAACAAGAGGACTTGGACCGAGAACTCCTCCATATTGAACCCTTTAGTGTTTTCCAGCCCCATGAGGACGGACCTCCTGGAAGACAGTCCTCGGAAGAAGGCCAAGCGTCTAAAAAAGATGGCGGAGCACAATCTCAAAGTAGAAAAGCACCAGAACCAAAGACGGAGGAGGACAAAGAGTTGGACGAGCTAAGTCAGTGGGCTGCGACGATGTAAACAATTACATACGCATTTCTTTTATTCGAAGATCTCTCGTCTATGACCTATAATATTTCTATACTAGTGAAATTTATCGTTGTAAATCCCACCAATAAATCGTGCATATTCACGTTAAGAGCAACTTTGCAAGTTATTTGTATGCACTAAATGCTGGTCAATCTTGCACTAATTATTAGCATGTGTCCATTAAATTGCCAGTGAAATGCAATCAACCCGTGACTGAGAATTCGTCCCATCAGAATAAATACTTGAACAGAAGGTGTTTTCAAGGTCAAGTGCAATATCAGCGTTGTCACAATCATCTGCTATTTTGCATATTTACGTTACCGTATGTCATAATATAATTTATTGAAAAACTTGCCAAGAATGGCAAGCAGGGCAGTTATACGGGACGCCGTTTCATCCGACGTGGAGTCGTACGTCAAGTGGGGTCTCGATGAGGGATGGAACATGTCGCAGGACGTACCCACCTACTTTGCATCATATCCAAAAGGATGGCTGATTGCCCAGGTATGTATATTTGCATTCATCTACATACACTTTTTTGGCAACAGGTGCACGTGCATCCATTAAAATTCAGCTTATACATACGTATATGCTCAAAATTGCAGATTGGGGACGTGGTGGTGGGTAAGCTGTACAGCACCTGCTACCCCAGCGGAATGGGTCACATCGGCTACGTCATGGTGGTGAAAGAGTGGCGTGGCAAGGGGGTGGGGACGGCGCTGCTGCGACACGTGTTGGACAATCACCTCGCCACCTGCAGCCTCGGCGTGGGGCTCTACTCCGCACTCGAAAACTTGCCATTCTATCAAACCTTAGGGTTCCAAGTGGAACAAAAAGCATTTCGCATGAGCCGACCAACAGCGTTGGATGACGCCAAGTTATCCCAAAGGAAAGGTAACATTTAATCGATTGAAGTTTAATTTCAGCCAAACCCAAGCAGAATATAAAGTGAAAGTAGAGCACACGCACGGCATAATAAATTAAACATCACTTATTGTAATCCAAAAAGCTAATAAGTAGGTCGCAATTGTGGCCAATAAGAGAGTACGACGTGCTTGTGTACATATGTACATAAATATCTATAGAGTGCGTAGACGTCGCAGTTCAAGCTATGAATCCGGACACCGATTTGGAGAAAATAGCTCAATTCGACGCCGCCACGAGTGGCGCTTATCGTCCGGGATTCTGGGCGCAGTTTAATGAGGGTCGAACGAACTACGTTGCTGTTCTCGTCGTGGAATCAGGTGGAGAAATATTGGGCTTGGGGGCACATCGTTCCTTGACCAACTCGACAAGGGTGGGGCCCATCTACGCTAAATCCGCAGCCATTGCGGAGGCAGTTCTGTTAAAGTACGTATGTACTTACTTATACACAGACTTTCACTTTTCTCATGTCATGTCTTCCATTCGTGTCCACATTACCGATAGTTACTCTTAAGTAATATTTCTTACAATGCAGATTACTGAGTCAAGTGGATGGAGGAGGTGTCGTCACTTTAGACACTTTTTCCAACAATACAGAAGCTGTACAAATGTATGAAAAACATGGTTTCACCATAACGCCGGACACCTATTTACTCCGCCACCCGTCTGGAAACCAAACCATGCAGGGCCATCCTTCCTCCCTCAACTCTCAAACAATTTTCGCCATTACTTCACTCGACTTTAACTAACAGTGCAAACCTTAGAGTATTTAATAATAATATTATTAAATATTATTATTAGATACTCTAAGGTGCAAACTAACTCGTTTCGATTTGAGACGTTATTACCCTAACTTTACATAGATATTTAAGCGTGAAACGAAGTGTCCAACGACACCACACGTTACACTCCTGTCCAAACTTTTGAATTATTCACAACTCTGTTATGTAAACTTTCTCCAGATAAATTAAAATGTTTTTGCCAGTTCCGGGTTGAACGGCTCACTTGGCCCACTTTTATTTATTTAATCAGCATAATATTTTCCAGTAATGCATGTTTACATGGCCAGTTTATAGTTTATGGGGGACATTCGCCTATTTTTGAAGCATGACGACTTGGGAACATTTGCATAATGAGAACAGTTTTGGGACTATTAGGTACTTTTCCTACGTTAACGATTACATGACGGAGGAGAAAGCACTCGTCGATGATGGACAGAATGGTGATGGTGACGATATGACGAAATATGCCAGGATCGATAAATTGGTTTGGACTCCTCGTGTTGACGCTCCCCCAACACTTAAGTGGACGGACACACATCTACCCATAGCACACTCCAATTTACTCTACCTTTACTTTTGTCAGGCATAGTTAGAGCGTAAATAATTGATGACCGATCCCATCAAACCACTCATATTTTGTGTATTTACTTGCATGGAGAGGAAGCCGCATTAGAGAGGAAAGTACAAGGTACAAAAATATTATTATGTGACGACAAGTGCAGTGCAATGTCAGCGAGAATGTGCTTAATGCTACCGTAAAATTGGAGGAAAATTAATTTTCTCTTCTTCGTCGTTGCATATGACGCCCGCCGCCTTCATACGTAATGAGAATAATGAACAATCATAATATTTCCGATCCAATTATGCGACAAGGTTCAGAAATTGATGACATTTGGACCAGTATAATTTAAACTTATCCCATGGCAGTAATACTTAAATGAGTCTGATTTTAGCTGCTAGCTTGTCGACATGTACCCATGAAATTGTCTCCCCACTCTCTTCTTGCCTATAGAAATAGATAAATAAGTACGCTCTGCTTTCACCCGAATACTTGCATACTTACTTCCTCTTGCACATCCGCCGTGATGGTGCCGTGCATGTGTAGTTCATGAAAAAAACAAGCCAAGTTGACATTTAAACTCTGCGAGTATATGTAATTCCACCAAATTGCGAGAACGGTAGCAGTGGTCGGAGAAAGTGGGCTGGGTATTATCCACAATTTTCCCTGCTGCTGCCTATCGATCCGCACACACGTCCGTCCACTTTAAATTTTATACCCTTCTCCCTCTGGAATATAACTTGTGGCTGCTTTATTTCAATTGTTCTGAAACAAAAGTTGTTATTCTTTCGTTCTCCCCTTTCCGTCCTTCTTCACTGCATAGATTTAATCACGCAACGCAATTGGAGACACAGGACGGAAATTCTCCAGAGAATCACAATTATTCCCCAACATTTTTTTTGATTGAACTCAACAACATAATATTTTATTCAGGAAATAATTATGCCGAGTTGGAAAAGTTCTCGGTTTTTGAAGCTATGATTTTGTGGTGATTTTCTCACTCAAGGTTTCCTAGAGTGGTCAGTTGATCGCTGCATGTAGTGCAAGATGGGGGCGTTTTTGGTGGGGGAAGTTGGTGGGATGAGGAGTGTCGCGTCGAGGGGGCTTATGTGGCCCTTGTTTATCACAACCATGTTTATCAGGGGGATTTGGACGTTGGAGTGTGAGCGACAGAGGATGGTGGGGCGGCACATTTATTCGCACCCGTCCCTCTGGAACCACTCCATCAACTGCCCCTCCTCCTTCCAGTGGGAGTGGGCTCTCGCCAGGATTTGCTGTTATGATAACTACGACAGATTTTATGTGAGTCGTGGACCCCTCCTCCAACAAGAGGAGCCCTCCTCCCAAAATACATACAGAGTCGTGGACCCGGAGTTAATTTTTCTATAGTTTAAGATTAATTTGTTTATTTTTGGGGGAATTTGAAATATTTTCAGGAACATCCCTATTGCTGCTACTCGGAGATGTACAAACTCGTGGTGGCCGTGGGGTTTATCTGTCTCATTTTAATCGGCACGTCCTTCCTGCTCTTCTTTTGCTGGTTCTACAACTTGCCACACCACATCCTCTATATTCTCACGTTTAGAAAGTTTCAATTGTACGAAGTTAATGCGAAAGACGCGAAAAACAAAAATTCATTTTATGGAAGTTACATATATTTTATACTTTGTAGAAACAACTGGTTGATGAAGGCACGCAATGGGCCTTACGTGGATCCTTCCTTCTATGCCAAGGAGCCCTTCTGGTCTCGTGGGGCTGATGCTGCCTCCCAGTTGCCTTATCCCCTGGTGAGTGCCTAGATACGTACAAAATCAAACAGGGCTTACACAAATGAAAAATGCACTCGTTTTTTCCTGATAGCGCCCAATGCCACCTCGAATCTTCTACCCAGCCCCACCCACCAACAAGTTCCGTGGGTGGGACATGGGTGGCGGTGAAATCCCTCTTTTCATCCTCGCATCACGACAATTTCACCGCAACCCGTACTCAGCTAGGCCCCAAAATCGCACCCCACCCATTCTTCCACACGGAGGAAACTCCTCCTCATCGTCCAATAATAACTATGGCTCAGGAGCTGTCGGAAATGGGGGAGACAGTCGACGCGGGAGTCTGGTCACTCTGGGTGAATCGAGTGAGAGGGGCAGTGCTGTGGAGGGCAGGCGGCGTGGGAGTGGGTGGCGGAATTCGGGCAGCACGAGCAGTCTCACGAACATGGGGGCAACAACCACTTCGTCAGGGACTCATAATGCCAATACTAATTTTGGGCCGACTCCAACTTCATATGGGAACATGGGGCCCAGTAGTGGTGGTAATTATGGGAGCAGTGGTGGCCACAGTACGTGTAATAATCGGCCAAACTCTGCAGAAGTTCCGTTCATTATTCCGATGGATGAACATGAAGCAGAAACAGAACTCAGGCACGTACATAATTTATGCGCTGCGATAACTAATTTAGAAATATTGCATAATCCGATGATATGCGTGGGCAGGGAGGCGATAAGACTGATGGATGATAAGGTAGACGTAGATGCAGCGTCGTCATCATCGTCTTGGAGTATTGCTGGGGACTCGCTGGGCCAGCCGACGACTGCCACGATTTTCATGACCAACTCCTCCCGAGAATTAGTTCGGAGTGAGTCTCAGGAGTCAAATTCTTCGTGGAATGCACAACTTCGATACGGCGATGATGACGACAGTCAACCTCAACAACAACGAGACTATCACAGCAGCATTGGGGACAATAAGTACGAGTGAAAAATGCCTCAATTTAATACGGTGCAATAAAAAAATATCAATGCAAGTGGATTCTTGCTCAGTTTTAGGGACGGAAGTGCGAGGAGCAATGGTGAAGCGATGGTGGGCGTGACGCGGGTCCGTTTCGGGGCTAAGGTCTCCGTTCAGCTACTCAATCAGCAACTGAGCAACAGTTTGGGACTTTCCCTCAACAATCTGCCAAATATCCAAGTGATTGGGAATTTTGGACGCGATGGGATGGAGACGATCGTGGAGGTGGGTTGTAGTTAACTCATTATTATCGATGTCATTCAAGTATACTAGCATTTACACATCCCATAAAATTTAGGACGACGATCGCCCGTATGACGATGAGGAGGAAATGGACTACAGCCCACCGGGTAGCTCATCCCCACAGGTATAGGTCCATAGTTCGTGTGGTCCAGCTATGTATGATTGTTGGTCAATCCGTTACCCTCTCTCTCATCATTTTTCCAGGAAAGTCGACCCAGCTCCAAGAAGCCTGGAAGCCTACTGCCTCCTCCTCCTCCATCAGCCGCTCGAGTGGTGGTCGAGGAACCCACGACGCCTCGAATCTCTTCAGCTCTCGACCGAATCGTGACCCGTGCGAGACAAGAAGTCCCATTTCGTCCCAGCCTACCCGGAGCCATCCCTGAAAACCCGGACGACGAAGCCACTGACCTCGGAGATGGACCAGCTTCACGACGCAGAACTAGACTGAATCGTAGAAATAGTGCTCCTGTCAATTTCTAAAGGCCTAAAAATGTATGTAATTTATGTCGCCACACACGCGGAATTAACTTAAAGAACTTAACTTAACTTAATTAAAAGAAGTCAATAAAATATATTTCAACACAATTTTTTAGTTTATAATTAAAACATTTTTTTTCTTTTATACTTGTTTTACTTGAATTTTCGTTATAAATGCATAATTTGTTACACAGTCTCTCTTGCGTTCCTTCGTTGAATGACGAATATTGCGGCTCCCAGTGCGATAATGGCTACTGACACCCCCAGCACGGTCCATTTTCCGATATTTACAATTTTCAGAGGCGTGAGGAGTCGTCCTTTCAAGTCGTCAGCGTTGACCTCGTCCAAGATGGCTTCCTAAATATGACGAACAACAATTGGATGGTCAGAATTTGTGTCACAGGCTCTAAGGGTGTTGTCGACGTATTAGAATTGTGCGTACCTCATCTGCCCAGATCAACGGGAAAACCATGTATTCCTTGATGTGCTCCAATGCATCAATCCCACCAACCGGTATCACTTCAACGTTCACTTGGATTCGTTTGCTGGACAAATCAAGGAAACGTGCATGCTCAACAGACACTTTTTTATTTGGAGAAATGAGAAATAGGAACGGGAACTTACTTGGCTCGTAACGTGAGACCACTATTCTGCAGCCAAGTAGAAAAATATATCCAAAAATGTAGCATTTTTCGAGTATTAAGTACAAAACAAAGTTTATGCAACTAACTTACGGGCTCTACATCAATCACGGTTTCGTGCTTCTCTTTCACGGGTTTGGACAATTGGGAGGCGTTGAGGTATCTTTCGTCGCCATCCAGAAAGTGAGGGGTGCTTATGAAAATAGCAACAAATCGGTGTTTTAAACTCAGTGTATCGTATGAAGTCTGTGCATATAGCTTAGTTATTTTGCATAAAGTTTGTTTCGGTATTTCTCAAACGGGACATTGGCCAACCAAACCTCCAGTCCCTTACCTCATCATGATGGGGGCTGTAATAACACATGAAATATATGACGTAAAAAATACCGATGAACTTCAGCTGTTTGGGATTATTTATTATCCTCACCTCCACCCTTGCACCCTTTAATGTGAATCACTCCACTGTGTGGACAATCCTCCAAGTACTCCTCCATGCAAAAACATTGGTTGTCCGGGTTTGTTCTCGGATTTTCGAGCATCTTCTTCGGCGCGACGAATCGGTAGCCTTTAATTCCTGTAATCAAGGACAGCCATGTTACAAAGTGCACTAATTATGAATAATAATGTTGTCTGACAACTGACCTCTATGTTCAACCTCCTTCTCAAATGTGAGGTATAGTGAGCGACAAAGGTCGGTGGAAAAGACGTACATGACCCAAGATTTCTCCACGAAGGGAGGAAATAAGGATCCTGAAGAACGCAGTATCTCGGTACAAAACTGCAATACATCCTAGTGTATTAACATTTAATATTTATTTATACCGTCTGTCCCGTTAATTTTGGAGCAGAATGTGCCATTTTGCCACCACCCGAGCTCATCCAGCGTTTCGAGGCCTTCGTATGTTTTCACCTGTGAGTAGAAGGGTACCCTGTATGCACTGTAAAAATAACGATATGCACCAACTGTCTGAATCAATTACCCGTCCAAAGTCGGCAGTTTTGCCAACACCCGTGTAGATTTCGTACACCCCGTCCGCCGATCCATTCGTCTATAGTGAGGGTGAAACGATAACAATTAAGTTTCCAGAAATAATGCGATGTCACAAGTTAGACTGATGGTTGGTTACCCCCTTGTAAAGTCCAAACCTGCCTCCGGAAAACTCCTCGGGCAGGAGTGGACCCAGAGTTTCCGAGTACAACCTGGTGTCGAAGCCCTCGAAGGTGAGGTCACCCACGCGGACGTCTCTCCTCACAAAGGTTTCCGTTCCTAGAGCACCGTTGGCGATGAAAGCCGCCAACCAAGGACTCACTTCGTCATGCACCACCATTATGACCGACTGATAATTTAATAAAAGCAGCAATTTTTTATTATATTTATGCACAGGATTTTTTAAGAGTCATTAACTATGTATTACCAGGAATGCTACATTGATGATGTTGATCTTGTCGTCTTCAAAGCAGGTTGGACATGATGTAGATCGGTTAAAGAAGTAGGTGATGGTCTGCTCGTATCGCACAACGTCATCACCATCCACTAGACTCACGTTGACTTTCTTCCGTTCTTCTCTGTGCATACAATTAATAAGACGAATGAAATTGTGTCAGAGGAAACAAAGGCAAAAAGTATGAACCTGTAGGAATACGGTCCTTTCTCCTCAAAAATTGGCCTCGATCCCCGTTCAACGTCGTCCGGATTGGTAATGCTGTACGTGTAGAAGTTGAGATTGATTGGGACAGGGATTTCTTCCCACTTTTCCCACGTGTCCGTTCCTGGTACGAGCCGCACTTCTTCTATGATTCTGTCGTCGATGATGTTGGGCACGACGACCCATCCCAACACGACGGTGATGATGAGCACGACCACCCCCACGCCGCCCACTATTGGTCCCACCAACCAGTGCATGATGCTCTCTCTAATTATTTACTAAGATCTGATAGAGCAGATTATGGCGCAAGCAATGGGAACAAAAAAGGGCAAAGGCTGCATAAAGGTGACCGAGTGAGTAGAGAGACACAAAAATGTCGACTGAGCATTCCACCCGTAAAAATCAGTTATTGATTCCTTATCGCATTTAAAGTCGTGTCATTTCCCAATTGTTTGATCGTGTTGCAACAAAAGTGGCTGGACTCTGATAAGGACAATTATAATTTATGTCACCCTATCGAACAATTGGACAAACCATGCATGGCACTATTATTTTTGCAACCATCCCACTTTAGCACACACGGTGAATGAGTACACAATATCAAGAATCAAACAATGGATCAAACAAATGATCAACGCGCTAATAACGATCAACGGTCAACTTTCGCCTGATTGGCTCATAATATGTACAAGCGCATACTTAAATACATATTAATTGCAGGCATTAAAGGACGGGACAATACGAAGGAGGACAGGATCGAGGAGGTGACAGCCTTCGATCGAGTATGCAGATCGATCGAACTATTGGACTGGACCTGATAAAAGTTATTATCAATTCATATCTGCCATCATCCTTCGTATGCTGGTAAAAGTGATATATGAACTACTTTAGTCCGTACTCCGTAATATGCACATACATACTCTTCATGCAATAAAAATGACCAGTGCACCAGACCCGAAGCTGAATCAAGGTCGTGCGTAAAAATCCGATAAGCACATTATTATTATATTTGGCTTTAAACGGCCCTTGTCTCATCTTGTCAACATAATATGGAACGACTCCTCTCAGAAGAAATCGTGCCGGACGTTGTTGACAGTTTGCCAACCACTCCGACGACTACACTCCACGTTGAGTACAATGATGTAAAGATCGAGTACGGTAACCAGGTCGAAATTAGAGCCGTTGAACATGGGCCGACCAGTGTGAATTGGAATCCCGCTGATCCCCATGCATTCTATTCCATCTGCCTCACTGGTTTGCATTACCATTATGAAGTTATCAAAAATCTGTGCAATTCGTGAGACTGATGTTTCTGCAGATCCGGATGCGCCTACCAGAAGTGATCCAAAAATGCGGGAACGGGTTCATTGGTTGGTGGGGAACATTCCTGGGGATCGTTGGGAGGCTGGAGAGACGCTGATTGCATACGTTCCTTCTTGTCCACCCAAGGCGTCCGGCCTCCATCGCTACACCTTCGTCCTGCTTCGTCAACCAGTAGGTGCCCATAAATGATACCTGAACAATTTGTGTAAATATTTAGGAGGCTTCTGATACTTGTCCTATTTGACGGTGGGCAGGGTCGGCTAGATTTTAGTGGGGAAAAGAAAGTAGACAACTCGAAGGAATTGTGGGATCTTCGTCGCTCTTTCTCCATTCGAAAATGGGCAAAGAAATGGGATTGTGAAGTAATAGGTGCAAACTTTTATGTCGCAGAATGGGATTTGTGTGCTCAAAGTACGAGAGATAAGTTGGGTTTGTAGAAATTTTTAACGTGTGTTTTAATTAACTATAACGCTTGACAATATAATTTGTGTGAGGTGAGGAATAAATAAATAAATAAATGTTGTTCGGACTTTCAGTTTATTATTGCTTCTTTGTACCACCGCCGGTGGTTTGTCGTGGGAGGTGTGACCACACGGTCTCCTTCCCACAGTCCCTCTCCTTCACAGTCTTCTTAAAACCAACGTCGACACATCTCTTCTGGAACATGACACCCTCTGGAGAATGTCTCGACATGCCATCGAAAATGGTGGAGAGTCGTTGGGCCGACAAAAGTCCGGCGGCTTCCACCGCCTGGTTCGTCACAGTCTTGTGATACCACAACTGGTTCTTGGGCACCGTTCCAAGGCGCTCCATAAATTCATCGACCGTTTGGTCAATCTGGTCTGGAGGGACCGCCTCGCCAATCAAACCAATTCTCGCCGCCTTCTCGCCACTCAAAATTTCACCAGTGAATAGGATTCGTTTGGCTTTCTCCATCCCCAACCTGTAGTACCTGAGCATAGATTTTAAATCAAATTAAAAGCTATTAGTAGTGAGAGAATTGTGTACTTTCGAGACGTAGCTCTCACCAAAATGCCGAGGTTGGGCAGCCCCAAATCGTTGAAGGGGGATATCCAATCTTTGCCGTAGTTTCTATAAATGTGACATCGCATGCTAGAGCAATATCACTCCCACCGCCGATCGCGACCCGTTTGATCTTGGCCACGACGGGTTTATTGCTTCTCCAGATTTCCATGTAAGCTTGCGTGGCTGACCACATGAACCTTTGAAGGAGAGTTACAATACAATGCCCATTCGGCCCGACTTCAGTTAATAGTTTGTTAAAAATTAATTATTAGCTAAAATTTATATAATACTGATAATCGAGGGAGGGGTCCCAGGGCATCTCTTGGTTGGTATATCTGGGCATTTCTTCCTCCGTCGTGTTACTATCAATCCCGTCATCCCTCTCTTCCGCGAAAGTCTTGAGGTCATAGCCTGCACAAAAGGCTTTGCCGGCGCCATAGAGAAGGACGGCGTGGACCTGGAAATTTTTACTTCATTTCCTTCTCCGACCCCGGTGGAGGTAGTTATTCATATACAATTTAAGCTTCCAAACCAAAATGCCAACTAAAAAATGCATTGCTATATTTTTAAATTCTACACTGCCACCATCAGTCGGAGAAGAAAATGTGACCTCGTCGTCCCAGTTGGCTCGCTGAATTGCGGACTGGAGTTGGAACGGGAGTTGGGCGTCGATGGCGTTGAGACGATCAGGTCGATTAAGCATCACGTGAGCTGTCCTACCCTCTCGCCAGTAATCCACGCTCCCGTAGCTTTCGTGACCTGAAAACGTTAGGTCAATTTACCAGGCAAATAAAATAAAACCACAATCTACCCGGCTGACCTTCCTTCCGAGCAGCTTGGCGTGGAGGTTCGGCCGCGGAGAGGAGTCGCCGCTGCATATGCCATCTCAAAAGATTCCCCATTTTCAAGCTGGACATTGCAATCTGCATGGTAAATTCGTTGTCTTTCTCTTAAATGACCTTAATTCAGCGTGCTATTCAACGATTTTACCGTCACTTTAACTGTGTAAGAAGACCACTTTAACTCTAACTTTTATACATATGACATCTGAGTAAACAACAACAGCACAGTATATAAATATATTTATAATCAGTATAAATGCCCGCTGGGTGTATAAAGTCAAGATCATAAACTCATCGTTATTGCATAAATGGTATTAACCATTTTTTCATGTTTCGAGTGAACATGCATGAAACTAAAATTATGAAGAATTTAGAAAATGCATTAAATTTTTCGTCGTTTATTTCTAGTAAAATCATATAATAGTTTGTCATTATAACATAACATCTTATTAAATCCTATTTCATATGCAATGTGGTTGTATTATTTCTACATATCTATACCAGTTTCGAAAAGATGTTATGCAAGTATTATTATGAAATTACAAATAAATAGTAAATATCAACATTAGCAATTAGTGAGAAGTTAAAAGAGTACAAATGTTCGCATGAAAATGTGAATATGAAATCCCTGCAAAAATTCCATACAAATTCCATACAAATTTGTTGAAATGGGAGATTCGGCAGCAGCGGAGTCGCCAGGCGGCTGCTCGGGCATCACAATTCACAACTCTTCTTCTCACAAATGAGCATCTTCAATCGGTGGGGCCACGTGAAACTAAACAGAAATGCAGCACTAAACAACCTAAAGTTGTCTCAAAGTCTCAATGCAGGTCTTTTGGTTATTTATTAGCAACAACTAATAATTAATTGAATTGTCAAAATCGTCTCTGAATTGGCAGGCTGTGTCGACTTGAGCGCTACTAAAAGTTGTAACTTGTGTAAGTATGCTTTGGATTTTGTACAGTGATCTCGTTGATTTCTGAATTTCCGAATCGGAAATTGTGTGTATTTTATTTTTGGCCATAGTGCATAGAAGCTGTGACTGGCTGTTTGAAAATGGACATTCTTGGATCAATCATGAAAAAGATGGAGGGTATAAAGTCACACTTATGATGTAATATCCATGCTAGGTACATGACTATTAATCAACAATAATACTTAATTACAGGTCCGCCTGCCATTGATGAAAAGGAACGGAAATTGAGACAACGTAAAAAAAATACGACTTACATAAAAAAATACGCTACAATTTAATTGAGGGTTTGTTTTAATTGTTTCTTCAGAGCAAAAGGAGACTCAACAACGTCACCAGGATGAGAAGGAGGCCTACGTGAAAAAGTTTAGGTCCTCAATTACCGAACGAATTAAGATCTTTGCCACGGATGAGACACAACTTCGCCTCGTCTTTGAAACAATGGATAAGCTGCGAAGAGCAATTTTGTAAGGATTTGTTGAGAAAGTCAATTTCATGCTCGTATTGCTCATGTCATTAATATTTGGCATGAACTTACCAGACATGACATTGCGGATACAGCCGGACTATTAGCACATTCATTCGGGACAGAAGATGTTGACCGACACGTAATTGTATTCAAACCAGAAGGTATATTGTTAATCAAGGTTTACAGTGAGTATTTTAATAGACACATGTTTTTTTGATCATGTAGGAATGCCCAGTGAGCCCGAACTACAAGGTTAGTTTAGATTGTAAACTATACAACTTGTAATTTTATTTAATTGGCTGTATTATGTGTTATTACTGTATTATGCCTGTGCATACCTGTCTTCTGTATTACTAGCTCTTAGACGAGGTGAAGAATACAATCCGCAGTGGGAGTGTCAGACGGATGATCATCCAGATGAACCAGGTAAAAGTAGTTCTAAAAAGGTTCAGCAAGATTTAATACAGCTTGGAAGATAAATACAGACTTTTTTTCTATATTTTTAGGTACTGGGGATGACGAGGGTAAAAATAATTGCACGATGACACCGCCACCCGGAAGAGGTCGGAAACGTAAACAACAACCAGAATATCTTCAAAAGTATGAAAAACATTTGGGAGGCTTGGAGGTTGCAAAAGATGCTGCACAAAGCACAGAATCTCCCAACAGGACGTATGGCTTTGGTAATAAAATCTGAATCTTAAGGTTTTCTAGCTATTATATGAAAGTTATGCTATGAATGAATTTTTCCCAATGTTATTCAGTGACCAGTGAAAATAAGAAAGACAAAAGAACAATAGAAGAAACACTGGCCGATATTCGGGCTCGGAAGAAGCAGAAAGCGGAAGAAGCAGACAATAATGAAGAAACATTGTAGCTTTTATTTTAGCTTAATATTTTTCGCTTTATCGAACAACAACAACAACGCTACAAACAATGACGATATTCGCTATTTAACTTTAGTTAATGAATGAGACCAGTGACAAGTACTGCTGGCATATGAGAATGTTTAGTCCCTTATTGTACTGTAAATTATGGTTAGATAGATCAACCACCTTTACCTCATCACTTATCTATTAAACACGTATTATTGTTATATTATTTTACTCTAGGGTAAAATGTTGGTCGCTCCCATGAAGGAATGCGCATATCACTTAATATTACTAGTTACTACACGTTTATTATCATCGATGGACTCGAGCATTCTGATGCTTTCGTTTTTCTGCTCATGTATTCGAATGAGAGTGTAATTAATATGTATAGGTCCTGGCTGGGTATCGTATCCTTATCGGTATGTTCTAATTTACTACAAAAGTGCAAATTTTTTCCAGTCCACTCATTGTTAAAATAAATCTCATTGTTTTTATTAATTGTTTCATTGACTTAACCTTATTTTGCTGTAAGTATAATTGAGTTGGTCATTCATGCATGCATAGTTCTAGCTGATAGTTAGCTATTGGGCAGTAAGGAATAAATGATCGCAGGTTTAAATTGAATTTCACCCCGCTCCCAATGTAATCAAGTGGGCACGTGATTTTCGCGCGAAAATATCCTGCGATCATTTATTCCATAATGACCAATAGTTGGTACCAGTTAATTTAATTTGTATGCGAATTACGATCACTTTCGGAATTGTTTGGTTGTCGCCTCCAATTCGAATCTTTGCTGGCATCCGAAAATGGCGATGATGATGCTCGATTATGATTATAATGTTGTCCATCGTGTGTTCTTTTTCTATTCCCACCGGATGAATGTGTATATGGTTGAAATCCACTCTGACGCTGACCTGTAGCGTATTGGTCGTAGTTTGCATGATTGAATCTAGGCATTCTGTGGTTGTTGTATGGTTGGAATTGCTTCTCATATCTGGGAGGACGGAAAGATAACGAACCAGCCCCACTATTTCGTATACTATGACCTCTCAAATTCAATGGATTATAATTATAATTATTGTTGTTGTAGTGGCAAAGTTGGTCAAATTGATTTCTCGTGGAATCAAAATTTGGGACGTGATGGTCCTCTGCAAAACCAATGTTATTATTTCGATTTCTATTTGGTGGATATTGAGGTAGTCCAACTCCTAAATTGGGCAATGCCGAAGGGTGGTTACCGCCGAAGTAAAATGAATTCGAAGTTCCAGCTATATATTGAAGAATAAATAGATAAATAAATACATCTTCCAGTTTAATAGATAAATATTATCTGGTCAGTTGGAATTTGGAAATTCAAAATTTACATCTATTGTTGTGATTGTGATCCCATCTGCTCTTATTTCCATTCATCCCCCGTCGGGGTGCGCCTCCCCGTTTATTATTATTCGTATTACCACCAGTGACCCATGGTGGAGTTTCGACATCAGGAATTGATTTCGTAACGGAACATACTTGTTGTCCCCCCAATTGATACAAATGCTCAACATAACTTTTTCTGTAGATACCGGGTGGTCGTTTTATACTGAACTCTGTCACAGCTTCCTGTGCACTAATTCCTTTGCGAGTCATGAGGTAATTAGTAATTAAATACCCTGTTCGATTAAACCCATGAGTGCAGTGAACAGCGATTAATCCTTGTGGGTTTTCTTCAATAAATTTATCAACCGTTTGATTGAAACCATTCCTAACAAAATGAAAATTATTTAAAAGAACTCAGTAACTCTAAAACACTTGACGTAAATTGCGATAATATGAGAATTTCCAACCTCTCAGCCTCTGAAGGAGGGACGCCATGACCAAGCATGGGCATTTTGACGTATGAGAATCCTTTCCTGTTTTCCACCTCTGCGCGACGATAGTACCTTTCAGTGTTTGTCAGATCAATCCACAAAATTTTATCTTTCTAAAAAAACAAAATCAACCAGGGTTTGAATTAGAACTGAACTGCAAATCGAAATTCTTTTTTGAGCTACGCTTATTTATGTTTACCTGCAACCGTTCCACCTCGGAGAAAACATCGTCAAGACGAAATCGTAGATCTTTTTCCACAGAGGAATTCAGATCAGCGCTGAGTGGGGTTTTAAATGTTAAGAACAACCCTTGTATCAAACCCTCCCCAATTTTTGGACATCCTAACCAATCAGTGGGTAGGCGACCCATAATAATCAGTGTACACTATACAGTGACTTTGCAGATAAACTTATTGTTTCAACCAATATTTCGAAGTTTCGAAGTCCATTCACCAATTAACTCTCACTCAGGACCTAGACATTCAAAGTAGAATCCAACCGACATCAACTAAATTGACAATTCTTCTTGTATGATAGAAGTTCTATATCTAACAGTACGACATAAGATTTACTTTGAATCTAACTAATTCAAATACGTCTTCGCATTCCGCAATAAAATAAAGTCAACCGATCTGATTTGAACCTTATTTATTTAACAATAAGGAAATCAGCAGCGAATCGCTAACTCGATCCAACTCGGGGCAGTTGAACAACTGAACAACTCTTCTGTAAGGAGAGATCAACTCATTTATTGTTCACTCTCCATGCGACGCGACTGCAGTAGGGAAAAAAATCCTATGAAAAAGTGTTTCACTAATATTTATTGACTGATAATTTTAATCCATGTTATTTATTTTAAATCTCACATTAGTCGAGTCCCTCACGTTGTATGTAAAATCTCAGTAAAGAGTTCTAAAAAAAACTGAAGGAAAGATGTGTACATTTTTATTTTAGTTGATCTGACAATCTTTTATTACGAGTGCGAGCAATTGGTACATAGAAAAAATATCGAATTAAGAAGTTGATAACACAAAGCTTATTATTATGGACGGACCAACTACAAGATTATTCATTAAAGTCAAACTCTCACAACATCAATTCCAATTTATTACTTTGTCATTTGTAAAATAAAATGTGTAGTAGAAGTATTATTACATTCATATCAAGTATCTTTTTTAGTATTTGACAATATTGACTCATCTAGTCAGTGAACAAAATGTGGTGGCTACAGATTGAGTTTATATATCAAAAAATAAACAAGTAGAACTTAGAAATTGATGTACATATAGATATATTGGTACTTGTACAAATCAAATGTCAAAAATATCGGAATAACAAATCAGTCTAATGTAGCATGTATTCGATCCCGCATTACTACAAATCATAAATAAATAAATTAGGAATATTATTTTCGTCAAAAAAGATAAACAAATAAACTTTGAGCAATATAATAAGATTGCTGATGATTGAGACTAGTCAAAGCCTCAATAATTATAATACTAAATTGGATTTAAACTATCCGATTGAAATGCGATTAAATTTCAATTTTCACATTTCATTAAATCATAAAATTAGTCAACACTTGTTTTATATCACAAGGCAATTTGGTGCTGAATCACTTTAATAATACTGCCTGCATTATAGTGATCCGTCATTTTCATACTCCTTGTTCTTTGATGGCGACAACCAAACGACGATTCCTTATCAGAGTTGCAGAACAAACTTATCCGGTAATATTTGTAAGCTTGTCGAAATGCTTAAACAAAGGCTTCAGAGAAGGTGCATATTCTATGCTGAATAAATAATGCATAGCATAGACGGTCAATACACCTTCATAAATGTTTGGGACTTGGATATGTCGAAGTCCTTCGGCATAAATATACATGGACGCAGCTTGGTCCATTTCTACTTCGTCTTCAAACATTACGAGTCGGGGAGTGGATATTGATTTCCAATTGAGGGGCTCATTCTTTACCAGAAAGCAGACATAATTGATAATATTATTACATTATGCATTTGGAGAGACTTATGTAAAAAAAAAATGATTTAAAGTTACCCTATTTCTAACGAGCAACAAGTTTTTCGGGACGTCATTCTCCGCCCAATGGAAACACAGACAAATCATACCCAGCACTCGCTTCACGTCTAAATTCATCAAGATCAAAAAGAATACAATTATGTCTAACCCGAATTGGCACACTTGAATGAGAAGAAAGGTGTACTAAATACTAATCTTGTTTTACTTTTGGACATTTGCTGCTTGTCCGATCGGGCATGAAGCAATGCTCGCTCCCACAATCCGTGCCTCTTTTGTCCGGGTCTCTTTTTCACTGAAGACCACGCATTATGAAGCTGGTCTTTCAACAGTTCTTCCAGCCATTGCATCCGTCCACCAGCGACGGCCGGAGTAAGTTCGTTAAACTCAGATTTTATCTAGAAATTGAGACGTCGGCTCAAGTTAATTGTGATACATATGTATCATAAGGAATGTAAACATATTTTGAACATACAAATCGATAGTCCTTCAAGGGAGGAAACATTATCAGGCCGTGGTGAATGTCATAGTTATCCTTCTCCAAAAATCGTCGTCTGTAGGAACTGGTGCGAGTCATGAGATCTTCGAGTTGGCTCATCCTTGGAGATTCCTTTAAGCACTCGGCCTTCATCGACAGTAGCAATTTCTTCTCTTGTGGCTTCGCAGGCAATATTAGAAACAGATCAACATCCTCTTCGGAACTTGGGCCAGATTCGTCTTCCTCAGAACTGTTGCTGCTACTACTACTGTCACTTTCGTCAACGTCCACGTCATCCACAAGCAGAACAGCTTTTGAAGAGGTACCCTTCTTGAGCGTCGACTGACCAGAGGGGGGTGTGCGAGTTTTACCTTTCGATGGCGAGCTATTAGACTTTGAGAGAGACTTTCTCTTGTTCAAGGATTGTGATACTGATGGAGGGACAAGGGGAAGATAAGTGTCCGAACTGGAGGACGAAGATGGTGAAACTCCTCGTTTTAACCGCTTTATGGCAGGTTCTTCCATGTTATTACTGGAGCTGTTAGGCTCTTGATGCTGATCTGTGGTGGTGGCAGACTCTCGCGATTTGGTCATCGATTTGGGACCAGGACCGGGTGATCTTTTCGGACTTTTTGCACACTTTTTTGGGGATGAAGGTGCCTTGTGTTCGTCTGATTCAGGTAGTGGCGACTCTTGATGGGCTTCCTCATTCTCCATCAAAACTACATTATGATGATCCTCATCATCATTTTGAGATCCAACTTCAACCTCAGCAACATCGACTTCAGCAAGGAATGATTCTTGACTTGGTGTTTCGGAAAAAATTTCGGGCAAGAGTGCCGCTACTTCCGGAAATTCTCCCTCGCTCGCGCCCAGTGACATCTGCACCCGATCTTCCCCAGTCAAAAATATGGGAATAGGGCCAAGTAATGCGTCTAATTCTTCCTCAATTGACAACTCAACAGGACTGTCAGTATTGTTGATGGTAGGGGCCGATAAGGCTTCTTGTGTTTCTTGGTCAACGCGGGAGAATAACGACGACCTAATCCCCATGACCAGTGGTGGCGAGGGCGATGATGATTTCGGGAGAGGGGCAACAGTAAGAGATTCTTCTTCGAGCGAATGACGATGTAAGCTTGTCTGTGTCGAACTAGATTCTGAGCTTACACTGGTAGGTTGCTGAGCAGAACTGGGAGAAGTAATCGTAGTAGGAAGTATTGCTTGCAAATTCCTCTCCTGAAACAAACAAATTTATTTATCTCAAGCTTTGCATAATAGATAAGACGATTATAATATAGATCGTTGTAAATAGCAAGTTAGAGATTTCAAGATTTGGAAATTAGGCATAGCCTATTTTCTATAAAAATTTCTTAAAAGCTTTGGTTAGTAACGTTGCAGACACAACTCAAGATGTAATACATATTGATATACATATTGCACATATGCACCTGGGGATACGTGGTATGGCATGTCAAATTCGTCGTCAGTTGAAACGGTTCGTGCTCTCCAGAGAGATATTGCTTCTTAGAAGACGGTGGGGTGGGTAGATTCACGTTCAACTTCATTTGTACTTGTACTTTTCTGTTACTTTCATCCTCGTTTGGAATTACTGGACAACTACTCAGACTGACGTCTTGTGGACTCAAAGTAGCAGCAGGGAGCTCTCCAGGTAATACTTTCCTAGCTTTTATCCTTGTCTTCCCTGTCCCTGTCCTGGTTGCACCTTCCACCTACAAGAATAATATATATTAAATTTTATCGATATAGACAAATAGTGCATTTATCTGTCAAGTTTCAATTTCTTTATATATTTAAGGGGAGGGCTGGTGTTAATTACATACAGTAGTGAAATTTACCAACCTTGGCATAACTTTCCTCTTGTTGTAATGGGAAGAGTGATTGTGGTAACGTTTGGATAACTGGTGATAGTATTTCGACTGAGGGTGATGAACATTCGGCAACAAAAGTTTGTCCAACTGGGGATTGAGCATTTTTCTGGTAATTTTTGTTAGCCATTCGCCCTTTCCCTGGTGGTCTACCTCTTCCCCTTTTACTATTGTAATATAATAAATGTTAAATTTAATTAGTATATTAATTATTATTCATTCATGCTTGACAATTTTTTTAAAAAACTTACACTGGTATTGGCAAATCTTTAATTTCACTCTTCACTATGTTTATAAATTTGTCGATTCGAACTACTAAGGGACGACAATTAAATTTGTTCCAAAGCACCAGCTCTTCATTAGTCAGTTCGGGATTAGTGAAGAGGGAAAGAGGAGGAGTCTTCGCCTTCACAGTCTTTTCTGTTGCATTAATCGTAGTAGTGGCACTATTTGGCTCATCACAAGACATATTGGCTAAAAATAAGGTTAATTGATTAATGGTTAATTAACAATTTATTTAAGTATGATTAGATCAATCGTAAGTAGAGATAGGTAGCAAATTAATTATGAGCTTTTTTTAAATTTTGTTTACTAACCATTACTTGGCGATTTTCGTGTGAGAATTTCTGTCGTCGAGTTGGACAGATTGGACGCTGCAGAATAGTAGGAGGACTCTGAGTCAGATGAGCTATGGTCCTCCGTACCTGGCTTTGCGATAACTTCTTGCGATGATGATGGCTGGATAAGATCCGTGTGTTCAACTTGATCCAAAGGCACTTCTTCGAGATGAATGTCTTCGAACGCTGCTTGTCCGTCTTCTATATCTGCAAAGACAATTATTTGTCAAACTCTATGGCTTCTTGTGATGTCATAAAAAAGTGAACAAATTGAGTCGCATGATAATTCACCAATTATGCATTCATTATGTTCCAAAAGTCCAAAGATATGTTGTTTATTAGGGTCATCGTCGGAGTTTAACTTCCCCCCCATGCTGGGAGGATGAGCAATGTTGATCGGAATCTCAGAGGTATTTACGCCAGTGCAGTCAAGAGATGGTAATAAGCTCATCGTAGACGTAGGGTGAGAGGTTGTTTGCGAAGTACCATTAGTTCGTACAAGAGAACAAGATTCGTCAGATAGGCAACTGAGTAAATCTTCGGTACTTTCAAAAGTTGGTTTCTGTTTCGGATGTTGTGGAATATTTTCTTGATTATATCCAGCTTGGTTGAGATCAGACATGAGCTTTTCGTAGAGTCTTTCTTTTTCCGCATTATCCATAGCTGTAAATTAGTTGGAAAGTATATTGAAAGTTTGTTTTTAAATTAAATCATAAGATGCGTATTTGTAGAAAGCAGTCAATTATAACAACTTACCACCACGTTGCTGTTCGTAGGTAAAGATTTGCGGAATGATTTCGTCAAGTGATTCAGCACCCTCAAAGTTGAAGGCGACAGAGTGGGGTCCATAGATATGGCGGTGAACAGCGTCCCTCAGCTCTTTAATGGTCAAAACCGTCAACACCAATTCTTTCTTGCTTCCTTCTTCGTCCTCTTCCTCTTCTTTAACAAAACAGACAAACAAGTTGTGAATGTCTACTTTACCCGGGTGACCTAACACCTAATCTGTATAAAACAAAACTAAAAGTATTACCCTGATTGACGATAGCGTTGATTGATGCTGGCGACAATGGCCTGCCACTGTCGCCGTTAGTCTTCATTTTGGTCTTCATGAACTACCCGTAGTAGTATCTATCCTACCACCAGATAGTTTAGCCTCTGCTGGGTCCGACGGATTGATGATGACTCGTGTGAAACCAAATCATTTCTAAGGTTTAGTCTCACAGACTTGTTGCTTGTTAGTACCGTAAATATTTAACTAAAGAATTTCTTGGTGTCACTACTAGTCACTACTAATTGCTCAAGTTAACAAAAGTTCTACTCGAGTCAGTCGCAGGCACGCAAGTGGCGAAGTTCAAGACTTCCGAAATGGCGAGTAAAGCTGGAATTGAGAAATTTGACTCTAAATTATTGTAAGTTTCTCCAAGTTGAACGAAACTTTCAATTCAACTCGAATCGAGCAAATGGACATGTGTATTTTGTGCGTATTGAGCTGAACAGTTGAACACATTTCGTTTTGCATTTACAGTTTGGGTTCAGATTTTATTGGCTGAGGTTGTTGTTGGTTGGTTGGAAGTCATCGCGGCTCTTTTCTCACCATCACCCGATTCATATTCCTCTCAGAGTGAATCAAGTCAGCCGGATCTCCGACAACCAGGTCATCTCCTTTTCCGATGGATTTTGTCGAATACAAATTTTGAAATACATTCTACTACACATAGGTGTAGAATGTATTTCAAAACTATTGCATCTCGTTCAAATGTGGGACCCTTTCCTTAAATTAAGGACCCTAATCCTCATGAGGTGATGAGTAGCATATTCACAATTACTGAGGGAATGAAAGTGACTCATCCTCAGAAGTTTGATATACAAGGTTTGTACTATTTATAAACTACTATGTGCAGATTGCAGGTATATTTACTAGATTCATAAAGTAGATGTATGAATATATGCAACAATTTTTTGAGTTTAACAATCCTTATCATTACATTTACATATTGAAGTTTAATCATATTGAATATAAAAATATTTGTAGGGTGATTAGTGGTTATTACTAGTACATTATTTGCATTGTGCAATAGTTTACACTTATTTGTTCCTCTTGGTATTTGTTCTGATGTACTATTAAATAATATGCAAAGTAAAGGTATGCAAAAAACTTTTAAATCCCCACCCCGAACAAAGTGACACTTCCATTGCCCTGGACCCAGATTCAGTAACTTAAGTGGTGTTTATGCTTCACGTCATCGTCACGTCCTCCTTCAAATCCGATTTTTTGATTGGCTGAACCAAATTATCACTACGACAATTATAAATTTTAACCAATCAAAAAATCGGATTTGGAGGAGGACGTAACGATGACGTGAAGCATAAATGCACCTTTAGACCGAAATTTCGGCTTAAGCTTAAGACTGCCTTAGACCGATCTTAAGATCGGTTTTAACCCCAATTCAGCACTTTTTTCAAATCGGTGTTTGATGGTCTTAAGGTTAAGACGGTTTTAAGAACGATTTCAAAAGGCGGGAGAGACTAAAGTCTGCCCAGCCTGCGTGGGACATATAATTTATCCACCACCGGCCATCTCACTTTCTCTCACAACAACACTCGGTCGAATATTTGTTTTTGTTGACATTTTAAAAGCATGTCAGGTCTCTCTCCTTTCCTTATCACCACTTGTTATTTAACGTTTAACGACGACATTTTTTTGGGCTGATTAAAATAAAGTAGAATAAAATTTAAAGAACATGGATTTTTGAGTTCTATCTTTTAATTTTGCAAATTAGAATAAACATTTGTACAACTATTTATGATAGATTTAGCTCATATTTAAAGTATTTGAAATCTAAACTATCGACCCTCTTCTCTACATCGACTCTGGCCTTATGGCGCTGGTCTAACGACGCCGGAAGAATCCAATATATCGTCGTGCTGATTTCTTGTCGTATTTGTCGTAATTTATATTTGGCTGCAACACAATGACAAATAAACAAATAAAGCCGTCATTAAATTAAACACCAATGAAGCCTGGGGATAAGAGTTGTTCACCTCGCTTAAATTTCGTTATTTCAGATGTATCAAAGAGAATTATTGCGTTGCTGAGGTTTTAATAGTGTCGTCTGTGCGATCCGGTATTACAATTTCTCTAAATTGATGTGATGTTTGTTCCAAATGAACCAGCGTCTTATGTGAGGCCAGCGCTACTCCATCCATTCAAACTTTAGGCTGAAAAGCAAAATACCATTTGTTAAACATGAATTAAGTCTCCTCCATGAATGAATTTTGCATTATAATATAATTAAGAAGAAAATTGTCATTGTCATTGCCATTGCCATTTCCTAGCACTGGCTAATGCTCTGGCCAAAAAATATTTACCTTAAATTTGATTGTGGTAAACATTAATGATCTCGTCCCTCTCCTAGTCCGTCGGTTGGTTCGTCGTCATCCGCGAGCGGGATGTCCTTTTCGATCTTGGTAACACGAGGTACCTCCCCTCCTGCTTATCATACGTTTATCACTGGGACCTGAAAACTGTTCTTTAATTATGGGTCAACCTACATACTTGGACATTAAATGGAATCAGATTTTTCAAGTACCGATGGTGCCGTGCATAACATTACTCGTTTCTTGAATTTATTAAATCTCAATTTATAATCTTCCTCAGCTTATGATCTGCATAAGGGATCAGAAACAAGGGTCCAAAGGTTCGGAATCTACTATAAGAGATAAATATTACTTGATGTCAGCGCAGGTAATTCTGCCAGCACATGTTTTAATTTTTTACCCATTCAAGAAACAACTTACGCCTTAAATTTCTTAAATTTCTTAAACTTAAATTTCTTTTTAAAATCTTAAGATGTTCTCCAACGCTGGTATGATTCCTATCGTCATTGCTTCCCGGCCACTGAGCATGCAGAATCAAGTGTATATTGATTATAATTGTCGACAATCTTTCAATTTATGATATGTGGTATTTATGTTCGCATACCGAAATTCATCGATTTAAAGTCAATGATTCCAACGTGTCCCATCACACATTTCATTCGTATTGTACACGACCATGTGGCCATCGCACTGCTATTAGGGCTCTGTCAAAAAAATAGGACAGCGAAGAACTATCCGATATGCATGTAACTATTAAAATGACTAATTATGTAAATATTTGTTTATTAAAATCTACATTATCTTCACTACATTGACGCTGGCCTCAAGGCGCTGGCTTAATCCAATGCATCGGCTTGCTGAGTTCCTACATATATGTTTGTATTTTGCTGTAAATATAGAAACAAATTCGTTATAAAATTAAACACCTAATTAATCCGCAGAGATGAGTTGTTCGTTCACCTTGTGTAAGTTCCACTTCCTTGCGAGCAATATCCCGCATATTTGACTCGCATAAACTTTGTGTCCCCTCTTCGAAACTTGACTTTCGTTTTGTTGTTTTGGCTCCATGTGTAGGAAGGTTTACAACGGAATCGAGGATGACCTTTGCCATTCTAAAGGCTTAAAAACCTCACAAATAGATTCTGCTCCCCACGGGGGTAGTCCAAAATGTTTACCACCTTCGAAGTACTTAATTATTCCACTTTTTTTCTCTGCCGAACAACATGTCTTTCTTCCTCTAAGAATCGAAGGGGTTGTCACTGCACTGGCTGTTAAGGCTCTGGCAAAGGACTAGGAGAGGGGAAAACTATCTGGCATTTACCCAACAATTAAAATTACTATTTAATTAAATATCTTATTTCCACAAAAACGACAAAAGGTAACATGTGTTATTCCTCTCGCAGACGTACGCAAACGAAGTTCAAATCTCAAAGTTAGACAACTCCGGAGGAGGTTTGAGATTTGGGATAACTTTGAGCTGGCTTTGGTCTAACTTTTTGCTAATGAATTGACCTATTCACTAACTCGGTCTAAATTTTGTCTTGGGCTCAAATTTTGCTAGATTTTGTCTTAAGACAGGTTTAAACCGAGTTAGTGAATTGGATTTTGTCTATAGAATGTCTACAGACCAAGAATATTTCTTAGTGAATCTGGGTCCTGGGGGTTATTGTCATTTAGCCATTTGCCACATCCTTCACCAATACTTGCACAGTGCAAGTTGCACTACCCATACCACCACCAGTTGCTTTGCCTGACAGACTCGTCATAGAAGACCCAACTTGTTTCTGAGTTGTTGTTTTGTTTAGTTTGAGTTGTAGTCAGAGCTCGTAAGTCAAGTCGTCAATTAATGTGAGTTGCCCATTTTGGCCAAAGAATAAATGACACAAGTTGTATAAACTGCAATCGATTCTCTCAACGAGCAAAATTCGTCGATATCGGGTCCCCATAGCTCATTTTTACATGCGTCCTCGTATAATATTTATTTGGTAGTGTTTATATAAAGTAGGCCTTTTTGCCAATATTTGCACAATACAAGGCGAAGGTTTCGTTGAACAGTAGATACTCTATAGGTTGTTGGTTCGGTTTGTGACATATTAGTTCTGACTGACGATTTATTTCGATTCCAAGCCGACCATTTAAGTTTAAATCCACTATCATGCCCGTGATAATTATTGACGAGGGGCCTGGAAGTGCTGCATCGCCACCGTACAACATTGATGCTTCAGGTTATCAACAGCAACGTGTCGTGGATCTGTCACATTTCACAACGCCACAAGGATGGGCGAAATTGGCCCAAATTGTAATCAGATCTTTACTCCATATTCTTAAATGCCTTGATATTCAATATTTTGACGATTCGAGTTGTTTTATGAACGTGCAGCTTCTTCCTTCCACAGGTTTTGGGTATCTTTGTTCTGTGCAGTGGACCTCCCTTCTGGCTGAGGTGAGACTGTAAATATATTGATTCATTCTTAATAGTTTAAAACAATATATGATCAATTGACAGCGTGGTGGGTTGGTTGGCCTTGTGGGGTACAGTCCCTTGGTGCTGGATCTACTTTTTTACGATCAACAAACGCTATGCGGTGAATCCTCCCTGGATTGTACTTGTGAGTTCATTGTGCCATGGTTTATTGCATAACACATATACTGATATTGCATGGGTGATGATATTGATAACCCACCTGCGTATATTATCACGCTAATTGCACAATATGTCTTGTTTTTGTTTTGTTAAAGGAATTTTACTACACTGCCGGCGTGCTGGTTGCGTACGCCGTCATGACGCTGATCACCTTCATTACAATTGTCTATGTTTTCTCTGCCGTGAGTATACAATAATTTATTCTTAAAATATTCAGTGGTGTACCGATAAGCGGTAAACATACCAGTTACTGTTTTCCTTACACGAACAGATTTGTGGACTCTTCGCTACAGCAGCATATGCCGTGGGAGCTTACTTCCTCTTCATTGAATGGAAAGCTTGGCGTGCAAATCCAGTCAACTCGGCTACTTCCGTTCCAAAATGAAACTCCACCCACTAATCTTTTTTTAAGAAACCGTGACAAAAATATGGAAACGAAAAGTACTTAGATATTACACTGGAGGATAATATACAAATATATATATATCGATAACTCAACAAAAAGACTTACACAAAAGTAACCAACCATACAACTAAGTAAAATCAATCATAATTTCTATCGGAATCTCATAATGCTATACTACAAATGATCCCACTCCTGTAATCATTAAAAATCCCCCTATTGATCCATCCATTCACAAGGTATTACACAATAACAAATGAACTATTCCATGCGTCTTTCAGGGTCAATGTTAAAATTTATGCGGATTTTAATGAGGAATACATTTATTCTTCAAGGGAATGTGCATATGTATTGTACAGATATTACTGTTTGGATTAAATGTTGTACGCATGTAAAAGTTTAATGAAAAAGATGATACATATATAATAATGCGAATGTAATACGTTTGGTACTTTGTTTTTTATTGTTACTAATCATTAGGTAATACAGTTTAAATATTTATTGGTTGTTGATACGTGGTAGTGAAAAAAAACGAAAATAAATAATGTTCACTTAACTAAGAATTAGTTTGTGGTTCTTTGGTGGCAAGAAAATTATGTAATTATTTTGTCTCATTCTTACGAGTTGTGCAGATAGGTTCAGAACCTAAGAGTAGCAAGGGCTTTGTTGTCAAACGTTCTCACATGTTCGTCCGCTCGTGGCAAAATATCAAAGTCGAAAATTTCTGCAGGAATCCCAATCGAGCAACACGAGTTGGGGACATCGACGATATTGTTGATTCTGGATTCGCAGGGGGCAGCGGAGAGAATGAGATACGCCTGGAAAATTGAGAAATATACAAGTCATGGATAAATTGGTAACTGAGGTTGTAAATTTACCTGCTCCGCAGTGTAGCCCAGTCGCTGCAGATAAGCCACTGCATTGAGGCAGGCTTGGCGAAATGCTACCCGTGGGTCCAGAAAGTGTTGAATCCCCCGATCGACGGGTATTCCTTGGAACGTGAGATATTTTGTGTACCGAGGTTCCACCGGTCCAGGCAAAAAGATTGGATTTTTTAATGCGAATCGATCTACGCCCCTTTTTATGACCTGAACTCGACACGTCACAATCCCGCTGGTTTCAATCCCACCGCAAAACTAATTATAGAAATCAAGGATGTATAAATTATGGATATGAGTAGGATTTAAATAAATAAATATTTAAATAAATATGCTCACAGCAATTTCGCCATCACCCTGGGAAAAGTGAATGTCACCAAAGCTTAAGTTTGCTCCAGGGACATAGACGGGGATCCAAATTTTTGCTCCCCTGCTGAGATTCTTGATATCGCAGTTGCCCCCGTGTTCTCTCGTGGGGGCAGTGCGTGCTCCCTCAACCTTGACCCTTTCCCCAAGGGGAGTCCCTTCCAGACCCCCCACGAGTGCCCCCTGTGCTGAGGGTGGAAATGCGAGCGGGGGCTGGTGGTTGGGAGCGGATGCAATGAGGACGCCCTCTCGTCGATTCCACTCGGCCAAGAGTTGATGAGATGGGGCTAATTAGTCAAGAAATTAGTTTAATTAGTGACATGTGTAATGTAAGCTTTGCCAAGTCGTCTGATTTATAATGTACCCTTCTGAACTCTGTACCTGTGGCAATGATCCCCGTGTGGATCATCCCAACAAAACGTACGCCTGGAATGTGTCGGCTTGAGGCGTAAATACCTTCAAAATCCCAAATTGCTTTGCATGGACCTTTCATAACGTCACCTGAAAATCAGTAAATTTCGCAAACCGTGTCACACTCACAAACACAAGCTGATCAATCTATAGCAGCAGACAAAATTCAAATCTACCGAGGAATCCACCCCCTCCATTGTTCGGGTCTAGGACCGCAGTCACACCCCAAGCACGTTCCGGAAATGGTTGGATGTCCAACAACTCGACCTCAACGGCATCCCCCGGTTCCGCACCTTCCACGGCGATAGGGCCGGACAAGATGTGAGCCACGGAGAGGTCCATGTTCTTTATGTCGGCTGCGTCATCATCGTTCTTTATTTGTCCTCCTGTCCCGATAATAACACAATAATCACAAATCAAGACACACATAGGGTGCCCACGAAGCATTTTTGATTATGTTGTAGTTTTAGTACCTGAAAAGTCAAAGCACTCCACTTTGAACACCTCTCCAGCCTTGACCGTGTCCACGGGGGGAATTTCTGGGTGGTACCGATTATGGAAAATTTTTCGACTCTCCTCCATCGCCGTCTTGGTCAAGTCAATTTTTACCACGGTTCTCATCTTGCTGCCAGTATCGAAATCCAACTCGGACTAATCTATTTTTCACGAGTAAAAAAAATAGGATGGAATCAGTCCGGTGCCCGGAGCGTTGCTGGACATTTCGTGGCTAATAGTACTCTATCTCATTATTACTCCATTATTGTAAGTATTATTGTGTGCATGCATGGGGCTGAATCTGTGCAGCTCATCCGCAGTGTTTGAGACATACAATAAACTAGACACAAACAGATACAAGCAATATCAAGTCATGGGAAAGAAAGCAAAAAACTGGTTCCATATCCTCTCATGGAATTTTTCTTTCGAAGCCTGGAGCATTTTTCTGTGGAGAATTTATCCCATGCACCCAGAGCCCTGCTGCGATGATAAATAAATTATGTTATGTAACAGAAACTGGACGATGCGATGATGCGATTCAGTCATGCAAAGTTTAAATTCTTATTTTGGCAACGCAACACGGCTTCGTGACATATACGAGTCCAAGAATACTGGAAAAAACAGACGTCAATTCTGATTAGGTTATGAATATATTGCATAACCAAATTAACGTGCAGAATTCTCTATACATAAATCAGAACATCAAGAAACATTGAGCTGTCCAGCAATTACTACAATTCCCAAAAGGGAAGTTGACAGATATTAAATACAATTATGTAAAACTTGCTCGATCCACAAAATATCTACCTACAGCTCAAAATACAATAATTAAAATGCCTGTTTTAGTTAATTTATATATGTAGGTGCTCCTTGTAACGACATATATACATAACCGGCCTTGTCTTAGTTAGCTGCAGCCGATATCTTCCATAATTATGTTTGCTTTACATATGTACGTACGTACACACCTGACTTATTGGGATGCTGGAGTTGGAGTTGGATTCTTACATGAGATTACATTCTTGATCATATTTCCCATTTCGTCGTAATTGTCTTTTTGTAGTCATCATGTCCTTCTCATGGTCAGATGTGGTGGTCGCTGGGTGCACTGTACATATGAAAACAGTCTTGGTTGGTGGTTTACTAATTTGTTTCAAGGATGTCTAGCAAAATAGCTCACAAGCTCCAGCTCCTCGTATGCAATGTAATGTGCACATACATGTATGTACGTAACGCGAGATATACGTAACACAAGCAAGATAATCATATTTCATTGGCAATTTACAAGACTTTTAAATAACTCGCATTTCTTGAACCGTGAAACAATCCAGTCAAAACATATTTACTTTTAGATTGGTTGTTTTTGTAACTGCAGTATTACCAATACAGATATTTTCTATCGGGCATATCTGCTTGGTGTGAGAACTCATTGCTATGATTTAAGCAGACAAAACGATTGGCAACGAGTTAAAACCGACAAATGCACCAGTTTTCTTGTAGGTTTTTTAGCTGGTTACACTTCGGATGTAATTCGGAATGAGGAAGGCAAAATGAGATTCTTGAACCGGAGAAAAAATAAAACTCCATAATAATCTGCTCATAAAGATTAATCCGCATGCACGCATTTATTCCGTCATACAAATCTTCACTTTTATTTATTTCCTCTCTATTGTTCTACGCATATAAATATATGGACAAACATATTACGTGTGTCAGTATGACCACTGTTGGTGATGACCAAATGTGCAATTAGTATGCACAGGAAAATTGGAAAACTGGTCATGTAAAAGGAATCGACAAAGGAATGTCAAGAGTCCATAAAACTGCTTCGTGCTGTTATGTGCATACCTGCTTTTTGGTTACGGGGCGCATATTGTTCATCTATCTGTGATTATTACCATGTGGGATAGCCTGCAGGCAGCTTCAATGACGACAAGAGCACAGATTATTGTGTGAGGTCACCTCCTAAACTCTTTGTTCGTACCGTGTCTTGTTATTGTGGGTGAGTCAAGATAACTACAAACCCATATAACGAGCCACAGCCACCAGCACATTATCAACAACCAAACCCCAATCGCATCATCCTCCTCCAGATTTAGCAGTGACACCACCACAATCCCTGCTTCCTCCAAAAAGCGCATATTTGTTTACAAGCTTCTTCAGTCGCCTTGCAGTTCTCCGCAGAGTCGCACATAGCCTCAAACAATTATTCTATTTATCCGTCCGTCCGTCCATCCATTGCATAATCATCATGGCCGACAAGCGCGTCGTGGGGCGAAAGACTCATAAAAGCACCGTCAGCAGCACCATCGACGTAAGGCCACACCTCGAATTTATAAATTTCTGAAAATATTAACCTTCTCTTTCCCCTTTGATCATCATCAGGGTAAGACCGTCCGAACGACGACCATTACGACGGAGACCACCTACGCAGATGGGACTACGTCCACGGACACGAAAGTTGAGAAATCCGGAGATGGCTATTGTTGTGGGAAAAAGTGCTGCACGATTATGTAATAATTCTCAATATTCTTCGCCAACTACAACGGCGTGCAGAAATCTGCTGACATGCTATAATTACATCAAACCACTTTACTATTTACTCTGGCTGTTCTCTCTCTCAGTTTCCGCATCATTATTGCCATTTCATTTGTTTATACTTTTAACACTGTTTACAAAGATTAAAGTGTCATAAAGATTACAAACTCGAAATACAGAAGTATAATTGTCAATTGTATGTATGTATCACCATTTTGTTGTGTCTACTACCTTTTGTATATTTTTGTATATACAAAAATGAGCAAACACGTGCTCGCACACATATATTTATGTACGTTCCATATGTGCTTGCAACGCATTTTTCTCCATTATCTCACACTTGCATACTCTCATCAATTGGCAAGAGTTATAATTTATCATCATAGCATTACTCATTATATAATAAAATTGATACCACGAAGAGCGTTCATTTCGTACCTGCACAAAATAATCTAATCTCATCCAATAGAGTTACAACTCAATTAACTTCAAAGTAGTTAAAGAAAACCTTAGCATCTTGGACTTGGAGACCAACTTGGCTCGGATTTCTCAAACAAACAGCTACGCCAAGTATTTAGGAATCTGATAAGTAACAGAATTGAGCATGAACCTGACACATGCAAAATCAAAGTACAAGTACAATTCGGGATGAATCACCTCTAACCAGCAACCACCAACGCCTTCAGTTTCTCTCTCCTATGTGCTACACGTACACGACACACTGCTGGAAAACGGTGGGTCTCCCCGAATCGGGTTTTTTCCACGGCAGCAGCCGTCAGCCAGTCTCGCTTTCCCTTTCGCGAATTTCGTCCTCCTATCTCCCGTTACACGATCTCCTGGCTGTCGTTGCCTTGTTTTGTTGGTATGTGTGCCATATCGTTTTGGTTTAATAATTCTCCCTTTTTACCGAGGATTCCTTGTGGATCATAGAATTCGTGATGCGGCAGAAACGAACGGGTTGACGGATTCAATAGCAACAGCAACTATTAAGTGGTGCTGCCTATTCATCAGCATACACACACCACTACTTACGTAATATAAATACCAGTATTACATACTTATTGGGCTGGGTGGAATTTTTTTATAGCTGGGCGAAGAAGGAGAAGACGACGAAGCCGAGAGAGAGAGAGAGATTGGCAAAAGCAAATGAAGGGTTGTCAATAATTATCACCACTGAACCACCACGACGACCACGACTTTGGTATATGTACCACATTATTTTATCGAGAACTTATTAATACCACTAGTAATAGTTGTGCGATCGAGTGCTATGTGCTGTTTTGTTCCTTCCTACTACTCTCTCTGCTGCTGGTCTTCGCTTGCTGAATATTCGAGTCAGAATAATTAAAGCCCTATTTAAAGTATTTGTGACAATATATTACAATATTACTAGTGACGATCAGGAAGTTTCAGGGGGACGAGTTAATCACCTTACAGTTCAGTCACGTCATACAACAGCCATACCACACAGGCCAGTCTAGCAGCGAAGAAAGCAATAATATAAATTCGCACTATTTCGCACTTCGCAGCACAAGTATGAAGTAAACCAGAAAATTAAAGGAGGATAAATACTTGGTCTTGAATAGTTCATCAAAAATCTGGTGTACGTTTGGCCCACAAGTTAATAATCTGCCTGGGAAAGTGCTAAAAGTAAATTGTACAGAAAAGGCTAACAATTGATTAAATGATTAACGACCTAAATTGATTTAATCCAATCGGCTCAGGAGCTCCTGTTCTTATTAAATTAAATTAAGTGGAACGAAAACAGGTGCTGCCTAATGTAAAAATATAATAAGGTGTCTTTTTAAGATAAGAAGAACATCTCAATTTATATTTTATATCGCCTGATGTCTGATTCTGGCTGGTAAGTTAATAATGCTATTGAACATTTTCTACGTCTTCACCTGGTAATTAAATTATGTGCATGTGTATTAGTATGAATTACTTGTGTTATATTTGAATTAATCTTTAACGTTAAAGACAGAAGTAAAAGCAAATATACATGACGGAGGTGAAAGCTGTGTGGGTGGACAATAATGCTTGTTATTAGTCATCAAGACGGGAGTGGTGCATTCAACTTCCACTGGTCAATGCCTGAATTGATTACAATAATATAAAAATCCATTGTTTATTGTTTTATTACAATTAGTGCGAGTTTATTTTATGTAACCCATTCACGATCAGGGCAATTCATTCATTCAATTTCATTTGCTCAAATCCATGAGGTTTAAACTTCGCATTATCCACAAGCACACCTGACCACCAATCATCCATTATATTGTTCCATCCACCAATTTATCATTCATCATGGCTACACGGACCGATTATAAATCAGGTCGTCTGATTTAGTCCTGTTTCTGTTACATACATACAACAACGTGCATCCATAGCATAATGTGCATACCGTAGAGTTCGCAATAAATGTCTGACAGGCAAATCGCATGTCAAGAAACAACGGCGTCAAAACCGGAATGCATGTAGTGAAGCAAAAGACAGAAAACAGAGGAGCAGTAGTCAAGTCGGCGTTGTTGTCCTGAATTCTTAAATAAAAATTTGGTGGATTGTACATTGTACGTATGGATGTACTTATGTTGCAAGCCGGTCTGGTTTATTGCTGTTCCGATATGCTGGTCTGGTTTTCTTTGATGATAGGATTGGTCAGGCCTTGAGGCGTTACACATTACCTCATTTTATCTCAGATTCTGGGCAATTTCTCAAACAAACATTTAAAAAGTTTACACTAACCATTAATTTACAAATAATAATTATTGACTATGAGGTGCAGAAGCAGAATCATAGTCTTTGCAGTTTGCACGTATGCTGATTCTTAAAAAATCTAAAATTACGTATATGATTCGACAAGTTTTGAGTGAAGTTTGAGGCAGAACTGGCTAGATAGGTAGGTACACATCTGTATGCCGATTCTGATGAACATAGATGGACGTGCTTCTGCATGAGAGTCATATAAATGAGCCGATGATCACTAATTGATCACATTGTCAGATGGTGTGTAGGATGGTGTTATATAGTATTTATATAGTGTTTGGATGGGTTGAGTTATGATGATTTTAATTAGTTGGCAGGAGTAGCCATGTCAAGCATATCTTTTACAAGTTTTCGATAGATAGTGAGTGATGTTAGTGGGAAAGCGGGGTTGCAATCAGTGTTTTTATTGTACAAAGTGCATAGTCGTGTAGCAAGTATGACAAATTTCTTCATATCTTCAATTTCCGATAAACTAGTTTGCGTATTCTAATTTTTGAGTGATTTTTGACATTTGTTAATTGTTGTAATTTTTCCTAATTTCAGTGAAAATCCGACCTGGACAAACAATTTGATTTTTTAAATTGTCACAAATCGCCAATGCAAATCTCAACCTAGTCTCTCAATCTCATCCTCATAATTTTTACAAAAACCCAAAGATATCATTCGGGATTGATGAACAAAGAAAGCTTTAAATCCTGAACGTGGTGCGTTTCCGTCCTCATCCACATCGGCCTATTATTTAAACTTGGCCTACATCGAAAAAAGAAAATACACCACGACGGCCCGCACAAAAGCAATAAATAAGTTTTGAGTGAAAGTGTATGTAGTATACAGAAATATCTATTTAGTTCAAATAATTTAGGAAGGCAATTAAAAACTTGAACAATCACAATTAGTTAAAAAGAGAACAATTAAAATGTCGGGTTCCGGCCTCGTTGTGAACTTGGACCGTCGTCGCACTTCCATCGGCATGGAAGAGAAGGCTCTGTCCACGCTGGAAAAGTTTGTGGAGCTCGTAGAGAAAGGGGGCATTGACGAAGAGGACGAGGAAATTGAAGGAAGTGCAGAAAGTGTGTTGGATAACCTGGATAGTAACACGGACTCGACAGAAAGTGAGTGGCATTTTTGTTGACAACTTTCTTTCCTGTCATTAATATTATTTACTAAAGTACGAACGTAGTTATTCATTGCATTTGTGTTTATTGCTTCCAGTGACCTCGGTGGAACGCTCCTACTGCTCCGCCCCCAACACAATCACGGGCACGGCGAGCAAACGGAGCAAGGCCGACGCCAACCGGGCAAAGTTGTGTGAATTGTTCATCGATCCCAAACTCGTCGACTTGAAGAGGAAGGCGATGGCGAACAGTGCTGCGGCTAATTTAAATCAGAACGGCGACTCTTTAAAATCTTCGGGACCCGGTGCAAAGAAACTGGAAGAGATCTGGGTCAAAAGAGTTAACGATCCAGCAAGAAGGTCTTTTAGAGTGGTGAGTCGTCCCACCCTTTATGTGCATGTAATATGTATGCATGATAATGATTCCCACCACCCACGCACTTTTCTTCTTCTCCTTATTATAATAATATACTGGGCTGGGCTACTGCAAATGAATCAAATACGAACTTTCCCCACCACGCTGACAGCTAAGCTTGCCGACTACTACTTGCTTAATTTTCACTTTGTACTTTCTCCAATGTTATATATTTATAAATATGCATGAATTCTATTCATCAACTCTATGCAGTCGTCAATGCTGTGCTAACCACAATTACTGTTTCACAACTCATCATGGAGTACATAGTTGCCTGGTGTAATGGCGTTCTTTCCTCTATGCATTCATCCATGCATGCATGAGTTACACGAGAAGGACGGAAGTTTGGCAGGAATAATTAGCTCTAGTTTGGATATGTATGTCGTGTGTAGTTAGGATTTTCGGAGTTTTGGAGTAGCATCATCATCAAGAGAAAGAAGCTGAGCCACTAAAAACTGAGCTCCGAATCTCTGAAACTGAACGACTCTGTTACACGCAAAATCCTTGAGCAGCCCAATTCCTCCGAATTCTTTCAATTTCGCCTCTCCGGGAAAGTTCAGCTGGGAAGCACAAAGTTGGCAGCAGGCTAACCAAGAAACGACGTGTGTGCTCCTTGCTATTATGCAATCGTTCGGTGACAAAGTCAACGTCACATGACTCTGACCATGAAACACTGCTCGCCCTTAACCAATTTGCCTTCCCAAGACCGCAAAAGAGCAGTTCTGGTCAGTTTCTTTTATATTCAGAGCAGTCTCAGTGCAGTGTGGGGCTTGGTCTGACAGGGGCCTGGCCGAACAGTTTTCCACCGGACTTGTTCACTACGGTGGAAACTACTACCCAAGCTGAATATTTTGTTGGTGGGATAATACTTAAGAATGCAGTGCACATCTAATTATTGCGACAGTATATTTTACCAGGATAGGCAGGGTTAGCTACCAGTGCTGCTGCAAGTGCAGATTTTTGTGACGTGAGTAGTATTGAAACTGCTCTCATTTGAATTAGCAGTGTTGAGCTATTCACTGATTTGGATCGAGATAGCAAGATTACACCGACTTGTTCAGAGGCCGCAGCCACGAAGAAGAGGAGGACGACGAAATGAGAGATATAACAAGAAATTAGTGTCATTATTCACATTGCTTCATACAAAACTACGGAAAGAGATTTTATGCCTATCACAAAGGTCACCAACATAATACACTCATTGCTCACTCATTCACAGCGAATGATTCACTGGTCTTTAATTTTGTCCAGTCCAGCCAAGTCTATTTATGTACCAAGACGCTGTTGCATCTAGTTATACATACTTCTCTTTTGCATATATGGAAGAGCAGTAGTCGTCGTCGTAATTCGCAAAGCAACGAATATTCATAGAGTGCCTCAGCTACTTGTTACTTCCGTCAAGTCAAACGAATAATGCAAACCTCATCGGTTAGAGTACAATACAATGTGCCAGTTTCAAATTCTGCTCATATGCAACGAAATTAAATGGCACATATATTTGCACTACGACGACATTTCTAGTCTTATAATACGAAATAGGCCACAAAATGTTGTTGTAGCATCTTGTAAAACAGGGGCCAGAGATTATTATACATACAACAAAACTTCCTTGAAACAAGGATCCTTTTGCGCCTAATCACAAGGACGAAGAACACAATCTTCATGACTCAAGTCCACTACTTTCACTACGCCCTTTAACGCAGTGCTGCTGAACTTTCTAGTCTGGTGTGTGCAGCCAAAAATTGATAATAATATGGGCCCTAATTTGTTAAGAATCTGGTGACGACGTGTCTTAGTAAAAATATTAATTATTCCAACAAAAACGGCCAACAAAGATTGAAGGAAATTATTGGAAAGCTGAAGAAATTTTATCCGCACAAAATGTGTTGCAGATTATTTATATAAAAGTTTTTAAAAGTTTTTAACTTTCATAGTTAATACTACGCCTTGTATACATCGTTGTAGCACTATTTTTGTAATACTACAGAACAGTAGGGAATATGGGTGATCTGAACTCACCATCATCATCCATACCACCACCCCCACCAACAACGGTAATCTGATTAATGCCTACAGCAGAAAATTTTCACTTTCTCTCCAAAACTTTCTCTCACTTTCTCCCCTTTCTCTCCAAAACTGATTTGTGCTGTTATCCAATCTAATTGTTCACGCTTGGCTTGTTTGCATGTCAAGGATACTATAAGTAAATATGTAAATTATGCTGTGTGGCGCGGTTGGTTATCTTTATCCGAAACATGTGCCAGACTATTGATATTCAATTTTGAACAACTCGTTTCTGTCGTCGTGCTTAAATAGGTGTTGAGCTGGTGAACGTAATTGGAAGTGCCAATCTCATTACTGTATACTCTTCGACGAGAGTTTGTCATGGCGAACGGTGGTGGCGTCGGCGTTTTGGGAGGGCCTGCACGAACAAGACGAGCCAACTCCATCGCCCACCATCCCAGATATATGCCCGTCAGTATGAATTTAAAAAATATCAGTTGATTGACTAAATTCTGACAACTATTGGCTTTTAGAGACGAGAAATGTGTAGTTTAGATGAAATACTTTAGAGACGAGAAAACCAAATACATAGCTTAGACGTGTAACATCTTATTAGATGATGAGATAATGTGCACAACAAATTAACTTATGTAGGTATTCTTAGTAATCTTAGTATTCTTAGTAAATCCAACAACAAGTAATAATCTTCACATGCTTTCCTATCCTTCAAACTGCTGAAAATTGCTTGCTGAACGACCCTGGTCTGCTAATAAAATCGCTTGAGCTACAAGTAGTTTGGGATTAGTGTGACTTTTTAAAAGTTGGAGATGTGACCTTGTTGATATGTAATTTGTTTTTTGTGTCAGAACTTCCGAGGGGCTCAGCTCCCCTCGATCCTGACGGAGGATGCGGACGAGGAGAGGGAGGCGGGAAGCTACCCCACCCACTACCACACTGTCACCGGCGCAACCCCCGGAATTCGCCAGCTGCTCAAACCCATGTTTCTCTCCCGAGATGATGAGCGTGGACGGCACAAGTCTGGCGAAGAGGGGAGCAAGTCGCACCGAGGCAGCCTTATGGACGTCTTTCGACCCAGATCAAAGTCAGACACTTCCAAACTCAAGAAACCCAACTTTATCAATAAGATGTCTTCTGCTGTGCAGGTAACGTCTTCTGATACAAACGCTCACATATAAATTGAGGTACTTTTAGTTTAAGAAATATTGGCCAATATGTATCATCGTCGTCGCGTTGTATAACAATGTGACGTTGGCACCACAATCAGTGGTGGTAGCTCAAATTGAGACAAATATTATTGGTCCATTACTCTAATTAAGTTAAATTGGATAATTTAAGACGGCAGCAAGCAGATTTAAATTGGATAGTTTAACGACTTGGGCTTTGTTTCGACTTGTTTTTTGTACTTGATTCTGAGCTGTTCTCTAAAAGAGGTCTTCAGTTTCGATGCTTGAACTGGCCGGGGGTGGCTGCAAAGTGACTGCAATGCTACCACATTTTTCTAAACCCATAACTGACATTAAATATTTGCGACTATTAGTTAACTCTGTTTTTGTGCGTGCAGAACTCGTTAAAGAGTGGGGGAAAGTCGGAATCTCAGGAAGGACATCGGCCACGCTCAGGTAAGCCCAAAAAATATATGAAAAAGTGAATAGACTGGCATGTATTTAATTTAATGCAATAATTTACAATTTAATTGCTCATGCAGGCAGTGAGTCCACGCGTAGTCCAGTTTCCAAAGTCATCGACATGTTCCGAAGCCGATCTCACAGCGTCAATCAACAAGATGACAAAAAGAGAGTAAGTTATTTCCACCAACACTTTTGTTTGCACAACACATGCACTGCCAAAATGTGCATATAATATCACTCATAATTCATACGTATGATAATCCAGCAGTGTGCAATCTGCACTTGGTTGTAACTTGTATCACTGGTTAACTGGTGGTGATCAGTAAATATTCTCGAGTTGTCCACGATATTGGTTGTTACTAGAATTTATGCATCTTGAGGTTTTTTGTGCAGGTCGCGTATGCATATCTTCACTGAATTTGCAGCCAATGGAGTGATCCAACCATAAAAAGTGTCCTCGTCTCCAATTATTTATATACAACGTCATCAATATCGTTGATTTAGATAGTTCAGGTTATTTCCAGTTGTCCAGTCATGGTTTTGTTGGTCGCACTACCACTCACCTTATTAGTTACAGTACTCAACTGTGTCCAGTCAATAAAATCCAAGCCGATCCTTATATTTCGCGTCCTTCTTCTTCTTCATTGTTTTCAGGAGAGTCGTTTTCAATTCCTCCTGGCACACTTAAGCCCATTATTGTACAGGGAATGAAATAATGCTGTTTTGTTTTGGGCATCCATTCCATGTGGCCGACAGGTTGTTGAAGCATATGTATTTCTCATGCATTTACCATAATTGGATATCAGCGCAGCAATTGACGTTGTATGAGAATGCAGTGAGCATGGCTTGGTTTGGTTTTAGTTAAATGAGCTGTTGCTGGCTGAGCAGTTAATAAAATCGTGTGGGAGATTTTCCTGACTACGAAATAGTATAATCATCCTGCTTCATAGAGAGTGGTGATATCAGCAGCAGAGATTTTTGTGCATGCGGCAATGCCATTGTTAACTATTTGCTGGCTGACTGACTGTACTGTGTTTTTCCAAAAGCATTATTTTGTGATATTGTATTTAGTAAAGAAGGCATAACGTTCCTCACGTACCGTACGTACGTACGTACGTGCAAAGACTATATGAAAATGCTGATAATGTTATGCAACTCATTCCACACACAGAGATGAGACACACATGGATATCATCAAAAATCCAGTCTTTTATTGCCAACCACTCACCATTACCTGTGGTGTGTGGGAGAATGCTGCTCATGTTGCGAATAATATATGTGCGACTGGAGGTTACATTACTTATAATAAATACGTCCATCTCCTCTTTCTGATGGTCCTCGTAACCAAATTGAATCTTTTTGAACATGCCAGTTAACCAAGTATACACATGTGTAGCCAACTCTGCATCTGAAATGATCTCACAATGGAGGAGTCGTAGTTATTTTCTGGGGTTGTATCTCTGTGTGTGTGGCGATATTTTGTGTATGTATCTGAGCTCAGGTGTTGCTTTACTAAGCTCTGCTAATTGCTCCATCAGCATCAGTCAACTCAGTCAGAGAGAGGGACTGAGGGCGACGACGGCGTCCCAAATTTTACAAATCTGTTTCATGTGCTAATTCATTCACTCATCGACTTCTCGGTCCATTCTTAATTATTTTGCCTATGCGTGAGTTGAGGAGTTCCCAGTCACTCTCGTTATCTGCCATCATCACAATAGTTACTCACATAGGTGGAGAGAAGAGGAAAGGTACACAAGGAAAGAGAGACAATAGAACTACGATATGTATTTGTCTCCTCTATTCTTCTGATAATGTGCAAGGAGTGGTTTTGAACTTATTCCTGTCGCATCTCATCATCACTCTCTGACGAAAGTGGGTGTCAGCTATATTCGTCACTTATTGGTTGTGGGATCATAATACGTGTTATCAGTGTACATTGTATCATACGAGCTGGGGTGGTTGGACGGATAAGTGCAGAGCGTGTGCGTGTCAAATCGGTCCCTTTAACTTATCAGGAGTGTCAGCTAAAAGGAGGACTTTTGTTCGGAATGGTTGCTTGCTGAGCACGAGTGATAGAGAAAATCCGTGCCTGTAGAAAGTGGGTGGGGACAAAATGTCGAAAGTGAGTTTTTTCCGGTGGAGGAAGAGTCGTAGTAAGGAGAGCATCGAGAACCTGCCCAGCTCAGTCTCCTCCAGCGGGGGGACGAGTCCTCAGGGGGAGGAAAAGCTTGGACGACGGCGAAATCGGGCGCCGTCTCCCTCCTCCAGACTCTCCCCCCTTCCACCCCCCACAAAAACACAGCGGAGTCGCTCCCTTGACCCTGACAGTTTGCAGAAGAGCGGACTCAGAGACTTTCTCCTCTCCAAGGTCAGATCTTATATGTATACGTAGCTCTTCTTTCTTCTTCGTGGATATATGTGTATATACTTCACTTCAACCAGTTACAAGTCATGAGACCATTTCGGAACAAATTCCTATCAGCCTATGCACACACCAGACAAGCGAATAAATAAATCGCACAAATAAATATTGGACTGAGAATTACTACTCCCACAAGACGAGCCTATGCATACATACAAGTATTTTATAGTGTTGGAAGTTTATGAACTGTCCGAACTGTGGGAGAATATTTGGATCACGGGGAAGCGTACAGTTGAAGCATGTATGAAATTGATGCACACAATAATTTCCACAATTCATACGTACGTTAAATAAATACATATGTACGTGCATTTAGGTGGTGGTACAATTGAGCAATTTGTGAGTCATGTCATTCTCTTACACGCTTCAGGTCAGGTAAATAGAAGAAGCGTGGCGGCGCAGGAAGTATTTAGTAGAAAAGGATTCTCCCAAAACATTATTCACACCACCAGATAATCCATTCTAATAACAATGATATTAGCAGTAAGTAAGCACATTTTGCTAATTTCGGCCAAGCAGACTTCTTTGTGTTCTTAAGTTGAACCCATAGAATTAGAGATATACTACATTTATAGTATACTTGCTTACAAATACTCGTTTGACCAAATTTCGCACTTATTTTTAAATATCGTTCTCTTATCAATCATTTTTTATTTGACCAATTTAATGTTGTATAATTTTTCCAAGTTTGCCTCAATTTTAGATAATAGCGCAAATATAATTCGTGCATTTGCTGTCGGCAAACAGAGAAACAATTCGTCTCATAGTCGAGTCTCTGATCTGATTCTGGGGTGGTTTCAAGACATGGCAGTCCGTGTTTCAAAACTAGTGTCGCTGAATATTTCATGGCCTTTCCAACTTCTTTGTTTGTTTGTCATTTATCCGTAAAGAGGAGTTAAAACAGTGAGATTGTCACCATCGCCGCATGTACAAACTCTTACATAAAAAACGTTCAGTAAAAAAATCTGCACAACATTTGGATCTAATTTTGATTGTAGTTTAAAACTTTGGATGGGACATAAAACATGTGCGGAAACTATTTGGGCACGGAGGCCGCACTAATCCGCACCTGGGTGGGTAGGTGGATGGTTCGATGGATATTTTAAGAGCAGACAAGGACATTGTGTTTAATAATTCCAATTCCTACAAAATAAAAATGTATAATCTGTGGTTAAACATTTTGTAAATGTCGAGAGAGCAAATATACGTGTACATCATACGAGTTCTGCCTACTGCTGATAAAAGAAGATAACTTTTTGCGTATACCAATAGTAGCCACTTATTTAGCTAAACTTGCATGTTGAGCAATGTGTCCTGATGCAGCTTAATCACTTGCTAATCTTACCTTATCTCATTTTTTTTACAGAAACATAGCAGCAGCTCCAACTCTTGGACGCCTCAAGGTAAGAATATCGTTTTTGTTTGCAATTATTCTGCTCGTCATTTTGATTCAATCTCAGCTCCACCAAAAATAATACATTCATTATGCAGCAAATATATCTAATGTCTCACGGAGATAAGTCTGCATTTCCCATTCCCATCGACATTCAAAGGATACATAAAAAATTGTGCTGCACAAATGTGTGTTTGTACGTACTTTTTTTATGTCATTGCGTTGTTGTGCTAGTCAAGCGCAAAGTGCAGAAAAGTTTAAATGGCAATTTTTATGTGTGTGAAACGATTCCATCATCATTCACTCACTCTACATAATACATAATATTATGAACGGATGGAAGATATGGAAGAATTGCAACTGGCCATTCCATGTGGATTGGTGCAAAAACATGTTGTTTTAAAATAGCTCAACCTCGCCATATTCCCACACACCATTTATCTACATATGCCCATGCATAAGCCAATCGGGTTTGCAAGTTTTTTACGACGCGTTTTCTCCCGTATAGATTACACTCATTTCATAATATTACTACCAACATAGTTCTCCCAATTGAATTTATCGGATCGAAAATAAGGTAGGTCGGAAAACCAGGAACGGAAGAAAAGCCCGAAAAGGCTCGAGCGTAAAAGGGGAATAGGCAGAGATTCTTTAGAATTCGCAGGAGGCTTTTGCCAATGGAGTGCCATGGATTTGGATCATTTTGAAACGGCGTTTGTGCAAGGCTCTCTCCTGTAAAGGTCACCTTGAACTTTAGTAAACTCGGGCAATGCTGAAACGAAGTGGTGCCAAACGGATCCGGGATTTTGTCCATGAAGGTTGCTGTCGCTGAAGCTGCGTACGTATCCTCCACTTGACTCTTCTCAATTGTGGGGGGAGGAGCTATCGTGTTTACTTCAAAATTATTATTTTTTACCAAGTATTAAAAGGGAAGCAGGGTGAAAGCATAAAGTGCTTGCGTCTCATTGGGAGCAGTTTTTGTCACTTTACGTACATTGTGTCACACGAGGACATTGAATCACATTCCAGTACATTAAGTACGTCTCTGCTGTGAAATTAATATTGAATATTGGGTTTATGTACTGGGAATTTGTTTTCACAATACCGTGGAAGTATTTATTATCAACAACATAGTAGTAACATACAGTGCACATTTGATACGCGAAGTAGGAAGTGTTGTTTTGCACAGCTCTCTTCTGTTTACTTACTTCGAGCAGGGTAGAAATTCTCCGGGTTTTTCTCCGTCGTTCTTGTTATCAAAAGAAGACGGCCACGAACACACTGTTCACTTGACTATGTGACGTGAGACTCGTCGCCGAGCCTGTGGGGTCACACGTAAGTCTCTCGCTGTCCGATTCAATAAGACAATAATAACTACCCAGGCTGGGGACATATATCTCGCCTTGGTTTAGACCTGTCATCATCAATAATATAAGCAGTTCGTCCCCTGTTGTTGTTTGCATCTCGTCTTTCGGATTGACAGTTAATAAACAAGAACTGGCACAATAACAACCATCACATTTGGTTGGCACACGTTGTATGCAAGTAGTTTCCTCAAAACCGAAAGTTTCATCAAAACGTTGTCAACCACGGATCGTCCGAAGAATAACGTCGAGTCTACACCTTCTTCACACTTCGTCAATTTCCACGAGAGGAGAAGACCAAAAAAAATGTTGCACCAGATTCGATTCAAGTTTAAATCATTTTCTTTGTTTTCCGGCAGCAGCTTTCTCGTTCTTCCAATTCTTGTAACGTGAGCCCCGTCTCGTTGATTCTCAGGTCATTTTGGTTTGGTAAATTGGGAACACATAGATAATCAGAATATACACACAATAATATACCCACTGCATATGCAAATTACATAATACAAACAATTGTACGAATGCAACGTGAGAGAGGAGTGTGAGTGTACGAGTGAGGCAGCACGAACGCACAATAGCTGTGCAAATTCTTGACTATTCTGCCAAAAACGTATACATACACAAGACGCCAAATACATTATTAAGTATGTGCATTTGTCTCTGTTGAACTAAATTAATTAGGTGTTGGGAATTGGTCCTAGAACTGGTATCCAATCCAACGCCGTACATTAGTGTGAGTGCATGAAACTGAGTTATAAGTTATAAACTTATTACATCACCACATTCCATAGACAGGATTTGACAGGAAGGACGCCCAGCCAGCACAGTCATCCATCATCACATCGTTTTTAGATTCAATTTGTGCAGTGATGGAGCCGGCCGGTTGTTGGTTTTATGTTCCGGTTTATTAGGTTAACTGTCTCTTCTTCTCTGACTCTCTTGGCTTCTTCTTCTGCCTGGAGTGACCAAGGAAAGTGCGACGCAGTTTGTGACCAATAATATCATTCCATGTTGTGAGAGGTATAATAATATCACATTACTACTTCAACAGGCAGTAGTATTCAGTGTATTAGCTCGTAGCTTATAAATGAAATTAAATAGACGGGGTGGATGTGGATTGACAGATTCTTGTAGCCCCCGGATCTCACAGAATCCTGACTCGGTGCCAGACATTGGGAAAAGCAGTGGCTGTTATGTTATGTTGCTCTGCTCGCTGGCATTTCACAGTAGCATAGTGATTTTTGCAGATTTTGGTGGTTTGTGTGTCTGACTCTAAAAGCTTTGACTTTTCACAATATTTTGCACTCCTCCAACCATCCATCCATCCATTATATATTGTGCAAAATGCGTGTGCTGCGAGAAATACAGGGAAGAAGGTGACCTTCAATTTGACGAACAGAAGAACAACAACACACCAAAATACAACAGCAGCCTACTGATGGTGGCATATATGTGTTTTTGTATTGCTATGTAAGTACGGCGACATTTATTATTGAGCTAAATAATACAGACCCTGTAGACTTGGTGTGGTTTAGCATATTTATTTAATCTATCGTCCGCCCCGTTGATTTGATACCAGCCAAAATCAAGAAGAAAAGGGGGTTGATTATAATTCAGTGTGCATGGGAAAGTGTCTTTCAATGGTCACTTGTCTGTCGGGCTCGGGATAGTGAGCAGTGTATTTACGATATAAGAGGACACATTTTTTGAAGCTTTCGATTAGTTTAATGACTGACACTGCTGACAGGCAGAAGGAATTACTCGGAAAACAAACAACAGAAAACTACCACGACCAACACAATCCACGTGCCAATAAATGCCAACAAACTGTTTATGTGGTGACGTGCTGTGAATTGTTGCATAACAGACTTCTTCCTTGTACATTGAATCAAGTGCTTACTTTGTAGAAGTAAAATAATTAAATTGCAAAACTGCCCTCGCAAATGAGGCTTTAATGTCGTCAAGTCGGTCAAGTGTTTATTCCGTTCAGTGTGAGCTTGTTCTGTAGGCAGGTTCAGACTTTCACCGTTCTTCCGGTTTTCGGCTTTCCTCTTCTCACAGACACTGTCCCCAACTACAAATATTGTCGTTACAGAGGGACGGAACCAGAAGAGATAAAAGTGGTACTATTATTTTTCGTTTGTCGAAATCTGCATCCATCCCCTGCGTTGGGATGAGATGAAATAGGTGTAAAATATGCCCAAAGCTGAGAATGTTTCCTCACCTTCGGAGGCACCGTCCCCCACCTCAGCCACGCTACACTTTTTCCTCAATTCCTACAACCCATTTTCTTCTGGGATGAGTTCAGCGCCTGGAAGTCGACGTAGTTCTAAATCTAACAATGGAGCAGATACTTCCGCCAGCAGTGCAGTGAGCAGTCGGAGAGAAAGTCGAGACTCTGCCGGATCAACTTCCACTTCTGCGAGTCGTCGTGAATCACTTGAAATCTCGTCGACGTATAATAAAGTACAAAGTCGGAGGGAATCTCTCGAGTACGAGACAAATGCTGTTAAACAATCACTGGACAATAGTAATGGTACTGGGCCTATCACCCCTCAGAGGTATGTATGCATGTAGGTCAACAAAAAGCATACTTATTGTCATATGGAAAAAATGGTAAGGGTTACATCCTTTGTGTAGGCCGAGTTCTTCTTCCGGAAGCACCGACAACGACATCACCGCCCACAGTCATAAAAAATGTCACAAACCCAAGTCCAACATTTTGAAGCACTTTATGAACAAATGGAGCAGTCCGAAAAAGAGCGGAGGTCAACATAAGGACAACAGCAATTCAGGAGATCAATTCATAGCAACCCCACCACCTCCTCCTCCCCATGCCCATCACAATCAGAGCAAAGTCACGCCCATCATACCCATAATCATTCAAAGGTCTGGTTTGGACACGAGCACATACTACTACCCACCAAAGTCAGTTCCTCGAAATTGTGGCAGGCAGACGAGCGTCTTATCCACATCTGCTCCAAACCAAGCCATGGGAAAATCATCCCCATCCTCACATCACAGCAGTTGCGCTAGTAAGGGTCACCACACTAAAGATTCTCTCAAGGCGGAATCGGGTGACGGTGACCTGAAAGATGTTTCCGGCTCGGGGTCATTTTCTGGCTCTTGCTCTTCTGTATCATCATCCGCCTCGGTGAGTGTGGAGTCGGAGGACGATGGGGATGAGGCGGAGAAGATTGAGTCGCCATCCCCTCTTCATCAGTATCCTCCCGACCGGGGGTCGTCCTCCACGTACTACTCGTACTATCCAGAGTTTCGGGCAGGCTACCCGGCGGATCGGAGTCGAGCTCGAAGCCGGTCCTTGGACATTCCTGCAGGTAGAGAGATGTTGCGACGGAGGAGGTTCTCGGAGCAACAGGAACCATCCAGTCGTAATTATGGAACGTATACCATTTATGAGACCCGTTCTAATGCTTCCACTACTACAAATCCACCCAAGGAGAAAAAAACTCCAGAGGAGGATGACTTTGGCTGTTGTGAATTCGGCGAAGGAAATTTTGGTACTTATTTTATCAAAACAAAAAGACCGAGAAATGAAATGAAATTGAGGAGATGATTGGAAATTTGGTGGATTAATAATTCATCTCATTTTTGCACAAACCTTAATATTTTCATTGTGTACATCCACTTATTTATATCAGCAGCAGCACTTTTCTTCCAGTTGGTTTATTCTTTTTTAAAAAAGAAGGAGTTCTGACCAGGCTAATATATATCAAATGTCGGTATACATTCCATTGACGAGAGTCGCATATGTATCTGCGTATCATTTCTTTATCACAATGAGCTATAAGATTGAATCAAAAAAGAGCAATCGTTATCACACATTATTGCTTTATTGTTCCTTTGTTATATGAATCAAAGCGTCAAAATACGTGCTCAATATTGCTTGTTTAAATGTGTCCATAGGACCTCGACGGTTTTCGCTGCATTCACATCGGCCATCCGACGTACAACTTGATCCTGCTCATGCAGCCATACTCTTTCGCGACTCAAGAGGGGTAAGAGGACTACATAATTATACATAAATAATTACTAGTAATTTCGCCACCAAATTTATTATTCATTCAATCAATGCCCGATAACAATTTAATGCTTCATCTTTGATGTGTGTTCATGCATTTATGATAATGATGTGTCCGCCTGTGTTGTAAATAGCTTACGCAAAATGTCAATCTGCATTTTTCTGACTTTGACTATTAAATAATTCCAGCTCCCCAAAGCCGACCCTTTCTTGGAACGAGTCATTCTCAGAGGTAAGAACAACATGATTGCTATTGTTATTATTCACCATGTCCGGAATTTATCCCGAGTTTGTCGTTCATTTGTATCGTTTGTGTACCAGTATTCTCAGTATCGATTCAAAATCCAAAACAAAAACAGTTTGCATAGTAGGTATCATTATTATGCATTTGGCTGAGGTACATAGTTGAGAAATTGGTGATGGTGGTGGCGATATCATTATTATACAGTTGGCAGGCCAAGATTATCGCGAGAAGAAAGGTTTACCACTATTTCGTCGAGTTAAAGATGATTGTAACAAGACTTAATGAAGTCGTAGTTTAGTTGGTTGGTTGGTTAGTAAACGCTCTGCATGCATAAGTTAGTGCCAAGGAGAAGAGGAAGCCAAACTTGCAATGCTTTTACCTCAAGTTGCACCAGTCGTGCACGCCACAAGGGGAATTTATGCTTTGTTTATTATGATATTTCTTCTCATTCATCTTGGCAGCATGCATGGTGATGTTTGGTTTACTTATCCATGCTCCTAATCCACCAGGACGACTATGATGCGGCATTTCGTGTCTGGTCGTACCGTAGAGAATGTGCTGATGGATATGATGATCACTTTACCTACCTCGCTATGCATACATTTGCTTTTCTTCTTCCATGGGTTACATCAACCAAGATGACGACGGATTGGTTTGAGTTGAATCTGTAAATCTGAATTGAATCTTCATCATCAGTTGGTAACGACACTTCATATCATAAAGTTGGAGAAATTCAGAAGCGTCTGGATTTTGGAGTCCCATCCCATCGCCCGAAACGTTTGATCAGCAAGATGAAAAGTAGAAAGATGGTACGACTGGTTAATAACTAGTGAAGCCAAGAAGGTAGCTGAAGCAGTAAAGAGTTTTACTAAATGTGCTGTGAAATTGTGGTGCGGTGGGTCCATTAGTTTTTTCGCCTTCTCTGCAACGAGCAAATACAGCTATACAACGACTTTATTGCAATTAAACTGTCCATCTTCTTCTCTCCTGTGTGAGTATTGAATATGGTATAACCAACCACCGCATGGTATTGGTTGAGGTTGGTTGTGCAAAAATAGCAGGTCCGCGCATGCATTGCCATTTCAACTCCCAACAAACGTATATTGCCAAAACATTGGGTCTCTTCCAAACCGTGTAGTTCACCAGGATAGCTCGGAGTGAGTGGACCGCTTTCGTGCTTGCATAATATGTACGACGGTGTGTGGATCTACCTAATCTGCTAAAAAAACAATATTCCTACTATATCATCGTCGCCGTCGTCTAGTCAAACATTCTGTGCACACCATTTTCTTCTTGTTGGTTAAAATAATTAGATTTTGTCGCCCAAAAAAGTGCAATTTGTGCCATACATACATTCGCATGTGTGCCTTGACGATTTTGGTGCGGTCTGGTCTGTCCGAGAGCTAAGCGCATATAATACAAAATTATAGTAACGACAACGAAAATTAGGTTATTACATTACGTCGTGTTCTCGAAGGCTTATGCTTAACTGAAGTCTCTGAACTGAAGAAGACTCCCGTGCACACACCCACCCACCAGTGAACTGTGAACTTATATAAACACACTTGATTTACTGTCTGTGATACGAAAATGTCCACCTTTGCCTGTCCCACTTGAGGACGGAAAAAGTATTTCTTTTTAAAAAAGATGTGCTGGCCCACTCTCTAAAAAGCAGAAGAAGAAGAAGAAAGACTTTGATCTCTGAGCTCCTGCTGTCGCACTACTTTTACTTTATGAACAAGTTTAAGATGATGTGGTGCATCTGGCTGGATCTGTGAATAAATGAAGTTAATGAGAATTAAGTGACTGAATGTGCTGCCAAAAAACAAGCCGCATATTATCCTCCACGCCTATACCAGACCACTCTCGGGCTGTGGCTGGCAGTGATTTGATAACATAGATAAAGATATGACTTTTTTCTGGTCTGGTTGCTGCATTTCTTCATCTTCTCCTTGGTCGTCTTCGTCTTGGTCGCATTAATGGGAAGAATGCTGAATGATATCTATTCGACGTATGATCCTATGTTATACCTCTCCCTCTGCTCGTCCCACCTAAACATCGCTTTCGAAGACTCGGGCATTTACTCCCTCACCCAAATCAAGGACTTTGAAATTTCAGAGAGTGCTCAGGAAGTCAACCGTCTCTTGTGGGGCACGTCCTTTCTTCTCCTTAATACTTTTCTAATCATACTCGAAATTACTACCTCATCATCATCGTCATAATGGTTCTGCACGTTTTGGCAAAGAAGAAAATTAGGGCAAATATTTGCGGGGATGATGAAGAGATATCTAAACATGCATGCGCTAGAAAAGAACAGATGAGCCAAAAGCTGTATCGATCGGGAGAGAAAGTTGTATGCGAGCACTCTATGGTTCAGTTAATATGTAGGTTGTTGCTTTCTCCTCCAGTTCTTACATGTTCATGCTCTGCAACTAACTCTATATGTTCATCATCAACATGGTCAAATCGTTATTCTAGAGAGCCAGCAGAAGAAGATGGCAGTGCCAAAGATGATAAGGATGAGATGGTCGCTCACAATTTATGCCTCATATATATGACACCAATGCATAATGTCGTAAATAATGTCATTGCAGCTGCTGCTCATCCAACAAGTGGTGTAAATCCGTTAGAAATATTATTTCAGATTTATTATTGAGTAAACTCACTTTTCAACTAAAAAGGTTTCCATCATCAGTTGACAATTAAGTGGTCGCATTTTATTTCACTTTTTCATTTAATATACAGCAGTTTAACTTGGGATAGCAGAATCATGAGTCCTGTCGTGTATAATAATAGTGTGGAAGGTCGCCAGCGGCAGAATAGGAATAATTATAGGAGGATGGCGCTGAGTCGGAGCAGCGTCACGAACATGGGCCGTTTTTTAAGTTTAGACAGTAGTGCATCATCATTTGGTAGAAGGAGGGATCACATTGAATATTACGGAGTTATTAATCGATTTACTTCTCGTTCGCCAATTTCAGAGGAGGATGAGAACGAGATATTGGTCAAGTTCTTCAAGTTCCACAAATGTTACGACCTTATTCCCACGTCGGCCAAGCTGGTCGTGTTCGATACACAGCTACTCGTGAAGAAAGCCTTCTTTGCCCTCGTTTACAATGGTAAGTGAGATGCATACATATACATATATGCACTTTATAGAGTTTTAATAAGTAGTTATATAGCTATTAATGCATGCACAATTCGACATTTGCCTGGCTCAATTGAATTTTAATTATTTCAGGCGTTCGAGCAGCTCCTCTCTGGGACAGCTCTGGTCGAGAATTTGTGGGGTAAGGCTATTACTTGGATTTTATTATAAATTGGTTTTCGGGCGAATACTTTAATGACCTAATGTCCACGTTCTCTAGGATGCTTACCATCACAGATTTCATCCGCGTACTCCACGCAATGTATCATGATTCCGCGGGTATGCAAGAATTAATTAGTGCAAGAACTAAGCAGTTTATTTGGTAATTAAAGTCTAATTTTACTACGTATTACCAACAATTTCAGGGAAAATGTCAGAGTTGGAGGAGCACAGGGTGGAGACGTGGCGAAGCAGATTTCTTCAAGACAAACATCCACTCATCTTCATTGACCCTGACGCCTCCCTTTACGATGCCATCTGTTCTCTTGTCAACAACAGAATTCACAGACTGCCAGTGATTGTAAGTACACGATGATGATGGTATTTTTCTGTTTTATAATTAAACATACTCTACGATTGCATTTTGTCTCTACAGGATGCTCAGACGGGGAATGTCCTCCATATCCTGACCCATAAGCGCATTCTAAAATTCCTCTTTCTCTACGTAAGTCCACAGAGAGCGATCCACAGTCTTTATTGTTTTCATGGGCCATAAGCTGAATTATTATGGTTTATGATTCCTAAAACGGGAACTTAACGAAAGTTTGTCTGGTGATGATGCAGATACGGGAAATTCCAATACCAACTTTTATGAATAAGCCTCTTCGTGAGGTGAAGATTGGTACGTTTGAAGGGGTGGAAACTGCTCGAGAGGACACTCCGATTATTCAAGCACTTCAAAAATTTTTGGAAAAACGCGTCTCTGCGCTCCCCATTGTGGACGATGATAATAAACTTATCGACATTTATGCAAGGTTTGATGTTATCAACTTGGCAGCAGAGAAGACTTACAATAATCTCGATATCACGCTTAAGCAGGTATGATTGATGAGCATGTTGTGGCCTCAGATTATTCTATCTAAGAATAATAATAATAATAATAAATGCAAATTTTGCGCAGGCGAATGAGCATAGGAACGAGTGGTTCGAAGGGGTACACAAATGCAACATGGATGAGACACTCTTTGCCATTATGGAGAAAATTATGAAGGCAGAAGTACATCGTTTGGTGGTTGTAGATGAACAGGACAAGGTCATCGGAATTATCAGCCTTTCAGATATCTTGCAGGTATACCTACTACTTTGCATATGTACATAATTGGAACCACACGTATAGTTTATTACCTCCCTCGTGTCTGATTAGTAGTACATATCTCGTGTTTCTGATTATCCGTAGTACTTGGTGATGCGGCCCGAGTTAAAAGAAGTGACCATGGCGGATATTGAAGCCGTGATGAGTCCTCAAACCCCCGACGAGACATCACAGCAACAATCACTTTCCACATCAGCCGATGGAAATTCTCCTGTGGGGGGAAAAAGGTCTGGAACTCCTGAAGTGATCCAACCCTTCCAACACAAGTTTGAAGTAATGAAACTCGACGAAGAAGAATTGCTCCATCCGAATCATACCGACAATTCGATTGAGAAGGATGTCCGAGAAAATCACACCATCATCGAAGAAGAGGATGAGCGAGACAGCAAAACCTGACGCGATGGCCATTCATGAACAATTTTTTATTATTATTTTGAATTTATCTAAAGGCCATCATCATCATACATTGACGTATTTGTAGTTGTAGTAGCCGCAACAACCGCAGCAGATCTGTTTTTCCTATTTTGTTAGCCACGGACTGATTTTGTTTTGTGTGAGCCGTGAGGCCTGTAGTACTTATCAATCAATCATATTATTTAACCAGCTAGCCAATATTTTTAAATTATTGCATCATGTAAAAAGTGCTCGAGGAAGTATAGGATGAGCATGAGTTCCAAGTCGGCGAACTTTTGATAGGCTCTTATGTTACCAAATTCATCTGACTGTATTTGACGTATGTATGCAAAAAGATTATTGTTTATTGCCATAACATGATACAATTATCTACATACGAACCATTCATTTATGTAATTCGTACACTTGTTGGTACTCGTTGCTAAATTAAAACGGCCTTAACTAGATAACAATTTGTAGCAAAAGTATGACGAGATTGAAATATCAATGCAAAATACTTTCATCAGGCTCATCTCTTTCTACTGACAATTCTTCCCGTTAAATCATTTAGTTAAATTTGATTGCTCATTCGTGTTGTACTAGTGTCAGGATTAGTCCTTTAAGTATTCACAAAGTAAATGTCATGCACAGATAACAAATGTCGGTACTAAATTTGGACGTGCGATTATCAATGTCAAACCCATTTCATCATTTTTTTTGCGCGTGTCGTCCTAACAAAAAAGATAATCTTACAATATGAGTGAAATGGAAATGGAGGTACAAAAAATATTTTAGAAACTGAACAGAAATTCTTGAATAAGGTTCTTCCAAACCTGAAGCAACTAAACTACATAGTGCTTTTTCTTCTGGAATTAATTATAATTATATATATATATATATCCGCTATAACTACTATACATAGATTGTGGTTTATGCAAAAAGGCGTAGTTTTTACTCATTTTTAGTCATTTTGCGAATCAAATCACTATAAATTAGGAGAAACTTATTACTACTCCAACGTACCTAATCAATACAGAACGAAATAGTAGACATATACTACATATGTATTTATTATTATTACTGCGGATAAAAGAAAGTGACTACGACACGTTCGGCATGAAACAATTAGAACCTCGTCTTTGACTCTATCTGCATAGTTCAAGGAATTGTTGTATGCCAAAACACAAAATTTTTATGTAATTTTCGTCTCAGAAGTTGCTAATTTTGTTGTTCCGATGAAGAGATCGTGTAATTATTTTATTCTACTCAAGGGTCCTCTATTTTCTACCTGAATCCAAATCATCAATTACATATATTACTTTAATATATGTACATACATATATCTCGCACTGGTTTATTATTGACCAGACTACTAGAATTTGTCTGGTCGCAAAATTTTGGATCGCTTTTGGTCATGTCAACAGAGGCAAATGTACATACACCTATACACCGACAGACAAGTATGTCGCAGTCTTAGCACAATGTTCACCCCTCCCCCAAAATGCTTATTTTTTAGAAAAACGTCGTCTAATTAATGATTATTCTTGATTATTATTAAAAGCGTAAAGTATATAGACGAACAAAGGACGATTGTTGACTGGATCGACTGAAACGTGATTAACAATTTTTCTGAGGAATTTATAAATATATTTGTATTACGCTGTATATGGATAGACCGGATTGTTGCGCAATTTTATGTTGTATATCATCATCGTCCTAAAGTTAATAAGTAATGTGAGTGTGCGTACGTCAATTTTTTTTGGTGCACCAAATTGTTGTGGTACCTTATTTATACTAGTAGGCGGGTGAAGATGAAGGAAAATAAAATGAATATATATATACATCAAAATATCTTTAACCCGTGTTTAAAACCTCTTTCGGCAGTATGTTTTATTGTTATCAACTATCGTACCCACAACCCGCATCCTCTTTTCCATGAGTTACTTTAAGAAAATATTATTTTTGAACATGACATCTTCTCCCTTAAACTTTGACGGTCGTCGCGGCCATTTGCGTTGTGGAGTCTTCTGTGTCCCTCATTTCCTCCTCCTCACTCGTGTCTGGCTCAGTCACTATGTCGATCAGGACGACGGAGGGCATTGTGGTGGTTGTGGTCGTCGAAGTGGTCGTGCTGGGCTGTTCCTCTCCCTTTCTGATGAGGACTGGTCCTTGGAGACTGCGGAACTGGAACTTTGGGGGGACTCCGGGCGCCAGGAGGGACTTGGGTTCATTCTTGCTCACCCGTACATGCGAGTATGGCGCCGTGTAGAGGACCTTTCCTCCACGGGCGGATGGCTTTTTGGCCTCCTGGGTAGCCTTGGACTTTGTGATGGACGACGAGGAGGATACCGACACGCTCTCGTTGTTCATCACCCCACACTCCACCAAGGTCACGGCCAGTAGTACAAAAAGTAGGCAGAAAACGCCCTGGAATGCACAAGTCGTCCCGTTAAAAAAATTGTCACATGTCCAAATACCTCTGTAAGTAAGGGGGCAATATCATATTGCCAATATGTACACTTACCGATTTGCTAGTAAGCGTCATACTTGTGACTGTTTAAATGACTTCCACTGCGTACTGTGCACCTGTTTCCAGTGTTGGAAGAGAGTCGGACTTCTTACGGGTGTGGCTTTTATAACCGGTCCCTACACAACAGTCCACAGTTTTACTGATGCCCACTCACACCTCGTTACGAGTAGCACTACTTAGTTACTACTGATCTTTGTTGGAGAGAGTTTTTGCTCGCAGATTTCACAAGAGTTGTCCAACTGTGAATGGTAGTAGCAGGCCCAGAAGACACTGGCTTCCCTGAGAGTGACACCAATTGGTCAGACCAAATCTGTAGCCAAGTCAGTGGATGTAATCAATGCACCTCATTGTTGTGCAACAGTCAACAATCATGAGCAGCAGCAGCATGCACTTCCTCTCTACTCAAGACGATTCCGCTCTAGGAGCCATTCACTTTTTCGCGAGATGACCATTTATTAATGGGGAGCAATTAATAAGGGCGCATGAATGAGGATGATGAGGCGATTAAAAAAGGAGCGGCCATCTGACAAGCCGTTCGATTACATTGCGTACTTTGAGGAGTCTGCTAATGACGAGCGACGGATGTCATTGTATGTTCTTCGTCGTAATCAAGGCATGCAATAATCAATCACGTTAACCACTTCTGCCGGAATCACTCTGTGTGGAAGGAAGCAATATCGAGGACTGTTTGGGGCTTCCTCACTTTCTTTTTTTTGCAAAGCGTGCAAATTAAAGTGTAACGTCTCAACCGCCCTTGTGATCCCAATTCGCAATTTCATTATTGTTACGTTTTAGTAGAACTGGGCGTCGAATGTATGAAACATTTACATATGTGTGTGTGTGTATATGTACGTATGCTTAATTGGATGCAGATTGTTGCAGATGACGCAAGAGATTTAAGTCGAGTCAAGGCTCAAGTTTAAAGATTTGGAGTAGTCACAGAGCTGAATGTAAAAGTGCAGTGATTAGATTTCAACAAATTCTTCATGCTTTCTCAACCTCTAAAACATATTGCAAAAAATTGAGTCGTAATTCATTCCTTTGTATCTTTTATTGCTGGTTGGAAGGAAAATCTTTTTCCTTTACAAATGCGATATGAAGACACACAAAAAAACAACGATTAGAAAGAACACTTTATGGCGACAATTAAAAATTTAATTAAAGCAACATTGGTCATTAAAACGGGTCCCTTAAAATCCTTGAAAGATTGCATTTTTTCTCACACAAAAGGTGTAAATAATCCATCAATTAATTGTTACGTTTCTTGTAACATAAAATATTTGCCCAGAGGAGGCTGGCGAATCCAATGTAGGTCACACGGTAGCGTGCAGGCACCACGGAAAAGTTGACCGCTTGGACGGGGAGCCAGAAACAGCTACTCACCTGGAGGCAGTCATTGGATAGGATTATTTCCTAATTTTCATCTTTGCGCATATTTAAGAATTATACGCAATATTTGCAATTAGAAATTACCACAAAAGTAGGAATGAATTTTCGTCTGAGTTCCTCAAACACGTCCTCCTTCTTCTCCAGCACAGACATCGTGATGTAGAAGAGGGCGAGAAGATTTGGCGTGAATACGAATTGGTCAATCAGGCACTTTTTCGCCACAATCTTCACCGTCGTCCCAATCACTCTGCTGTCCAAAAATCTGTACCTGAACATCCAAATCAACTCCAATAACATGTCGCAGGTATAGTTTTTCTATCTTCTCATCAGTTAGTTCTTCGTTACAATTAGTTAACTTGTTACCAGTAGAACAGGGTCGGAGCAAGGACAACGGTCCCCACAAACCCATAGCGTTTCAGGGCGTCTGTATCATACGGCTTCTCTTCTTCACCCGGTTTTCTCTGCAAAATGTAAATGTTCATATTATTCCATTGAGTGCATTGTAAATCTTGCCTGTATTTGCATATGTACGAACCATAAACTTTTTGAGAACCGTCTGCTGAGAAATTTCTGCCGTAAAGTAGAGCGAGCCATAAATCACGCAGTTGGAGATGAGTGGATACTTTGCCAAGGATTGTCGGATAAAACTCATTTTTTTATGAAAAAAATGCAGTGTCTTGTAAACTTTAAACTTGGAAATAATAATAATTACAGCTTTCTAACTAGCCAGCCAAAAGCATTATACTCTCGGCGACCAACTGTTTATGTAACGAGGAGTGTTTGGGTTGCAGGCAGGTTCAGTAGTTTAGTTGGATGGATGATGTTGTAACAAATACTTGATTATTATTACGCTACACGATAATAATACATGGCACACAATGTGCTTGGCAACGTATGCGTGGTGGCCTTGGGTCGCACTTGAATCAGTTAATCGAGATTTCTGGTCGTGTTGATGTTGGAGGAACCCACGCTGCAAACCAGACTCCCGACTTTTGTGTGATCTGTCTGCGAGCGAATAAAACGATTGGGAGCCATGTATTTAGTGCGAATCCATTAATATTGCCAAGTTGACATAATTTAAAATGCTCCAATAAAAGTGTTCAAAATGCATGCAAAATGTTTATGAAATCGTGAGATTGATTATTGTTTACGCATTTCCATACAGAAGAAACGGAGCAATATTTTCTGAACATACCGAACAGTATAACAGCACGTACCGTAGATGGTTACGTTTAAGTACTAACGGTCTCAATCCTACGATTCAGACCGGAGTTAGTTAATTTAATGCAGACATTCATACATATGAAAAAAAAAGTTCTTCTAATATTTGCTAGTACATAAGCATGTATTTTAATATGGAACGTAACGCATGCTTCTGAAAAGATTATGGAAATCTTATCAGTTTCCGGTCCGTTTCTCTTCATTATTGGTGAATGACATGATGGAAAGAAACTCGTCTCGGAAAATGAGAGTGAGGAGACACTTGAAGTATTATTGTTCATTCGCAAGTCCGAAGTAATGACCACCATGCAGTGCTTAATTGGTAATCCTAACTGGCTGGTCGTGGCGGCGTCTCTCACCCTCCTCCTTCCACTGGGGTCCGCGCAAACACTCTCCCTCATCCCCAGCATCGAAGCCTTTTCGGGAGTGTACGTTCAAGAGGTTCCCACGAGCTCAATTTTCTACACCACCGTATCGCCATTAGTATATGGGTTCAAGGTATCAAGTGCATCTCACTTATCAATTTAAAAGGCGAGGTTTGAGACAATTAATGTGCAGGTGCCCAACTGGAGTCGAAATGAGACTTATCTGCCCACCCAGAACTGCAGCCTACCCGACTGGTCGGAGGGGACGATTTGTCCCACCGCCTTCTACTTGGCTCGGGTCCAGTCCCGCTTTTCTGAATATCTTTTCAATGGGCGACCTCTGCTTCACCGCCTCATCGAAATGGGAGCCACGCCACAAGTCACCGAAATCATGTTCGACTGCCACACACTCGACAGACATTTCAAAGACATTTACGTCGACAAGGGTGTGATGGAACGGTACCTGGAAAAGTTGAAGGGTTGCTCACCTGCAGGTCAGATATTACATTGGCATTCGCATCGATCACGTTCGAAATTATTTTTTTACTCAGGTGACACGGAATATTTTCGACACATCTCCAGCTACACGTACAACATTTCCTCCGTGTACAGACAAATGTACGACAGCTACTTTAACGAGGTGTGGCTTCAAGTTAGTGGGGGGAGGATAGATGCCGGATTGTGGTCTAATGCACAAAGTGTACTCAACACGCTCAACTTTTTTAATCACCACGTCGAACTACATCGGTGGCACTCGGCACTCAGGTTGTTTCGACAAATGATGAAATTTACTAACTAATATTACGCGTCTAATATTTATTGTGGTCAAATTGGCAGTGATTGCGAAGCCGGACGAATTCCGGACTCCCTGCTCACACCGGAACTCATTGGCGACTCGCTTCAAGAGTTGTTTGAAACCTTGCGGCAGAGTAATCTCGTACCCCTCATTCCCGCATCCGACATTGGCAACTACTTCCGAAATCGACTCGCGGACTGCACATTTACGAACGAGTCCTTCGTCGTCAGAGTTCTCATTCCTGTGACGGCCAAGAATCAGAGGTATGAGCGGCGTAATGAGCAGTACACATACGCACATGTGGCACTGGTATTATTGGATCAATAGTCGTAACGTGTGGTGTCTGGTGAAGTTAATCAATACCATCATATTTAAATTATGAACAGCCACTCGCTCTACTCCATCCGCCCAGCCACATTTTACGACGCGTTTACGGAGCGATACTGCTCACTGGAGCTGTCTAACGGAGTTTTTCTCTTCGACAACCTGAACCTCGTCGCCTATGACACAACTTGCACTCCGAATGACTTCTGTCATGCCCCAAAGGTCAACACTGGTCGGGTCAACTCATGTGCTTCCGCCCTGCTCAATCAAGACTGGAAAGACGCCTTGGAATTTTGCCCTTTCAAGTGTCACTCGCTCAACAAATATCACAAAAAGTCTGGTTTACACGTAAGCAATCAAGACAATTTTGCACGTGTAGTCGTATAAAAAAAATTGTCTGAACTTTCATCGTTTTTTTAAGATTACAATTGCGAGTCAGGTCATGACCCCTGATAAGGTTTTGCTTGCTGGGGACAGACCGCTCGATACACGAGTTGGGATCAGTTGCCTCTCATCCTCAACAAGTTGGACGTATTCGCCCATATTTAATGATAGCATTACGGAAATGGCGAATAAGTCTGGGTGTTTGGAGTTGACACTGCCCTGTGGCTGCACCCTCACCGTGGAAAATGCCGGGGTCAACTACACCCGGACATGTGGCAGCCAAGTGATGGAGAGCAGCAAGACTCCGAAATTAAGACTAGTTGTCCCATTCCATTGGTTGCGAAAACAGGAAACGATAGCGTCCCTGTCCAAAGTGCCCACTCCATACGTTCCTATTTCGATGGAGGACTTGTTCCCAAGCTCTAGACCAGCTTCGTCATCCTCATCGACAGACCCAACGGATAGGACGAGTACACCACGTGGAGGAGGAGGAGGAATCACACTAGTTCTCTTGGTCTGTGTTTTTGTAACAATTGGCGTTTGTGTCGTTGTCGGAATTTTAGTTCGTAGACTTCATTTTCTCGGCGTCAATCTGTTCACGGGGGGAAGTTTGGGTAAGACATGTCCACAAAGCGTGTCCTACCAACACATGGAGCAACCAGAGCTGTGAAGAAGGATTTAGCAATCATTTCATTACAATTTGATTTAACAATAATAAAGGATGAGAAAGTAATGGTACGTGATAATTGTTATCATTCTTCATGGTCCAAGGGTGGCGGCTTAGTCATAATAAAGATTCCGTCATCAACTAACTGCGTACCCATGTACGTACCACTTACGCTTTCACTTTCATTTTCTTGTTGAATTTATACCCTATGCGATTTTAGAGTCATCAGAGAGTGATAAAAAGTGACGCTACTTCAATGTCGTAAGTGCACTTGGTCGCATAAATTATGGGAATTATTTCACCCAGGCAGAGATTGGAAAAAGTCCCAGTCACTTATTCTGCACAGCACGATCATGACATTGACAGCTTTTTATAGGTACACTTTTTTGTGCAATTTTTTACGCTGCCCTGTTCCTACAAGATTGTTCCTATCATTAGCATTCATTAATTTATAAGTATATTATTTACGTAAAGTTGATGAATGTCTTTCTTGCAACGTATGGATGGAGGTCAGTGAGACTCAACTCAAGCCGGTTTTTGCCTCTGGGTCAGTGAGTGAGAAAGTTCTCGATTTTGGCAAGATTAATACACGCTAATTGTTGCATTTTGCTACTATCTCACTACGAATCCCTCAACTTTGTGGGGAAGTGAAATTGGATTTGAATGAAAGAGTAAACGGCTTGGTGGCAGTGGTCGACTCCTCAGTTCTTCCCTTGCCACTCAACGACGCGCATTCCTTGGCGCAGTGGGAGCCTTACTTGGTTTTATTTGTACTTGTGCAAAAAGTGCAACACAAATTCTGCGACATATTTGTGCATAGTGGTACGAAAACTTGTGAAGATGGAGCCCAAGGTGACTGTGGGTGTGACCTTGTTGGTGGTGATGGTTGTGGCGTTCTCAGGAGTGGAGGGGGCTGGGAAAACGGCCGTGTGCAACAAATACCCTCCCCTCGTCGGATTTGAAATGGACCGGGTAAGATTGTACACGCTCCGAATAAAAGGATATTTGCAGAGAAAATATTATGCTCTTGGTTTTCTCCAGTACTTGGGACGTTGGTGGCAAATGGAGAAGTCGCCCAATTGGGCAGAACTTCCAGGAAAATGTTGGTCCTCGTTCTACTACAGGGACGCCTCCAATCCAGAGAAAGTCAAACTGCGGATGGACTACGTTACGAGATTGTACGATTTGTAATATATTCACAAGTTCATAAACAGTTTCATAATTGATTTCCTCTTGACAGGACGAATGCACCCAACACTTTCTTTTCCAACCTCGTGATTGAGAGCCCCTCTCACGACCCATCCAACTTCATGTACACTGCTCCAGCCATGCCATGTAATTAATGATATTAAACAATGCATAAGAGCAGACGATCACTAAAAATTGCAACACTCTTTTGCATATTATAAGCTAACCAATCTATTATTCGCATGCATATGTATTTCAGGGAGAAAGAAGCACTTCCGTGTCCTGGTAATTAATTTGCCGTACAAATTATTTTTTTACCTTGAACTATTTCATTAACATTTCACTAAACTTTGACCCCAAGGCCACTGACTACGACAACTTTGCGATCGAATACATGTGTCAAGTCAACATGATGAACAATGTTGAGGGTGAGCCTCGTATTTTGTTCCAAATTCCCTCCCCCTTCTAAAGTAACATACATGAATTAACAAATTTTCATCCTGTCTGCAGAGACAGTGTGGCTTTTGACCCGAGACCGTCGCCCTTCGCTGGAGGTGATGCAACAGGCCAGACACACGCTCCAGGTCCGAAAATCAGCCTTTATTTACCAGAAATTACACATCAGATAAGATTTGTCTGACACAATCTTTCATTTCTGCCAACAGGTCCTGGGACTCGACAAGGTCAAAATGTACGAGGCGGACCAGAGCTGCGAAGAAAAGCCGTACAAACCCAATTCCATGATGGACTGGTTGTCCCCGTCGACCTGAGGGACGCACACGGAGGACCACTGCCAATAACGTGCATTTCTTATTTATTTTTATCACTGCTCACCACAAATGTCCTATTTATTTATGCAACATTTCTCCTCACCACCAAGTAATAAAGTGCAGAAAGAAATGTTACAAAATCTTGACAGACTTCCTTAATCATCGCCCCCGTCACCATCATGCACGCCATAACTTATCCAGTCAGTCATAACTTTCGTTATAACTACCATTAACTGCGCTGCACTAGTCAATTTGATTCTTTATTATGGTGATTACATAAGGAAAATTAAGGCTTTTTACAGTCATCATATACATGTACATAAATATAGTGCTATGCATGCAGATTGGGGATGGTTGCATGGCATTTAATAATCACAATGGCCTTCTCTTTGCATGAAGCTTCCTCCTTACGGAAGACTCCGTACGCTATGTTTTTTATCACTGCTCCGTCGTTGGTTTGGTTTAGTGGAGGATGTTGTAAGAAGAGCGTCCTTTCGTCGTATCTATCTCCATCCGTATAGCAGTTTGTGGATGAAGAAAGAAGGAAGAAGGGTGGTGTATGCATGTAAAAAAGTGCGAGTTTTTTTGCACAGGATTCTCATCCGCCGACAACATAACAGCTGCCCAACCCGTTTCTCACCACCGACCGAGCTCTTTCTTGTGGAGTCACCCAACCCGATATCGATTTCTAACAATTGCACACGCATATAGTCGGCCAACATGTAAGTACTTCCACCCCGTACCAAAAAGTAGGCAGACACACTTCTTTCTTTCGCAAATTCTGTCGTTCTGCTCCTCCCAAGACTAATTGGAAGTCAACGGGATCATTTTTATGGCGTTGTCTCTGCATGAGAAGAACGACCATTGTTCCAGCAGAAAAGAAAATTACTGATCTGGTGGGTTCTTTAAAGTTTAAAGTTCTACGAGTGACGTAAACGAAATAGTTTTACGTAATATTTGCCAACAAGGGAGACTGACAATGAGTGAAGCACAAATTCGTCATTGTCGTGTAAAATTGAGACGCTTATTCTAATTACAAATTAGCAAAACTGTAGTTGTTATCTCTGCTGGATTGAGTGGTGATTTGATTTCGCCTAATATAACGGGAATGTGACTAATGTGAGACAATCTCAAAATTAAGTCTATTTAATCGTCTCTGTGACCACATCATCGCCATTTATAAACTACCGCACTTAACGCCATAGACCAGAGAGAATAATAATTGCTAACTAACCCCTAACTAATTGGGATAAAATGGAGGAGGAGCGGGATTACTCCTCCCCCACGTATCCCAATTATCTTACCTCCGTCCTCTACTCCTCCTCTTCTGTGGACTACAAATCCCCCTCCGTGACCCCGACTGACGAGGACTTCCCCACGGAGAGTGCCATGGTCAACAGCTCGTCATCCTCCTTGGACACCACGTCCGAGGATGTCTTCCTCGTCTCCTCCACAGAATTTCCTCCCTGGATGACTGGTTCCGACGACAATTTCACATCCTCGTCCTCATCCACGACTCCTCCCACCACGCCCACCACACTTGCTCTCGACTGCTCCTCGCCACTCGACTACAACTACGACCCCTTGACCACTGTCATTTGCATCGCACTCTTCATGTTTGGCGTCTATTTCTGCATTTTTGGTACGTCAAGACATTGCAAATTGAAAAAAACGATTGATTTCATCTCATAACTGTCACAAGAAATAATCATAACTCATTTGTTTGGCTTGTTTGTGCAGGTTATCGCTGCTTCAAGTCGGTACTTTTTCTTACCGGTTTTTCTTTTGGGTTGGTCATTGTGTTTCTCATTTGCCAAGTGGAAGAACTTCTTCCGCAGTATGGCAATGTTGGTGAGTATGATTTTTTAATTGAATTGCATTGTCGAAATGCAAACTAAAAGTGAAGTGATTATTTTCTACAGAGGTTAATTTATAATGCATAATTTGTTTGCAGGAGTTGCAACGCTGGCTGGAGTTTTGTATGGTCTTATCTGTCTTTTGGTGCCGTACGTGGGATTTTTCACACTGGGATTTCATGCTGGACTTCTCTCTGGCCTCGCAGCAATGCTATTCTTCCCCACTGGACATTCCGTTTGGATTTCGGTCATATTCCTCTTGGGTAAACATACTTTCATTGACTTGACTTGACATAATAAAAATATTTACGTAATTATATCCGTGCAACTAGGAACTGGACTGTTTGGAGCCGTTGCAAACGTATGCTGGCCAAGACTGAGCGTGGTCACAACTTCTCTCATTGGGGGTGCCGGAATTGCAATCGCATTCGATTACTTTGTTGAGAAACTGAGAATGGCGGCTTGGGTGGGACAACTAGTCAAGGAGGAAGGGATGGACTTTTGCTGGTTCAGTTGGTTGCTTTTGATGGTGTGGCCGGTGCTCCTGATCGTTGGCGTGATTGTCCAGTCGACTTTAACCGCGAATGACTTTTCTGTTCACATTTGTAAGTCGTCATGCCATAGTATTTTTTCACCTGTTTAATGGGCAACGTCATTATCACGTGGATTATTTTACTTAGATGGATACCACGAGAACAAGAGGGCCGTTCCACGACGACGTCTGACTCGTGAGGAGCGGGCCATCGCTCGACAAGCCAAGTATCGATACTTGTACCAGGTTCGCACTGCTGGGGGCGATTACATTAGTCAAGCCTACATCCAATTCCTGCAGAACAAGGCGCAACCCCACGCGGACACTCTTTCCACGCACATGTCGACCCTCCAAACCTCAAGCCATGAAGACTCGTCTGTAAACTGAACAATTTTTGGAAAACAATCTCAAATAACTATGATTATCAATCTCAACCGCATTTTTAATTTCAACCGCCATGCTACTAATGATCGAAACAGGATGATAACCCTGCGTCTTCTGCCCCATTAAATATTATAAGTGACGTAATAATAACATAATAATAATTCATGTAAATGACACAAATTTCTCATGAAATCACCACGCTTTCAAAGATGTTAGTTCTCATACAACCGTGATTGAAGGTGCACGCTAAAGGAAATGAACCAAAAACTATAATATTATATGACTTATGTATAAACTATAGATAATTATAGCTTTTGTCACATTTGTTCGTCATCGTATAAATTTTAGTTACTCTCAATAAGCTCATTTTAATAATAGATTAGTTGCAGTGTTCACAATTTAATTCGTTCATTGTCATTATTTATATATGCTAAATGAATTAAAACTCATAATAATATATGACTGGCTCACGTCACACGTTAGACTCGCTCTCGAAAATTGTTTAAAAAAGATAAAACATAGTAATTTGGGACCTACGTATATAAAAAATATTTATAAATGTGTAATTCGATAGAGTGGGATGATCTCATTATTAATATTAATCCAACAATTGCAGCGAGCATGGTATTAAAAATGAACCTGATGATATTAAAACGATACAAGATAATAATCAATAATATAAACTAATGTGTACATGATATTTAGTTGTAAACTAAACAAATATTTAATGCTATGCGATTCTTGCAGCGACGATAACGCATCACGCCGACAATTCGAATCCGTGTATAGTTCTATGAATACTTGCTGATTGATCGAAAAGAATAAAAGCAACAGAAATTCGCCAGAGTTCAAAATAGTGTCGAAATTTAGTTCATAAATTTGTGAAATGATTTGAAATGAATCATTATGCATGAGATCATCAATGGATGAGACATGAGAGATGAGAAAAATATTGCAATGCCCCACTGGAAGGAGGAGCGGGTCTGTTTGATTGGGACTTGTCAGTGTAGTCGCTTCGCCATCCAAGGGAAGGGCGGAACATTGTAGTCATCGTCAATCGGTCATCTCAGTTTGTCAAAATAAAAAACAAAAACATTCGCTCAACATCTGTACGACGTTTCGAGGTAAGATATTCCGAACCGCTTATCCGGTTGAGTTTTTGGTGAGTGAACAAGAAAGCAAAAGTTTTTAGCAAGTGCATAATGGAGATTTGCATTTGTTTGTTTTGTTTCCGCAATTATTGCGAAATGCAATTTTAAGTATTAGAAATATTTAGAATTATCACATCTATTCAGAAGGTATTTGGGCAATAATTAATCAAAGCACCATTGCTGAATTGAATTTAGTTGGAGACCACCTTAGGAAGAGGAAAGATGCAGACAATAAAGTGTGTGGTTGTTGGGGACGGAGCAGTGGGGAAAACTTGTCTTTTGATAAGCTACACAACCAATAAATTCCCATCTGAATATGTCCCCACGGTCTTTGATAACTATGCCGTGACGGTAATGATTGGTGGTGAACCATATACTTTGGGCCTTTTCGACACTGCAGGTAAGAATAGGATTTAATATCTTGTGACCCTGCGTGTCACGCCGTATACTGTGTGAAATGAATGGGATTTCTCATCTCTATCTTATGTCCCTTTTAGGTCAGGAGGATTACGACAGATTGCGGCCACTCAGGTTTGTAATGTTTGATTGAAGTATTATAATTAATTCATAAAGTCTTGAGGAAAACATATGTAATAAGAGCTGTGATTTATGAGTGAGTATAAAATGAACGAGTCCCCACCAAGCTTTAATCTCGAAAACTCGTTTTTTCTCTTAGTTATCCACAAACGGACGTTTTTCTTGTCTGTTTCTCAGTCGTTTCTCCATCATCGTTTGAAAACGTAAAAGAAAAGGTGAGTAATTTTATTTTGTTTTCGATCCAGTTTGTGTTGTAGTTTAATGTTAACCGGTTCATACTAAAATGATAAATAATTTGCTTGATATAGTGGGTGCCAGAAATTACTCACCATTGTCAAAAAACGCCATTTTTATTGGTGGGGACGCAAATTGATCTAAGAGATGATGCGGGTGAGTTTACTAATCATTATTATTATGCATCAAGTTAGTAAAATACTTAATATATATTGCCTTATACGTTACAGGAACTATTGAAAAATTAGCAAAAAATAAGCAAAAGCCAATAACGATGGAACAAGGAGAGAAGTTGGCTAAAGAACTGAAAGGTTAGCTATTATTGTGCCATGAAACATACTTCATTTCATTATAAAGGTCAAAAACTGTGTACATAAATTGTTTTTGCCTTTTTGCAGCTGTAAAATATGTTGAATGCTCAGCATTGACTCAGGTTTGCTTAAAATGTCATATTCAACAAATTCGACTACATAATATGTTCAATCAAGTAAACCTGTCGTTTTTCTTGAATGTTAATAGAAAGGTCTAAAGAACGTGTTTGATGAAGCAATTCTAGCTGCCTTGGAGCCTCCAGAGCCATCGAAGAAGAGAAAGTGTGTCATCCTTTAGACTCCACTACTCCGTACCTCCGGATGACATCCATTATCATTATCTTCATCTTACATTTACAAGGATCGGTTTATTATGACATCATCATGGCAAACTGTCAAACAAAATTTAATGACTTATTGCCGACATTTTTATTTCCATTTTACAATTATGTTTTTTGCAAAATAATTATGCGACACACATGATACGAACTCTGCCAAGATTGATTCTAAAACAACTAAATACTACAACAAATTGATTTTAGTTTTTAGCCTAAATAACGTTATTATTATTATTATTAGTTCAGTTCTAGTGAAATTGGAATCCAAATCAATCAGAAACTTTATATTATTACACAATTGTTGCATCACTTATTTATTGTTAAACAAGGGTTGCACATTGTTAAATATTATAAGTATGGGAACTAGTATTTTGTTAAATGTGTTTAATAATTTCCGTTGAAAGGTTACCCTCATCCAATGTACTTTTTTTTATTTAATTTAAAAGCCATATTATTCCTGTGTCCTCTCCTTTTTCTGGTTTTGGTATTTTCATCGCACACGCTTACAAATTTGTATTACATAATAGCAGAAGGATTTTCGAATGTATATTGATGCCAAGAAGAAGAATCATTCACAACTACTTTAATTGTTATCACCATTTAATATCCTATCCACGTTCCTACATTTAAATTGAGCGTATATTTAGACTCGAGGAAGCGTTGATCGATGCTCATTCTGTACTATTGCAAATTTACAATAAATATATGTGGGCATTATTATGGGATTCGTTCGAGTATGAGGTTTTGTATAACATTTTAAATGACGCGTACATATATTTATTGAGACACGACGCGGATGGAGGTGTGGGTGTGGGGTTTAATATTAAAAAGGTGTTGGGACGGAAAATGCCATCTAAATGTAAATCTTAATAATGATCTATAAATAATAATAACGTACTACTAGACATACTGATGATATAATGCAACGTAACGTATGTATAACCTGCTGTTACTACTTTTTCATAGCCAAGTCATACAATATGCCAATAAATAAAAATTTTGATATCTTGCTCCAATTAAGAAAAATTGTACAAGTTTTGATCAATTTGGTTCTGTTCTTTATTATTCTTTTGTCTCTTGATTCGGTTCACATTCCAGTTTAATTTCTTATTAGAACAATCAATCAATCAACAATGTAAAGATCAATCCTTAATAGTTCTTAATTTTTTTGTAACCTGCCCATTTATTTAATAGTACGTGTTTACTTTGGATAGTACTTAATAATCATTTCATGTGTTTTTTTTCTTTCTTTAACTCTCCAGATCAGTCACAAATAATGTATTTAGTAGTTTAACAGTAGCAAACAAGTATTAAACATATATCGTATGTATGTTGTTTGTTGGATATTTATTTATTTATTTAAGGTCAAATTAATAATGTATTGTATTTTTTGCAGCTTTTTTGCATGCTTATTATTTGAATTTAATTTCTTATTCATATCATTATGTCCTTGCTTTTCTTGCTTATCGTTTAACTGTAGTACCTTTACTTTCCATCTCCAAATTCCATCAACTGCTTTAGCTTGATACACAAAAACTTTTCTTCTAAAGATTCAACAGCTTTTTTGGAGTTATTTTTTTCCTTAGATAAGGTTGGTTGATTAAATTTCATATATAGCAAAATTTACGAAGTATTTTTTTTATTTTCTTTTGAATATTCAAGGTACTTCCACGCATTTCATGATATCAAACAGACAAAATCATAAAACTATGAAAAACGTCCTCTTGCAAACCTTAATTCCTCACCACTCTAAAATAACTTAGCATTTAATAGCATATAAAGTCTAGACGAAGAGCATCAATTGATACAGCAGTAGTAACTTGTTCAGGTCCAAGGAGAAATAATTCTAGTCAAGAAAGTATTTTGTATTGTACGTGTAATAGTGTACCCTACATGATTGGGTACAAACTTATGCAATTACACTTTCAATTCTTGAGGAATTTTTGTTTGTAAAAGAATCTGAGCCTGAGAGAGTTATTAATAATATTAAGTTGAGAGGGATCATCAACATAATAATCCTACCACAAGAAATAATCAGAGAAATCAACCAACCAATAAGTCTAAATATATAGATATATTTAGAATATATAGCAAACAGAAACAAAACAAACAATATCTAACTAATCATTTATTGTGCACTCAATATATATTTATAATTAATAATATTGGTGTCAAGTCAAGATCCTCTCAACCTTAATATATTTTAGAAGACATTTTTAGATTGATTGGGCTATCATCATAGTTTAATATGTATATCAGCATCAAATCATCTTCTTCTTGTTAACTTCAATTTGATTCATTCATGGCTAGTCAAATAATGAAGCATTGTATTATTTTGATTGGGAGAATTTTCTAGTGAAAAGAAAATAAGAGTAGTAATAATAAAGTTTGTAGTATATGTCTGATTAAACTTGAAGAAACATAACAAGTAACATATTAATTGGTTTGTGGTTGTTGTTATTACAATAAAGAAAAAAAGTATATTTAAATGGGATGTTTTTTCACTTTTTAGAACAACGAAGCGAGTTGATGAAGATGAAATGGACTGCGTTCGTTTGGCTATTCAGTTGGTTTTCTCTAGGGCAGTGTTGTTCTTGACGGCAATCACGACCTCTTCTCCACACGACTTCAGCACAGTGCAAAGGATTTCCCGACCAGCGTCATAATCGGTCTTCAACTGCATAGATAAGAATACAATTAAACTGTGGAGGATGCTTTTATTATTTTGGACTTGTAGAAACATATGCAACAAGAACTAACCTGCACGCCAACATCACCATCGGGGACCTTCAGTCAGGGTAAAGAAAAATGACGTTTCACTAAAACTTTCTCTCAACTTTCTATTTGTTAAATTACCTTCAGGTCCTCGCGAAGATCTCCAGAATCACCCATCAATGTCAAAAACCTAAAAGACGACAAATTATTGAGATTGATTAAAATTCAAAATAAATAAACAACAAAAATTTAAAGAGGCTTTCGCTGATTTTCTTTGTCAAGGTCGTTAAATTAAAAGAATATATAATATTATGTTTTGTTATCATTAAACAAATACAATACTCTCTGAAACTTGTTAATAAAGAATGACCTTGACTTGGGCATTAGTAACTTGAAAAATAAACATTTTAACTATGCCATAATATTATGATAGCATGACATACCCATCGTCAGAAATATCCATCAACTGGTAGTCTTCTCGCTTGACGAAAGGCACGTCCATGTTGTGCGTTGATGGACAAATATCCTCGCACTTTTTCCCAGTGAAAATATCGAGTCCGACCATGTGGACCTTGGCGTGGCCGTGCTTCCCTGCAACAAGGGCAAAAAATAACGATACTCAATCAATATAAGCGTCTTAATCATCAATACCTTCATCATAATGAACAACCTGTTGCAAATTCATTAACAAGCTACCACTTTCTCCATCATCATTCCGCATCAGGAAAAAAACACATACCGGTTTTCGAAGTAGACATTTCGACAATTTTGCAAGGACGTCCTTTGAGCATGACGAATCCGTTTTTACGGAGAGCAGAGCATTGCATAGGGAAGGTTTCAGATGCCCCAGAGTCAGCAGTGTGGAATTCATGTTCTTCCATATCTGCCATTTTGTCTCGATTTTATTCCTTATTCAATGCTCCTGCAACAAACAAAAGAAAAGAAGACGTCACCAAACAGTAGGCAAACAAAGTATAAAAGTCCCTTTCTCCCCGTGTCCGGGAGGTGTAACGGGAAGGACAAAAAGAGTTTACAACGAAAGCGTGGTGGTAAATAGGAACCAGAGAAAAGTGTGACTGACGACTGACTGAGGTGGCCGCAGTATGTCAAGTCAGTCAGTCAGAGTGTGTATTTGCTAAATACGAAAGGCATGGGTTTCGTGTCGATGAGGACATGGAATCAAAATGGCGGTCAGAGATGGTCACCTCGGTGAAAGGAGGTGGCGGGTGTTACACCCCTCCGCGACTCTTCGGGGCCTTACCTGGCTCAAAAATGGGTGGGGTATCGGTGTTCCTCAGGGGACACGGGGGGACCGAAGTGGGCAGAAATTTTGGGCGAAATTCGGACACAAGAAGCAGCAAGAGAAACAGGAACCACCACCACCACCAGATCAGAACTGAATCAACTACTGCGAACCAACTAAACTAAAGCCACTCACTCTCGCACTCAAATCGTGGGGACGCATTCAAAGAGTGCGTCACCAGTGGTCCTACACTGCCCAGGACACCAAAATCTCACCCTCAAGGAGTCTCAGGTGCCCTAAAGTCAAAGGACGGCGAGGATGAGGGACCCCAGGGAACCGGCGTTTGGGCAAAAACAGTGGTGGATTTTTGGAGCCAGACAAAGCGAGCGGAAGGCGTTGGAGAAAGAACGAGAGGTTGTTGGCGGTGACAATGGTCGATCTGTCGGTGACAACCTTTACCCAAAAGGTTACGAAACGAGGGAGAGGGTGCGCTGAGCGAACCGAGAGCAAAATCCGACGCTGCCGACGCTCTCTGTCAAGCATCGGAGGTGAGATGAGACTGGACAACGTGAGAAAGTCTCACATTGTCCACTTTCGGCTACATAAGACGAGAATGATGCTCAATCAACAAGTACGACGACTGGACGGAATTAAGAAGTTTTCCACGATGGGAAAGTGGTGACAGTTTAAAAATCTTATCACTTGGTTAATACATATGTAATTTACTTAACCAGTAAGGAAGGAAGCGCTCTCTTCGTTTTTATGAATCTGCACATCGCACAACGCTAACTGATAAATAGAAACGACAAGTTATGGTCGTTTGGTGATTACGGGCATGGAGAATTATTGACGAGACGCTGAACCAGACATCGGCAAGACTCGCGACAGAACAAACGTCCAACGTATGTGTATGGAAGGCGAGGATGGAGGCGTACGGGCTGATGTTAAATATTTCAGGACTGGAGGGATATTTAGCGTCCAGGCGGACTCTGTGGGTATGGGAATTTGAGGAGCTGCTGCTGGTGCATGGGTGATGGTGCGGACAATTGGTCTGGTCTGGTGGGAGAGGAGGACGCTGCTGTTGGAGATAAGAGGAGGCTGATGAGAGCAGAGTGAGAGCAGAGCAGCTCTGTGACCTGCCACGAGAACAATCCTCCGCAAACCACCACCGCCGCCGACTTTCACCACCACAAACTTCCTTCCTGTTGCTTTCCCCTCCCGGACTCTGAATTCAGCATCCACCCACGTCCACCTCCACCCACAACGAGCCTCCATTTCACCATTTGCTCCAAGTACTACCCCTCCTGCAGTGGAAGAGAGGGCACACTCACCAGTTGTCCCCTCTCTCGATAAGACAGCCAGTGACTAATTTGTGAGTGGTGTGGAGTGGGAGGATAAGGTGAAACTGATTGATAAGGTGAAACGTGCTAACAATTATTGCAGTGGCTTGACAGTTTATCGATCTATAGTCTACAACCACCCAACCCAAGAGAACAATTAAGCCATAAGCAGTCAGTTAAATGGGGCAGATTGCGACTTCATGATGGATAAAGGGGTGAACTGCGTCCTGGTCACGACCCACCAGGAGACGACGGCCAAGAGTAGGCGTGGTCGGTGTCGTCTCGGCTTTGCTGGCTGCATTTGGGCCATCGTCTCCACAGCCATTGCAATCCTCTTGGCCGTCAAACTTCACAATTACGGTAAGAAAATTTGCAAAGTCTTCTTTCTCCAACGCCGTCGTCGTCATCGTCGTCATCTTTTTCCTTGCCGGATCAATAAACTTGTTTTTTTGCCAGATTTATTTGGGAGGAGTTGATGAGTTGGTAGCAGTTTGGTGGTAAATTGGGTTATGAAGCAATTTCCTCGAAAATATTGAATAAAAAGTCAATCACTGAGATAAACGGAGAAAGCTGTTTTCGGATGACTTTTCTCACCATGTAGCTCCATCGCCGTCTCCGGGGTTGATGATGATGGTCGTGACAGCTTCATCTCATTTTCTCCTCTACCAACCAATATTAACCAACACCAACACCCTAATCAATAATAATAAGTAACAATATCAAACTGCTAAGCCCCCGCTTTATCACTAAATCTTAATAAATAAACGAGTAATCTTTTCTCCGTAAAAATAATAAAGTGACCAAAATTGAATGGGCTGAAATGACGTGAAGGTTGAAACTTGCACATCATTTTGTGTCGAGATGCGTGGAGGGGGTGACCTTCACAACGAAGCACTTTGACCTTTTTTTAAAAAAAATTATGGTTCTATTTATAGGTGAGAAACAGATTTGTCTCACGGCGGCATGTGTTCGAACAGGTGAGAGGCGAGACCTTTTAATTAATAAAAGAGAACAATGATTGTTCCTCCTTGTACATTATGAATGACGCACCACTTTTCTCTCTTTTTCGCCATGCAGCCGCCTCACTCTTGGTCGCAATGAACGTGTCGACGAATCCGTGTAATGACTTTTTCAATTTTGCCTGCGGCAATTGGAACAAGAAACATATGATTCCCGAGGATCGAGCGTCCATTTCAACGTTTGAGGTCTTATCCGATCAGATTCAGTTGATTCTCAAAGGTAAGGGGGCTGACTTCCTCTTGTGACGCGTACTTACTTCCGCAATATTTATATGTTTATGCATACATATTGCGCGTTGTGTGACACATTCTCTGATTCAATTTTAAACCAATCGCATGATGTCGTTTCCTATTTCATCAAAGGTTTATTGGAAGAGCCCGTGGACGAGTTTGACTCGGAGGCAACCATTAAAGCCAAGGACTTTTACGTCTCCTGCATGAATTTGAGTAAGCCATCAAAAATCCATATGCTTTCTCTAGTAGCGTTTGCGTTGGTGAATGAGATGATTGGGGAATATGAGACAATCTCAGTTTTCTCTCCATCTTATTACTCCGTACACACAGTTGGAGTGCAAGTATGTTAATTTGTAAGTCTAATGATATTTGTGCCAGGTGCTATTCGGGAGGAAGGACAGACCCAAATTAACCAGTTGCTGGATGAGATGGGGGGTTGGCCCGTGACGATGGGAGCCAAGTGGACCCCAACAATTTCCGTGGAGTCGCTAATTGGTATGCTCAGCTAGCAATCCATGCCTATTTTTGTGTGTTACTTGTGTGTGTCAGTTTAATTGAGACGAGACTTTTGTTGTTTGATTGGTGATGAATCCAAGGAAGGATACGCTCTGAGCTCAACATGGGAATCCTCATTGAACTCTGGATCGGCCCAGACGACAAAAATTCCTCCAACAACATCATCCAGGAAAGTATTTCTCATGTATTTTGGCTTATTCTCATTTTTCGCAGCGTCGGCAGCGTTCCAAATTTTTCATCCCTTTCTTGATTTTCTTACACTGGCACCTTACGCTGGCATTTGTCACTCATGCATACGCAGAAAAGAGCACACATCGACAAAATTATGCTGTTGATTTCATGGACTTTCATGCAAAAATTAGCCCACCTCTTTATTTGCCGACGATAGCACAAATTGCTCTTGAAATGAAATATATTTATTTCACTTCAATCAATTTCCCTTCCGCCAAATTAGGCATAAGTTGATGACAAGGTGAATCCAATCCAGGCAACACAAGAAGCAGCACGGTTGACAACGTCATTAGATTTCATGTTCTCATGTCATGTACATAAGTACATCATACGCATCGCAGTCTCCTCCTCATCCTCCGTCGCAGTCGCCTTTTCTTCTCTTGATGAGCTGAGCATGATGATATAATTAATTAAAGAGTCGAGATTTCATGAGTTTGTTAGATTTCGTGCACTCCTCTCCTCGTCAATCGAAATTAACTTTTGACTAATCTTTCGCCGTGTCCATTCGTTCGTGCAGAGAGTGTTCGCAAATCATATAATTTCAGCTAATTTGACGACGCACACGGTACACACGTATGCAAAATAAACACGTTGTGCAAATATGTAAAACTGCAAAACATGCAACTCCCACTTGCCAAATTATTTGGAGCGTTCCTAACCTTAAAAGTACATATCTGTCGCTACACTTTCATACTACGTGCGACTAGGACAAATTGCACATTATATTCAGAGAGAGAGGGGGGATTTAATAAGGAATTTGATGAGTCGCTTTGAATTGAGTTAATCAAGTCAATCAATCTCTCATTGAAATTCATCAGCGACAAAGTTCACCTGTAGCTGATGCTGCTGCTGCTCCTCTCCAATTTCGCTCTTTATGAGCCAAATTGAAGAAAATGAACAACATCCATTTATTGCTCATTGAGTCGTAAATTCGCAAATAAATTGTCGGCAACTTTCAACTCTTACAAACTACTAGTTACTTGCACATAAGATGGCAAGAAGAGAGTAAAAGATCTTGTGTGCTTTCATCCCGTATACAAATTATGCATGTACGTGATGCGACATGTGTCATGCAGTGGCAGCAGTCTGTTTTGAACAAACTTCACAATATTGAGACTGCTGCTCAATTTTCCAACTTTGATTGAACATACGAAAACTGGCGATGAAAAGATTGCACGCAGGAAAAAAAATGCACCCTCAGTCAATTTGAAGAAATGATCAAACGGCCAGTGTGGCAGATTTTTTTTGCATACACACATCTGCGCATTTCTATTATGTAAAGTAAATGACCCTGCTGCATGGTGTCTGTTATGGACAATTCGTTGACTTTGACTGCCTGGAGACTGGCATGACGTGGAGGAACTCATTTCTTTTTCTTTATGAAAAGTCAGGCAGGCACCAATTGACTTTTGCACATGTGGGATGAGATTGACCTGAAAATGTCGTCTTGGGATATATTCAGGTGGACCAGATGCAATTGGGACTTCCAAGTCGGGACTATTTCCTCAACGGGACTCGGGAACAGCGGGCATATCAGATGTACATGACGGAACTCTCCGTCCTCTTCAACGCCTCCTTTGACTTTGCTTTCCAAGAGTTTCAGGACGTTCTCGCCTTCGAAACTGCACTTGCTAATGTAACACATAAACTACAGGCTAGATATCTAAAAGGGTAAAAAATGGGGTGGTGAGGCAGTCTTTCATCTTTTGTGGGTAGGTGTCAATTCCTGAAGCGGATCGTCAGGACACAAGTGCCATTTATCGCAAGGATTCCATAGCGTTCTTGCAACAGGAAATTCCAGATTTTAACTGGACCCAGTATTTTCAAACGTTTGTGCACACTGAGCTCGGGCCTGACGAGCTCATCGTCTCGTGTATGTAATTCTTTGGATGACGAGTGTTGACAAATATTTTATAACTGTATCACTCTCTCTCCCGCATGTTCCTCAGACGCCTTCCCGTACCTTAAGGACATGGCCGCAATCATCAAGCAGACTCCGCCTCGTGTGGTAACAGAATCATGGCTTGCTTACTATTTTATCCACGACACCGCACTGAATAATAATGCTACTGCTTCGAACAGTCTCCTAATCATGGGCATTGGCTCTGTTGGATTTTTATACGTCTCTATAGGTCCAGAACTACGTGGTGTGGAGAGTGCTGATGGAGTTCACTGCGTACCTCGTGGATAAATTCCAAGACACAAAGATCGAGTTTCGACAAGGTGACTAAATTGAAATAATTCAATTATGTAATGATTGTATTGAGTTTATCCTCAGACCTTGGACGTATAATTAATTAATAATTGATTGGGTTTCTCGTTGCAAGTGATAAGTGATGACTAAATGATGGTGATGTTTTCCAGTTCTGATGGGAGTGACGAGTGAGCGGCACCGCTGGCATCAATGCGTGGAGTGGACAAACAAGAAATTAGGCATGGCTTTGGGAGCCCTCTTCATCCGGGACAACTTTGACCCCACGGCCAAGGTGAGTCTCCGCAGTCTGGGCGGAATTTGCATGTTAACACCTCTGTCCTCCCTCACAAAAGCTCCCCTTCTTATTTTATTTAGTAGGAAAATAGTTTTGCGCTTATTTGTGTTTCTCATCACCTCGTTTGTTTGCTGAGAAAGTACAAAAGTCACAGCTTAAACAAGTTTCCATTTTCACAAGTGGTTAATGGTGGGTGTTGAATATTCAGGAGCAAATGTCGACAAAGAAGTGCAAAGTGCGAGGTCGAAAGTTTTGGACCACCAAGAGCCACCCTAACTGAAAACTAGGTAGCATGTATTATTATCTAGAGGCGTTACGAGTGAGCAGAATATGGCCCCACCACCGAGTTACGAGTTTAGATTTAGACTTATGTATTCAAATATCGTCATCATTTTGTTTTGATCAATTTCCACAAAGAGCAAATAAGTTATCTTTCAAGGTGAAGAGCATGATGACGACGATGCAAAGGTTGCTTTCTCTGTGCGTGTGGCGATAGATCTTCAAACCAGTGCTCCAATCGAAACGAAATCAAACCAAAGTCAGCAAAGTTCGTTTCTATTTAAAAACAAACTCAAACTCGAACTTATCGAAACGATTAAATGAATCGAAGCATAAGACCAGATCATTTCGTTTCATGTCGAATTTCGGCGAAACGGAATTTTTCGTAATGTTTAATGTAATGAATATCCGTAATGTTTAAGTGTAAAAAAATATGTCTTCAGCTTTAAATTCGTAGAAATATATTCATGGGATACATTTTTGTTTCGTCGAAAATCGACAATTCGACAATTGTAATTCGTTTCGTCAAAAGGAAACGATTAGTTATTTCGTTTCGGAAATTTCGAAACGGAAAAGTGAGCATTTCGTTTCGAATTTCGACGAAATGGAAACGGAGATTTTTGTTTCGATCGGAGCACTACTTCAAACATTTATTGGGGTTAAGAATAACTTTCTCCCAACCTTGAAACCTCACTTTTGTTTTGGTGAATAATCTCCAGCAGAGCAGGAGACATGGCAATTGTCAACTATTTCGTGAATGTGACGCCAATTAGAGAGACTTCTGTGTTCCATTCCATCCTATCCACCTTTTACGACCAGGCCTCTGTTGTGTCTACGGAAAACACAGGAGATCAGAGAGAGAGAGAGGCAGCTTTCTCCATAGAAAAACTTTCACCTCGTGCTCTCCCTCTCCATTCCTTTGAAGAGGAAAACTTGGGACAACTTCGTCTGCTCTGCTCCTTCTTGTTCTCATCTCTCGAAATGACTTTGGTTGGATGAGTGAGCGTGGTTGGAACCGGAAATTGATATTTTTCTTGAGATTTAACAACCGAAAACAGAAACCTTTCCAACCAACTAATCCTAAGCCATAATAATATGCATGCCTTAATAAGAAACAGACTTTCATCATTTTACATGCATATCTGGGTCGTACTTATTTGCATATGCGTGAATGTACATACATCCCTATGCGACTTGTATTATGCTGTATTTGTATTGCCAATCTCAATTTCCCCCTTTGCTCTCATCCTCTCACAATACGCAATAAGTCGTACCGAGGATGAGACACATTCGGTCTGGGGACATGGGCAGAAGTGACATAATATTTTCACCGAGCGTCCCCACTTGTGAATAAATTCTCGTAAAAGTCTCACACTCTGCATATTCTCATAATACACCGCCGCCGCCTCACGCTGCCTGCTAGGCTTGCATAACACGACGACATTCATAAATTATACTTTACATCGCCAGAAAGAAGAGCGCTCATTGATGAGAATTTTTGCGTTCGCACTGGAACAGAGAAAAATAACAGAGCAAATATTGAAATTCTTGAGAAGAGGTGATGTGCGATGGGGTGAAGTACTTGTTGTAGACTGACTACGAGTACGAACATACATGCATTTTTTTAAATTTAGTGCTGCCTTCCTTCCTGCCTTCCTTCCGCAAAAGTGGGCACACGTACACACACAACATTCTGTTTAGCACTGGATTAGACGAGTCTGGATAAGTAGAAAATGAACTTGTTCTTTGACGGAACGGCCCTCCTGAGTGAAATTGCAGGTCGGCGTGGAAGGAAATTGCTGTCCTGAAATCCCACTCCACACATTCCTTCACGCCCTAAATACTTTATTGGCTCTCCACACTCCATCGTCACCTCCGTCGTTCACGCAGATGGGCAGGGAAAGCAGGATGTCAGGATACAATGGTCGTCACATTGCTGTGTAGTCTTTCTCATATTGTGTACAGTACATACGTAGTGCCCAATTCGCCAGAATGCTTATTAGTGCTCTTAAATAATCCTTTAATTGCATGAAGCGTATCCGCGCATCCTCTCCCAATCAGGGTCAACCTGTCGTGCGATGCATAGAAGTGGCTCAATGTCAAAGCCACATAACAAAGCCCCGGCAATAATAATCTCTCTTCCCATCCAATCACTGTGGCAGACAATCAATGGAAACGTTGTAAATTCAGCCCTATTATTTCATACACGAGAGCAGAGACACAGAGTGAAAGTCGACGTAACAAGCAAGCATGTGCACATTACGTATGTGCACATGCTTGCACAAAAAGTCGTCTCTAATTACAAAAGCTATAACGATGACACTGAGTGAGGAGTCACTGTGCTGCCACGCATTCATTTTTTTTGGTGTGCAGGAGACGGCACAAGAGATGATTGGCAACATAAGGGACGCTTTCATCGAGCTCTTGGAGGAGACGCACTGGATGGACGAGGAGACGAGGAAGGTAGCCAAGGAGAAAGCTCTCTTCATGAATGAGCGGATCGGATATCCAGACTTCCTCACAAAACCGCACGATCTCAACAAAGAGTATCTCAACGTGAGTACCCGTCCACCGAAGCCGTGTACCTGTGTGATCATATGTACAGACATATGTGCGACTGTTGAGAGTTGCAATTTGTATCATATTTCCCTCGTCCTCTTGAAAACATTTTTAATTGGGTGAAGAGCTCATGTCGTGGGCGTGGGGATCAGTTTCAGCACTGATTGTCCTTTTGTGGCGTTACAGTTGCGAGTGTCGAGAGTGGAATTTGTCAAGAACATTCTTGAGATGGGGAGGTGGAAGGCGGAGCAGAATTTCCAAAAACTGAGAAAACCTGTGGAAAAGGATAAGTGGTCCACCGAGCCGGCCGTCGTTAATGCGTTTTATGACCCCAACAAAAACGACATAGGTAAGCATCACCCTCTCCTTTTCCTTGCTCCCCACATAATAACGACGCTCTGACCAGAGAGTCGAGTGCACCAAAGGTCTCACTTTACAATCAGAGTGCAAACAAATTTCTATACGGGTTGACATTTGAGAGAACAAAAAGCTTCGTAATCTGTTTTGCCTAGTGTTTCCTGCGGGGATCCTTCAGCCCTTGTTCTACAGCCAGCACTTTCCAAAGTCCCTCAACTACGGAGGAATTGGGGTCGTTATCGGTAAAATTAACTCGCTTTACTGACCATGTGCATACAGCTCTTATGAGCCGCACAATCACGATAGAATTATCTGTAAATATGTAGTAATGATAATGAGAGATCAATCTGTAGTGTTTTTACCAAGTGATTGATATTCAAACGAAATGACATGAACGCTGTTACAGGGCACGAGATCACGCACGGTTTTGATGACAAAGGTATGTTTGTTACTTAATATGAAGTGATGGATGGGTGGATGCTGAGACGTATGGGGTGGCCTAACTCTGAGGTCGTGTAAATTGCAGGAAGGCAATTTGATAGCGAAGGAAACCTGAAGGAATGGTGGAACAATGAGGTAATTATCAGCAAATTGTCGCAACTTCTAATGCTGAATGCAGACTTGAAGTAACGTAAAGTTAGCTTGCTCTATGTATCTGTATGTATGTAAGGATAGGTCGTCAGGATCTAAAGATTTTGTATCGCCCTTATATATAATAACCATACCCCGGCCAAATATTTTTTTATCCTACCCTACTCATGTTGAGCTCAACACGAGTAGGGTAGGATAAAAAAATATTTGTCCGGGGTATGATAATAACCCACTTATACACTTACTTTGCATATGTTTATTAAGTAAATTTATTTTCAGACGATCGGGGCATTTCGAGAGCAGGTAAGGTTTTTTCTATGTAGTTTGTTATCTGCAAGAATATTTAATAATATATTTATTCCGAGCAGACGGCATGCATCATTGACCAATATTCTGCTTATCGAATCGACTCTCACCGCATCAACGGGAGGATGACGCAAGGGGAGAACATCGCTGATTCGGGCGGTCTCAAGCAGGCTTATCGGGTATTTATTTTTACTACAATTGATGTCCATCTCCATATTGCTGTACTATTTGACTTGGAGAAGAATAAGAAAGGAGAAAGTCCGTGTGGGTGTTGGTATCGCCAAAACGATGTGTATTGAGCCTCCAAATTTGTTTTCAACAGCCACCACGTTGTTGGAGGACGACGCGATGAGAATCTCTTTACCATTATCATTTTTCCGTCGTCGTTTCACTCCTCTCTCTCTCTTTTCTAAACACATTTTGCATTATTTAATCGGAGAGATGAGGCTGCACAGAAGTAGCCTTTTTGCAAACTGGGTGGCACGAACCACGTTTGTTGCTCAGAGAGGGAGAGAGAAAGGATAATTGGCTTACTCATGGCCTGATTAAAACAGACTTTGGAAAGAAGAAGACTCTCAAAGCGATCGGAATAAAGTTCTTTTTTCTCGACTTCCTCCTCCTCCCTGATTTTGGTCTGCTAATGAACAAGTAAAATAAATACCTCAAGTACTTACTGAGAGAACAGCGATTGGTTCGCAGAGAAACAAAATCGATACCTGCCACGCTTAATCGAAAGCAGATTATTTCTTTTTAATCCGCATTAAAATTCCACCCGAAGAATTCTCTGTGGGAGGAATTGGTTGAGAGGGAGGATAACGTACATACGTATAACTACCTGCATAAGTACATAATGGGATACCTGTGCGTCCCTCTCCTAATGCCGCAGCCAGCACTTGCGATTAGCTAAGCTCTCTTGATGCATAATTGTTCCATGTGCAGGCGTTCAAGAAGTGGGAGCGGCGTCACGGCGTGGAGCCGCTGTTGCCAGGCTTGGAGTGGATGACTCAAGACCAGTACTTTTTCCTCAACTATGCCCAAATCTGGTGTGGGTCGATGCGTCCGGAGGACCTTCTCTCGAAAATCAGGTCGGCCGTGCACGCTCCAGCGCCCATCCGGGTCCTCGGCCCCCTCTCCAATTCCAACGACTTCGCCAAAGCATACTCATGCCCTGCTGGCAGCCCGATGAATCCCAAAAGAAAGTGCAGTGTCTGGTAGAGAAATAGAGAGCGAGAGAGAAGTCTCCTCATAAACCAACAAATAAACATGACGACAATGTCGATACCCGGGTATCAGATCAGATCAGAAAAACTACTTTTCTCGTGGTAATTTTAAACATACATTTGTAGGTGGAACGACATATCCAGGGGAGGACACGTTGCACCAAGAAATGTGACAACACTTATTGTCAACAACTGCATAACATACAAAAATAGCTTTAAAATGCCCATTACAAATCTTAGAAATGGTGGTTAATTGGGCTCATAAATATGTACATACATATATATGTACACATGTAAGTATACTCGTCACACATTATGAATTTCTATTAATTTTGTGGAAATCTTTTACCGTAATTGAATTACGAATGTTTAGTTCAGCAAAACAGAAAATATGGTATGGCAAAAAATTATAAAGGTGCTACACAACCAATTTTTAGTCGTTGTTCATCCATAGGTAGCCCCTGACCTTCTCTCATAGTACGTATATTCTACTTGTCATAATAAATGTGATGTGAAAATGATGGGCAAATTTTAATCCGTCATAAATGTTAGTTATTAGCATCACTTGCTATATGTGTATGTAAATTTACGTCATATCTCTTGCGACAAAATACATAAATATTATTTAGAATATACAACCTTACAGAAACCGAGTTGTAATTCCATAATGGACCACTTTCTTTCATCAACTTTGATATTTATCTAAGGTCGTCAAAATATGTACTCGTGGCATTCAGAATAGGCGTTGAAAACATTTAAATTAAAAATCATTATAAGATTATTAAAATTAAAATGGGTGCCATTGTCATCATCAATTTCAATGAGCTCTACATTTGTTCGTAATGTTGTATGTACTCTCTACTCTATAATTTTGTCAAATCAAAACTTAATTAAGCATCTGTAATATAATTACGTAATACTTCTCATCTGTCATCATCATTACTCTTGATCAGTGTGAATTTAGTAATCTAGTTGAAAAGTCATTTATTGTTGTAATAGGATTGCAATAAAATCAGAAATATTGCGAAAAAAATGATCCTCTTGTTTCCTTTACCATCAACTATTTTCACATTCAAAACTTTCCAATTGTGATTCGTTTATTCGTAACGTATAAACTCACAAAATAATTAATGATCACATATATCGTAAACGGCTTATCTGCTTGTTTTCTGCTGCACTTTAATGTAGAGTAAGAGTAAAATTTTTAAATATGTAAATGCTTCTCGGTAATTAGTAGATACAGTAATAATTAAAACGTTTTTACAATTTTTGTTGCTGCTGATGTCATGAGATAATAGAGTAATATATGTATAAGATATAAATACGTACGTATTGCACATCATTGGTTTTTGAGACTTTAACAAATGACCAGAAGAAGCTATAACTATTCAATAACGACATTGGTAGATAAATACTTGAGATAAATACTCTGCACAGTTACAACAGGTCGTCGTCAATAATTTCAAACGAAGTCGAAACACTTGTGGAAGAAGAAGACTTGTCAAAATGTTTCGCGTCAAATAGAAACTCGTCCTCAGGATCAGAGTCGACAACGGAATCAACGTCTGGCATTTGTGAGATGGCTGGGGATAAGGTTTCTGGGCCTATGACTGGATCCAATAGATCTTGACCTTCCTCTCTCCCTGGAGTGGTTATACTAGTGCTGACGGTTGAGACGCTTCCTCCAATGTTGAACACCGCCCCTGCTGGACTGTTCAACATCAGACTTGCAGCTGCGGCTGAGATGGACCTAGTTACGATGCCTTCGTAAAGGTCATAAAGTGGTGAGAGGGGTGGTACTGGTGTGGTTGAAATGAGAACAGGCGATGGACCAGGCGATGCTGCTGCGTAAGGTGGTGGAGGCGATGATGAACGTGGTCGTGACGATGAAGTCGACAACAGAGTTTGGTCAGAGGCTAAATTGATAGAGATACGACAAAAATAATGAAATGTTTCACTAATTATAAGCTTGCATTCATGCAAACCCAGATTATTTGTATAAGTGCATACCAAAATTAGCTTGAGATTGTGACTGTTCCGACGGATGTTCAACCTTTGGAAGGAATTCAAGAGCGGGGAAGACGACAAAGGCTGCATTGGAGAGGATAAACAGAACGGTGAGGAAATCCATCTCCATTCCCAACTTGGCCAGCATTATCCATCCGGTGCACGTTCCAATGGTCCACTACACACAAAAAAGATGCACAAATGAAATATTTGTATTTAGAAAATGACACCTTGAAATGAATTGATGTTGAAAAATATTGACAAGTGGTGAGGAAAAATGAAAATAATGCATTTGTTTGGCATGTGTCCAAAATATGTGTCGTCGTCAAAAAGGTTCAGTGCCAAATTCTCATATGCACATTAACTGCGTTTCTTTCTCTTATTTTTCTTAACGGAAACCAAAAATAACTGTACAAACTTCGTCGTTTCATGACATTACCGTTTTATGCACGGAGTAATGACTTTGGTGCGATCGGGTGACAATAACGACACGTGAGATTCGATCTACTATAATATATAATGTCGTTTTCTTGGAAGATAAATTAATCCTAATGATCGAGTTTTAATAAATATATAGTTACTGCAAGGCGAATTGTTTATGTCATGTGCAAATCACGTACCAAAAGATGATTATTGTGTCTCAAGGCCATCCATTGGTTAAAAAGGTCCACAACAAGGGTAGTCGTGGCCTGTTGAAGGTCGTAAGTAGAAAGTGTGATCCATTCTTCATGATCCGGAGGGTCCACCAGGACCTAAACGAAAAAGGAAACAAAAAATGTCAACACGTTTTCTAACACGTTTCTCCTGGAGAGTAAAAAAAGTGTGTATGGACATACCGTATTTCGGATTCGATAACGCCAAAGTTGTCGACCATACCACATCAGGACGATCATGGGAAAAACATAGAAAGGCCTTTGACGAGTTAAAATCCTTTAAAACGAACGGGAAAGGTTTAATTGTCAATCGAGGTTTATATAATTTGATTAATTAATAAATTACCACAAAATAAAGTTGATGCTGACCAAGACTAAGGCGGATTTTGCTGGTTTCGACCAGCTTAAAATGCTTACGATATTTGCGTTCATTTTTTCAATTTGGTAAATATTTGAGCATATAAACACTTTCCTAAAAATCTACTTCGTTACAACAACAGTACAAGTAAAACCATTTAGCAGCAAGTTTAATTGTTCAACCTGCGTGAATGAATTTAATAGAAAACCCACAAAATTCAAAGCGTTGCTTCGACTCGAAGTCGTTGTCGTACAATAAAAATAAAACAGATCCTCAGATTTACAACAAAGGAGCGACGCGCAATTGGTTAGTTAGTCGGGTTACCTCACTTCACAAGTCGTGAATTTATATCGCGTCGTACGTAATCACATGTTGTGCAGCTATTTAATGCGCATTTATATTATGCAGTTAATTTTATTGTACAAATTCCTACACTTGCACTCACCAAACTGAGCTGAACTGAAAGATATGAGCTAACTAAATACAATAATTACTGTGGATTTGGATTTGTTTACAGCCAATATGAGCACTTAAAATGGATAAAAGATTAAATTATTGATGTGACAGTATAGTATTAGCACTGACTTGATGATGTTACCCACTTTTTTTTTACTAACTGGGCATTTCCAATAGAATTGTAGTTGTTAACGATTCTCGACTCTTATTAATGAAGCAGTTCACATCGCAGATCGCAGCTAAAGAGTTTCTTGGAGAAGCATAACAAAAAAAGTTTATGGTGAGCATACAGAATTGGAGTCGAGCCTAAAATTATGTACACACAAACATGTACTTGCAATCCTGTGCTGGGGGCTGGGGATATGTGAGTTCACAAACGCCTCAGCTCAACGGTTAGAAGAATGCAAAACGAAATTCAATATGATTATGATTTGCACTATATGCCAATAGCGTATTACGGAATTATGCTGCTGGATGACTGGAAGTAGATAGGTAATAATTAATTATTTGCTTGTTCACGAACATTTAACACGTTCAAATTAATGGTGCATGAAACTGTCAGTTAGTGTTTTATGAGTGCATTTACACGTTTATTATAATTGTATTCTTCTTATGAGCAAACGTACAATGAAGAAATGACACTTAGTACGTTTATCAGTATTTAATACTTTATTCAGATGAGCACCAAGGTTCTCTATTATTCATGGAGATTCGAATATTTAAGGCCGGGATAAAACCACTCCCCACGTCAAACCACCACGAGAAAGAGGTAGATCCCGAGGTTCTGCCCCTTATGTAGACAGTGGCCCCCTCGGACAGGGAACCCACGATCCCCCCGTTGAAATCCGGTGTGGAGCGGATAACGACCCCACCACCGTCGCCAGTGACCAAGCCCACGCAGCTGTGATCTCCGCACCCTCCAGCGTCGCCCATGCAGAAGAGCGCCCTCTCCGCCTCTCGACGTCTACTGGCATGACCACCCCCGCTGCTCCCATACGTCCACCTACCGAACTCCTGACTGGCGGCCGGAAGGTCTCCATCGTTAAGGAGTTGGAGGAGGGTGGAGGAAGCAAAGTTCTCGCACCCAATATCGAAAACTAGTGAAGCAAGGGCTGAAAATTGAGTGGCGTTGAGATTGTAGCGGACGTAGTTATTAATACAGCCTTCGAAGCGACCGGGGTGGGACAGGTCATCTTGGAGGAGGGCATCCCCATGGGCGAGGGTTAGGGGTACAGGATATTTTCCATTTAATGGGACCGTGCAGTCCCACGTGTGGCAGGCTGTAAATTTGGAATTATATGACGCTGTCTTGCCAAGACTTAATTATACTTTTATAGATGTGTAGACTAGACTCTCACCATGTCCATAACCAATGGTTCGAACGCCGACGAGGTCCGTGTAGAAGGTAGGGAACCAGCGCACAAACTCTTTTATAATGTCTAATCCACCTTTGTTAGTTGGTCCATAGTATCGATCTGTTGTGTCGAATAAAAAATATATTGTAAAGGTCATGTCTATTAATGAATGAAAGAAAATGATTAAAAAAGAATGAACTTTTGTGCATTTTTCCAACACAATTTATAATTTAAGTAAGTTATTAATTAAAATTTGTCAATTGGTTAAATATTGGATTATCTTATATGTATCTAAATTTTACAAACATTACTAGTCTTGGTATGCAACCAACATAGTCGCGCCAGTAGGTAGCGAGTTAGTTTTGTTTTGTTCATCTAGTTAAATTTATAATTTGACGTCGTTGACGGTAGTAGTAATGGCTTAAATAGGATGTAAGCTCACGAAAATAGGCTAGTGTGCTATGCTAAATTCATTTTTGTGCATTCCCTAGTACTAGTAAATGAGGATAATAAAGGCTATTATTATTATTATATTATTACTTATTGTACCGGATATTGTGAACGATGATGCCACTAACAGGGAGAGAGTAATGATGACAGTTATTAACAACCTCATGGTGAAAGTCGTAGCAAGCCGTATGTGAGTGTGTTCCATTATGACCTTGAGGTGGGATATACATTATACCCATGCTTATCTAATAATGGCAATATCTGCCGATAATCATTCCTGCTCAGTTGCACATAAATAGCATCATTATAACGAGAAAAATTTCTCTGAAATGCTTAGATAACCTAGCTCAGTAATTCCTGTACAGTATAACTCCCGATGTCCAATTATGAATGACTCAGGCTGAGATAGAGATTCTGGTTGTTTTATTCGTAATAAAATAAACTTTTTTTCTGGATTAGTAGAATTTGTCACCTAAAAAAACTTTCGACACGATTCTTTTCAGGTACTCATGAATTATTAAATTTTAACTTAAAAATTTTAAGTATCTATGTATTGGTGATAACACAGCAAACGCTAAGTAGTTAATTTTTAAACTTGATGTTTCAGTGTAGGAAACTACGGACTAGGACTACTGCATGTCCATGTACTCTTTGTCGATAATCTTGGCAATGGTGTTTAGCTGAATGTTGGTCGTTCCTTCATAAATCGTTCCAATTTTGCAATCTCGGAAATACTTTTCCATTGGATAATCCTTCGTAAAGCCAACTCCTCCCATCCATTCTGTAAGTTGTACAAATTGTGAGCATCTTATATTGTGTCTAATACTGTATTTTTATCAGATATTATTTAGATGAGCCAGTAGTATCGTCTCAGCTCATATGTACGTACCCATACACTTGGAAGTCGTCTCTGTTGCCACCTCTGCAAAATATGCAATACATAGCTTCATTCAAGACCTATACATTTACATAAATAAGTCGCGTGCTTAATATTTACCGGCACTATAATATTTTGCCATTGCAGCTTGCTTGACAAACGGAAGATTTGCTTCTTTGAGTCGTGTCGCATTGTATACTAAAAGTCTAGCACATTCTATTTGTGTCGCCACTCTGGAGATTTGATGTTGCATGGACTGTTTATAGCACGCAATTAATTTAAAAAAACGTTAATTTTTACTCAAGTTTACTGTAATTTCATTGACAAATGAAGGGATACCTGGAAATCGAAAATGCGCTGACCAAATTGCTTCCTTTGTTGAGTATATGGCACCGTCGCGTCAAAACAACCTCGGGCTAATCCCAACATTTGAGCTCCGATCCCAATTCTCCCACCATTCAACATTTCAATCGCATACTTGTAACCCTTCCCCAGCTCACCCAAAATGTTCGAAGCTGGAACCTATTATTTCAACAATTAAATAACATTTAGAAAATGTTTACAAAATATAAAAAAATGACCACCCATGAGTTTGCTTACCCGAACATTGTCAAAATGAACGGCACAAGTCGTCGACGACCTATGTAATAAATGCATTTATTAAAGAAAATCAAAAGCACTGGATAAAACAATATCTAGAAATATGAGCATGAGCTATCTACCGTATTCCCAGTTTGTCTTCCTTTTTCCCCACAGAGAACCCAGGCATACTTTTCTCCACAATAAAACAAGTGATTCCTCTATAACCCTACAAACGAATTATGAAAGTAAAGAATTAGTGGCAACACAACGGAAGCGTAATCTGACATGATCACACACCTGTGATGGATTCGCATTCGCCATGACCAGAAATATACCAGAGAGATCAGCACTCGAGATCCAGATTTTGGATCCATTTAAAATATAATCATCTCCATCTTTTTGTGCCTTGGTTTTCAAAGCAAAAGCATCCGACCCTGACTCTGGTTCAGAGAGACAAAAGCTGCCAACCTGGATAAGCACCCATACTTGTTTCGTTCCACAAAAGTCCCAATAACAATATACCTTTCATTCAACATGCAATATTATAATCATACCGTGTTTGTGGCCAACATCGGCAAGTATTTTGCCTTTTGTTCCGGAGTTCCCAAATCCCTGATTAGGGTGTTAATGAGAGTATTTTGAATGTCGACAAGGACACTTATTCCTGGATCGACTTTGGCCAATTCTTCTATCAGCACGATTGATGATCCAAAAGTAGAACCACTCCCACCAAACTCTGTTGGAATTTCGACCCCCATCAACTAACATTATAAATCATTCATACATTTAATTAAACTCTCCTCTTATATATACTTCCTCCGTCCAGTACAAATAGACGTAGATGATATATTTCTACTTACTCCAGTCTCAAACAAAGCTTTCACCACACTGGGGTCAGTTTTTCCTTCTCTGTCCATCTAATAATATCTTGACATAAAAAATGCATTCGAGGTTCATAATCGCCAACGATAGTAATACCTTTGCTACGAGGGGTGCAATTGTTTCTTTAGCCATTTTAGACACTAATCACCAGTTAACGGATAAACAATATAATTAAAATAAAATACATACATTCAAAATTGATATAAAATGTATCATCAATCACCAGTTTCCTTCATCATTTGCTCATCTTCAGTAAGCACCGTGACTGGCATATGTAGTGGGACCCCTGCGTCGGAAGAATGTCCTAAAGCTGCCTGTGTGGATGCCAAACTTTGTGGGAGTGATTTTGATAACTGGTGAAATTTTTCAAAAAGTTGAAATGTGATTTTACGTCTCATCAACGATAATGCATTTGTCTCAATTTTTCAGTTTGAATCAAAATTCCAAGTACCTTACCTGACGAGTGATTGTCTGGTGCATAGGACGGATCCCTTTCCAAACTGCATTTCTCAATGGGAGGTTCATCCTTAACAATTGGAAATTGAAGAGTTAAATTAATTTCAACTTGCTGAAAAAATGAACTGCTGGAGTTTTCAGCCAAACTAGATGGTGATGATGGAGCAACAAGAGATTCACTCACACTTGATTCACATCGGCATTTATTATTTGAGGACGTGCATACATATACAATGATTATGTAACATCGGAGCAATGGAGCTATATGGCAAAATTGTGTCATTATGCATTATGGTCGACGCGTTAAAATTAAAGCCATTTTTACATAAGCAATGTATGTAAAATGGCTTTAATTATAATGCCTCGACCATAATTTCGAATTTTCGATTTCTCCATTCGTTCGCTCCAAGTTGACAGTCAAGTCAATAGATTGTCTCAACCAAAAAATAATGCAACCTTCATCAATAACTTGTCCAGGACAGGCCAAGAGTCATGACTCCGAATAATCTTCACTCCTGCCTTCATCTTATCCGTCTGCGACCAGGCTACAGAAATGAGATGATGCTCTCGCTCATCAGCAAATTAATGCAGAGACAAAATCAGTCTTTAATTGGCAATACGGGAATAACTGAAAATCAAAGCCTTCGTACATGATATAATGTTGTCGTATTCTCAAAGCGTTGGAGAACTGAATGCCTTTTCAATACAGATAGGAAATACATTTTTTCAGCGATACTATAATAAACTGTTGAATTTAAGTAAGTAATTATTCATTTTACATTAAATAAATGATATGTTAAATGTGATGATACGATGAAACTTTAGATTTTATCGTATATAGTTCTCTAATATATTAAATAATTATTCAATTGTTGAATAAAAGTGTGTATTTATTTAATTCTTGATAGCTGTTTTTTTGTAAATTCAAATTCAAAATAATAGCGTCAAATTAATTTTTTCTGCAAATTTCATCTATTTGAGTCTTGTATTTCTATTTAATGGCTAAATGTTTGCGTACATAGATAATATGGACAAGTTGCTGATTCGTCAAATAAAATATTAATCAGAGTTACAATTATCTATACTTAGAAAACAATTAATAGTTACTTTTTATAATGTCACACATTATGATTATTATTGTCAGTATTATTGTAATTGTTTCCTGAACTAGATGCATTCAGGTTGGCACGAGTATCTATTGTAATTACGGATCCACTTGGACTCGGGGATTCCGATGGTCCGTGATGACGGTTAAAACACGTAGTGTTCAACTGTTGTGGACGAATAAGAACGTGTGAAACTTGCACCGGATTTTCTACCATGTGAATCCGACACTTTGGCCTGTTTCGGTGAAAGGTTTCCAATGCATTTTTGGAAAATGAGGTAAAATGGGCTTCTACCCTCTCCAGATTGGGGATCGACTCAAAAATCTCCAAACTACGATCAGTCAGTCTTGAACCGCTGGCGTCAAGAATCTGGAATGAACCAATTTTAATATGCATTTTAACTGAATTCATCATTTGTTAAATATTATGCAAACGAAACTAACCCTGATTGTGGGCGAGTTTCGAATTCTTGTTATGCAGAGATCTGTGATGTGATTAATTGGATGATCAAGAAACTGGTCGTACTGGCCAAAATAGAACTCTTCCAATGTTTTTATAATAGCGAAAGAGCTAAATTCAATACTGCCCACTCTTGTATCAGTCACATCGAGCACCTATAATTATAATTATATAAGAAACGTGCAATTCACCCTATGAAAAGTCCGCAAGGTATTTCAAATATTTATAAAATACCTTCAATTGTGTAAAACCATATCTCGTCGATAACGCAACATATGCCAGACATTCTCCAACATCTCGACATCCTCTTAAATAGAGTTTCTTCAATTTGGGCAACTTACTTATTGGCATGAGAGAATGTGCCATCGCAAAGGAGCAGTAGGATAAATTTAAATCTTCCAACTCTTTCAACCTCAAACTTAGATCCTGCAAACGACACACATTATTGCATGCATACAACAAAATTAGATTTAGACATAAGAAAAATGCAGATATGGCAAAAAAACCTTAAGATAAAGGCCATGATCCTGCGTTTCATAGTTAGAAAGAACACATCCCGACATGTTGAGGACTCTGAGATTAGGTGGCAGATCGTGCATGCGGAAGTGATCCGCGTCCAGCCTCTGGTTGACGAGGTGTAACTCACTGAGATGATCGCCCTGAAGAAGCAATTTCAGCGAGGATGGAGACAAACTGGTCCGATAGCCGCGGTTTATCGGACTGCATCCAACGGATAGCTTCACCTTCTTCGTCTTCGAAGTCATCAGATGGTTCAGAGCAAAGTGGATACTTTCCCGTTTGTCTGGTGGATCCTCAATGGAAGTCCAGAGTTTCGGTTCTTGACAAAGATTGTTGAGTCGGACACAAGTTCTGCAATAATAACGTACATACTATGGTCAGTAGTCATTAATCAATGCAAAAATTCAAGTACAAGTCAAAATTTTCGATTATCGAATTTGGAGTTACTTCATGAGATTGTAGAGATCTTTTGGAGAAAGAAGGTTAAGAATCATTAGAATAACTTCATCCGAGAGATGACCAAAGTCCCCACCGGCGGACAGGGAGTTGGTGAAAGTTGGATCTGCTGCTCCTCCGGTCGTCCGCTTTCCTTCCATTCTTCTTGAATTTCTCTATTTGCTATTACAGAAATCTAGCTTGTACCCAGCGACCGACTACCAGCAACACCACCCACACATTGGGATAAAAGACTAAATTATTGATTAAGTGCGTCTGCTTTTCGTGAAGATGCCAGCTATCACAGAGGAATGAATAGCTGGAAGCTTATTAACCAGTATGCTTATCAACTGATACCAGTACTGAGCAGAAAACAGAAATTTATAACAGAAACCGAGAAAAAACCAGGTAAAACCAAGATTTCCTTTCACAGACACGAGCAGAATTTTGTTTGTAAATACGTCAACTTATTGATGTTGGGAGAAAGTTGATGTGATTTGAGAGTAACTGCGGCGAGCGAGAGGTGGTCTGACACTGGGGCAGAGTGCAAAATGCAATGCAAATTGTAGTTCTGCTGCAACAATCGAGCCCATAAATTGATTTTCATCAAAATAATTTCGACGACATTCCCGACAACTGAAATTCAAAATTCGACGACATTTCACACAAGTATTAAATATACAGGCAAGCAAGTACAGTATTCTGCAATCAAATATGCAAATTCATGAGACAATAGGGTTCAGCATTTAATTTTGTCTCCCAAGTTAACGATCCCTAGAGGGCCGAAGGGTTGGCAGGTAGTTGGCAGGTAGTAGCACATGGAGTTTTCAAAAATCGACGATTCACTACGACATGATTTTAACTCTTGTGGTTAATCTTTGTCTGAGACGTTTGAAGTGAAGTCGGCGTTGTGCGCATGGTTTATGTACAGAGAGATGATGGTTTGGTGTTGATAAAAAGTGAGGATATAAGTGCAGTGCAGTGCTGGCATTCATTCGTCGTCGTATATCAGCAGCATACGAATTCAGTCCGTCTTTAAAGCTCGACTCTTCGTTCTTTCTTCTTATTCTACGGCCAAATATTTGGTTACAATAAGAAGAGAACTTTTATAACACAGCTGCACCAACACCACGTTTGATGTTCATCATTCACCAACGACGACAAACTGCACGTACATGCAAAGATAAAGTTATTACATAGTTGAACAAAAATAAAACAAGTGATCTCGTGTTGTGGAATTTGATAACTCAATTTGGAGCTCTATAAGAAAAGATAAAGAGTCGTAAGTTCCAGCTTTTGTACAATCACTAGTTAATAACTACTTTTAATATATAAATCAAGAGTTTACACATTGCACAAAAACATAATTCTGAACAAAAATAAGTAGTCCACCAGTTTTCAGTTTTCTTATGAAAATCCAAAATTTATACATCATTATCAGATATTTTTAAGTAAATGTTATCTTACATTGTTAGCTTTTAAGTTTCAAACACAGTGTTTGAAACACTGTACCCATCGTTAAATCTATTTTTGTGTCGATTTGTTTCCGATTTTGACATCAGTAGTGACCAGAGTACTATGCAGTGAATGTTTACCAACCTTGTGACTTAGGAATTTAAGATTCTTTGTAATACATGGCATGACATTGCATAAGATGTTATTGCTCACAAAGGCAGAGATCATAATAATCATAATAATTCTCTTTGTGCAGCATAATACATATTATGCGATGGTGTTAACAGGCAGGGATGAGGAAACAGGTTGAGTTCAAGTTAAGATATTCGTCAGTATTACATGTTTTTATCAACATAGTTTATCATCATGCATTCTTTGGGTGGGTGGTTGAGAGGTTATATTGAGGTTGGATGTACCGTTTAAGTAATATTTCTTGGCTTGTAGCTGCTGCACTTTACTTTTATATGTAAATGTAAATATGCACTATGTACTTACTCCCTCGCTTTCTGCACCTCTCATGATCAAATAGATAAGCTCCGCATTGCATCGTAATAATAATAACAAGAAAAAAACCATAACCACAGCCACATTAATCTTTTCTGCTTGTGTAAGTTGGTCCAGTAAAAGAAAATAATTCGCACTACTGCAATTTTTCAGTGGTCAATTTTCGCATAATAATTTCTTTCTCTGACAGTAAAATGCTTATAACTTCGTCACGGAAGCGTTAAGAATACAATTTCGCATGTGACCATATGTTGTGTTATCTCCGCGAATTGTGCAGATGCATGAGACACGATATTACGAATTTACGAAGAATGATCCGCTCAATTCGTCATTTGTGGCAACAATTGACAATGGAAGTCCACACCTGAACTCCGCGTCCGGTCGAAAGGAAGGGTGGCAATATGTGTTGGCCAGTCTGCCCAAATTAGCAGTTTCCGTTGAAATAGCAACCCAACCAACCGCAGCAGATAACTAACGCATATTAATAATCACACAATGGTTTTATTATTATGCATGCAAATGTGCAATACACACACATGCATACAAATATTTGACCATACAAAGTTTGCAAATCATTGTTATATAAACTGAAATTAAACCACCGTTCATTTCATTAGTGAATTTAGATTTGAACCATAAGTCTGCGTGCATATAAAAAATTGGGTTCAATCGGGTTAAAGAGTATTAATGTGCATATATGCATGTACTTGTATAATTCATCGTCGTTTTCATCAAGTTCAACAAGTGTTGTAGTGTACTTCTTGATATAATAATTTGCATACATATATATTGGCACACATTGCACATATATTGAAATATATATTATATATTTCATATTGTTTTATTATTCTCCCCAGTGTTAATCCATTCCATATAAAAATAATATCAAATCAAATCCTAGGGTCCAATTTAGTTGGAAATCCTCGATCTTGTAGTCAATTTGATCACGATATTTTATGATGTTATATATAATTACAAATCGACGGAGGACTTATAGTTACAGATAATTTCACTTTAAAGATAGCATAACTCGTCGAATAACCATGTCAGATCGTTTCAGATACTGGCCACTGGGTCATATTTTCTTCTGCCCAAAACAAGACTGGGCCAGGGAGATAAGTAATGTGATATTTGGTACTATTTATAGCCCTGTTCCTCTTGCTAGTACATTTATATTTGCATAATATCCCGATCTCGACAAATATTTGATTTCCCTAAAACCATTCGTAGAATGACATGATGGCCCAGCGAGTAATAATAAGAAGTATTAGTAGCAAATGTCATGCTGGTCGCAGAAGTTATTTAGTTGGTGGTGTAACATATTATGTAGTTTTGTGATAAGAGCTTATCATATCAATGAAATATGTGGGTCGACCGGAAAGCTTTCTCACTCGCTCTCTCGATTTACGCAATATTCAATCTAATCGTTTAACAAAAAAAAGTAATCGCTTCCTGACTTTCAGTTCCGAGTTTACCGATCTGATCTCCATCTCCCCCGCAGCTACGGAAGGAAGGAAAAGAACTGGAAAGGTGTCGATTCAGGATATAAGTACAAGTGCCATCGAATAACAAAATAAAATTCGCCACCACGTCAAAACGCACACGCCAGAGAAGAAAATGTGACTCTGTAAAATAACAGTGACATTCGTAGCTTCCGTTTCTTGAAGAACGCCGATGAGTTGTTCGTTTAACTCTGCGTTGGCGCTGCAAAATTGTTTTGGAGGTGTTGTTTGAATAAAAAGTGATCTCGGAAACATTGTGGAAGAAGAGAGGGGGAGAAGAACGACGTCGGCAATGGGCCAGTTGGACGGTGATGGGCGGAGTAAGGAAGACGTAACGTCAGGGTCTGGACCCTCCGTAGGATCTCCCACGTCAGATCCTGTCAAATATGGGGAACTCGTCGTTCTCGGGTACGTGAGCTGATTTTGATTTTGCTAATTATTATGCAGTTTCAGTTTAGGTTATTTTTCTGTTTAAAGCAATTTAAACACTTAATGGTGATCATCTCATCAGTTTTTGCTGCGCTAGACTTTTCATGAACCACTGAAATCACCGCTAAAAGTGATTGCGGATTAAATACTGTAAAAATATCGATGTATATAATGTATGGTTGGTGACTAGCAAAACTGTGGAGTCTGTTGCTAGCTGAACAACGTGATGAGTCAACACGATTTTGGGTTCATATTTATTTTTCATACGCTGTTTTTTACGTGCCAGTATAACGTCCTTTGTTTGCTCTCCGTCAAAATGTGCCTTTTACCACCACCACCAATTCGCTAATGTTATGCAAAACACGGCTGGGTGAGAGTATGATTTTACATGAACAACAACAGCAAGTAGTAGCGTCACTCTTTTCCTATTCGCCCTCTGTTTTCCTGTTCATCAATTCCATCCCATTATGATTATTCTTCGTTCCTCGTTCGTGAGCAGTGATACTAATTCACAGGTCAAAGTCACCGCAATGTACCACTCTGCGCAAGCATTGTAAATGCAATTACACAAATCACCATGTTGTTGAACCTGCAAGTGGTTGTACATGGGCCCAAGAGTTATGCTCATTCGTCCGGATATGTAGCAGTGAAACTCCGTGCCACATATTTATGCACAATTCGTACATATTTGGGGGCATAGAAATTTCAAATTTCATCTCATTATTTTTGATGGTGCTTCATGCATGGCGAAAAGTGTCAGACTTTATTGGAGAGGTGTACGTTGCATGCAAGGCGACAAAAAGTTCTTTGAGAAATTGCTTATTTGTTCCGTTGTTGGGTGTCCCGCATATCAAAAGTGTGACACTACACAAATTGCGAAAAGCCTTTAGCCAGTCAGTCAATCTAGAGTTATTTGGCAAAGTGAAAGCTTGTCTCTGTGGTGAAAGAAATATAAGAGGAGGAGGACGTGACTGGAGAACTTTTCTTCGTTTCTTGGGAATTTGAGAACTCGAGCTCACAGTAGCAAGTATCCGAGAGGTGTGATTATTTGCGGAGTGTAGTTGTCTAAAAGTTCTCCGACTGACATTTTAATGGATTGATGAGACAAGTTGACAACTAATGGTGTACATTACCAACCAACCAACACTTCTTGCTGCTCAATAAATACGATGATGAGGACGACAGGAGATGGAAACTTGAACACGTTTTGCCTGCTCTCTGAGATGATATACTTTACATCATCGAGATCCCGTGTCTCATGTATTGCTGAGCTGTTTAATACGTTCAATCCCTTCTCTTCCTTTGTAAACCCATTTCTCCTCTCAAACAAGTGTTCGAGAAGGACGTGGCGATGACACTTTTCAGAAGCTGTCCTCAAAAGAAAGATCACAAAAGCCAATGCAATGCGTACTCGATCGATCTCCTTTTTTACACTCTTTGTACTTTTTGAGAATTCCTGGTGTCGGATTTGATCGTCTGCTTTGAGCAGAAATTCGGAAATCAACTCTGAAAAAATAAAATAATGCACACAACAGATTGTTGTACATGTACTTATTTTATTAAAACTTGATAAGTGGACATTTGTTGTAATTAGGGAGGTTGGCTTGTAGAAATAATGCGAGTAGATCATTGGGAGCAGGTGACCTCTTCGGGGAAGGCGCATGTGAGTAGTTCTGGGTGGAAGAGGAGTGGGGGTGGACACCTGAAGACGTTGAGCACCTCGGACCGACACATGATGTAGAGGGAGCAGTCGTGAGGGTGGGGATAGCTCGCATCAGGCTTCCCCACGCAGGTGAGGTCACAGTCGACCACGTCGGGAAAGTCGCACGCCTTCTTCACAGGATCAAAGAGGAGCGGAGGCGGACAACTAAACACCAACAGCTCTCCATCGTGACAACCAATGTACATCGCACAGTCCGTTGGGTGTGGATAAAGTCCTAAAGAAGTTCAATGGATTTTTCAAATTGCGAAAGGAGAATGACATAATTCAGTGCAATATTTTGTAGCATTTTGCATACCATTTGGACGATCCGTGCATGAGAAGAGGTCAGGGTTCAAGGTGGTGGTACTGATTGGAACTGTAGTTGTAGGAGCTACTGAAGTGGTCATGGTGGTTAGAGTTGTTGTTGTGAGGGTTGTGGGCGTACTAGTGGTAGAGGGTTGACCTCCGGTCGTTGTGGTAGGAGGCAGAGTCGATGGACTCAATGGGGTGAGGTCAATGTAGAAAATGTCGTCGTGAGTGACCGTCCCATTCACAGTGTAGTTGAACGACTGGCCTCCAAAGAAATAAATCCTGTTCAAAGTGTTGACATAGACCGCGGCTGGCGCGAGGGTGAAGTAGCTGAGTCCCTCCACGGGAAGATTTCTCACAGGCAAAAACCGATTTTCGAAAGTGACAGTGTCAAACTGGATGATGCCTCCGGTCGGGGTCAAAACATTGTTGTCGTCGTCTTCATCACTCTCCACATTGGGGAGGTAGCCTCCGATAATGTATGCAAACTTGTCCCCATCAAAGACGGACGAAGGCCAGTAGATGAACTGAGGCAGGGTTGGTGGTCCCACGGACATCATTCGCAGAGTTACCAGATCCAACTCGATCGCTTGCTTCTGTTCCAGGGTGGAACTGTCGTCAAAAATGTACATTTTGAGGTCATTCCCACGAACAGAGGTTCCTTGGTTGATAGCGAACGGGAGGGTGGAGACGTTTGCGTATGTGAGGAGTTCGAGGTCGAAGGCGAGCAAACCGTCGCCAAAATCATCACCGCCCAAGATGTAAACCGTGTTGTTGTTGTCCAATATCTTGACGGAGGTGCTGTCTTCCACGTTGTAAGGGAGCGAAGCCGCCACCGTGCTCCGATTGGTTACGGGGTCAAACTTGAACACAAAGTGATGACCATCCCCACCTCCAATGTAGTACATGTTTCCGAAAGCGTCGGACTGTATCGTGCCTCGCCTCCCGTTTCCTGGCAGGACGCCCACCGATTGCAACGTGGACGTAGAGACGGAGAGGGACAAGATCTGGTTTTGAGACACTCCATCCGCTCCTGATCCCCCCAAGAGGTAAATAAGGTCATCCCCGTTAAATACGCCTCGTGGGCATCGATTGGGGAAAGGGAGCTTGGCATCCAAGTATTCTGCAGTCAGCAGCTGACCCTTTGACAATTGTGACAAGATCAGGATGAAGGAAATTAGAGTGACGACACGCGAACATAAAAATAATATCGAAGTCATTCTGTACACCTTATTAATAGCAGTAGTTTGTGTTGAGGAAGTTAATCTACGCAACGACAAGTTATAATTATGAATGTTCATTTTTGCAGACCTACATATTTAGTGCTGATCTAACTCGAGTGAGATTATGAATTATCCTACGTGGAGATAATAAGTAATCATTGTCACCATTCTCAGCATCCGGGCTGATTGCTTTATCAATTCGATTGTATAGAATTAATAAGTAGTTTCCTTTGTCACGTTTGACGCTGATTGATTTGGTCCAGTTGGTTTATACGATTGCATCATAATCAAACCAGTCGTGAAAATTAATCAAAGTTGAGATGAAGAATTACGCATCTCCGTCGGTATGAATTTCTCCCGATACTCGGTTACATTCCGTGTTTAGAAAAGACTTACATTTTTTCCTAACCCAGCATATTCATCTTTTATACAATGTACTTACGTACCTACATTGTAAATATGCACAAACGAGAGCGATGGGATAGGATCAGGCTCTTTTGTAAACTTTCTCCACCTGCACGACGCAGATTCCCCTCGTTTCTTTTACATCAAAGGAAACTGGGCATCTTGCTTTCTCCCACTGAAAACCCACGTAAGAGAGACAGTAGAGGAGATTATATTCCCTGAAAACCAATGAAAACTCGTTCGGTAAAAAGGGCTTTAGATTTAACAACCTGGATGGTTTCCGTAAAAAGGAGAAGGACGCGGGCGAATAAGTCTAGACCGTCGAATCGTGCTTGTAATTTCTCTAATGGTTTCTTCCTCCTCTTAAAACTAAAAAGATTGCATGTGTGGGGTGCATTTTTAGAAGAAAAAAAAAACAACAAATACCCGCACACACATTCGTTCTCGCACCCTCTCCATTGTTGTGGATACATCTTCTGCTCGAGATTTATTGTCTGACGGTCTCGTTTTTTGCTCCCCTTGTTTCTGTGATGCGTGTGTGTACATGGTCTGGATACTACTTGGGTTTGACAGGTAGAGAGAAGAGACGGTACATCACCTGTCATTATGACTCTTACTTAATGTCCTGCATCGATGGACGACCAGACGAATTGATTCTAAACATCCTCACTTTTTGATGGAGAATTATCGAAATTGTCCAAATCAAGCGTATACAAGATCGTTCTCGTGTCAATTTGATGACGTAAATTAATGTAGTTTCGTATTTATCGGGCATACGTCTCGTCGTGTCGTGTCTTCCCAAAAGAGAGTGAAATTGGCAAACTAACAACAACTCGTTCACTCGCTCTAGCTATAAAATTTCCCGTTCATTAATTCCCCAAGTTTCCGGAATGAATGGTTACATAGTTTGCAGTGCGAGTTTGTGTGTGGCGAATGTTTCGGATCGGAGAAGGCTTATTTTGGTCGCACACACATTCACACACACGCACGTGCACATTACTCTTGTATTCTCGGAGATAAAAGGTCTTTGGCCCACTCGTCTCTTCATTTCATGAGAATTTTATGGGAAGGCTTTTAACTTTGTCGTGGCGAATGTAAACACAATCTAAATACTGCACTCTCGTCCACGTAGCACGCGTAAACGGCTGATCAGGGAGCAATCAACGCGACGACGACTTAATTATGTGAAGCACTTCCCCCGAGAATAATTATTGGCATACTTCATAAAAATGGGTGTCATAAGAATGCCAAGGCAGGTGTGGTGGTGAGATAAACAATGAAACAAAATTGTGCAAAAACTGTGGTTCTGCATCTTTTATACAGACTCGAAGTTTGATTATCAATCTGCAAACAGTGATTGTTTAATATTTACATTTAGAGAAATGTTGACTTGTCCCACTTTTGGCCAACTCGGGTATATGTGCCTATTATCCGTCATCCTCTTACTACTCCTCCTTCCTACTTTTTGTCTCAAATTTTGCACCATTTTGCTCGCCTCATTTGTAAATATACATGCATGTGCATAGCTATGCAACAGAAATTGAGGCAGAACTAACTGAATTGTGACATAACGAGAGTTGAGACAAATGCGCAAATTCTGCACGATTGTTTAAAATCAAGACTTACTTTTGGTCTGTGAATGAAAGAAGGAAACTGTCGGATTGTGTAAAATCAGGCCCGTCCGTGTTAGTTAATATATATACAAATGTGCCTCTCGTAAATGCGGTGTAGGTAATTAGCAACCAATTTGCGGTTGGTTCTTCTACTACATGAGGCGGATACAACACAATTACATATAACTCGCTCAAGTTGAATAGACAATCGTCTTTTGTGCCAAAGTGGTGTGCAACTCATTCTTCGCAATGCGATCAAATCTCTTGCAGGAGTAACATTGCTTCTTGGCAAAATCCAATCTCTTCTTATGTGAGAAAATCATAATCACGATGCATTATTACGTCCCCTTCTGAAGGATTCGATAGTCATGTCTTAAGTCTCTGCTTATTTGCACGGCTTGGTTTTACTCACAACTTCCACATCTACAAATATGTAGCTCGGTCAATTGATTTCATTTCTATTGCAATGTGCACAGAGAATTCTTTGTTTGTAAAGGATTCGATTTCATTAAAAAAACTTTCTGTGAATTCTGATGAGGATAGTTTTCTCTCGAAATTATTTTCAGCTTCATTTTGGTACGCTGGGAAGGCAGGGTTTGAAAGTCATCAGCACATTTATTTATTAAGGGTCAAACTCACTGATGATGTCTAAAGTTCTAATTTCAAAGAGCGTTTTGATGACGGCGGGATGTGGAGATTTATGCATGCGCGATTAGGTATCAGGTGAAATTTTTAGTTTTTTCCCGTCTGTTGTTCACACTGGAAGAAATTGATGCAATTTGACACAATAATTTTAGTCATCTTAAAACCAACTTCTCGGGTTGGCCGTGTTCACCTTATCTTTAGTTCTTAGATCACCACATTCATTGAGGCATAACGAAAAGAAATTGGTTTTCTTACGGACCGTGACATGAAGTAAGTATGCGAACGACACCGTACTCACGTCAAAGTTCAAAGTAACTGATCCGCGAGGAATTAGAGCGTGCAATCCAATGTAAAACTGATGCCTTCTTCACAAAAAAAATCAAAGTGTGCCTTTCTTAAAATGATATTCGATCAGAACTTGAAATCTATTTCAAGCATTGCAAACTTAAATCGCAACGTATGGGCGGAATTGTTTTTCTCTATTGTCAACCTTTTCTGGTCGCAGGTACAATGGATTCCTACCTCAAGGGGACAAAGGTCGTCGGAGATCAAAGTTCCCTTTCTTCCGAAGAGAGAAGCCGACGGGGATCAAACGGTCGAGACACTACGTGGTCGACACGCCACAACATTCCAAGGCCGTGCTAGACGCTCAGGTAACAAATAATCTTTCTGGATATATAATTTAAACAAAAGGAATTCATTTATTTATTAATATAACAAAAACCGGAAACAACATCACATATTTAAACAAGTACTCTTAAATCCAAGTAATAACAACCTTCCCATAGACTTTCTTCTGGACACCCACCTTCTTCATCTTATCAACATCTAAAACCTGTCTCTCTTTCTTCCCAACCATCTCAGTCTTGTAGATGGGAACCATATACTTAACATTCGTCGGAACAGTTTGTAATTTATCTTTCTTTACAATAATCTCTTTACCCGTCATCATCACAACAAGATCATTAAAAATAGCACCGTCCCAACCATTATCAAAGTGAGTGAACTTCTCGGCGAGATTGTAAACATTGTTCCCATGCACCGACTTCATCCCCATCATTTGAGCGACGAGAACACTTTGGTGACCCAAGGTCTCAACTTCCAGTGATTTTTTCAAAATTTCTTCTTTTGTGGATGTGGTGGGGTTGGATTGAAACACGTCATAGATGTTCTTGGGGTCAACTCCCTCCATCGTGGTAATTTGTGTGGCATGACCTCGGGATGATTTCAGGACTGAATTGCGGAGAACTGCGTGATCCTCACCAAACCGAAAACCACCCTCTTGGTTGTCACCCACGTAGACAAATGGAAAAGTGTTGTTGAAGTTGGTGGGAAGGTGGGGAGAATGTTCGAAATTAAGTGAGTTGTTGTTTTCCCCGATTTTAAACCCCATGTTGTTTAACTCCAAGCCTTTCTTGAGCTCAGCCAGGTTCCCTGCTTTTGTGGTGATGTCACAGTTTATGAAATGGATCTGCTCTGCTGGTTCTGTAGTGACAGAGTTGTGTAGTGACACCATCAGAGACATTTGAATCTGGTGGGAGGTGAAAAAACTGTTATACTTATATTATTAACTGCAATGATTTTTTAAAACTAATGCCACATACTTGTAAACTCTGAAACATTGCTACACTCTCCTCGGAAAGATATTCCAAACGTTTCTCTATTACGAACCAAGCTGTTGGGGAGTTAGTGACATATTTTTGGATACTCGTCCGTTTGTACACTGGTCCCCACAAAATGGTATTGATTTGGAGATCATCAAATTTACCCTTTCTCACTGGTGGGAAAACAATCGCTATATTAACTTTTTCTAAATTTGTTACGTCCCTAATTAGAAGAATCTCCCTCTTGACAATTGCATGCTTGCGACAGAACACATCCAGCTAGTAATATTATAATAATAATTAGGCATTTAACAAAAATTATAGGCATCGATATATTTAAATTAAATTACCATTTTTTGATCACCGCAATTTTCTGATTTACATTTGGAACCTGAAAGGTCCTTCCAGTTAAATTTCTCCCCCTCCTTCTTGACTTTGTAGAACAATCTTCCCCCATCAAACTTTACCCCCACTTGTTGATTGTCATGAATGATGGTGAAACCGGGAGGACAAGCAGCTTTCCACGCGTCGCTCTTCCCATACTTTTTGAAATGTGTACTCCACACCGTCATCAGATCCTTGTATTGGGAGGTTGACTCCATCGTGGAGTAGTTGAACTCTACCAAGGGATGTGTCGTCTGGAGGTAATTAAAAATCGCCATTCGTACTGTGAAGAGAGGAGATTCTGTCTTTCTGCTCGGCATGGGGAAAGTACTAGACGAGGATGGGGTGGGTGGACCTACAATTGAAATTATTTCTCCATAAATAATTGAATTATTGCATAATCAGACGAGGATGAGGAAAACAACCATTACCCTCACTGTACAAATTTTCAAATTCTTCCTGCGAGTTGATGAATCCGACCACATCATTATCACTCAATGTGACCCTGCTCCTCCAGTCGACTGAAGTATCTCTTTTTGGTGGTGCGACCTTGAGTTCGAAAGAACTCTTTTTTTTCTTCTCGGGGGGTTGTTCGGCGGGTGAAGGAGGAGGAGTGTCTATCCCGGCAGAAATAGTGGGGGTGGAGGTTGACTGAGTAGGGGTGGCGCTTAGCCGCACGACGAAACGATCCATTTTTAAAAAATTTTAAAATTTTAAAAAGTCATTTAACAAAAGACTTTTTTATTAAGAGAAAAAATACAACTAAATGATGCTGAAGAAGGAGAGAAAATGAAAATGTTGAATTTGAATGAGGTGGAAGAGAAAGTAGGAAGTGCCAAGTTGCCCCTTGGTAAGACATAAGACATAAGGCGAGATACATTTATTTATTTATTTGTCCAGGTCCACTCCATCTCGTATACGCTCTCGAGAAATCAGGCCGTCGTCGTTGAGTACGTTCCAGACGAGGACACGGACATGTTTCAGGTAAGAATAGACAACAATCGTCATTCCCTCAAGGTGTGGAAAACAGGGCGTGTTGTTGTGCATTTAAGTAGTTGAGTAAAGCAATGGCACCCACGACGATAATCTGTATTCACGCTTCGACATTTAAATTTTTGCGATGTGTGATGTTAAGCACTTTCATGTGCAACAGTTGTGTTTTATTTAATGATGGCTCGTCACTATTTTACCTCTGATGATGACTCGCCCTCACTCAGTACAACAAGTCTGATAACGTCGTACAAATGTAAAAATTAGAGCTGTCAATTTGTGTATGACATTTTAATTGGAATACAAGAAGAACCCACGATTAACTGACATCGTTTCTATGGGGTGGTGCCCCATACGGTTGCGACAAATGGATTATTTTTTAGAAAATTTTCATTTTTTAAATCGTTGGGGCAAAAGTCCTTTGGTTTGCCCCAACGACTTTAACCATGAATAACTTTTGAATAGGCAGACAAAGAGACTTAATTCCTGAGGATGAAATCATCCTAATTTTTAGCTTGATTTTTTAAGCTAAAAATCTCGAGTGTACTATTTCGAAAATTAAAATGTTTATTTTGAAGAATATCTCCAAAATATACGTTTTTCAGGAATTTCGAAGCCAATTCTTATCTCACAAAATTTTATAATATACCAAACTGATCGTATTATCTAGACCGATCGATTGACACCCCACTGGAGGGTGTGAGATCACTTGGTCCGGATTTGACCTAGGGGGTCATCTCAATCCTCCAACTTAGCAACGGTCCACTCACACCATTTTGTCAGTACATAATAATTAAAATTTAATTTCTTCAAAAATGAAAATTTGTGTTGAAAACAATTCATTTGTCGCAACATGTATAGAATGATAAAGTGTCAAATAATATTGAGAAGAACCCCAGACCATTTCATTTCATTAAGACGGGAAAATTAGCGTGTGCATTTCCAAAGTTACAGACTGAAAGCATTTGAATTCGTAAAGGTTGTTTTTGCCGACATCGTGGTTTTGAATATCAAGGAGCACAATCTAAGACGAACGGGCCAATGCGTAACGTTGCCATCGGCATAATAAATGCAAATGCATCGAAACAACAGCAACATACTATTTGACGAATGTGGGTCGCTCGCAGTCATTGTTCATTCAATTGTAGTTAGTTAGTGACATATTGTGACTCTTTTTTAGTCTGCTCTGCTGCATGCGTTTGCCTAACAGGTCTCAATTCAATCACTGTGTGCACATTTTTACTCGTCAGAGATAACTTTAGAACATGTTTGGATGTTAACGAGGAGATTTATGTTCTTCAGATGCAATGCCGTTTTTTTATAATATTCTATTTCCTCTAGATTGGCCGATCTTCCGAGATGCCGATTGACTTTGTGGTGATGGACACTGTTCCGGGAGACAAGTCTGGGAGTGTGGACAAAACCATGCAGTCCACCATTTCCAGATTTGCGTGTCGTATTCTCGTGGACAGGTACATTATGCAAATACGCCCATGTTATCAAAATTTACTTTATTTGTGCACTTTCTCTCGCACGGGTGGTAAATTTATTGTTCTCTAACCTAACTGTGATGGTTAAAGAACGTGAGATACTTACTTGTGGTAAATACATGTGCAAATTTCCTGACATGCATTTTATTACAGAAAGCCACCCCATGCCACTCGCTTGTTCGCAGCTGGGTTCGACTCATCTAGAAACATCTTTTTAGGGGTAAGTCCACACTTTTACTCGGAGCATAACACGCGTTGTTGAGGAAGATTCCAGCCAACCAAGACCGAACATTGTCAAAATTCGGAAAGCTTTCAGAGGACCCATTTTGCTAATCCGATTATTTTATTAGAGAGGGAAACAGAACTAAATAGGTATTCGCATCATCATAATGTCACAGAGTTGCTTATGAACGTGCAGAGAAGCACTTTAAATACTCGGACAATACTACGAGAGAGTAAATGGAGGGAAAGTTATGGAAGCACAGAGTTTGTTTGTGCTGGTAGAGTTTTTGAGATGGAGGGAGAAGAAAAATGACCAATTTCCCAAGTGATGCTGCTCTAGGATGCCGAAGATGATGAGGATGTAAGTGGTGGTGTAGGTTTTGGTGGATGTGGCAGTGATTTAGACTTTGAAACGAGGCCATCATCGATCGAACACTTGTCTCGCACATCCACCATCCGGCCTTGTGCTATTCCTACGGATTCATGACCCAAATCGTCTCTCTCCCTCACCAAACGGCTGCTCTCTCTTTCTCCCTGCTTTCCCCACGTACGTTCGTAAGCCACGCAGGCAGCAGTGGCGACGACGGCCTTCTTCCTTCCGCTCTTCCATCAGCCCATTCCGTCCCTGTGTGTGTGACCCCTCAGTCACTGCGAGCAATACATATTTACTCACTCACTACTGACTGAGCATGATTTCCTCCAAAGAGGAACGAGCCAACGAACGAGCGTTTCTGGTCTTTTTATTCAAGTGGAAACCTAACCTGGTTTTATTTCTTTTCTATTACGTGTGTGCATCATGTACTCGCTCGGGATCCGTAATGTTCTCCCACCCATCCCATTGTCTCACTCAAAAGAGAACAACTCTCCGACCGAGCTTCCTTTCATGTAATGAGATTTGAGAGAGGAGAGGAAAGCAGGTGGTGGTGGTGGTGACCATTCTGGTTTATGTTGGGCTAAGGCCAGGCTTTGTCTGTTCTCAATTGCAAATTCCACTCCACTTTCTCTTCACGGCCTCCTCTTGTGCATGTATGGTAGAGGTGAGCTGGATCGTCATGTTTTGAGATCCAATCCGTCCAAATCCATTTCACCCAACAAATTTCGGATCCAATCCATCCAAATCCATTTGGCCCAAAAAATTTCAGATCCAATCCATCCAAATCCATTTGGCCCAAACAATTTCAGATCCAATCCATCCGAATCCATTTGGCCCAAAAAATTTCAGATCCAATCCATCCAAATCCATTTGGCCCAAAAAATTTCAGATCCAATTCATCCAAATCCAGTTGGATCGGATCAGGGCATGGATTATCCAAAGAATTATATATATGTAAACTCATCGTTAGTGTTCGGGATAAATCTGAGTGGACTGTATATGTGTCACAGTGTGTGCCATGCAACAAAACTATGGCTCAGTTACTGTTAGGATGAGATCGGAGTGTTAAAAAGAACACTTCCTGATATTCTTTATGGTGACGAAATTTATCCAATTCGACCAAATCCAATCCACCCAGATCCTATTCATCCAAATCCATTTCACCCAAAAAATTTGAGATCCAATCCATCCAAATCCAATTCACCCTAAATTTTTCAGATCCAATCCATCCAGATCCATTTGACCCAAAAAATTTCAGATCCAATCCATCCAAATCCATTTGGCCCAAAATATTTCAGATCCAATCCATCCAAATCCAGTTGGATTGGATCGGGCCATGCATTATCCAAAAAATGGATATCCAGCTCACCTCTAATGTATGGGCTCGTGCATTTGAATGCAAATGGCTTTCGTGTGGTTTGGCCCGGAGGAGAAAGTTATTCTTCGGAAGGAAGAGGTAAATTGCGGATGCGAATCACATTCATTTCAAGGCGAGTCGTGAATGCACACAGAGCAACTTTATGACAGGTGTTTTGTTTTGAGAGATGTGGATTATGTACATTCAGTCAGCCGCACTTTCTTTACTCCTCCGTCCGTCCGTAGGCATAACACAGGAATACGATTTGTCTTCAAGCTTTACAGTTTAAAAGTTTTAGCCATTACATAGTTTTACAAGGAGGAGAGAGCTACAAGAAATGGTAGATTGAAACTTGGCCGTTCCGTTCCATGATTATCGGACTGACGGCGACAGGGTTGTCATAAATAATCAATGAGTCCAGTGACACATGTGCTCGCATTTGCAATGTCTCGATGTGGTTTACGACGAATGTGACGTAACGTACGTATGTATGCAAGTGTATTTTCGAATGAAGGAATGTACACAAATAGTTATTAAGCATAGCTGGTCGGCCATACTTCTCATCTCGTTCACCTTTCTGCTTCAACAGAAATATGAGGACTGTGGGTGAAGTCGTAAAGTGAAATGACACTGGCTGGCTCTTTTCAGCGTCAAACAAAGAGGAGAAATAAATGTCATCCACGTGACTAGAGAGAGATCTCTCTGCTGGTTGTGTGACAGTTGATTATCAGCTACGTACGAGGACTGCATGTCTGACTGGCCTTTTGTTTCCCCCTGGGACTTAATTTGTACTTTTGGCTATTTGTAGACAGACACGCGTCGGAGGAAAAGCCGCCTCTCTCCCTCTCTCACAACACCTCCTCAAATGGGGGGTGGGGGTTGCTGGAGACTCTGATTTATCGCCTACTTTATGACTTCCCACCATTTCACCTCATGAATTATTTACTCCCACTCCCCAATCTTTCATGGTCTTCAAAACGTCCATTTGCTCAACTTTAGGGCAGGAAAGTCAATTTATTAAACAATTCCACAACAGTCAAGGCAAATCTAAATTAGGTTCCCCACATGCTTACATTTTGTACTAAATATAATCAGTTAGCGTTATTACTAGAGCTGAAATTGTGCTAAGGAGCAGCGCTGCTGCAGCCCGATGTCGATGCGGTGACCATGCTCAGCAGATGGTCTGCTTTCACATGTCGTTCCCTTGCCGCCTTAATCTTCAAGTTGTGAAAATAGCCGAGTGCGTTTGCCCACCCACCACTGTTGGCGACAATGACGATGAGGGTGACCGTGACTGGGTCAATCACGCCAAAAATACTTTCCACGACGAGGAAGCAGTAGACGATGGCCAAGGGGCAGTAGAGCGTGAGTGCGATGATCATGAAGGTAGTGAGACATTCGGAAGCGGTGGAGTGACGGTCAGGCGTCGAACGCACATTTTTGTGCGGTACTTTCTTCCGCATGACGAGTCGCTGTTGCTCTACGACCCTTTTAATTTGTCTGTAGCCCAGGGTGGTGCAAAGGGCTTGGGCTGAGGATGATGAGGTCACGTAGAATCCAAGCGCTATTCCACCTCCGGTACGCACATCTTGCAGCATCCTGGACATAGGTGGTTTCAATCCAAGATTTTAATTATTTTAAGTTTCTAACCCGATCCGCTTTCTAAAATGGAACAATAAAAGTACCAATATCCAGACGGCCCAAAGGCGCTCAATGGATAAAAGACTGCAATGGAAGCAGCGATGAGGGTGCCACACACGACATGCAATTTCCATTCTGCTTTCCCCAAATTGATGTCTACTCCTCGGACGACACGAATGTATGTGTAGATTGCTAGACCAGCGTGCATCAACTGTTGATAACTGTAGCGTGTGTAGTAGGAGAACAGAATGACAAGTGCTTGGCGTAAATAAATAATGAACTCTCAACATTCCAAAATGTGCAATGTGTAAGAGTAACTTGCCCGAGAAAAGTCCAGATATTAATGGACAAAAGGATAGACACGATCTGGCTGGATGGATAGCGATGTGTCGTTACCAGGTAAAAGTGGTCAATCAGGTGAGAAATGCTCCACAGGGCATCCGCCACAGCCAAGTAGAAGGGAAATCGGTCGGCAAAGTCCATCCGGCTCCGTTTCCCCCCCTCATTCTGATGCCACACTCCGCATAAAATGGAAACGATCACGACGGTGCACGAGGTCAACGAGGTTACAATTAGGCTCATGGCCAAAATATGGATAGTGTAAAAGGCCATATAATTTTCACCCAGCACGCTCGATCCTCCCAACTCAATTTCAGAAACATTGAAGAACCACTTGTGCTCTGACATTTTGTACTTGATTGATGACTTTTATTAGTATTTTTATTAGTATTTTTTATTAGTATTAGTTATTAGTATTAGTGTTATTAGTATTAGTATTTAGTACTGATTTTTATTAGTATTTATGAGAACAGAAAGTGGTGAATGTATGCATAGGATGAACTAGCACGGGACAATTCCAAGAAATATGGCAGTGTAAGTAGGTCTGAGGTTTGAGGTTCGTCACATATCGCGGTATGGGCTTGTTGGTGGTTACCAATACTAACTTTCCTTAAATTTTGTGTCGAGTTTGGAACCGTGACGCATTTCTTGTGCTCATGCTATGCAATACTTGGAAACAATAAATTAAATCGATTGAGCTAAAAAAACAGCGTGTTTTATTGGTTTCGACTCTGTCCATTTTTTAAAAGTTTGTGTGGTTTAACTGGAGACGGACAACCTTGAGCTGCTCTCCCCATTGGACGTGGTGGCCGTGACCATCGTCAATTTCTCCGCTTTCACCCTCCTTTCTCTGGCCGCCTTTATCCTCAAATTGTGAAAGTAGCCGAGTGCATTTACCCACCCGCTGCTGTTGGCTGCTATCACGGTGAGGGTCACAGTGATGGGTTCAATCACTCCAAACATGGTTTCCACTGCGAAGGCAAAGTTCAGGATTGGAAGCGGACAGTAGAGAAAGACGGAAATTGCCACAAATGTGGTCAAGCATTCTGATGCCGTGGAATTGCGGTCGCTCTTCTTGTTGACCATTTTGCGTCGCTCTTTGAGCACCTGCTTTTGGCGCTCCACAATCCCTTTAATTTGCAGGTACGCTATTGTAGTCCCCAGAGCGTGAGCTGCGCCCGCCACGGCGATATAAAATCCAAAGACCGATCCAGCGGTGGCGTTGATGTTTAAGAAAACCCTAAGGTTCAAGAAATCACGTAGTATTCACTTGGACAAAAATAGATCGGCAATGGTACCAGTATCCAGACAAGCCGTATGCGTCCAGAGGGAAGAATATGGCAATGGGGATGATGATGAGGACAGCACTAGTTGCATGCAATTTCCACTCTGCCGTCCCCAGGTTGATGTCCACTCCTCGCACGATGCGTAGGTATGTGTAGATGGCAAGTCCAACGTGCATCAACTGTTGGTAACTGGAGAGAGAGAGAGAGGAGAAAGTTCATCAGATATTCATTATGAGAGATGTGATGAATTACGCTCCAAATATCCAGACATTGAGGCTGAACAGGTTAGTGGCAGCCTGGGTGTAGGGGAAGTGCTGTGTTGTGACCAAATAAACGTGGTCAGCCAGATGAGAAATGCCCCAGAGACCATCTCCCAAGGCAATGTAGAAGGGAAAGCGATCCGCAAAGTCCATCCGGCTTCGTTTTCTCATCTGATCATGACACCTCGCTTTCCAAATGCCCCACAGAATGGAGGATATCACAGCCACACACGAGATCACGGAGGTTATGAGAACACACATGGCGACGACGTGGATGATATAAAAGGCCACATAATTTTCACCCAAGACGCTCGATCCTCCCATCTTTATTTCTGAAGTGTTTAGAAACCACCCGAATTCTGAATGGGACTTCATTATAATTCTAAATGACTAAAATTGTGTGAGGTAGTTCAACTAATGATGGTATGCGACTGACTGAACTGACTGCTGTTGACATTTTATAATACAGGTTTAATACATAGTTTTTTAACCATTCATTCTAAAATAGGACTAGACGTACACAACTTGTGGTGCTTATAATTTACGGTTGAATTGCAAAATTTTCCTCCAAGTTATTGGTTATTAGTCAACAAGGCAGGAATTTTCGGTTTCATGCAATGCACATTTAGAGACCGCATACTCGATATATTTATTTGCATATCTATGTATCGTATCGTACGCAATCTGGTGTTCGTCGGAATTTTGTGGTCGTGTCTTAACCCCATTCGCTCACAATGCGTTACTGCTAATATGTAAGAATAAGTAATAACCTCATCTTGTGTATATTCTTGCAGGAGAAAGCTACAAAGTGGGAAGAAAACGGAGTTATTGATGGCCTTACAACGAATGGAGTAAACATTACATTCCAGTCATCCATGTTTAAACAGTGCTAAATTTGATCGTGCATTTGCAGGTCCTGTTGCTCCACGTGAAAGGCAACTTTGTGGACGGAGGGGCCAAACCACTTCCCTGGCGTGAAGTGTCCGTCAACGGAGGTCTTTACACAATGAGAGAGTCGAGATCTGCGCCTCAAAAGGGGAAAAAAATGGATATGGAGTCGTGTAAAGAAAATAAATAAAACAAAATAAGTTTGAGATATATTCAAATTGAGGCAAATAATATTATGTCTCAGGCATCCTGGAAGACGGATCTATGATTGATCTCTGCGGCGTCACGCTGCTTTGGAGGTCTGCGGAAGGACTGGAGAAGTCACCGGTAAGCAAGAAAGTTTTAGAGAAAACTGCTTCAGGATTGACAACCATTTTAAATACAATGTTGGTTTCTCTATGTCCGTAGTCACGCAGGGAACTGGAGACGCTTCTCGATCTCGTGAATGCAGGACGACCTCAATGCCCAGTAGGATTAAATACGTTGGTTGTGGGCCGGAAGACGAATTCTCTCGACAGAGAACCCTACATCTATCTCAAGTAAGAAACCAGACATTATTATTCATTACGCTTAAGATAAGTACGCGTTTTCCCCCCAATTCATAATATTTCTTTCACTTTGTTGTTTAGATGTGGACATGTGCAAGGACTTCACGAGGTATGTATTTACAAGTTTACAACACTGGATTTTATGCGCTATATTTTACCCTTATTTGAGGGACTAAATACAAAGTACTTGTAGTTTGATGTGCACCTCGTGTTATTATTTCATGGTCTATAAAATTAGGTCTTGCATTCGTTTGTGTATAATATTTTCAGTGGAATCCTGGTCAGAAGAAAGGTACTGAATCAAAGGAACGGACGTGTCCCATTTGCATGACCATTGGACCCTTCGTCGCCCTCACCATGGCTTTCGAGGTAAATTCCATCCCACACGCTAACGTGTGCGTTATTCTGGTCAAACTAATTTTAATAATTTCATTTCTAGTCTGCGTGTTACTGTGATACTGGAGCATTGACGCATGCCTTTGCCCCACAGGTTGGTTGGCACAATTTAATGGATATCGTTGTTCAATTTATTCAAAATTAGTTGAAACTATCACTGACTGCCCTTTGTTTTATATTCAGCAGGCTGTGGGGATGTTTGCATTCGTGCCTTGTGGTCATATGGTCACAGCGAAAACAGGTGACAATAGATGGACTGTTCTACATAATATGAGAGTTTACTAATCTTGTCTATTTCATATTACAGCCAACTACTGGGCAAACATACCTATCCCACATGGGACAAAGGGTAACTACAAAACATAATCCATTTAACAAAATCCATAAAATTAGAATTGATGTTAGTAAATTTCTTTGTGAATCAGGTTACCTAGCAGAATGTCCATTTTGTGCCACTCCACTCGAGGGGTCGACAGGCTTTGTCCGTTTAATCTTCCAGGACTGGATATCATAAGATAAATTTATATTGTAGAATCGACACTCTCATTGAAGAAAGAAATCAACATGAAACTTCTCGACAAGAGACTAATGCCAATTTATTTTGTGAAAGCTATTGGACTGTTGTTGTTAATGTTAATATCTTTATTACTATTGTTATCATGACAGTGTTCCATCATACTTCTTCCCCTTTTACAAAGCCAAGTGCAAGCAATCAGCATCAATGGGTGGCGAATACCATGAGTTTTCATGCGCACGATGGTGTACAGTCTTCGTTTCACACTCCTCAGTCCTTCAGTTTATTTGTGCAGCGTTTCTTATCGAGTTTACTACTACTAAATATTTAATTAATCTCGTATTTTAGATTCCGAAGCAGCCATGATTATTTAGACTTATATGCTATACTTACAAATATAGACTATATATACTTGCGGTGATCTATATTCGACTTATGTACTGTCTGCGGTATGAGCCCGCATTGTTATTATTATTCTATGACTGTGTATTATGGTTATGATGATGAACTTATATAGTTTATAAGAACATGCAGTACTTGTATTATTATGACGAAAAGCAAGGTTTCAGTTAATACGTGGAAATTTCATGGATGTTGTGAATACTACTTGTATACTTATTTATAGCGAATGTATGTAGTTTAGTAGCGAAGCATGCAGAATTTCAATAGAAGAAACACGTTCGGAATTTAGAGGATTTTGGGACTAAAGTAAATGCAAATTATGGTGAAAGTAGAAAAAATGACCCGAGTACAAAACATAACTTGACGTACATAATTTATACCATTACTTCTACAACTTGAGTTTGTTTTAAGTGTTGAAAAATACACATGGATTATGATAACGCATGTTTACAAAGATAACTTATTTCCAGAAGCATACATACAATGTCTTATGTTATAAAATTTGAGCCGTTTTCTAAATAAAAAACATTTCGTTACGCATTAAATGAGATTCTACTATTTCTACTAACAGTTACATTATTCTCTCTTCATACTAATTCCTGTAAAATAACTCTCATCACATAGAGTAAGTTCTATGCAATAATTCCATAGTATGCACCACCCTGATTTACGCAATCGTACACAGCTTTTGGGAAAGCTTGTTTGTGCTCCCGATATCAGCCCTCTTCAAGTAGAAAGTATCATTCTCGGGCTCGAAGGATGGGGCGAGTGCAAATTCGATGGAACGAAACGGAATTGGGTGGACGTCCCCACCTTTGAGTTTTTTGGAGAGCAGACGAATTTCTCCTGAAGTTCCACATAGAACGGTAGCCACAGTCCACCCACTGCCTTCCTTCGTACCATTAGAACTATCATGCAAGCCCTGAATAAGAAAACAGCTTTCAAAAGCATAATGATTAAAGAGTCAAGTAACAAATCCACTCACCATGTTCAAAAGGTATACTCGAAATTTGTATTTAAGACCGGCAGAAAGGGTGACGGGAGAGTCCAGGACCAATCTACTGCAAGACTCCCTAGTTACGCGAATCGTTGCATCCTGAACTTTGATTGTCCTGTAATTTGCCTTGGGTTTGGTTCCAACACTTTCTAACATAACGGTTTTGGCTTGCGTCAAACCAATGCCTTTTTCCGGTCTTCCGTATAGCAAGATGCTGTGCAGAGTAATTGAGCATTCTGCTCGAAGTCTGCAAGTAGTGGTAATGTATGATTAGGTTTTTCAGATATTCAAAGCTATTTATTTAAGAAGAGTACACATACTTGATTCCAATCCAACGTCCACCTGGAACATGGCCATATTTCATTGACATCTTGGGAGAAAAAAATTCCGCCGAATACATTTTACCCGTCCGTCCTGATTTACTGAATGGGAGACTCATCAGCTCTGCTGCCACCCTATTTGATACCCAAATTAAGAACAGTACTTACACAAAGTTTGAAAATAATACGACACTCACGGATCTTTCTCCAATAATTTCCAATAATACTCGAGTAATTCACAGTCTTGTCTTTCCACTAATCCTGTTGGGAGAACCTTTTCGCGAAAATAAGCTGGCTTCATGGCCGGAAATCTGATTAAGGAAGTAATGTCACCGACCAGCCCACGAAATTGTTGGAAGTTTTTAGGGTTGATTTTAGCTTTTTCGCATTCTGATTCAGCCCACCTGTAAAAGAAGAGACGGATGTATTTATTTAAGAATAGTTTGACGACAATGAATTGAGTGAGCTCACCTAATCACAGCATCAAAAACAAGGTGCTCCGATGTGATGATGGCATTCTGGCTCTTCAAAAGAGCACAAATGTTGGATTGGGTCAAACTTAAGAAGGCTCTGGACTCTATCAGCCCTGAAAATCGTCTAGAAAATCATAAAACATATATGAACATGCCGTGTACAATTCGTGGTCATACTGACACAATAATATTGGTTCATTGAATTGAAGCAACTACTTACGGGACCAAATACCCCAACGCGCAATTGTAAAACTCCTTATCATCCAGACGTTTCGCCAATTCCAAAATGTCCACTGCCGCACTTATTCCTTTCATATTGTCCTTGATGTGACCCCTAAAGTGCATGACCACTTGTTTCATCTCGAACTTGATTGCAGTCTCCAGTACTCGTACAATCAATTCCCAAGGCAAATTGGACGGAAAAGTTTTGTTGTTTACAAACTAATTGTCGGTGCAATTAAAAATATTTACATTCCATATTTTAAATAAGTAAAATGACACAACACCTTTCGACTATTACCTCGATAATGATTTCAACTGCTTCAGCATCCTCTTCTCGTAGAATGATCCATTCTGGCAAAGAAGAGTTCATTCTGCGGACAATCTTTCGAGCAAAGAATACCGATTCCGACGCCAACGTTCGTTTGTTACATGAGAGAGTCTTGGTTTCTTGGCCAGTTCGACCGACCATCAGCTTAACGAGGCCTTTCGGTTCTCCTCCAGACCCCAGAGTTGGCCACCATCCTGTCACGTCTTCTTCTTGTCCTTGTAATTGCGACTCATTCGATTTGGTAGGATTGTTGCTTGGTCCGCCTCCGGACAAATACGCATTAGAAAATCCAAAACTCGAAAATCCAGACATTTTGGAGTTTTTCTAGGGTGGGTTAATAGCAGCGAGCCAACAAACAATTGACAAATTGACAAACAACAACAAACAATTGACAATTTCCTGTAATAGTCAATCAAAATTCGACCGCTCCGCTACTTCTGCTGCAAGGCTCCAAAAATATGCAACAAAACTTGTGCTAACGTATACCCACGAAATGTCAACAATAATAATCTGCTAGTTTGATCAGAAGACCGTATCAAAGAAATCGTAGCTCCGTACTTCATCGGTCATCGTCCTTCAAGTCGACAAGTCCGCCGGCGGATGGAAAATCAAGTTCGGGTGGATTTTCGAAAGGATTTTCAAAATTGTGCAGCCGTAGTATCACATCGCCCCAGGAAAAAAAACACGAGGACCCGCTCGTAGTAAGAGACACAAGACGACGAGTAAACAGCAGATGTCTTTTTTTGCATAGTAAAATTAATAAAAATTAGTCATCAATTAAGTCAATAATTAATTATTATCATTGCGAAGAGACGGAGTCGGAAAGAAAGGACGATTTATAAGCACATGTAATATAGCAGCTGCACGTCTACTAAAGATTTCATTGTAAGTTAATAAATATAAAGCAGGACAATATTATATTTGTTGTATAATAATTATGAAATGTCCGTGTTTTATTTTGTCAGACTTGAAATATTCTTGTGCATGCTGTTCTTCAAGAGGAGATGAACTTGACGTACCTCCAAACTTACTCAGTGGAGGGCCAGCTCACATTTTGGGGTAGAGGTCACAACGTAATTTGCTGGTCATCTGATAACCAAGTTGCTCTTGTACAGAAAAAAGGCGTCAATGTTTATGTGAGTCTCTTTATAATCATCATCATATGGTTTAGCTCGTTATGTGCCCTTTCTCTCCCATCTTGCCTATTTACTGAATTAATTTTAAGGACATGTGACGTTGAAATTACTTGGTGTATCATCAATCTTCATACTTAATTTTGTCACCTTTATCTTTAATCTACGTGTTCGGAATTTTGTGACCTGGCCTGACATTATTTATGTATTCCATATTCCTAATTGTGGAGAACCAGGGAGAAGGTTCTGTTGAAATAATAATATTACTAATATAATATACAAGCAATAACATATTTATATATGAACAATCAAATTGTGCTGATCAAGTACTTGGCTTATTGTCAGGCGGCGCTTTCTGAGTCGTTCTCTAATTAGTGGATTCTTCTAAATCGTGCGGTGGAAAGTGGAGGAAGGACCTCCATATTGGATATTTTTGACGTTTGATAAGTGATTTTGTAAATTTTGTGGCTGCTAATTGCAGTGAAGCATGGAACGCCAACACACCCACCATCATCACCAAAGCGCATTCACAATGGCGAAATACATAATCTTCCTCTTTGTGATGTTGCATAGTTTCATTGGTTCAGTTCATGGAGATTTCTTTCCCACGCCCCAATTTTCTGGAGAAGATGTCACCCAAAAAATGTTTGGCAGTCAAACTAGTGAACTTTTTCCCATCGCATATGGTGATTTTAATTCTGACAAATTAACTGATATCATCGCCGTTCCTAGCGACAGATCTGCCATTATGTTGTACCTTGCTCACGAAGAAGCTCCCTTTCTCCGCCTCAAGAAAAAATGTTACGTGCAAACAGAACACAATATGGAAAAGTTGGAGATAGTTGGTGCTTCACCGGGCGATTTCACGGGAGATGGACTCATGGACCTGCTTGTCACGATGAGGCAAGAGGGTCGAAAGAGTCTTGAGATCGTTATCTTTGAAGGAAACTCGAGCGAATTGATCTGCGAGAATAGAATGGATGAGACCATTTCAATGGCACGAGAACCTCTCGTCGTTGACTTGAACGGGGACATGATCATGGATCTCGTCAGTGAAGAATACATCTCTGAAGACCACAACAACCACACGACGAAAAAAGCAATCTGGATTTTTACACAAGAAGCCAAATTGAAGCCCGACAACTTCTCATTTGAGGTTCTTCCTGGCTTTGACAAGAAGCTTCAAGATATTTGGGAATCTCGTCCCATGTCCAATCCACCATCCAACGCTTTCGTGGATGTCGACGGGGACTCGATTCCAGAGTTGGTAATTCTTACAATGGAAGGAGAATTTCACCAAGTCCAGGCTTTTTACATTCACACGTACAAAGTGATAGTCACGCTGTCTGAAAAAAATGTCAAGTTCAAGTACACCGGTGTCCCTGTCAAACTGAATGGAACAGAGCAAATTAACGTTGTGGGGCAACCCCTCTTTGTGGACTTTAATCGTGATGGCCGACTCATGCAACTCCTCCCTTTCTGCTCCACTCTTACCTGCAACAATAAGGAAGGCATTGCAGTCGATAAGCAGGGGATCAAGGTCATCTATAATAGGACGGTGACAGACCTCCTTCTCTCTTCAGTCTCGTTTGACAACATTGAATGGGGCTTTGACCGACCCGTGGACTCAGTCGAGAAGGCTCTCTTGCGAAAAGACCGCTATTACTCGAGATCATTAGTGCTCCGCGTGGGCGACTACAATTTGGATGGGTTTCCCGACCTCATCGCTGTATTGGAAGCCAGTGGGTCGGGACAACGGGGGCATGAAATAATAAAAAGGGCGGTCGTGTTTGAGAACGTGCCGTGCACTGATCCAAAATGCCCATTTCCTCGCAAATTCAATCCAAACTTTAAGCTCCTTTGGCAATACACGAACGTGACCCTTGCTACATTCTTTGACATTCATGAGGACGGGCTAATTGATGTGCTCATAGTGCGACGTAACAACGCGTCAACCCCAACCAAACCAGGGCGTTTCGAATTCAGAGCATTCCAAAACAGTCCAGACTATGACTCCAACTTTATCAAAGTGATGGTTCTAACGGGGAGGAAATGTGAAAAGTGTCCCAAACGTATTCCGTATGGCAATCTACTCACGGGGCCAATCATTTCATACAAGACGAAAACACAGGAGGGAGCCCTTCAAACAGCATTGGCCGCCCAGAATTATCGAAGTGCAATCATGCCAATGGATTTACCTTACACAATTTTTGGGATTGGGCACTCCCCGAATTTTGTCGAGACCTTAAGGATTGACATTTCTTCGCACTCTCACGAGTGGACACAGATTATCCCAAACTCCCAGATCATTGTGATTCCACATCCCGTCGATGAGCCGAAGCAATGGAAGGCGAAGCTGTTTCTCACCCCAAGCGATGCAGTTCTCCAAACATTCGCAGTCCTCCTCGCCATTTGTCTCGTCGTCACGTGCATTGTGGTAAGTTGTTCATAAAGTTTTTCATGAGATTTAAAACTTGTATTGAAAATAAATTTCTAAGTTAAAATATTAAATTAAATGCTAAGGTGGGGCTTCAAATCAAGGAAGTGCGAGAAGACCGGAAGGACAGGTTGCACGAGGCGCATAGGTTCATGATGTAAATCGAGGGCTGATTTACCGACCTGCCCACCAATTTCCCTACTATGTAGTAGTGAAATGACAATGAATTGCTGGAGTAATTTCTATTTTCGTGATATGACGATTGTGAAGTCAGAGTCAGGAGAAAAATATGTGAATAAATATTGCTATAAAGTATATTTCTAGTTGAGTATTAAATTAATAATAATTCATGATAATCAATTAATCTAATCATTTCGTACATGAGTTTTAATATCATTATTAATTGTAATTTGTGTATATAATCCTTACCACTACTGTTTAACTAACGTTATGACGTTATCATTGAAATACATCGCTGTGTATATATGATCTGATCTCTTTGTATATTGCGGAATTCCCAGGTAAATAAATTATGCGAAAATCGGTTGCTAATCCTTCGTGTACATTCCATCCATTTTTCCTTTCCATCATTGCCTGTAACCCCCAACGTCCACAATGTCCTCGTTGGCTTACTATTAGATTATTAACTTTCACTAATTTTCTTTTTCATAATAAAAAGACGAAATAATGAACACCATGTTATCCTCTTATCTTCGTCAGGATTGCCGACAAAATACTGGGGCCCAAGCGAAGCCATCCCCAACGCTGACCGTATACCCATCGCGCATCGATGTCTCCCACAAATTACATATTTCCGACACAGGGAATGTTACGAGCAGTGACGTTCTGTTTGACGAGGACAAGCAGAACATCTTCGACTTGATGAGAGATCACATTCTCCGCCCGCATGGACATGACTCGACTATTTTCCATAATTACGTCACCAAAGCGGCCTGGTCTCCCATCCCTGTTTACCGAGGTCGCGACACGTGAGTGCACAAAGTGCAAATGTGACCAGGGCATCACGAAATAATCTACTAACTTAACTTGCATTTGTATGACGTAGTGAAAGTCGCTGTATTTTGGGCGTAATAACCTCAACCCATCAACTGTTTATCTACGGACAAAGAAACCGACGATTCACATCTGATCTGTGGACCGAACCCTGGGAGACCATCCTAGATATCACGGAGACTTACAATAAATACCTGTGCGACCTTTGGAAAAAAGATCAAGACGATCTGGAGGGCAAGTCCTATTTTGACACGTACAAAGAACGACTCTATGAAATTGCAATTACAGGTAAGTCGTGCACCCTGTCTTAATCAGAGTACAATCTTGTGCTTTGTTTGAACGAATATACATGTGCACAAGTCTAAAAACAAAATGATATTTTAATGGTGTTAGATTTTATTTGGATTCCTGACTGGAAACTGGACCCCGACTCGAAATACACTGACGAAGTACAAGGAACCTTCAAATCATATTTCATGACTTTTCATGCCAGTGGAGATATGTGCTTGTGGAAAATAGTGGCGTCTAAAACAGTGATGCCAAAGTATTCGGTGCGAGTGGTGTACCGAAAGCAAGGGGTGGTTGCGATTAATGACATAGTCTCCACAACAGCATACTCATTTGTTTCCGCCGACTTTGGTAGGAATTTTCACAATTTATGAGGGAATTCCCTGAAGTTTGAACAATTTTCACAGGTCTCCTCTTGGTTGGAACAAATAAGGGGAAAATCTTAAGCTTCATTGTGAGTAAATCGTCAGTGAAGCAGGAAATGGATGAGCAACAAGGGCAGCAGCAAAAGTATGGCATTGGGAAAGAACAGTGTTTATGGGAAGAAGACTTGATCCGAGTGGAACATTTGATGATTTGTCCGCTAACATCCGGCCGGAGAAAAATTGACATTATTGCTGTGAAAAATCCGAATATTGTCATTGCCACGACTGCCTCACTAACCGAATTCTGTCTGAAGGGAAGCGAGTTTTCCATCGTGAAAGTTCCCTACGGTCCCATTGTTGGTTAGTCATCATTTCATTACTCAATTTCTATTCTATTCACAAAAATTGCAATGCTCATTTAATATTTGCAGGAATTCAAGTCAGAGAAAAGAGGGAATTTTTACTCTCCCACGAGCCTGGACAACTCTCCCTCGTCTCTTTTATAAATGGAGAGTTGGAATGCATGGAGCATTCTTCCATCTCCATCTTCGACCCGCAAAAGTCGACCAAGAAAAAGGCAATTTTGATCGGAGAGTCAGTCCAGAAACCTGGAAAGAAGGAGAAAAAGACGAAACAGATCAAGGATTCTGATAAGAGGCTGATATTTCAAGGACTTGCTCTCTCCCCAAACAAAACCATGATGTGTGTAGCACGCACGTAAGTTGAAAAAGAGGAGCCAAAGTGTAAGTGTATCAATTAATGGTAGTATATTTTGGAAGAAATTATTGTTTTCAGTGTTGGAGTGTATTATGACCATTTGCAAATTAGAAGGCCCACCCAGATCGTCTTCTACTCATTACTTCCTCCTACAGAACGACTGTTAGATACAGTCCGAGAGTTGTACGCAGAGAATGACTTGTCCCTTCGAGGAATAGCAGATGTTCTTGTTCCGTTCAGGTAACCAGTCCACGTCGTCTCGTCATTAATAAAACAATGCATTATTAAACTTTATTTTAGATTTGCCCTTCGTGGTAAGTTTTCGGGCTCCTTGTTTAGCGAGATTTTTAACTGGGCCATCCCATTGGAAGAGAAAAAAACACAAGAGTTGCAACTGCTCCTCTGGTGTTTGAGAGTTTTTCCGAAAACCGATCCTACTGAATGGGACGGTAATTAACTAACCAACTCAATAAAATGACTAGTTTGTGGCGGTCATGTCTTGAAGTGTACTATTTATTGTGCAGTTGCTGCTGCAGAAAAGCTGTTCAATCCTTCCGCTATGAAAGAATTACAGGGATTGGAAGCTTTGCATGTAAGATATTGTGTTACAAAAAAAAACATGTTTTGCATAATGATTTACGTGTCTCTTTTCAGAAATACAGGATCGAATTAGTACTGGATAGAATTATGCAGAGGAGGTGTGAATCCCTGATTCGTGCAGTATTACAAAATCAAGACAGAGCAGAATTTTCTCTGGATGAAGAACTCAACAAGCAATGTTTGAAAGCAATGGTTGAATTTCTAAATTCAAAGAGTCCTAAGAGCAACAAGCTTCCAAAGATGCCGCAATTTTCCTCTGAGCCACATATTCCAATGTGTCACTGGTGCAAAGGGCCGCTGGAATTTCCTCTCGAGATGTTCTCCTTTGATGAGGCGTTGAAGGACGTTGACAAGGAACTTATGACTGGTTTAGCACAAGAACAATGGTCTGGATTCAAATGGAACGTCCGACGTCATCCAGTCAAAGAGTTTGGAGTGCACAAGCCAGAAATCTGCATCCTTACCCTTCTCCCGTTACAGTTTCCGTATAGAAGATGCTCAAATTGCTACGTGTCTGCTCTCTTCGAACCAGGCAAGCAATTCTACACTTTCATATCAACATTATTTGTTTAAATACGTTCAAAAGAATTAAATAGATTGCGATTTTGGTGATTTTATAGCCTTTGGACAACTTCCTTATTGTCCACTATGCAATGCAATGATGTATCCGAACCAAGTGGTGATTACAGCACCCCACAAATTAACGAAAGGTGAACCCATGGACGAATTGGATGATCACCTCGAAATGGAATCGTTAGAAAACTTGTTTACTCACGAAATTGAAGATGTTCATGAATCGGAATCCGACAGTGAAAGCGAATATGTTTCTGATTCTTCCGATTCTTAATACTTCTTTTATTTATTTTCGTTTTTTGTTGAAATTAGTTAATAAACTTTAATAATTTAATTCGTACTAGTAAAAATATACAATAATCAAATTAAATGTCAAAGCACGTATTTTCATATGGAACAGACGGGCGACAACTTTGTTGTGGATAAGTACAGAAATTCTGGTGGTGGTAATGCTGATGATACACCTCAGAATTGATCCCATTATGAATTCCAAAATCCTGATTCTGATTTATGGTGGATTGACCTTCTGGGAAGTATGGCTGTGAATTTGCACCACTTGACGTCATCCCAAGATGGGTAGAATTGTGGTTTGTTGTCGTCGTCATCTCAAGGTGGACATTGTAGTCGCGGAGGAGGCCATTCGGCTCAAAGAAGGCGCATGGTCCAGGCTTGCTGAACGAATCCCCTACTGGAGATGGGCTGAGACTTGTGGACGGCTGACCTAAACCATTATTATTGACACTATTACTACGTGGGTTGAGGTGCAAGAACCCAGCAATCAAGTTTGACGTTCCTTGGGACAAGCCTCGGGACAAAGAGAATGCCATCTGCTTTGGCTGCATTATCTTTTCATCATTCTGCACCAGAATCGTTCCCAGAGTTCCAATGTAGTTTCGTGCTAACCGCAGGGTCTCAATTTTGGAGAGCTTCTGATTCCTTGATGTGATGGGCACATGCCTTTCAATAGCATATATAATTTAGTATTAATAAAAAAATGAAAACTTGGACGGATTGTCTTAATACATATAATGCTTACTGTCGTAAATTGTCGAGAGCTGTACGCATCAAAATTCAAATAAACATATCTAGATTAATTTTGGTGGCTTTTGTTTTTTCTCTGGGTACAAGAAATAGAACGCCAAAAAACGACGTCACCAAACAAAAGCTACCAAAATTAAGCTACCTTGATTCAGTCCGTGCATCCGATTCCTTTCCCTAGCGTTGGCTTTGTGTCTTCGTACTTTGGATTTCACCATTTTTCAATATTAAATTAAATTATAAAATTCTTGAACTATGAAATTGTTAGTGTGGATAATATTTTTCAAATTATTGCGAATAAAAAAAATGGTCAGCTCATGAGCATTTCTGGAGAAAGAATGACAATTTACATACGCCAAGAGGGAAGACAGGGTGAAAGTTATTGATGGACACATACTCGTCCATTTTATCGTCGGTAACGCCTACACTAAACATGCTCAAAAGATTTATGACATTAGTGGACAATTAGCATTTATTTGCATGAGATGATTTTTTGAGTCAACATGAGCAGATATTTGCTGATGCTGATAAGGGAGCTCATGCCCGGATTTCCAAGCAATTTAACAATTCTCCCTCCTCACTCGAACACACTCTGACAATTATGATGCTTCCTCGGTCGGGTTTGTCTCTTCTGCCTGTTTAATTGAGTGAGTGTCGTACACCTGAGCCTACATGTATCGTACAGTTCCGGGTAGAGTCTCTCCCCTAAATCTATTTTATATCATTGGTTTGGAAAGTTCGTGGGTAATCAGAAAAATGCCACTTTGAGATCAATACAGATGCGTGTATTCGGATAATGTTCAACCCAACGTAACTTTTACATATGTAGGCACTCCATCAATGTTACCATTATCCACTGGAGAAATTAAGTATATATACGTAAGTTTAAGATATGAAATCTGATTACTCCTGTAACAAGTAGATAAATTATGACAAAATATATAATGCAGCCGCAAGCTGTTCTAATTTTCCAGTTTTCCAGATAATTTTATTCCTTTTTATGCAGAAATAATGAATAACTTTGATTTTGAGCCATCAAATTGTCTATTGTCAATACGGACTAGTACAATTAATTTGAAAATAGTTCTTCCTCAACCAGTGCACTGATTATCAAAGTTATTCTTCAAACTCGAAAAGATGAGGATGTGTCTCTTGAAGCTTTTTTAATTCATCTATCAAATCCATGTGCTGAAATGAGTCAGGTTTCCTAAAAAACGATTCCAATAGATTCTTCCTAGAGTCAGAGGTTTCTCCGTAGTAAAAGTTGACTTGAACGGCCAGAATATGCGCATCTTTAGTACTCTGTTTGTAAATTGAAGTAATAATTTTAAGATATGGCGTCTATGTAGAATTAATTGAGGGAACTTATTTTTTTCTCACCATCAAGTTTTTATCAAACTCTCCTCGCATCAACACCAAATCTTTGGAGCTTTGAAGGTCAGTGTACTGGATTAAGCGAAGACATTCAGGCGCATTTTCTTTGTGGGTTTGATACGCAATGAGAGGTGTAAAGTGAAAGGCGTTGTTCATGAATTGTACAAATAAAAATTCATATCCATGTTCACGGGGAAGGGGAAGCAAGAACTGTAATCGGTTAAATATATGCACACAAGTTATACCATTTAACTAGAGGTCACTTGACTCACATAAAAATACGACTTGCCATTGTGAAAGTTGATGCCAAATCTTTCATCTTTTCAAATACTGACCCCGACATTACGGCACCAAGAAGTCCGTCCTTTTTTCGGTGAAATTCTTGCCACAACTTGCGGATAAGCATTTACATAGAACATTTAACCGTAATTTAAAAGGATATTTACGAAAGCTTACAAAAATAATGTCGTCGCGATCGAGGTCCTTGATTCTACTTAACTCCATCACATCATTCAGTAGAAACTAAAAATAGGCTTCAGCATTGTAATTAATTTGATTCAATTCAATTGATATCAGGCAACTAATTATTTACATGATCTGTTGAACGTGATTGTGGAAAAGCCTGCTTTCCGACTTGTTTGTTCGGTTGACCTTTATTAGACCCACCAGAGATCTTGGAATCCAATTGTTCCAGCTTCGCCAACAATTCTCTTGGGGATGTTCTAAGGTAAAATTACAAAGACGAAACGGTTCGATTATTAACGCAAATTAGATAAAATTTGGTTGCTTACAATTCCATCTGCTGAAACTTGTCCTTGTATTTTTCAAAATACGCATTTTCCGACAACTTTTCTTTCAGAGCCTCCAGCTTAGATTTGATCTCTGCATTTTGTGAAGATGACGACGAATTAGAAGCCTGATTATTTGAACGTTCTCTATCGGAAGTTTGTTCAGTTCCACTGTTATTGAAGGGACCTGAGGGGACATGCAGTTGCCGAGAACAGCAAAACGTTTGCAAGCTGTTTCTTGTTCCAGCTGAATTTTGGCGATGATGGAGGTGTTGATAGTGGAAGTAGGCGTGGGTGACCGTACCCCCCGTCGGAGTCAGCAGTTCACCTCTGGAGGAAGGAGAGAATAGCTTGGCTAAATTGTTCCGATGAATCATGATTCCATTTTTAACAGGATTCGGGATCATTCTTCCTTCAAATTCAATGCAACAGCAAATTAATGAAAATAATTACACTAAATATTAACTCTAACGTGATTACTTTTAACTTACTTTTATATTTTGATTGCTACTGAATGAGCCGAAACTAACTTTGTAATTGGTGATCAATTAAGCAACAGAGTGAAAGTTTAACTCGAATAGGTGCTGCAAGTCTAATCTTTCCCTCGACTGCCGACCTCTTCTCTCTGTCTCACCCTGCCTCTGCTAGGAATTAACAAGATCTAATTGTTTTCACTTCTCAAGAACAAAATCGGCGAAAGTGAAGAACCACGTAAATTCATCATCCAAGGGCAACATCAAATAGAAGACAAATCAGATCAGGGGAGGTTCAATTATCCGGATAATTGAACTCCGATATCACGACTCGGGCGTGAAGCCGTCCGTCAGCCAGCAGACTTTGGAGGATTTTGTGACCGTCCAGAAAGTGGAGACGCATCCTGTTCCTGGAGTTGAGGGCATGACGTGGTGCATCCTCTCCTGCCAGTCCCCCCCAGACCAGGACAGCCAATCCATGGACTATGCCATGCTCGAAGGGTTCGAGCCAGTTCGAGGTTCACCGTGGTCATTGAGCCGTTCGACCTCACTCAGAGGACACAGGAAATTGAGGAATATTATTTCAGCATTTCTCAATTTCCCCCCTTACGCATGTCCATGTACTGATTCGCAGTGGATCAACATCATGACCCTGTCTTGGAACGTGTTTGGCTGCTATCTTTCCGTTTCTGCTGCTGCAACCTTGTCTTCCCGAATGTCGGAAATGCCATGACATTTTCCGATCATCACCGTGGTCCTACTCCAGAAATATGTCAAGTTTGTAATGGGCGATCCTATTACGGAATATCGAAACCTGGACTTTCTGAGCGATGAGGACATGGACCGTGTGTTCCACATGAGCGAATTGCTCGCCGTGACGGGTGCCTTCACTAACGTTATCATCAAGGACACGCGGCGTGAACGATATCACTACAATATTTTGAAGTATATGACTGCTTTTCAGTTGGCGTTGTGCGCCTACAAATATTTCTTTGGAATGGCCCTCTCCACCTTTTTTCCAAACCGAGCGTTGTAAAATTAGTCGGGTCGGAATAATAAATAAGTACGGTTTTTAGCCCGATGTACCCGTCGTGTCCGTCTGTCTGTCTGTCTGGTTTGCGATAACTGCCGTAAAACTAATCCTATCGACTTGAAATTTTGCACATATGTAATATGGGTCAAATGAGGAGTTAAGCTCGAAGATGGGCCAAATCGGTCAAGTGGTTGACCGGTGGGGGTCATATAGGTAGGTGGGGTATTATGCACCAAAATTTCAAAATTATTGTAGAAGGCTGCAATTTGGTATAGAGTATGATAATGGTATCTAATGAAATAATATACGGTAAAATTGAAAAAATTTTCATCTGGGGGGACCCTAGGGGGTGACCCATACCGATTTTTAAAACTCATCAAATCGAGTTGAAATTTGGTAGAAAAGTTGGTAACGGCTCCTATATTAATAGGAGAATATGAATTAGAATAGGAACAATATTCATCTGGAGGGATGTACTGGGTGACCCATATGGATGTTTTTAAATTGTGTCAAGCTGAAATTTTCTATATAGGCTGCAGGGTTGGCCAAAATACTATTTGAAATACAAAATGAGATAAAATGACGGATACGTTCCATAGCTTTTCGCATCGATTTCATTGAATCAAATAAAATTAATTGTAAATGCAATTGTGGGTACAAGGACAAATGTACCACAACATTTTTTGAATTCTGTGCAACCACACCCCCTATAAAAATAAAGGAACAAAGTTCGGAAAAATGAGAAAGTCAATGTACATCGTGTAGAATAAGAGTTAGACCTATACTTGCATTTGCAATTTGACTTCCCCTTGAAATACGAACATTTTAATGCATCAAGAGTTTCAAAATTCGAAAATTGGCGGTTTTTTTACGTACACAGAAATCCTTAAAAAACGCATGGTACCACCCATTTACTTCGGACAACCCGATGCCAGATTTTTCTCCTTGGGAAGAGCTACATTTTCAGCTTTTGTTGCCCGAAGGGAATCGATGGTACCACGAGAAATTTGGGGTCAAAGTTTCTGAGGGAGGGACTTATTTTGCAAGAGCCGTAACAAACTCTGGCCACTAATGAGATATGGATTTCAACCACCCAACTTAATTAAGTTTGTGATATTTTAATTACCTAATCACCCCAAATTTAAAACTTGAGCTTTTTCGAATTTATAATGGTGATATCCACTCGGAAATTGACGCTACAGGGCTTATCACTGGACTTATCAATTTTTCAGATAAGCAAGTTTGGTTTATCCAAATCGCCCCAAATTTAAAACTTAAGCTTTTTTGATTTTATAATGGTGATATCCACTCGAAAATTGACGCTACAGAGCTTATCACGGCACTTATCAATTTGTCAGATAAGCAAGTTTGGTTTATCCAAATCGACCCAAATTTAAAACTTAAGCTTTTTCGATTTTATAATGGTGATATCCACTCGAAAATTGACGCTACAGGGCTTATCACGGCACTTATCAATTTTTCAGATAAGCAAGTTTGGTTTATCCAAATCGCCCCAAATTTAAAACTTAAGCTTTTTTGATTTTATAATGGTGATATCCACTCGAAAATTGACGCTATAGAGCTTATGACGGCACTTATCAATTTTTCAGATTAGCAAGTTTTGTTTATCCAAATCGCTCCAAATTAAAAACTTATCTGAATTTCTAAATGCCAAAAATCATGAATTTCGGCGATTACAAAAAATTCGTATTATAATGTTTAGTAGACAATATGCAGTAATTTTGGGTTTCGACTATGCTTAGTCCAAGAATTATTTGATTATAAATAATTCCTGCTGGAAAATCCAGTCATCAGCGAGATAGCAGCAATCTCGGACCCTGGTCCTTTGCGCCTTAGGTGATGTTAATTTAATTATCGCGCGATAATTAAACTAACATTCTTACCAATTAAAAACAAGTCATTGAAAGCCAAGTTGATGAATTAATTTGCGATATGCGATCATGACTAAATTACCAAGAGATTTTATTTTCGTAAAATTGAATGAATTAAATAGGTTTATAAACCTATTTTACAACAGGTTTATAAAACTATTTAATGATATGATTTAATAAATAACTTTATTAAAAAATATCTTTGGGAAACAGTCACCAACACCACCATTCGAAGTCCATCTTCGCCACCACTTCCTTATTCATCGCTGAAATTGTCTAAAGAGTCTGTCTACTTCTTCCTGCTCCTCCAGTGAGATGTTGATTGTCCTTCCACGTCTTGATGCTCTTGATGGGAAGATCTTCTTGAGAATTTGTCCAATTTTGATGTAACAGGACGCGTTTTCAGAAATATAAGAGGTTCCAAGTTTTAATTTTGAGGTGTTTTGTTTCCAGAAAGTCACCTTTACTTCTTGGTCAGCAAGGTCCACTTCATCGATGATGGCCACGTACCACTGGTTTTCGTAGACACATGCAATCCAATCGCTGACGGCACATTCATCGATGATGACCAGAGGTTGAGCAACTTCGGATTCCATTATTTTAGTTGCCATCACCGTGGTGTCCCGAGAAACTTCATAAAGGTGAATTTTTCCCGATCCAATTTCAACACGGTGAGCTTGTTGAGTTCCAGGAATGGTTGTGATGGTCTCGTACCGGGTTGTCAAATCTTTTTCTTCAATAATCTTCTGAACTTCGGAATCCGAGACGAATATATATTCAATTCCCTCAATATTTGAACTGCACCAGAGGAAGAATTCTTCTGCGGTTGTAATTTTGATACCTTGAAGAGATGCAATTCTTGCTCGACGTTTGGCAATTCCTCCTTGAGCATCTTGAGGTCCCTTCATATGAGCAGTTGCTCCATAGTGCCATACGGCTATAATTCCAAAGTCGTTCTGATGGTGGTATAAGTTGCAGAAATTCTTGCGATTCTTGTATTGAGCTGCAGATCCATCTGAAACGTAGTGAATTTTGGTAATTCTGATTTGGGCAGCAGCAAACTCTCGAACAAGTCTTGGTATGAGCTTAGTCTGGAATGCGTAGAAGGAATTTGTGTCATGAGTGGTGCAATCACTGATAATAGATATGCTCATGTTGTATACAACTTCGTTCACGGCCCAGTAGATTGTGAAGGGGTGAATAGTGATCTGTTTGTGGGAGAAGTATTCGGACTGGACAGCATTCTGGATTACAGGTGAGTAGTTTTCGGAAAAGTCTCCCCAAATGAAGAGCTCACCAGGCTTGAGATTCTTTCGAAGATCCACAAGAAATTCAGGCTGAGCTTTGCTGATGTAGTGATGTTTCAACAGCTTCTCCAGTTCCGAAGTTGCAAAGTCCAAGAAGTCTTCGGTTTCTTTTTCCTCAGTCACGTATTGAGTTCCGTCTGTCGTCAGCCATCTTCGGTATGAAATTGACGTGTTGTTCCTGATGACTTCGTTTTCTCTTAAAGCTATTTTGAAGTTTGTTGTAGATCCTTTACACTTTGTACATCGTCTGTAGTAGCAATCCTTGCCTCCACTTTCACAGACTAATTGTGAAATTGAAGGCTTGATGGATGAAATCTTGATGGCATGGAACAGCAGCTTCACATTTTCATGGTAAATGCACACGCAAACGTTGTGGTATCCCTTGCTGGTTAGCGAGATGCATTCTCGTGGCCGCAGCATCATGAATGACGATTTCCCAACTTTCTAATCCGGGTACTGAATCTTGAAATTTTGGTAGAGCTCCCTGAGATTGCTTAGAAGATATCGTTTCTGCTTGTGTTCTCGTCTTCCTGTTTCCTTGTTCTTGATGGACAGAAAATCCTTTTGTCCTGGGCAGGCTCTTGACACATCATCTTGATAATAGAAATCTTGAATATTGGATTTGGTTTCTTGGGTAATTTTGTATCCAGATTTTGGTTTTATTGGAGGAAGGATTGTGTCGGTTTCTTTACGACGTTTGCGGCTTCCCTGGACCAAGCGTTTCCCAATATTGAAGAAATCTTGAGTCTTCTTAATACTCCAAGACGGTGGAACTAAGGTAAGCAGTTGTTTTTTTTCGGCTTGAGAACATCCTTGCAATCTTAGCTTCAAGTGCTTCATGATCCAGTTGAGATCTGTAGAATCCTGGAGAAGTTGTTCTTGATTGTGTTGTTCTTTGTCTGGAATTGGTAGTCCGACATCTTGGAATCCTGTGGTGATTG